AAAATATTAGTACTTCCTCCATCTTATAACAAATAATCAATTTTTTCATTTTAGTCCGTCCCATAAGTATCCATTTTTTTAGTAACTGTACTATCTACCTAACATTACATATACCCGTACAATTTACAATTATTACACAAATGTCATTACCTTTATATCACACATACTACTAAGGTTATTTTAGTCATTTATATTTTATTTCTATTATATCCCAATATAATACTAATATTTCTAAAACTACGTGAAAAAAATAAATGGATATTTACTTATGGGATTGAGAGAGTATTATTTTTTAATTTATTACAAAATTTTAAAAAAATATACTCATTCCGTCCCTTAACAATTTATCTATTTTGGTCCGTCCCATAGCAAAATATTCATTTTTTTTAGTAATTGTACTATCTAATTAACATTACAAATATCATTCTAATTTACAATATATTACACAAATGTCATACTTTTATATCTGTTACGTATTAAAAATAATAATTAATAATAAAAATAATGGTAGCAAGGTCGTGAAGGAAGGTAGGACCCGAAGTCGGGCAGAAAAGTAGAAAAATTTGCGCTCAGGTCGGTTGGTCCTCGGTCGGTTGGTTAGCGGGTCGGATAGTCCATAGGTCGGAAAGTCTGTAGGTCGGTTGGTCAGCAGGTCGGAAGGTCTGCAGTCGGGTAGTCAGGTCGGTTAGTTAGCGGGTCGGATGGTCCATAGGTCGGAAAATTTGCAGGTCGGTTGGTCAGCAGGTCGGATAGTCAGGTCGGAAGGTCTGCGGTCGGGTGAGTCGGACGACACGGAGGTCGGTTGATATGGAGGTCGGTCGATGCGGAGTTCGGACCAAGTAAGGTCGGGTGCGATAAGATAGGGCAATGAGGTCGGACCTGGTCGGGCCAAGTTTAAAGGTTGGGCGCAATCAGGCCGAATTCGAAAGTAGGGTATGGTAAGGTCTGGTGTGGAGATGGGGCAGGATAAGGTCGGGCGTAGTGAGGTCGGACAGTGAAGTAGCATGTGCAGGTCGGGTGAGAGAGCAGTTCTGGGGCGGTTGGAGGAAGTTGCAACTGGCGAACGGTTGAAGGAAGTTGCAACACGTGTCAATAGAGGAGAACTTGGTGAACGGTTGACACACGTGTCAATAGAGGAGAACTTTTGAGGCGGTTAATAGTGGTTATGGTAACCGACTAGATAGCGGTTCGAACCGTTTATTCAACAGGGTTATTTAAGGATTCAGGCATGTTCTGAAAAAGCATCTTCAATCAACTTCAACAAAGCAAAGTCAGATTCGGGGATCACCACTTTAAATTTCAGCATTTTATTTTCCAGTTAATTTTCTTATGTACCGTACAATGTTTAGAGATTCCTAATCTCAGGCACTAATTAATCAAATTTAAGAATATTTCCATATCTTTGAATTTTACTTTTTATTTATTGAAAAAATACATCAACAATATCATACAATACTAATAGGGCTAATTTAGACTTTTTACCTTTATTTATACTTTTATCTCAATATAATACTAATATTTCTAAAACTCTGTTAAAAACAAATAGATATATAGATATGGGATTAAGGGAATATTTGTTTTGGATGAACGCAAATATTATATATACTGAGAATTATATTACTAAAAATAATTATATATAAAAAAATAAAATTGTACTCTTAAACTTATTTTCTTTTGTTATTGTAAATATTATATAAACTTCAAGTGTAATTTTTATTTAAGTACTAAATATAATTGCTGAAAAAAAATGTAGAAACTAATTATGATAGACTAAAATAGGAAAACTAGATAATGATATGAAAACGTATTTAAATTTTAATTGATATTTTTATATAATTATTAGATATTATTCATAAAGTGTATTCTTTGGATTTATTTTTTTATTCGTATTTTAAACTTGATTTAGTTTTTTACAGAAAATTCTTATTCTTTACAAAAAATTTAATAAAATAAAATTTTAATATAATGTTTTTAAGTAAAAAATTTAAAAATTGAACCAAAACGAAGAAAATGCAATAAAGTTTTTTAGTTTTTTATTTTTTTTAATTTTTTATAATGCAGTAAAATTAACAAAGCCACATAAATTGTTGTCTAAAATGTTTATAAATTACAGACCATTCATGAAAAGGTCAGTAAATATGTTTTAAAAAATACATAAAATTTATAAAAATCGTGTTAATTTAAAGTTTTGTACATTATTTTTAACTATCTATTGCAATTAAAATAATACTCCTTTCTTTCCAAAGATCATGTCATTTTAACGTAGATACAAGAATTTAAGAAGAATATTATTAGCAAATAATTAAGAATATATTAGTAAAAATAATTATCGATTAAGATAATTAATTAGTCTAATTAAAATTTTAAAATAAAATTAAAGTGTATACTTTTTTTGAAAAAAAAAAAACAAATAAATGGGACATACAAAAAAAAAGACATGATAAATGGGCCAAATGATTTTTTTAAAAATTCAGTAATATATACTCCCTCAATCTCATATCTATTTATCCATTTGTTTTTTTTACAGTTTTAAAAATATTAATATTATATTAGGATGTAGTAGAAATAAATATAAAAAGATATAAAATGTAACGATATTTGTATAATATATTATAAATTGAAAAAATATTTGTATAGTTAGCGAGATAGTACAGTTATTAAAAATAATTATAAGACTAGCTAAAATTTAAAAATAAATAAATTATCAAAGGAGCGATGAAGTATTTTTATAATGGGAGTAGTTAATAAGGGTCCTGTATAGGAATAATATAGATGTATTATTATTACTATTATTTAAAATTTACCACATGATTTCCATGTAGAACTAAGCCACAATAATTGATGGCTCTCGTGTTAGGTACGATATGTGGACACGGAAAAACATGGGGATATGTTGTAAATATATATATATATATATTTATATATTTATATCTACACGTATTACCATTCTAATTTCATTGTTCGATTAGTATATTAGATTTAATTAATTAATTATACTAGCATAGTATCGCCCCTTTTACATGTATGCATATAAATAATTTCCAACATATAAAATTTAACTATGTTTATATAGATATTTTTTTAAATGTTATAGTTTTATTTATCCACAATATTTTTTTCTAAAAAAAATATCGCATCATTATTTTTTTTTTTATTTTGCAAAATATTATATCAAATATTAATATTTTCTATTATTCATATACTTTTTCAAAAACCTAAAACTTCTGTCTAACGAAGCCAAATTATTTATTTATTTATTCCCATCATTCTTAACAAAACAATTTCTACATATTTTTTTAATAAAAATTATATTATTTTTTTCTTTCAATATATTTTAAAAAAAGAGAGAGACTTCACTCAAACAATATTATATTCTTAAAAAATATTTTTAAAAATTTCAATAACAAAAAAAAAAAAAAATTCCTAAATCATTAAAGTACACAACTAGCTAGTATATATATGTAGTCATATGTAACTATGTGATGTGACAAAATTAAAGGCATACTTCCTCCGTTCCAAAAGTAGTGTCTTATTTTTCTATTTTCGTCCTTCCCAAAATAATTATCATATTTTCTTATTTAGTAACTGTAGTCTCCACTTTATAACAAAATTATTTCTATCTTTTCAAAGTACCCATAATTATTACTCTAACCTATTTTTTAAAATCATTCAAAAAGTAAAATATTTTAATCTTTTACGTTCTACTTTATACTCACTCTTAATTAATACTATTATTCCTTAATTCTCGTGCCAACACCCAACAAGACGTCTCTTCTGGGACGGAAGAAGTATTATTTATGTTTTTATTTTGATTTTATTATTAAAGTAGAATAATCGTTGAACATTACATTGTATATAAAAATAAATAAATAAATACTCCATTTTATTGAAGATTATATTATATGCATGAGACCGTATAATTTCATAAATTTATTTATTATTATTTTTTTTAAAAGAAAAAAAACCATCAAATTGAATATACCCTAACTCAATTTCTTTCTTTGTAATATATAAAATATGAAAAGAAATACAACGCATGATATTTTGTTTCCATCCTGAATAGCAAAGCAAAGTATATGAATCAGATAATCCCAACTCGCATGAATGAAAACAGAACTTGCTAGAAAATTCTATTATTAAATAGATTAATGTCGACAAAGTGTATCATTGTTGTCATCAATAAAGCTACACCGGGTCCATACAAAAGAACTCAGGAATTATTTGTGTATAGTTTTTTATCTTCCGGACAGTGCCAACTGTCATTTTTTTTTTATTATTCTATAAATAATACTCATTTATGTCCCACCTACTATGTCCATATTATAGTTTCTATTTGTCTTATATTTTATGTCATTTTTTTTAATGATTACACATTTTAATTTTATTTTAAAATTTAAAATTTTTTAATTTTAATTAAACTAATTAGTTATCTTAATTTTAATTTATAATTATTTATATTATAAGATAATTATTTTTAATAATATATTATTAGTTATTTACTTAATTATATTTATCCTAAATTCTCATGTCTATATTAACTCGGACATGCAATGCAAATGTAGAATGTAGAACCAAGAGAGTAGTAAATAATATATATCCTTTTAAATTTAAAACTTTTTAGATAAAATTGCATTTAACACCAACTACACCTTAATTTTCATGGATTCTCTTTTATGACTTTTTTTTAAAAGCAAAATATCTTATCAAATACATTTTTCTTTTACAAAATATCAGAATAAATATTAGTCTTTTACTATTCTTAATTCTTTTTCAAAACTCCAACACTTTTTAATGTATTTAATAAATAGTTGGCTGTGGAATTAAAATAAGTAAAAAAAGTATAAAAATATTAATTTATTGCATAATAATATTAGTTAAATATAAATATAAATAAAGATTTTTTATTTTATAATAAAAAAAAATTAAAATTAAATACAAACATATAAAATAAACAAATTAATGGGTGTGTTTGTTTGGGAGATTGGATTGGATTTACACTATTCATCCAATTTTTTTTCCCCAAAAATATCAAATCAAACACCTATTTTTTATTTTTTATATTATACTAAAAATCAATTTTACATTCGTAACATTATATCAACACCTATTTATATCACATCATACAACTATTCAAATTCAAAATTTTTACTATTCAAACCCCCAAACAAACACACCCTAAAGAATGTTTGTATTTTGCACGTGCACAGTAGGTGTAAGTTTTACTTGAAGTTTTATAGATTTAGGTTTTGCATACTTGCCAACATAATGTAAATCATAGCCACAGTTTCCTTTGCCAAAATCCGGCCTAAACCCTACAAGAACCAAACAGGGCCACAGTTTCCTTTGCTCGTTTTCTTTCTTATTTTGTTAAGTTTCTAACTTTGGGTAGTCACTGGAATCTTCAAGAACAATCATTAACACGAACACGAAATAAGAAAGCTAAGCAGGGCCACAGTTTCCTATGCTACTTTCCTTTTTTATTCTTTTAATTTTCTAACTTTGGGAAGTCACTGGAATCTCTAAGAACTGTCAGGAACAGGTTATCCATATCATCTTAAATTTCTTCCACCATTTATAGAAAGCTTATTATTATTGAGTTAAGCCTTGGTGCTGCTATACTACTATTTATAGATGATGCACATATATATATGTATATGTATATATGTATATGCCATGCATGCATGAATGCGTATGTGATGTAAAAAAATGGAAATATAATGAAATCAAAACTTACCTGAAGGAGGATGGATGTCTCTCTGGCATAGAGTAAATAAGAATAAATCTTTGCAATCAATCCTCTTGTTTATCTCTTCTTTTTGATCCTTTGGAAACTGGGTTTCATCGGCTGGCTCGGCGCCGCAACTTGCTCGCCGGTTTCTACCAGATACGGTGTCAGTGGCTTCTTGTATGACGTACATAAATGATCAGAAGAGATACTAGTTGATGAGAGAATGGGAGAGGTTGTCTTTCTTTTAAGCTGTCTGGGGACTTCTAGTCTCTCGAGGATTCTAGAAGTTTTTTCATCCAGCTGGCGACTAGGTTGCGATGGCGAGGTAATTGGTTGGTCCTGTTTTGAGTTGGAAAGGGATGTTGGGGAACGTATGCCACCGAGTTCGGTGACAATAAGCTGTTCCCATTCTTCTGCAAGAGAATTCGGGCTACTTTCGCTTTCGCCTAGATTGGTATCGAGTCGTGGGAGTTCATCTGTGGTTATTGTTGTCTGATTTGTAGGTTGAAGATTAGAAATTTGATGGCTTGAGCTTGATTCTGTGGCACCTTCTTTGCCTTTAGGACGTATTGCCCTGCAACATGAAAGCTTTGAAGATGCATATTGCTATATTGTTATGGAAGGATGAGACAATAAGTAGGAACATGATAAGCATATGCTCTCCCTATCTCTCAGAAACTATACGGAAATGAAGTCCAGAAATCGGCAGCTGTTAGGGTGCTGAATCAACATTCTAGTGACAACACATAACATATAAATAAACAATAATCATAATTAAGTAAACAACATGTAACTTATATCAATATTAATATTATACAAAGGCAACATATAAACCAACAACTAAGACAATAATTTGCACAGCATATGCCACCATTAAACTCAATACGTATCACATATTAGTCCAACACAAAACAGACACAGACGTACAATACAATACACAGTTTATGCTAATATAAAACAAATATACAGACAATGTATAATAAATAGACAGACAATACACAATTTATGCTACTATAATATAAATGAGAGAAGGTCACCGGCCCAATATTGTCAAGCTCCACCTTACTTCATCAAATATATTTTATATATCACATGTACATGTACATATACATACATTATATATAATTATATATATTCACATTTTACATATAATTATATATATATATCACTTTGGGGTAATGGGCAGGATGGGACTGGACAATGTTGGTGCCAGTGATCCGGTGCCAATAGAAATGCACCATATAAACCCACGACACAAAACAATCTACATATCCCATATTAATACAACAAGATATATAATATATAACTAATAGCACATAATCATTATTATAAACACATGTTATTTCAACAATTATGATATTCATAACGAGTCCAATAGAAACCCTTGGAAGGAACGGTAGGGAAACCTAGGGAAGAGAATTACCCGAACTGCAGGCTCTCTTTGACAAGCAAGTTCAGTTTTCGATGGAAACCTCTCTCGTAGTGGAAAGGATTGTAGTCACTAACCTCCATCTGAAAATGATAATTTGAACTAAATGTTGATGAAACACAAACTCTAACGAATTTAAAAAGTGTTTTTAAGAATTTCAAAACATGAATTTGGTATATCAATCATCTTTTATATTCACTGGCACAAACAAGAATGGCATGAGTCAAAGAGCATTTAGTCAGCATCTATATCTTGAAAGGCATATTATGAAGTTTAATCAACATCCAAAATGCACATAATATATAAACAGAGAGATGAATGAATTCAACCTTTAGCAAAGAGGATTGGACAGTGTTTTCAATCTCTTCAGCTACAACTGAGCTAGTGAGGTGGCTGACAACTGGAATAGGCAAAAACTCCTCTGAAGCTGAAAGCCTCTGAAATTTGTACAGTTATTATACACTAGAAGAGTAATATTCATAGGTGAGGAGGTATGGTAGCAGAGGATGGAAGAAAAGAGCAATCACCCTGAGAAGCATTAAGCCTCCGTCCGAAGGTAGAAGAAGATAATAGCACCGGAGGGAAGTCACACTTGCAGTTTCGACATTACAATTAGAATAGCATACCAACCCTTGATCAACGGAATTTAGAACATTGCACACCACTTGAAATACTGTGAAACACCCATTTAAGTAATTACATCCGTTTGAAGATGATCAAAATTTGTCAATACTCAATACTATCAATGCACACGGGATAAATACATATCTACATACCTTGATTGTTTAGCTCTGGTTTGTTAATTGAAGCGTTCCCGTAGGAAGTTGATGGTGTAACAAAATAGGTGCCACCCATTATCAACCCTGTCCAGACAGGTTTAACAGAACAAAAGAAGCACTTATATAATTGGTTTCATTTCTAGCAAATTTCTAAGAATTAGGGATGTATAATTTGTATTGTAGAGATTGAACTACTATGCAGCAAGTTCAGATATAAGATATAATTACAAAGGACCTTCAGAGATGAATGCTAAGTTCAATGCACATTAAGGTACAAATATTAGAGCATGAACCAACCTAATACAAATCAATGCTTGCAAAAAATATGGGAAGTTCAATGCAAAAAGAAAAACAAACATATAAAGATGTGCGTAGTTTTAAAGATGTACCTTCACTTAGAGATGTTAAGTTGGTCCTACAAATGACATTGAACTCAATAGGTGAAGAGAGTTGATTCTGCTCTGAACTGTTGTGGAAAGAGGGCATATGTAGTATTGTTTGTTTGCCAACCCTGATGGAATTCTCAAATATATCCAAAGCTCCAAGTTTATTCTTGTTTACTGGACAAGAAGAAGATATAATCTGATTCATATGTGAACTATCCAATGGAATTCCATGACATCTGCATGTCTGATTAAAAAGAGGATAACTGCTGTGAAAATGATTCATGCTCACTGTTAAATCAGTGCTCTGAAAAAAAAAAAAAACAATAAAAATAAAAATGTGATTCTTAATTCAACAGTACAGTTTATCCTCATGATGTTCATTAATGCATTATCTAGAGCATGAATAAATTTTATCAGTCTGATCTGTTAAACAGATTATACCAACTGATGGTCATAGAATGAACAAATCCCAAACATCATCTACTTTGTGGCACAATTCTTAAATAAACGCGCAACCATTTGATAGAAAATGTATTTTCAGCAATCTATATTCTATAATGATCCTTGTGCTTATAGTTTATTGGAGACTTCCCCAATATTTTCAATGGAAGGGCATGTATATGCCAACAAGTAATTTAGTGCAAGTTGGAAAAATGAATAATATACATGCTTATAGAAACAAACGAAGCAAAGGTTTTTGGCATATACTATAAAGGTTTTTGGCATATACTAAGAGAAAATGTGCACAAGATTTGAGGATCCTAGAGGAGTGCCTATAGAAACAAACGAAGCAAAGGTTTTTGTGCAACATATAGTTTCTCGGTAATCATAAGAAGATACCTGACAAGATATGAATTCATCAGGTATGGGATGGAAAGAAGAATACAAGTTACAGGATATCCAGTTTAGAGCGCCGAATAAAGTTGCCTTGAAGACAAAACGAGCTTGTAATGGTTCTTCCTCGTCATCTTTTAATTCCAGAAACCATCTTTTTGCAAGACCATAGAGCGCATGCAGATCTGTGCATGTAATTTAAGCAATCATCTCATGTTTTGAATGAAGAACAATGTACAAAAAAGCAGATACCATAAATTTTTTTCACATATTTAACAACTGTGCTCAACTAGGAAAACATGTCTGAAATGAGCAGTTTTTAAGAGATGCAATCTGCTTTGCGAAGTGGTTGATATTTTCAGAATTGTCACCAGTAAGACTTGAGGTTTGCTTCAACAGAATAAAGTCCACCATGACACATTTTTCACCTGCATCCTGTCAAGAAGGCAAACATCATCATGATATTGTGTGATTGTGAAATATAGTATTCAAGACTGACATTCTGAACAGCTGTGTGAATTGTCTCACCACTAGAGCCTTCATTGTTGTAGATTCCATGGTGCCAATGCAACAACTGCTTATCAAAATCACTTTTCTGGAAACACTTTTATCATTGTCTCCCCAATTGTACACACTTTTTCCACTCAGAAAATCGGCCAGCTTCTCATCTGAAACAAAGTTTAACATAAATATATTTGATCCACTTGCTTTGCCCTTTGCAGTTAAATGCAGAGCTTGTGCTTATCTTCTGTGTATTCATCATGGAACTTACATAGAATTCCAGGATCATAGGATTCAGGACAGAAAACATCAGTGGGCAGATTGTTCAGAGCATGGTGAAGATCACGAAGGTTGAAGTTTCCATGCGGGTTGTATGCAATCTTCAGCTGTTTTCGAGTGAAACTTTCCATCTTTTAGCTTCTATAACAAGTCATCAATCTATCCTTTGGAGTTATATTGGACAGCAAAACCTATCAGTTAATTTAGGGCTGTGGTGGTTGTCGTCCCCAACCACCATTAGCCCGTGGTCGTGTCTGTGCTTTCAATATTATTTTCCTAACTCCAATCTAATACTCAAATCTAATAGTATTTTGTATACTGTTCCTCACTACAGTGAGTTTGATCTGCTAAATCATTTTCTCAACCACAACATTCAATAGTCCAACTTCATTATTAAATTGTTTTTTGGTCATCTCATCAACAATAAGAAATGCGACTTCATAAGTAGCTACGTAGAACAGTTGGTCATCAATACCTCATCAGAACAAGAAATGCGATTTCGGAATATGTAGCAAAGTCCGATACGATCATGTACAAACTTCGTCTTTGATTGAGCTACAGCGGAAGTACAATCCCCATCCTGAAACATAATTGCGTAGTAGTTCGCAAGATGAAGTAACACCTGGAACAGACGAAACCAAATGCAAGCATACTTCACTTAACTGAATAATATCTTCAAATCACAACGGAACAGTTTAAAAAACGCAATCCACGAAATCGACATAGTGCCGTCAAATTTCATCAAATTGAGAGAACGCACGCGTATACCTGCTTCAAGTCGCGAAGATTTGGAGGCGATATGCTCCGCAAATCCAATAAAAAGCAAAGGAACACCATAGATCTTATTGTTCTTCTCTGCTTTTGGATTCACGAAATTTCTCTGCTCACAGCGGAGAGTAGAGAATACCTATACGAGCAAAAGCTTTTTCTCTTGCGTTTTGGCGCGCTCAATTTATATCCATAAATATTTAAGTATGTACACGCGCACATTTTTCCCTCATAAATAAACTATTCAGTATAAATTAGAATTTTATTTTAAATTTAATTTAATTTATTATTTTTATTTTATTTTATTTTTTATGTTGTGGGAATCCACCATCATAGACAGATGACTTAAGTCATCAGAGGTGACAAGTCTAATCCGCCCCCACAATTTATTCAATGAAATATGATATTTTATTTTATTTAAAAATATACCTACTAGTGCTAGTGCTACTTCGACTCAATGAAATTTTTTATTATTTTTATTTATTCAATTTAAAAATATTTATTTATATTTTTTTAAAATAATACAATAATTATATTTAACTGTCAATATATCTTTTATTTTTATAATAATTTTTTGTATTTTTAAAAATAACAATATTAAAATTATTTTATATATGTGCAAAATGACTGTCAAGTTATTAAAATATGACATTATTAATCGTGTAATTGTGATGTGGTTCATTCGATATATTTATATATGTTACAGTAGAATAGAACTTACAATATATATTATAGTTAAAAAATAATAATCTATAATTAATTTAGGGTGTGTTTGTTTGGGAAATTGGATTTAATTTCTACTATTCATCCCATTTCCCCTCCCCAAATATCAAATCAAACACCTATTTTTCATTTTTTTTATATTATACTAAAAATCAATTTTACATTCAAAACATCACATCAACACCTATTTATATCACATCGTACAACTATTTAAATTCAAAATTTTTACTATTCAAATCCCAACTCAAAATCCAAACCCCAAACAAACACACCCTTAGTTCATTCTGTATTTTTATTAAATATTAAAATTCAATACCTTATTTACAGGGCATTAGATTAGATCGAAAATTACATAATGCACTTGTCCAATAATGACGGGAGATTCCTACTATATAAAAAAAATTATATATATATATCTAAAATCCTTTAAATCATCAAAATATGATTTAGAAACAAATCAACAGAGCATATTATAACAAATTTTAAATTCAATTACAAAGTCACCAAGTCGAACATAAATTCTCTATATACAACACATGAAGAAATAAGTTAGAAATATTAAAATTAATAATAAAGGGAAAAAAAATCAATTTCTCATCAATTCTATATAGTATAATAAAAATTTTCACAAAACAAACAAATCAGCAGCCTCGTTGAAGTCCCGGCCCTTTAAGGACCTCAGCTTCTCCACCAACCTTTCTCTCCCATCGCGACCAAATAAATTCCCCGTAATGCTAAGAAGTCCCGGACTCTGGCTGTTGAGCACCGAAAACAGCGTGGCCTTCTCAAACCCAAAGTTGAAGCAGAAATGCAAAAGCCCTTTAGGGAACACGAACACGTCCCCTTCTTCTAGACGCTTCTGGAACACTCGGCTGCCGGAGTCCAAGAATCCGGCGACCACAACTCCGGCCGACACGTACACCATCTCGGCGGCGCGTGGGTGCGCGTGCGGCATGACAATTCCGTCCACGTCGATATCCGTACGGGCAGCCGACAGCCCGAGCGTGTTCAGCCCGGCGAACTCGGCGGCGGTGGCGACGGTGGTGGACGACCGGAAGAAACCGTTGGTGTCGCCGCCGCGGGACAGCAGCGTCGACTTGAAGTCCGACGGCGCCACGTCGGAAGGATCCTTGCAGGGAAGGCCGTTGATGAAGATCCTGGGATCTGCTGCGGTGGCGTTGGCCGCCGGGCAGGTGTCGTAGAGGTTGTCGGCGTCTCTGGCGGCGGCGGAGGCGATGATCAGAGCGCATGTTAGGAAGGTTAGTTTGGTCATTTTGACGATGCAAGAAATATTGCTGCCCTTACTGGTGTTCTTGTAGTAATAAGCATATAAAAGTGTATGTGTGGGGTGGGGTGGGGTGGGGTAGGGAGGGGGGTGCCTGTAGGCTTGGAGTTCACTTCACTTCACTATAGTGTTGCTTTGATGTATAAAAAAGGTGCATTGTTCGGTCAAGAAGAAAGTTGGGGTGCTGTTTTCTGTGTGTCTGTGTTGTGAGGTTGGCTGTCTTTTTATTTTTATTTTTATTTTTATTATTATTTTTTTATGTGAAAATCCAAATCTGCTATTGTGTATTGGTTAATTTTTAGGCAAATACAAAAATTGAAATTCAAGATTTTACTGTTACAAACAGTGGTGGGATTCGAATTCGAGACAGTCTAGGCTCGGATACTGTATCATATACTGAATGACCGTCTCACCTAAAAAAATGCAATTATTAATTATATATCTACAAACGACAGTTCCAACAAAATATAATTTTCTTATATTTTAATAAAAATAATTATACATTAATATTAAAATATTTTAAAATTTTATTTAAATTACAAATATATAATTATACGTACAATTAATTTATACATAAAATCATTTGAAATGAATGACATAATGTATAAATACATCTTCAATTTTGTCTACCGCGCATAATTCGTATTTTAACTGTATTTATATTATATTAGTGCTAATTTCCCCACATGAACCGGATTTTTATAGTACTAATATGATATTGTTGAATAATTTTAGTTTATATTGATAATATTCATTTATTTGTTGTGTTTGTGTGGAGTTTTCTACTAATTTTTTATTTATATTTTTTATTTTTATATTATACTAAAAATATTTTTTATATTAAAAATTATATTTATACTTATTTATATTATAATAAATAGTTATTAAAATTTAAATCTTTTATAATTAGATATCATATTAACAATATTTATATCACCACAAATAATTATTTAAATTTAAAATTTTACTGGTTTAAAATCCAAACTCAAGATCTTAACCCAAAAATAAACACAAGAATAAACTTATATATTTCATATAAAATATAAATATGATTTTATATAAAAAATTATATTATTTAAATAAAAAATTTATATATTTCTTTTTTTTTTTGTTGTAATCTAAATTTATTATTGTTTTTCTTTTTAATTAAAAAAAAAACTAATTTTACTTCTTTTTTTTAAACTCTAAAAAGTAAAAGTATATTTTATTTTATATTTTCAACCCAATTTTTCATACCATATATTAAAAATAATTTAATCTAGAACGAACAAAATCAATGTTTACAATTATTTTGATAATTAATAAGGTTCATCATATAAATAAAATTTTGAAAGTTTGGTATTTTTTGAAAAATAAAAAATTACGTATTTAATTAGTATATATTTTATGAAAGAAATATTTAATCTAACATTGTGAATAAAAAAAGTAATTATATAAAAAAATATTTTATTAATTGTATCAAAATTCTAAAAAAACTATGAGTGTGTTTGATTTGTATTTGAGATACAAGTTAATATTGTATAATTCATAAAAATACATTTTATTTTTTATTTTACAAAATATCAAATAAAAAATATTATCTTAATTAAAAACTTAATATACATTTTAAATTAAAATCAATCCCAAGCAAACCCAATGTAGACTATATTTACTTTAGTGTGGAATGTGACATGACAAGAACCAAATTTGTATACTCCAGAAAAGTTTGTCCACTTTCAAGATAAAATAATTTGCCCCAAATAAGTAGACACAGATATTTCAGACAGTATGCAGTATTTTATTTGGATATGCAAAGTCAAATATTATCTTTATCTATTTTATCCACACAAAAAAAGTTCTATCTTTACTCGCCTGTAAATTTTATTTTAAATCTTTTTATCATTTTTTTTCCTTCTTATTTTTAAAATTGACAATGATTGTCTATGTTCATCGATCTTTGTGCAACCACGTTTTGTTTTTTTTTTTTTTTTTTGTTTTTTTTGTTTTGTTTTGTTTTTAATTTGTTTTTAATTTTTTTTTATTGTGTTTGGTTTATGTTTATATAATAGTTGTTGGGTATGTGATTGACTTGTGTATTACAATTTTTTTTATAATATTATAAATGAATAAACATAATATATTTTTATAAATAATACTAATAAATTTTGTAAAATTTAAAATCAAAGCCATTTAAAATTTACTTCAATCACAAGATAACAAAATTAATAATTAGCAATATGAATATCAAAATAGTTTTTCTTTTTTCACTTCAAATACATCTCACTTCAAAATAATACTCCATCTATCCGTCCTTAATCAAATATGGGTGGTTTAGGATTTTGTAAAAAATTAAAAAATAATAGTATTTTATTAGTAATTGTATAGGTAATGATATATTTGTGATTTAAGTAAAAGTTATGAGTGTTTTGGTATTAATGTATGATTATTTTTTATAAAATAGGAAATTGATATTTTGAAGTAGAATAGACGAAAATGATAAAAATAATACTTTTAATTATGACGGAAAGAGTATATTTAATGAATCTTTTTTTTGTAAAAAAAATTATACAATAAGATGACAACATATATTTTTATTTAAATTTATATTATCGTGCAATACAATATTTAGCAAATCGAATATACCTATATTTCAACTAAATTCGATCGTATTCGATCTTGTTTTATACACATCGGTAACGGTTATGTCAGTAAAATTCATTAAACGAGTGACGACAAAGTTGATATTGATATTGCATTGATTTTTTTTTTTTTTTAAGTACCAAATTAATTGAGTACTAAAATTATTTTTTTTAAACCTTATTTTTAAAAAATGATTAGATGTTAAAAATAGAGGAAGTATTGTCATTAAATAAGCTACCATTAACATTAGTACACTGGAAGATGACCTGGCAATTTAGCTACTGATTCCACACGTCGTATTCTGATTGGATATTCAATCCACGTGGCAAGAAGACGCGTCACTGATTCTAATGTCCTCTGTCCTATATGTAATAACCAATTCGTTCTTTGTTAATTAAGTACATACGGAGTAACGAGGACGGACAGGACCAACGGGGTAGTGGCATTTTTGTAATTTTGTAAAATTTTGGGGGTGAATGTTTAGTCACGCGTATCAGCGGCCGTCCCTGTATAAATAGCGAAATGTTTCATTCTCGTCACATCTCGATCCGCCGTCCGAAGAAGAGCGCATCGTCTGCATCTCCGCTGCTAATTGAGAACGAAGAAGTGTCAAATTTGATTTGATGTTCGATTGTTGATGAAATCAGCGTAGTTGAAGCGAGTATCGAATTGATTTCGACCTCCAACGCTCTTCAATCGGCTTGAGGATCGAGTTTATCGAAGTTTCTTTTTGGTGATTTGTAGGTATAATTTTTCAGATCTCGATTATTTCAAAGTGCTGTTAGTAATGCATGTCTCTGATTTCGTGCAATTGAGACAATCTGAATTGGCTTGTTGTGTATCTGTGTGAGATTGTTCTGATCGTTGATGCTTGAGCTTCAGATCTCTTCGGTGACATTTTTCGTTAATCTCTCTGTGTGTTTGCATGTGTTTAGCTTCTTGTGTATGTTGAATATTTCCGGTGCTGTTATAGGATCTGTGTATTTAACTTTTGCATCCTGCATCGCGCTGCTTCAGCTGAACTGTGATTTACCGCTTCTACTTATTGTTAAAGCACGGATTATGTTGTTAGACAATCAAATATGCCTAAATTGACAAGAGGGTAAATGAGCCGGGTTAGTTTTCTTGTGCGATGAATTATGAGTTAGCAAGGGTTTTAGTCTTCTAAATATTTAGCATAGATCGATCTGTGAATTTGTGCTTTTTTCTCTTAGTCGGCTTCGTAGTGTATATTAGTTACATATTAAAGTTACAATCTTTTTTCCATGTGAATTAGTTTAGCATTAAAGGTTTGATCTTGTTATCACTTTTGTCGTATTCGGCGATTTCGAGAATAAATATGTTACCTTTTTAACCAGTCTCCTTTTGATCATACAGTTTGTCGCCCTGTGAATGAATAAGCTCTTTGTACCCACTACATTTCAGGTTGAGAAGGTTTAGTTACGAATTATTGATTATTTGTCTCTATGATGTTGCAGTTAAAATGTCGTGGTTGAGGGGAACTGTTAAAGCTGTTCCTTCTGGGGACTCCTTGGTCATAATGGGGAATTCCAAGTCTGCGATTCCTCCAGAGAAGACTATCACTCTGTCATCTCTAATGGCTCCTAAGCTGGTATATTTAGTCAATCTGAATTGTTTGTTTGCGGCTTCATGCTTCCTAACTAATTTGTTTGGAATTAGGTAAAGATTCTTTGAATGGCTTGGATTTCGTGCTTGAGTTCTTGTTTTACCTACTGTTGTTACCTGCGCACGTGCGCTTTTCACCAGCACGACTGAATTTGTTATAACTTTTCAGATGCCTTGATATTGGAAGTATAGAGTGGCCAATCATTTAATTTATGCGCATCATATTTATTGTGATACGGCGTTGTTTGGAGTGTTCACTTAAATGTCGTTTTTGTACTTGAACCTATGCATATGAAGCTAAGCCTTTTTTATGCCCCGTTTTGGTTGTTTCTGTGTTGCTAACTTTTCCATTTCGCATATGTAGGCCCCGCGCAGAGGTGGCTTGGACGAACCATTTGCATGGGACAGCAGAGAGTTTTTAAGGAAGTTATGCATTGGAAAGGTGTGAAATTGACTTAGTTATACAGAAATGGATACCTCCATGTCCTTTTATATGCTTTGTATGTTAATATCGAGCTTGAAATTGTCCCTATACATTTTAGGAGGTGACATTCAAAGTGGATTACACTGTACCATCGATCAACAGAGAATTTGGCACTGTTATGCTCGGTGAAAAGAATGTAGCTTTGCTTGTTGTTGCTGCAGGCTGGGCGAAGGTTTTTCAATATTCATTTTTTCATTTTAACTGCAAATGATTCTCTTAGGGTCTCGCTTCACATTACATATTTTTCTCTTTATCCCATTATATTAAAGGTTAGAGAACAAGGTCAACAAAAAGGAGAAGCCAGTCCTTTCTTAGCTGATTTGCTGCGTCTTGAGGAACAGGCCAAGATGCAAGGCATTGGTCGTTGGGACAGGGTTTGTAATTTAATTTTCTTAATGATTTTTCCTCCATCAACCAAAGATGTTTGTGCATTAATTACCATAAGTTTTGTTCATGATGGCAATTGGTAGATAATTTTGTCTTGGGGTGTATGTTAGTATTCACTATATACTTTGCCGGTGAGAATTAAATAATAGCCATTTCTTGTTTTTGCTGCATCCAGACTCCAGGTGCTGCTGAAGGTTCCATTAGGAACTTACCTCCTTCAGCAGTTAGTGATCCAAGTAATTTTAATGCTGTGGCTCTATTGTCTGCTAAAAGAGGTAGTCCTTTGGAGGCTATCGTGGACCAGGTTCGCGATGGGAGCACAGTTCGAGCTTATTTGCTTCCAGATTTTCAGTATGTGCAAGTTTTTGTTGCAGGGATTCAGGTACATTTATACACTTCTGCAAAAATTTTCTATTCATATGCTCTTATGGCCTCCATTTTAATACTAATACTTTATATTTGAAAATTCAAACCAGTCACCATCCCCTGGTAGAAGGGCTGCACCAGAAGTTGCTGTTGTTGGGGCTGAAACAGCTTCTACTGAACAAAATGGAGATTCGACCGCTGAAGCTCGTGCTCCTCTAACAACGGCACAGAGAATTGCTGCTTCTTCAGCAAACATGGTTGAAGTTCCTCCAGAACCATTTGGGAAGGAAGCCAAACATTTCACAGAGACTCGGGTGTTGCACAGAGATGTATGGTTTTGTTGTAAGCATTGAGGTTTTTGCTTGGATATGCTCAGGTCTAGATGATATTTATTTTGTTGCTGCAGGTCAGGATTGTGTTGGAAGGGGTCGACAAATTCAGCAATCTGACTGGTTCAGTGTATTATCCTGATGGCGACTCTGCAAAAGACTTGGCATTGGAGCTCGTTGAAAATGTAAGTGATCCACAATCTATTACCATGGTCTCAATTGAACTTGCAAATCGTGACGGATAATGCTTGGATGGCATGCTTAGTTTATGACACTGGATTAGTCTGTTAGTACTCTTTTCCCCTTCTTGGTTAGTGTTTCTCTGGATTGGAATTATTGACAATAAATGTGGCTTTTTTAAAAATAAAAAATAAAAAATCTTTGTTTTGTTTTCCATATTTGTTCTTATCAGTGTTTTGTGCAACAATCTTGTGGTATATTAGTTGCTATTTGATATTTCCATGTGTGAAATGTTGACCAAGATATTATTGAATTCATCAATGCTACTTCATTATAGGGTCTGGCTAAATATGTTGAATGGAGTGCAAGCTTGCTTGAAGAAGATGTCAGGCGAAAGCTAAAGAATGCTGAACTGCAAGCAAAAAAGACTCGGCTAAGAACTTGGACTAATTACGTCCCCCCTGTAACAAACTCAAAGGCTATTCATGACCAGAACTTTACAGGAAAAGTATGACATTATTCTGTTTTCATCGATCTTTTAGTTTTATTTTCTTCATTTCTCACAATTGTACTTTTGAACACTAATCAGGTCATTGAAGTTGTAAGCGCTGATTGTGTTATCGTTGCTGACGACTCCTTACCGTTCGGAGATCCATCTGCCGAGAGACGAGTTAATCTCTCAAGCATTAGAGGTCCGAAAATGGGTAATCCGCGTAGAGACCAGAAGCCTGATCCCTATGCACGTGAGGCTAAGGAATTCCTCAGAACCCGCTTGATTGGCCGTCAGGTATGTTTATCAATTTCCACTAATTTTATTTCCTGTGATAAAAAAATGTTTTACCTCTTACACGAAACGAATATCTATTCAGGTGAATGTAAATATGGAGTACTCTAGGAAGGTTCCCTTGGCAGATGGGGCAACTGGTGCATCTGCCTCTGCTGCTGATTCAAGGGTGATGGATTTCGGATCCGTCTTCCTTGTTAACCCGACTAAGGATGGGGACGATGCTACTTCTGGAGCTACCCAGCAGCCGGGGGCAAATATCGCCGAACTTTTAGTTGCTCGTGGCTATGCTACTGTTGTCAGGCACCGAGATTTTGAGGAGAGGTCGAATTATTATGATGCCTTACTGTCTGCTGAATCACGAGCAATTTCTGGGAAGAAGGGTATGCATTCTGCCAAGGACCCTCCTGTGAGGCACGTAACAGATCTGACAACGGTAATAACCATCGTGTCTTTGATTATTGTTTAGATTTTTGTTTTGTGTGAACTCATCGACTGTGTTTTGAACATCTATAAGGCTCCTGCGAAGAAAGCAAAGGACTTTCTACCATTTTTGCAACGCAATAGGAGGATGCCTGCTGTCGTCGAGTACGTCTTGAGTGGACATCGATTCAAATTGGATATTCCTAAGGCGACGTGCAGTATTGCTTTCTCATTGTCTGGGGTTAGATGCCCCGGCCGAGGTGAGCCGTATTCGGAGGAGGCCATTGCATTTATGAGGCGGAAAATAATGCAGAGGGATGTCGAGGTATTAATTTGTGTCGTGTAATTTCTTTACCTTCTTCATACTTGTAGCCTGTGTGGAACTTTTAGTCTTTACTCGTGCACAGATTGAAGTGGAAACTGCGGATAGAACTGGAACGTTCTTGGGAACTTTATGGGAGTCGAGGACAAATGCTTCGATACCTCTTCTGGAAGCTGGTCTTGCTAAGCTCCAAACTTCATTCGGTATTGATAGGGTCCCGGATGCTCATCTTCTTGTTCAAGCCGAGCAGTCTGCAAGACAGAAGAAGTTGAAAGTTTGTAACGACCCTTTTGTTATAGTTACACTCCCGTCTTTTTTCCTTACAGCCTTCTTTTATTCACACATTTCATCACAGATTTGGGAGAATTTTGTGGAGGGAGAGGAGGTTTCTAATGGCTCGACTGTCGAAAGGAAACAGAAAGAGGAGATGAAGGTATGCCGATCATCTGGAGTTCCTACACTGTATGTATGTTTTGCTCTGTCGTTTTTTTAGAGTAATAATCGACGATTCTGCACTTTCTCCAGATCGTAGTAACTGAAATCTTGGGAGGCGGTAAATTCTACGTTCAGTCGGTTTCTGATCAAAAAGTTGCCTCGATTCAAAAGCAGCTCGCGTCTTTAAGCCTTCAAGACGCTCCCGTTATCGGGACGTTCAATCCCCGAAAGGGAGATATTGTTCTAGCTCAGTTTAGCGCCGACAAATCCTGGAACCGCGCAATGGTAAGTGATCATCCATTAATTTAATTTTTCTATTCATCATACGGTGTTAATTTCTTGCGAATTTTATTTCGAAAAAGATCGTGAACACTCCACGCGGGCCTGTCCAATCCGAAAACGACACGTTTGAGGTGTTCTACATCGACTATGGGAATCAAGAAGTCGTCCCTTACAGCATGCTCCGCCCGATCGACCCTTCCGTCTCGTCGGCCACCGGCCTCGCACAGCTTTGCAGCCTGGCGTATCTCAAAGTCCCGGGTTTAGAAGACGACTACGGCCAAGAAGCTGCGTACCGCATGAGCGATCTCCTCTTAGGGAAAGAATACAAAGCTGTCGTCGAAGAAAAAGACACATCTGCCGGAAAAGTTAAAGGACAGGGAACCGGGACTGTCTTTATGGTCACTTTGATCGCACCGGAAGCTGAATTGAGCATAAACTCGATTTTACTACAGGTTACCGTTTATTCGATTCGTATGTTCTTCGTTCTTTCGAAATTCGTCTAATATTGATTCGGGATTTTAAATTATTTCAAATTATTTCAGGAGGGACTTGCTCGATTGGAGAAGAAACGACGATTTGAGCCGAGAGATCGGCTGCAAAGCCTGGAGGAGTTGGAGGCGTTCCAGAAGGAGGCTCGGGTGAAGAGGTACGGAATGTGGGAGTATGGTGACATCGCGTCGGACGATGAGGAGGCGCCTCCGGCGCGGAAAGCTGCCGGAAAGCGGTGAACGCTACCGGAAATCGGAGTGTTGGTTTCCATGTGTACTGATGGATGCTCTACTACAAGAGGTAAGTGAAAACTATGAGAGGCTAAAAGTTGTTCTAATGTGTTTTTATTTATGTAACTTTAAAAACTTTGGTGGTTTGATTAGGTGGTGAGGGAACCAATTTTGTTTGAGACTTTTATTTTTATTTTTATTTTTATTTGAGGTGACATTGACAATAATATCAATAATCATAACAATAATAATAATATTAATAGTAATGATAATAATAGGATTTGGGGACCAATGTGCTTTTCAGTTTTCTTGATTGTTTGTGGTTCATATGCTTATTGAATAATTTTTTATAAATCGTGCAATACTTTTATTTATGTATAGTTGAATGATTAGCAAAATTTGTGGTTTAAAAAATGTTAGTTGATAATGTTGTTGTCGTGCACTTAGGTTTTGTTTAGATATGTGTTTGGGGTTTTTTAAAAATGTTGGAATTTGATATATATATATATTATATATTTTAGAACATTAAATAGAATTTAAGGCCCTACTAACTTTTGATAATGTTCAGCAATAGTACTTTTTCAAAAAAAATATAATATTAAACAACTTTTGTACAGTTTTAATTAAAAAATATTAATATATTACATACTTCTTATTTTTATATTATTTATATAATTTTTTTACAGGTACAACTTGTTTTATTACTTATATTAATACATAAATTTTGGTCTCCATTTTTTTTATGTATAGTGTGGTCCGCAATTAATCATTATAATTATCTTCCTTATATATGGGTATGTATAAATACGTACTCCCTCCGTCCCAGTTTTATTTACTATTTTTGTCCGTCTCAAAACAATAGTTTTATTTTTATAAATAATCATATCACTGTAAAACTATCGTTACTTTTTTATTATATTACACTAATATATTTACAAGGCAAAAATGTCTTTTATCTATACTTTTTACCCACTATCAATATAATATTAATATTTTTTAAATCTCGTGTCCAATACAACTAACAGTATAGTTCCTAGTTCCGGACGGAAGAAGTATAATTTATGATTAAATAGTTTATTTGTTAATTTTCTAACCCAACGTTACATCCAACCATTCCAAAAAATAGATATGCAGAATGGCATTACTTACAGGATTGCAATGTGGTGGTGGGTTCGAGACATTTTTTATAGGCCCAACATACGAGTTGCAAAAAATAAAATAAAATACTTCTCTAAAAGTCTTAAGAATTTATAATAAATTAATAAAATAAATTTACATAATACAAAAATATTCATACTAAATTTAGTGGAGACGAGATTGTATAGTGTAAATAATGTTTTAATAAATAGAAAAAAAAAATTGAAAATTAAGATAGATAAAATTTAATTAATTAATTGACCATTTTAGTCAGAATAATTCCAAATGATAGATACTGTTCAAATGAAACAAGGCGATAAAATCCATAACTTTGTGTCAATATAAAATTATAAAGAGCAAATTTGTTGGAAAAATAAAAAATAAAAAAATCTCTATTTTCGAGTCCAAGGAGAGAGAAATAAGAGTATGAAAAAATACACAAAAAAAATGTGTATACTCAAGTGGGTCAATTGTCGTGTCTCTGTAAATGCTTTATTGTAATTTTATATTTTAATTTTTAAATTAAATTAAAATAATTAATTTCTAACTTCAATTTTAATTATTTTTATTAAAATATTTTTTAATTATCTATTAGTAATAAATAAATTTTAATTTTTAATTATCTTTACTAATAATTTTTTAATTATTTACTAATGATATCAAGTTAGTAAATTCTTCCTTCAAAATTTCTCATCTTAACCAAAATCCAGACCGTATATCATCGTCATCATCATCATCTCCTCAAACAAACTATTTAACGCAAGAAAAGTTTCCTTCTTCAAAACATCTCAATTTAACCAAAATCCAGATTCTACTGTGTACCATATCCCAACCTCAATCAATTAGGCCTCCTTACACAAAAACGTGAAATTTTCAAAAAAAAAAAAAAAAAATTGAATCCCAACCACGAACCCGTTATCGAGCCCCTCAGTATCAGCCACAGTCAGTTATTCACGCCTCACATTCCTCCGTCGGGCTGGAGCTGCAGCAGCATCGTCATCATCGTCCACATTTTTCTCCTCAGAGCCCTCTGCTGCAGCAGCATCATCATCGTCTGCTTTCTTAACCTCTGCCTTCACAGTCGCCTGAAATTCAATCGAACCTCGTCATACAAGCAACTACCATGATGGATTAAGCGAATCAGTTTCGTATATTTATGTATATATATACTCACAGTCTTCCTTTTTCCGCCGAATATAAGCTTAAACAAGACGGTGAATACAACAACGACAATGGAGACGAGGACTCCGATTGTAATGTTCGGCTGCTTCTCCGCCTTTCCAATCAAGTCCTGCATCCGAAAGAAACAATGGAGTCAGTCAACAACTAAAGATGAATGAATGGATCGGATTATAATTCGAGAAAATGTCGGTTACCAAGATCTGTTCATTGTGCTTCTCCAAGAACGGGAGGTTGGCGACCTTGTACAAGTAGTCGAACACCACTTTCTGTCGACACAACGAAGCATTACCACATTTGGAATCGCGAAAAGTATCGAAATAATTCGAGGCTTATTTAAGTTCATACCTTGGCACCGGTGAGGACGCTGGGACTGGATGATTCTTGCTCCTTCTTCCATTTCTCCTCCTCAATCTTGAACTTCGATTTCCACGCTGTCTCGACGTACGACTCCGCAACCTTCTCGTTCGTGGCGATCAAAACATTGTCGAAAAGGATGCCGTCTTGCATTGTCCAGATTTCAATCCCGACAGCTGCAATGGGCTCAAAGTCCGGCTTGTCAAGCTCAAAGTACTCGGGGTTGTCGATCTCCCGAGGCTTCCAAATACCCTTGAAATTGGGGTTGTCGATGAGCGGCGCGTGCCATTTCCCTTTGTAAGCAGGATTGCTCTTCATCGGTTTCTTCCACTCGCCGCATCCCGGAGCCTCCAGGCATTTCGGGTTGTCGATTTTCGGCGCCTCCCACTCTCCGTCTTCTTCATCGTCCCAATCCTCGGGTTTTGTCGCCTCAGGATCATCGATCTCTTCAGGCTCGTCGTCCAACCACCCCTCGGGCTTCACAGCTTCTTCGTCCACAATTTCCATGGGGGCATCCTCGTCCCAGTCGTCCGGCTTTTTGGCATCCGGGTCGGGGATTTTTTCCCTCTCATCCCAATCTTCGGGTTTCTTGTCCTCCGGGTCGGGGATTGTCTTAGGCGGGATGATCGGAGGATCGAAGTCGGTTTCCGAGAGGAAGTTGGCTTTCTGCTTCTCCTCCCCATCGATCAAGATTCTCAGTTCGTTATCCGGTTTCAAAATGGCCGTGTAGACGTGCGTCAGTTTGTCTGAAGGTACGGATGGGGGAAACTTGAGGTGATGCTCAACAAACTTTCCGCTCTTCGGGTTCTTGTGCTTCAAGATGAAATGAACCTTGTTGGTGGCACCACATTTATCGGGGCCAAACATGATGGTGTATGGTGACTCGTTATCGAATTCTTCCGGGATCCATCCAGCTTCCTGAGGCCGGAGGTACTTGAGATAAGCACCGCCGCATTCAAGGCCGTTTTGAAGGCGGACCTCGTACTGAAGAACGACAGTTTTGTCTTTGAGCTTAACAGGCTCATCGAGTTCCTTCACAATAGCGTACTTCCTGGCTTGCTCGCTTACAAGAAGGCCATAGTCGTCGTGCCCCTCGCTCTTCTCACGCTTCCATACACCTGAGATCCCCGAATAAGAGTAAACGTCATATAATCGACGTTAAACATGCTCACATTATCAAGCTCCAGTATCTATAATCTCCTATATACTTCCTAAATAAAGACAGGACATCAAACATGATGCAAACTCCATCGATCGAGGTGGTGTGAATCCCAAAAACTACATCAAAAAGATTCCATTTACGGGCGATTGAATTTTTCAAGAACAATTTGAAGATCTTTGGTGAGATAATAGTTACAGAGTACTTGAATCCACATTCCACATGGCGATACAAATGCAAATTGCAGCAAAGGTTTCCATTAGCGAACCTTGAGATCTAGAATCAAAATTAATAGTATAAAAATGGTAGTAGAACTTAGGGATCCAGGTTCAATTTCAAGAGGTACATAGACATAACGTATCATACTCATGAATTCAATTCTGCGTAATAATAGGATCGATCATTTCCGGACCAAATATAGAAGCTACGGCTCATTAAGAACACACGCAACGCAACGTCCTAATCGCAACAGCATATTTGATACACACCTTTCTTTAAACAACGCCGGAGTAATAAATACTGAGATTATAACATCAACTTCTGGAGATAACACATACACTTGCATTAAATTAACAAGGACAGATGTGTATCAACTAGAAAATCCAAAGAATTATAGTAATAGATTCATCGCAATCGCAACCTACAATGATTTCAACAAAAAATTAAATAAAGGTTGATAAAAAACACAATATAATCCTAACCAGCATAATCCGGTTTCTGAGACACAATCCATCTTCCCTCGAAGCTCTCATCAAACGAATCGTACAGTTTCTGCCAGAACCAAAATCACAACACCACACATTCAATTAGAAAAAAATGAAAAAAAAAAAAAAAAAACCGCGACAGATCTAAACAAAAAAACCAAACAAAACAAAATTCGACTCTTTAAGAAAATCCACTCACGAACAAACGCAAAGATTACACAATCAACAAAAAAAAAAAAATCGACGTACCACATCATCATCGGAAGCGTGTATCTGAGAAGCAAAGCACGCGATCGACACCACCAAACACAACACTACTCCAATCCTCCGACTCGGAGTCCTCATTTCCCCAAAGCACGTGTCCAGGACCCAGAAAAATCGAATCTCTCAAAGCAATTGTTGAATCCGAAGGCTCTAGAGAGTGCAACAGTGGCGAACTGTCACAAACCGTATTTAGGTGTAACAGAGAGAATGGATCGATCATGAAATGGCAAGGCGGTGCAGCAAATATATATAGATCTGAGGAGCAAATGGACTCGTGTTGCTTCCACCAATAAGAATCGACGCCACGTGACCTGGACCAATAATATAGAGCCGCGTGGCAGCCTGTGACGAGCTCCTGCGTATGTATCGCTTTTTACTAAACCAAAATAACTCCACTCATTATTCACTTGGATTTGTTTTTATCTTATTTTAGTTATATATTTATTTAACACATTTCAATTTTTTTCCTATTTTAAAAATATCCTCATATATTACTTTGCCAGATCTATATTAGGATAATTATATTTACATTATTTTTATTTTGATTTTGATTTTTTTTTAAGAATGAAAATTAATAAAAATATACTTAATACTTTTTTTTAATAATATATAGGCTATGTTGAGATGAAGTTTTGAAATTTTAAAAATAGTTATTTACTATAATATTTCATAAATATATACTCCTATAATATTATATTTTTTTATAAAAAGTTTACTATTGATTATTAAAAAAAATATCTTGTATAATTGAGTCATATAATTCTTTCTAAGTTTACTAAAAGGGTAAAAAAGATTAAAAAGTCATTATTGAATATAAGTTAGATATAATTTTTAATAAAAATATATTCTTTTATTACTTTATTTTCTATTATTTAAATAAAAAAATTTAAATTCACAAACAAACCCATAAAGCATAATCATGAATGAAATAGGCCTGATCCACTTTCAATTTTACGGGCGAAATGAATTGAGCTGATCCAATATAATAAATTGGGTCTGAAGGTCATGAAATGAAATTGACCCGACCCAATTAACTATATGGGCCCAAAATGGATCAGTATAAATTGGGCCACCTCAGTAGATTTTTCGGCCCAATAACAGAGAATTAAACAAGCCGTCACCTGATTACTGCAGGGGAGGAGGTTATGGACAAGAAGGCGAGAGCACAGCAGAGAAGAGACAAGAGGCGAGAAGAGGTCTCTCTCCTCCGTGAAATTCCATATTCCGATCACCAGAGGTGAAGTTTTTGATCTATCTATGGTTGATCTTGGTACAAGCTATTTTTTGGAATATTTTGGATCAATTTCTTTAGCTGAAAGGATTGCAGTATGGGAATCTCGTTTCCTCGTGTTCATTCTCTGTGATTTCTTTGTGTGTCATTTGTTGAAAGGAAGTTTGTCTTCGAATCTTCTGATTGCTACGGATACAGGAATCTTTATTTAGGATGAATTGGAGTAGATTTAAGGATTGTAGAAATGGATAATGCGGTTTGTTATAGCATCTGTTGATCGAAAACTGTTCAAATTGCGAGTTTTTTGGATTGGAGGATCAATTTTTATTCTCTGTTTAGAGATTCACAACATAGCCTTTTCTTCTACGGATATCTTTACTAACTGGCTCCTTATATTTTTAGTAGCTGATTTTGGTTTCTAAATGATCTAAACTTCCGTAATACTAGGTGTTTAGTTTGGAGCCTTCTGGATTTTGTCTGCATTTGTTGCATTCATAGTGGAATTTCAATTAATAATTTGTTAACCTCAGATGGTGGAACACCAAAACCATTGCTGTTGTAACTGGTGCAAATAGAGGGATTGGATACGAGATTGCTCGCCAGCTTGCCGGCCATGGATTGACAGTCATTCTCACCTCAAGGGATGCCAGTGTTGGAGAAGCAGCTGCAAAGATCTTACAAGGACAAGGCTTGAGTGTGGTGTTCCATCAACTAGATATTGTGGTTCCTTCATCTGTCGAAGCACTTGCTAAATGGATAAAGGAAACTTATGGGGGAATAAATATATTGGTAAAGCTGCTTTTCTTGCCTATTCTATGCAAGTATCGATAATTTAAATTCTTTCGCCGTATCTTTTGCTCTTCCAGCTCGATTTCATGAATGAAAATAGTATTATAGGCACGGATGCTTACTCTTGCATATATTTCTCTGTTCTTTTGTGTGAATTGAATCGACGAAAAGACATGATCAGGGCTAAACAAATAAACCCTTCATTTGTGAACTACATTTGTTATAAAAACTATTTTTTTGTAGAACTATGTCACATATTATTCACAAACTGTTTTGATTGAGAACCATTTTTTTTAGGTTTGTGACTTAATTGAGTGCAAATGAAATTTTCAGGTAAACAACGCTGGAGTAAATTTCAATACGGGGCCAGACAATTCTGTGGAATTTGCAGAAAAAGTTATCACTACCAACTACTTCGGGACCAAGGACATGATCAAGGCCATGATCCCTCTTATGAGACCTTCAAATCCAGGTGCTCGGATTGTTAACGTGACTTCAAGATTGGGAAGGTTGAATGGCCGGCGAAATGTAAGAGGTTTCCTATTTAGTATCATCAATTCAATTTCCTATAAAAAATTACTACAAACTTTTACTGCATTGTGTAGAGAATCGGAAACATTGACTTGAGAAATAAACTCGAAGATGTTGAATTCCTATCCGAAGAATTCATTGACCAGGTGATGCATATGTTCTTAGAACAAGTTAAAGATGGTAGTTGGAAAGATAGTAAATGGCCTCAGGTTTATACAGACTACTCCTTGTCAAAACTAGCTGTTAATGCTTACACGAGGTTGATGGCAAGAGAATTGTCGGGACGGGCAGAAGGACATAAAATTTATGTCAACTGCTGCTGTCCGGGATGGGTCAAGACTGCCATGACGGGGTGGGCGGGGCACAGTAGCCCTGAGGAAGGGGCTGATACTGCAGTGTGGCTTGCCCTGATTCATGACCCATCGATAAGTGGCAAATTCTTCGCCGAGAGACGGGAGATTAATTTCTGAAGGTATGTATTGATGTTAAATGTTCATAGATTTTACCTCATTGCTGGTAAAAAGTTGTGTTGTTTTTCGGAGATTTGAAAATGGAGAGTAAATTTTGAAAGTAGTTTTATGAAATTTTGTTTAAACAGACTTATTTTTGTTTGAATATTAATTATTATATTTAATAAAAATTAAATAAAAATGATAAAAATATTTATATTAATGTCTTGTAATACAAATATAATATTATTTGTATAAAAATTTATACAAATATAATATTTTTAATATTAAATACAATTAAGTAAATGTACACACATTAAGCGGAGGGGGAGAGTATTATTTAAGTGATGTTTTGTCGGAATGAAATTGGTGAATAGTTTATATATATATATATATGCTAATTAAATAAGTTAAAAATATTTAAAATATCAACAATACTATTCATATAAAAAATAATAAAATAATATAGAATTTATAAGTTTTGGGCCCATACAAAAGTAGCCTGATGTTTGGATCAATATTAAATTATAGCCCATAAAATGATGGGCTGAAGCCCAAATTCAAATTAAGGTTTTCTGTTGTTAAATCAACTTTTGCAGGAAACCTCGTCTGTACCATATTTTATAGTATTATTTTTTTTAAAAAAAGAATTCGTACTTAATTTTTAATTAAATTAATTAATTGTTTCAATTTATAATTATTTATATATTATAAAATTTTTATTTTATTAATATAGTTTGAATTATTTATTAAATATTAATTATTTTGTTGTGACCGGACACGATAGCGAGGATGGGGGAGTATAATTTACCAATAAGGAGTCGAGGGTAAAATAGGAATAGGAGTGGCATTAGCAAATTCTGCCCTGTCATTAGCTGTAGGCGGCTGTATATAAAGTGCTTGGAGCTCAAGCCAAGGGTGAGTCTCCGCCATTCTTACAACCGAAGCTTTCGCCACAAGAAATTTCATACTTGCCCGCTCAGCTTTGCGAAGGCTATTCGTTGTATTTTTGCTGTGATTTCGGTAAGTGGTTATTCGATTGAAATTTCGATTGTAAGTAATTGGTCGTGCTTTCCGGATTTGTAAGCTCATGTTCGATGATTTTGACGCATCGGTTCTCTTTCCTGTTTATTATGCAAGCATATATAAAGAAAATAAATAATTGAGATATTGTTAGATGATGGTGGAATTGAGAATTTAACCTGTTGTGCCGGTGATTTATGTGGTAGTCTGTAGATAATTTCACCTGTTGTTATGTTTTCCGATGTTTTTTTTGCTTCCGAAACAAGACTTCCACTCGAGAGATTGATAGGTTCTAACTGTGTAGTTGTATTCATGTTTGTTGGAATGGAAGTTGCTTCTGTCGAAAGTTACCTCAAAGATGCGGCTTCAAGGAAGTTGTGATTGAATTGAGAGGAAATTTAGTTTGAAGTGATATTAAGCTGTGAGGCAATAGAAAATATGTGTATATGTATATATACATACGTATCTACATTTGATTCTTCCCAGTTAATATATATATGCTTTTGCTGTGTGTTGTGTTATCCATATTGTATTGGAAACCTATTTTTACGTTTCTTCACTTATGTAATTTACATGGTATTAGACCTCCTTTCGGATATAATTTTAACTACTCTTAGTATTGAATTAAATCATATATAAAGGGGCAAGTAGACTCTTTGATTGAAGACATGAGTGTTCTGGAGTAATTTCTGTTTGTGAGGTTGCCTTTGTATATCTATATGCCTGTCTGCTTTATTTCTGAATTGCAATTCTATATCTGTAACAGTAGAAAATTTCGACATTTTTGGAGGTTTCCTTCTTTTATGCCTTCTTTTGTTGCTTCTGCATTTTATTTGTTCATAGTTCATAGTTACTTTCATATTTCTGGGTGGAAAACTCTTTTGTTAAAAAGTTACTAACATAATACACTGGTAGAGTTTGTGTACGGAGATTTATGTTCTATTTATGCTCTAGAACAAACCAATACTTCAAAGTCTGGTATAACAGAATGTAATGCATCTACAATTGTGCTTTATTTGTATTTGGATTTTATTTTATTTCTTCATGAATGCCATGTTTCAAATGAAAAATATATGTTGAATGCAATATTTTGAATGAAATATACAACCCTGAAAGCAGAACAAACTCAACTCTTTTGAGTTATCAAGTCTATATGTGCAATCCTCTTTTTTATTAGGTATTAACTGTAAACTAATTTACTGGTTTCATCTTGTAGGCAATTTGTTGTGTCGATATTGAGCGGTGATTCTATTTCGCCTCCACCTATGGTGCGTTTCTAGTCTTGTAAAACTCCCTCTTTATAATGAGATGATAAATATTTGAGAAGGAAAATGCATCAATTGTAAATGTCCATTGCAGGCTACTAGAATTCTTGCTAACTTGATCGTCATGGGCTCTGGAATAATGGTGAGAGCATTTGTTCAAGCATATCGTCAAGCACTTGCAAGTAAGTTTTCCTAAAGCGTGTCGGACCGATTCAAAATCAGTTTAGGAATCCGGTGATCTTCTCGTAACTTGCAAGCATATGGTTATTTCAATATTGGAAGTAGATGGTTGATACAGCTAGACGATGATGATTATAAATTATTTAACGATATTTTGCAGATGCCTCAAAGAATGGCGTTGCACAAGAAGCAGTGCAAAACATCAGAAAAGGCAGCAAAGCAATGACGGAGTCAGAGGCAAGACAAATCCTCGGCATAACCGAGAACTCGACATGGGAAGAGACTCTGCAGGTTTTTAAACATTTGTTAATAAGTATCGAATCAAATGTGTAATAATCTATCCTAGTTCCTATCCTGTAAATATCATTACAATCTTGAAACTTTGATTCCTTGCAGAGGTACAACAACCTATTTGAGCAGAATGCTAAGAGCGGTAGCTTCTATCTCCAATCCAAAGTTCACAGAGCCAAAGAATGTCTAGAAAGCGTTCATCAACCAAATGTCAACTGAAATCGACCTACAATTTTCTCACAGCATCTCGTCCGAACATCTCATTGGTTCGTTTTTCTTACTACACTTTACTTCATCCTTTTGCTGGCAAAAGAAAAAAAAAAAGAAAAAGAAAAAAAAAGGTACATGGTAATCTATCTGTGGGAAAATAGATAGATTTTTGTTGCCATGCTCATTCATTATATATTATATATGTTGACATGACATGACATGACATGACATGCTCTTGGACAAAGGTAATCAAATAAGTATTTTGTTTGCCAATTGATCCTGTGTTGTAATAACAGATGATCTCTGAAGTTGCACCAGTAATATCCGAGATCCCAAAGCTACATTTTACCTGTGAGTATCAAATTGTTGGAGTCATTGGGATATGTGTTTGTTTGTAGTTTTTCTGAATAATACTATTCATTATATGGTATGGTTTGTTTGGTTATGATTTTAGTTTTTTATTTAAATTTTAATGTGATGATTTGTTATAGTAAATAATTAGCTTTTTAAGTCTAACATCAAATTGTACCTCTTCATTTTCTAGAGTTTAATTTTAATGTTTTTTCCACAATTCTATTATATATAAAGATATACTCTTCATCCCATTCGAAGTATTTATTTATTTATTTTTAATAAATTTAAAAAATAATGATTAATTAATTAATAGAGAAGTGGTATATTTGTCATTACAAATACCTAAAAATATAAATACAAATTAGTAGTATTTTAATATTTATATATGAATTATTTTTATTATAATAAAAAAATAGTAAAGAATAGTATTTTAGTATTTATATAAAAATTATTTTTATTATAATAAAAAGTAGATAGTTTTGAAGAATGAAACATTCCAAAATTTTCGTTCAAAATAGTAAGTTATTTTTTTCCAACAAAACGTCACATATAAGCAAAACTAATATTCAAATCAAAACACAAAATTGAACTCGAGAAAATAGAATAAAACTTTATAAACTACCGTACTATTCAAGTCAAAACACAAAATCAAGCTTGAAAAAATAGAATAAACTTTTTTTTTCCATTATTTAGACTAATAATGTCACACAACCCTAAAATGTGTCTATAAACTGCTGGAATTAAAAACATGGCTTACTAGAAGACCTTCAAAAAGCCTCTCCTCGCACTGAAATGTGTTATTTCAAAAACCAATCCATGCTACATAGTATTATCCTCCTTTCAGCTGCCAATATTCGATTCTCGGCTTCGAACAGCAGGCAAATTACCAGATCTAATTTGATAGATGAGGCCGCAAGAATCTCACCTTTAATGTGCTCACCAAAAAATAAATTATACAAACCGCACAAAAGGTTCGTCACATTTGAGCAGTCTTCTCAGCAACTTCTGGCTCCGGATTATGTTGATCCAGCTTAGCTTCTTGTGAATTTAAAATCTTTCCACCTGCTTTTGACGAATTTGAAATTTTTTCTGCTTCAGCTTTCTCGATTAAAGCTTGCCTTTGCATCGTCGCCATCATCTCCTTCATTGTTTGTTCCTCACCATCGAGCTGCATCTTCATAATAATTTCTGCTTCCTTGTCGAGTGGTTTGAAGTATTCCTCAATTGCTGCCTCCTGCATATTTAAATTAAAACCAAAATCATTCAGAAATAAAGTGACTGGTGACAAACAAAATATTCCTCTGTTTTTCTTTTCTTTTCTTTTTTTTGTTCGGAAAGATCAAAGTACCGAAGTAAAAATATATACAACTACACTGGGTATACCCGGGCAAAAGAAAGATCTAAATCAGTCTAAGCATGCCAAGAAGTGAAACAAAATATTCCTCTGATCTTATTAAAATGAATGGTTCTAGGCTAAATGCACCGAGGCTAGACTCAAAGGTTGCGCTCTTCCACGCCCAAAATAGTCGCGCTATACCCCAAAAATATTATCGAATAAATAAATATTAAAGTCAACAACTACACATGTATAATAAAAGTCAACAATGCAAACACACAAAATACTATTCCCTATATATATATATATATAAAAGACCATCACAATTCTCGGTATCAACAACAAAAACACTTATAAACAAGGAATAGCATAAACACAGCTATAATCCAATAACATTTAAAGATGTAAATGCGCATACACACACCGATATATATAGAATTATAGATATACATATAGAAGAAAGGAAAAAAATATTGAGCAAATTCCATAGCTCGAACATGATGACAACCATTTTTGAGCAGGAATATACATCCGACTGATCAGAGGGTTTGGATGAATTTGAGGCAAGATGAATGCAAGTTACATTTGCGTGCAGCTTATGTAATAAAACCCAGAGAACACAAAGGAGGTTATTAGCTATACAGCAACAGTTCAGGTCACAAGCATTTCATTAGTTTAAGGGGATCCAAAAGATTTGTTTCCCCGCTGATGCTAATACCATTTATATGATAAATAATGACTTGTTTAAGACTAAGCACAACATTGATCCAAAAGGTATAATATTATAATGCCATAAATCAGTGAATTCTTCGTACCAGGAAGGCAAAAAAATATGACAGTTTCATTCCATGGTTGGCATATTGGAACAAAGTAAGACTTACTGTTTCCTCCAATTTTTTATTCAAAGTCTGCATATCCTCGACCATCTTCCGTACTTCTGACAGAATTATTTGCTCGGGAACTTTTTTGAGCACATCTTTCTTTGCTTGTGCCTAGTGAAAGTGAGGAATTGGAAATAAGTGTCACATACTAGTGCAGAATAACATGAATCGAACTTAATCTAAAAAAAATGAATGAAATTAACAAAAAGACGTGTAAGATCAGAAGCAAATTGCATATAAAACAAGCAATCGGTAACTTGGGTAATGAAATTACTAGTCAGCCAGCTGCAGGCACTTCAATTCAGAAGCCAAAAACACACTCATGAAATTGAGAAGTTGCTTATCCACCTAAATTGATTATTGCTGTATGCCTCTGCACATCTCACAACATCTTCATGACAAATACGAAAGCGAATGTCCTGTCCAACATCACTTTAAGAACACTCCCATCAATTTCTTAAGTTCCTCCGCAATTCACAATTCTTCATTATTTAACAATTCTCAAAGTGAAAAGTAGCTTATCCAGCATAATTGATCCTTGTTGAACATTTCTGTACATTTTGCAATATCTCCATTGACAAAGACAAAAGCTAGTGTCTCCTAGAAACAGGATCAACATCAGTTTAAGGACCTTCCCACAGTTCTTCCCCAATTTACTATTCTTCATTATTTCTGTTGGAAGAAAATAGAGTAGCTTCTGAGACCAAAATCTCAATAAAAAAAAAAAATCACAAAACAACCGATCAAGTATGCTCAACAAGGCCTTCTTCTCTAACGTATTCACACGGTTCTGTTCTAAAGCATTTCTTCATTCGAGAAAATTCATCGTCATGCATAACCGTCGGAGGTAAAAGGATAACTGAATCACAAGTAAACACCAGGTCGATTCGACATACAGCTATTCGATCCAAACTGATGGAGTAAATTCAATTGACTTCATCCAATTGCAACAAAAGCCGTCCGATGGAAGCTCGACGGAGTTATAGAAAAAACAAAGGAAAAGAGAAGGATAGTAGGAGAAAACCTGCTGGAGGCGCTGCTGGAGCTGCAATCTGTAAGATCGGATTCTGCGCTGTTCATATCCCGACAGCACCCTAACATAGAACATGGTTTTTCTCGCAAAGTCCAATAGCTTACTCATCTCCACCGGTCTTCTTCTTATTCTTCTTCAGGATTTGAGCGGCGCGTCTCTGTCAACAATAGGACTAAGACATCCGCGCCGGCACAACACAGCACATTCACCGGATCGATCGGAGGAAGGGAACGAAGGCGAGCCGATTCTTCTTCGATCGAAATTGGGCCTTTTCAGATTAGGGCTCTCTCTTGTTAAAGTTTTGGGATTATTACAACGATGCGAACACTGACCGTACACATTTGTTCTTGGTTCGATTCAACCAAAATGAAATTTTGACCAAAACGAATTATTCCGTTAAGTCCCAAAATGATATATTCAATTTTTTATTTTTTATTTTTATCCAATACAAAATATTTATTTCTTTATTTTGTAATACCTAAAATTATAAATATTTTACCATTTACAATAAACTCATTTTCTTATTTGATTTCTCTCTCTCCTTTTCTTTTTTAATATGATTTTTAATATATATTTTAATTTTTTTATAAAAATAATATTTAGCATAAGTATATTTTATATTACTATATAATTCTTTATACTTTATATACAAAACTAAAAAAAAAAAAAAAAATATTAAAATAAAATAGATAAAAAAAAAAGATATTATGATAATTTATTTATGAATAAATAAAAATAATAATATGATAAATGACAAAATAATAATAAATTGATCATTATTAATATATGGGTGGTAAAATTATTAATGTACAAAATTAGTAGATTGAAAATGTAAATAATTATGTAATATTTTTATATATAAGTGTAATATAAAAAAATATGTAAAATTATATCCTATAAATAGAAATTTTTGTGAACAAATAAAAAAAAAAAAAACAAGCATATTTTTTTTTTTAAAAAAAAGCATCATATTAAAAATTAATTTTTGTATCATTATTCATCAACATTTCTAAAATTTCAAAACTTAAAAATTCATATCTCTACAAAAATGCATGTCTTTCAAATATAATACTCCCTCCGTCCCAAAATTATGGTCTTATTTGAATTTGGCACGAGATTTAACAGTAATAATAATGAAAATGTAAAGATAATTTCACGGTGATATGAATATTTATGGAAATAAGAATTTTCTTTTGGGAAGACAAAAATAGTAAATACGACTATTTTATTGGGACAGATTGAGTAATATTTTAATAAAATGTTAATAAATAGGAGTATTTGATATGATGATAATTTAATAATATATAGACATATATATATATATATATTTAATAGCATATTCCACATAAATAGAAAGTTCTCAGACAAATTGAAACCTGTGACAGACAACTTGAATCTAAATTTGTAACACTTACAAATTCTCCTTGTATAACCCTGTTGAAAAATCTCAAAATGTAGACAAATAGGAGTTGTGTCATAGTAAGAAGACAAATCATTCAAGCATTGTATTATACATATAGGGTGAGAAGACAGCACATCATTTCAAGTAGCTAGATGGGAAATTATGTGTTGGTATGAAGTCAAATTATTAAGGATCAGTAATCTAATCAGAATATATTAGCTTCAAAATGTACAGAAATGCACAATTAGTAGAACATGGAAGCAATAATTCACTTGTATTTTGGAGCTATGGATCTGTGATATGAAGAACATCTGCAGAAGCATCTTTGTCTTCCTTCCTCTGGTTTTTCTTTCTTTTCTTCTCAGATTGGGGTTCCTTGGCTGCTTTTAGATCATTGCTGAAGGACCTCAGGGAGGCTGCCAGATGCTCATTGCGATGCGCTGCAAGAAATATGGACAGCCACGCAAAAGCATCAAACAGGATCATTGTAATTGTGCCGCAAGACTCCCAGAAATAAGAGAAATCATATGGGAGGAGCTTATGGAGAAGAAATACAGCTGAAGTAAATGGAAATCAGTTGGATAGAAAGCAGGACTTTATGATCTGTGACAAGATTTAGCAATTGGCACTCAGAGTTATGCCAAGTCTTATTTCCGTCAATTGATTTTAATCTTGTTAGTTGGATCGAAAGCACATTTGTTACTTGGTATGATCTTGATTTGTGCCAAGAACAATGGAGAATGTACCTAAATGACAGTTTCAGATATAGAAAGAGACTGTGATCTGTGACAGGATTAAATAGTGAATGTAACAGATAAATGTCACAGTTTCAGATACTGTAAAACTCAAATCTATGACGAGACTTGGAACGGAAAATTAATTGTGCAAATGTAAGTCATGCAATCAGACAATGAAAGCATTTGAAATATCACGTGGGAAAGACCAGCAACCACACTGTGGTAATTGGCTTTCTGCACAACCCACAAATGTCTTAAGATTCTTACCAGAAAGTATGACATCTTCCATGTTCACAGACTTGCGGCCGGCATGCTGTGCAAACAACTCGAGGTCTTTCGCTAACTGATCTGTTTTACAAAACATGGAAGAGTTTATAAACAAAAATACCCATGGTTCCTTCCTCAGCATTACATACAACTCTTAACAAGAAGCTTGAGCTTAATAAGGACCAGCTTAAACAAATGAAATATAAGGTTGCCAAAGGTGTGTATAGCTCAAGCAGTTGAGTCCTCCTTTGCCATTCTTGATGTAGGGGGTTCGATCCCCGTGGAGTGTGTGAGTAAAAAAAACCAAGAATTATCTATGGGTTGTGTACAATTCCATAAGGTACTACTGTTTTTCTACATAAGAAATTGAGATACTACCTAATGGCCAAAGTAAGCTGCGGTAATCTGCACTATTATGCCAGATATTTCATAATTGAGACTATTGTGCATTTTTCCTAACACTCTTGAGAATATTCACAAACCAAATCAAAGAAAAAGGAAGACGGAGGTAGACAGCTAATTTAACCACATTTGGAACTTCCTATCAGAAGACAATTATCTGATCCAGAAATGATACACTAACAAAATGATCATTCAACAATAGTAATAGTTGCTTTCAATTCAAGAGATACGCAAGTGAAATACTGTGTGTAATTCACAGAGAAAGGGGGAGAGAAGTACGAGCATATTTGAAGGCTAAATCAGAGATACAAGCCACAATTGGCTGAGAAACTTCCATGCCGTTTAGCTTCGCTGTAGAAAAATAATCACGCAGTCACTACTCAGTTGGTAATCAAATATAAGTGAAGAACAACATATATCGAGAATTGAAGGGAACAAAACCTTCAGCTTCAGCGATGGAGATTGTGCAGAGACGGAATCGATCTCTCAACAGCTCGGTCGCCGATTCATCCTCTTCCCCTCGATCCAAGTCGCTCGCCATATTTTCCCTCTCAATATATCCTCCAAACTTCTATCTTAGTGCTTGAAAGCGGTCGAATTTTGATTCTACAATTAGGTTTCCTTTGATTTCTTAATGACAATTTATGCGCGGGAAGAAAGGGTGCCAACGGGCGAGGCGAGAGTCGCTAATTAGATTCTAGATTTTAAAGTCGCTAATCAGATTAATAGCAACTTTGAGAGTTTAAAGTCGCTAAATCATGAAGTAGACGCTGAACCCAGCCACAGGGCAGTGACGGTGGAGGGTTAGTCATTATGCCCCTATAAAAGGGAGGACCTTAACCCGTGCCGATAAAGATCCTTCTCAATATTGAACCTACCCTTTGTAATCTCATCAATACATGAATCATTTAAAAGTTTCAATACAATTTCACCAGAGAAAATAAAGCATAATATAAATTTATTTTAAGGTAGTACAGGATTGTTACACTTAATGAAAATAAGTTGCCATAAAGTTCAGGAACAGGCAATCACATATATAACAGGCAACAATCAGAATTCCAAAAGATAAAAATCTAATCGAGAAAATGTGACTTAATTGTGGGTAAAGAATATGCCCTCATAAGGATAGTCAATCATTAGGACACAAATTTAGACAATGTGACAGTAATGCAAGCAAAATTTTCACAATGTGCCTTAACATAGATGATGCTTATTCAGTTATTCCAGATAGTGTAAGTGATTCAATCCTTGCCTAAAAAATTCTGCCCTTTTTAGGACAGTCAGAAACAGAATAGGGCAAATGCAACAAATTTCTGAGAAATTCTGGTAATGTGCCTTAAAGAAAGAATGCTTATTAGAGGAATGTGATAGGGACAGTATGTGTCAGCATTTAATCCCATAATAATGACACTTTCCATATTAGGATAGTCAATCAGAGGAAAAGAATCTTTTGTGAAAGACAGCAAATAGTATTAAGTCTATAAATATAAGAAACTACATCTGCCTTTGATACCAGAAAACATGTATAGTTTTTTTTAGGGAACTTAAAACACTTCCGGTCTTAACATTTTGCCTCTAGGGCAAGATAATCATGGTTCCTAGGGTTTACAATAAACGAGATGACGCTGAACGATCGATTAATGGAAGAACGAATGACAGGGATAAAGCCCGGCATCCGCGATGGTCGAGACAGGAGACACTGGTCCTGATAGAAGGGAAAAGGGTAGCTGAGGAGAAGGGGAAAAGGGGGAGGAGATCGAGCTATGTTTCTGGATCTAACCAGGTCGAACCAAAGTGGGACTATGTATCGTCGTACTGCAGGAGACATGGGGTGAATAGAGGGCCAGTTCAATGCCGGAAGAGGTGGAGCAATCTTGTGAGTGATTTTAAGAAGATAAAGACATGGGACTCTCAGGTGGGAGGAGAAGGGGAAGGGTTTTGGATGATGAGAAGTGAATCGAGGAGGGAAAGGAAATTGCCCGGATTCTTTGATAAAGAAGTCTTTGATGTCTTGGATGGGAAAGCCGGCGAGAAAGATTCTTACCAGCTTGTGCTGGTGACAAGTGAAGATCAGAACATTGGAGATGATGTTGAGGATATGGAGGCAGAGGATGGGGATGATGAAGAAACAGATTGTCTGAATCCCAGTTTTGAAAATACGGCTGGCGAAGAAACAGGGCAGAATTTGGGAAAGGAGAAGGCTTGGAGAAATGGGATTCCTTCTCCAGTTCCGATTTCAGGTACATTAATATTTCCCAAGAAGATAAAATTCTTTGAGGATTTCTAACACTAAATTGTCCTATATATGCAGAGATGAGAATTCCAACGTTTCACCAGATGGACTCGGATCAAGGTTAGCATACGAATCCCTATTAACATGATACTTTCTAATCATAAAACCTCTGAAGGTAGACATATGCATATATGATTCTGCTATTCTGGTTAGTCTTAACCATATCTCTGAGCATATTTATGTGGTACTAAAACTTTATAATCATAAAACCTCTGATTGTAAATATGCATATATGATTCTGCTATATAGCCGAGCACATTTATGTGGTACTAAAACATTCTAATCATAAAACCTCTGACTGTAATCATGCATATATTATTCTGCTATCAGCTAGTCTCAATTATATTGCCGAGCACATTTATTTGGTACTAAAACTTTATAATCATAAAACCTCTGACTTTAATCATCCATATATGATTCTGCTATCAGTTACTCTCAACTATATTGCCGAGTACATTTATTTGGTACTAAAACGTTCTAATCATAAAACCTCTGACTGTAATCATGCATATATGATTCTGCTATCAGCTAGTCTTAACTATATTGCCGAGCACATTTATCTGGTACTAAAACTTTCTAATCATAAAACCTCTGACTATAATCATGCATATATGATTCTGCTATCAATTAGTCTTAACTATATTGCCGAGCACATTTATGTGGTACTAAAACTTTCTAATCATAAAACCTCTGACTGTAATCATGCATATATGATTCTGTTATCAGCTAGTCTTAACTATATTGCCGAGCACATTTATGTGGTACTAAAACTTTCTAATAATCATAAAACCTCTGACTGTAATCATGCATATATGATTCTGCTATCAGTTAGTCTTAACTATATTGCCGAGCACATTTATGTGGTACTAAACTTTCTAATCATAAAACCTCTGACTTTAATCATGCATATATGGTTCTACTATTCAGATAGTCTTAAATACATCACCGAGCACATTTATGTGGTACTGAAATAAGCATGATTATTTAAACATGGCACAATGTGACATGATTATGTAAGCACGGCACAATGTGAGTCAGTACACAGTATCTACAACCACCTTCATAGACCCTAAGGATAATTATCAGAGTTTAGAAGCAATACCCCTCAAGATTTCACTTATAAGAATCATTTTATCTCATGGATGTAGAAGAAAAAAGACAGCCAAGCCCACAGTATTGGAGAGGCTCCGAGTTTCAAAATGGGGCAAAAAGGAGCCGTCCCTCATCAAGCAATTTTCAAAACATTGACATGAATGAACAGATGATCAGGGCTCTGGAGAGAAATAATACTCTACTAGATCAACACCTTGAGCATGAAAAGTTGAACAGAGAGCAGCAGAAGGAGCAACATGACAACTTAGTAGCATCACTTAACAAGATAACAGAGATTCTTGGAAAAATTGCAGATAAGCTGTAATTGCAATTTGCACCTTCTCAAAGGTATTCGTAATTCGTATGTTAGAAGGATGATATATAATAATTTCTGTATTCATATCTCATTCAGCTACTGAATTCTGTCTCACACCAAAATGACTAGTCTGAGTGTTGATTCATAATGTTTGTGGACATGTGGAGTTATCCTAATTCCTATCTACCAGAGTTGATGAACAGATATTTAGCCAATTTTCCCCAGATTTGAGGTTTCAAATCACCAAGCAAACAATGATATGAACTGTGAAAAGATGTATGGCTTTACAACGAAATCGTACCTCTCAGCTCTCCAAGTTGTTAAATTCAATTTTAGTCAATGCCTGTGCGGATGAGATATTATCTTCGTCTCCAACAATCTCTTCCATTGCCTACATCAAATTCCAAAAAAGGAAAACGAGCAATGGAACTACTATATTGCATAGATATTGCGTTTATCGTGAAAGATCGTGCAAGATATTTTTACTATCCCTTCTTCCGTATGAATTAGAAGTAATTTCTGTAATGAAATCGATTCTTCCGAACGCAATTGACATGTACAAAGTCGTGCTTTCACCGGATTCAGCTTGAAAGCATGATAAAGTACTTCGGACTACCTCCTTTACCACCGCCTACATTCGCCGCCGATTGTTGCCTCGGTCGCCGGTTAAAAGTTATTTTGAAAGTAAATTTCCTAAAATTGAATCAAGATGAAAAGCATGAAAAAAAGAAGATTCGATTGAATAATACATACAAACTGATTTGGACCATCTGCAGGAAAGCTAGTATGGAGACAGTGGAAAAGTCAGTGACGGAGCACCTTACAATAATCGCATTGTTGTCGCTGTTGTGGAGAGAAATAATTTTGACAAGGATGCGGGCCACCATTCTGCCATAAACGAAGCTGCCGACGGTGATATGCAAACAAGTGCTTGCTTCGGTTCTCCTCCAAATTGCTCATATACAGTAGCCAGCGTATAACAGAAAACCGACGCCGGCGGAGGCGGAGGCGGAGGCGCGTGCAGATTCGGTACGTACGGCGTCGTTTTGTTACTTTTATCTTTTATATTGTTAAGAAACGAACTCAGACAAGGAGAATAAAGGTAACAGTGGTGAAAAAAATTGACTAATGTGCTTTGGAGGTGATTGAATGTTTTTCTTTATTTTTTTTTTTTTACTATTGATTTCTTTTTACACTTTTATATTTTGTATAGCAAAAGTTATTTGGGTCTCATTAATATCATAATTATTAATTTTGATCACACTAAAATTAAAATTTATTAATTTTAGTCCCGAAATAATTGACTGAAGTTTAACACGGCCGAGTTGGATGACTCAGAAAAATAACCAATAAGTTAAAATAATAATAAACATGACTTACAATATGATTATATTGAAAATATGATCGTGAATATAGTCTAAAACAAGTCTATGTTAAGAACAGAGGTCGTGAACATAACCTAGAACATGACTGTGTTCAGAACACACAGACAAAAACACGACCGTGTTCAAAAGTGCAGGGTAATCAACACGGCCGTGTTGACTGCCGGGATGCTCGAACACCTTCCGAGTCATCAAACACGGCCGTGTTCAATTGATAAATTTTCATTTGAACGAAATCAAAATTGATAAAAATTTTGAATGAAACCAAAATTGATGATTATGATATTAAATAAGACAAAAAATAATTTTTTTCCTCTATTTTGTAGAATAATATACTTAAAATTATCCATTACGCCCTCTTTCCGTAGGTCAATAAGTTTTAGTTATAATAAATAGTTAAATAATACTTCTTCTATTCCTTTTCAAAACAGTAATTTGAGTTTTATAATAGATTAAAAATTAATATTTTTGTCTTTTGAATATTTTATATAATTATAAGTATAGTATAATAGTACATCTATATTTTAGATAAAAGTTAAAGCATTTTATCTATGATTATTTTTATGAAAAGGGACGAATGAAAATAATAAAAAGGTCATAAACGATGGAATATAAAATAATTTGTACAAAAATCAGCATTGATTAAAATAATTAATACAATTAAAATAATATAATGCAACATTTTACTAAATACTTAAAAACTAATTAAGTTTAATTAAAATACTTAATTAATACAATTAAAATAATTATATATAATTAAGTTATACCTATTCAGCAAGCGGAACACCTGATGTGCAAGGTATAAAATAATGATTAATGGCAAAACAATTATATTTGTGTAAAAAAATAAAATATTTAATAAAATAATTATTTTATAACTAAACAATACAAAAAACTATCTATGCACTATATTTTTAACTTTAACTAATTAATTATTACTCAATATATTATTATTATAAAAATCAATTTATAATTAAACATATTTAAACCTCTCAATTCAAATTCAAATTCAACCTAAAAAAAAAAAATCTAACAGAACTCAAATTTCAACTTGCAATCCTAAGGATGTGTTTGTTTGTGGATTTTAAAACTACTAAGAAAATTCACTAAAGATCATAATTTATATTTTTGAATCTAAGGATGTGTTTGTTTGTGAATTTTAAAACTACTAGTAAAATTCACTAAATAACATAATTTAAATTTTTTCAAATTTTACTATTGACTCTGCATTTTTCAAAAAAATTATATTATTTTCTTTTACAAAACATACCATCAAATATTATTTTAATATCAAACCTAAACTAAAATTTTCAAACTCAAGCAAAAAATTTCACCCTAATAATTCATTGTATCTTTCATATAAAAATATGTTCTTTCAAATAATAACACACAGCAACGGCGCCCTTTGTCCTGCACCCGCCCCAGTTACTATAAATGGAAAATACAAAATTGCCCTCAGACAGAAAACGCGCCAGTATTAACATTTTAAAAGTTGGATAAAAAATCACAGCCTCCATTCCCGGGACCATACCTGCTTTGTCGTTCTCCGGCGCTCCGCCGCATCAATGGCGTTTTGTAGATTGCAAGCTATGTTCCATCGACAGTTATCACCCTTCACCTCCAAAGAAATAGTAACAGATTTAGTCTCCGAGGAAAACGAGTCAATTACTATATTCGTTGCTGTGCAATTTACTGCTGAAATTTTGAGGTAATCTAGATTGAATCATCAGAGAGATTAAAGAAAAATTTCTCCATATATTAATCCTTTGTTGCTTTCTATATGTTGTTAACGATTTATTGAGAGCGGCTTTGATCAATAGAGTGTACATATAAGCGCGTATACTTAGATGAGGATTCGTACGAATTATAGCTGAAATTCTTCAAGTGTTGGCTTTGATTTTGCTTCCTAAGCAGTATTAGGCTTAGATATGATTAATTGTTAGTGGAGAAGGTTTAAGTTCCGTATCTTCCTTGAGATTGTTGTTTGATATTTCATTTAGAAAATATGGACTGATAACGAATGAATTTTCTGTCGCTTTAAATGGTAGGATTGAGTGCAGTTGCAGCAGCCATGGCTGGACTTTGGGGATTTGCAATGATTATGGCTCTGTGTTTTGCGTCTGTGTTGGTGGAGTGTAATTACATGGTGTACAACACTTCTCAGGGCGTTGTTCCTGGAAAGCTTAATGTTCATTTGGTCCCTCATACGCATGATGATGTTGGTTGGTTGAAGACTGTTGATCAGTACTTTGTTGGATCAAATAATTCTATTCAGGTACACGAGTTTCATCAAAGAATTTGACTGTTATCATGAGGCATTTCCTTGAGCTGATAGTCTTTGCGAGGTGAATCTAGGGAGCATGTGTGCAATTTGTGTTGAACACAATGATTCCATCATTGCTAGCTGATAAAAACCGGAGGTTTAGTTATGCAGAAATGGTAATAATTTTGTCCATATGGTTTGCCTGATACGACAGAAATGTTTTCTTACTGGTAACTGGTTTTTTACAATTTAATAGGCATTTTTCAAGCGCTGGTGGAGAAAGCAGAGTGAAGCAATGAAGGAGGCAGTAAGAAAGCTAGTGCACTCTGGTCGGCTTGAGCTGATGTACTAATTTACACTACGTAAAGACATGCTCTGTCGTTGGAATGTGATGAATCATGAGTTTTCTTTATGGGTTCCATTGGTTTCTTCTATGTAGAAATGGTGGTATGTGCATGCATGATGAAGCGGCGACGCATTACATAGAGATGATCGATCAAACAACGCTAGGCCACCAATTTATCAAAGAGGAGTTCAATGTAACTCCAAGAATAGGATGGCAAATCGACCCATTTGGACATTCTGCTGTTCAAGCTTACCTATTGGGAGCAGAGGTACTTTTAGGAGTACTGATCCTACTCACATTTGTTCCAGCCATTTTCAATATTCATAAACTGATATTATGATCAACATTTGAGTAATGATGCCAAGAAATCTACTAATTTTGCTTACTGATGCTGCTACTGAACTTTAGGTTGGATTTGATGCTCTTTATTTTGCTCGGATTGACTACCAAGATAGGGCCAAAAGGTTAGATGAGAAGAAGCTCGAAGTCATCTGGCAGGGTTCAAAAACTCACTCTTCTTCCTCTCAGGTTAAACTCAAGTTGCAATTAATTTCGTTTTCTCCATAAACTATGTATTCATCCTATAGTAGACAATTGTCGAATACTACAGATTTTTGCTGGTGCATTCTACGCTGGAAATTATGAACCCCCATCTGATTTCTATTTTGAGGTGGACTCACAGAATTCCCTTCCAGTCCAGGTAATTACTTCGAAGATAAGTTTGTGGATATTTACTTCCAGATAATGAATAATGCATATGTTTTTCGAGTGAAGGATGACATCGATCTATTTGATTACAATGTTCAAGATCGTGTCAACGATTTTGTTTCTGCAGCCTTGGTGCAGGTAAATAAATTATACTCAGCATAACTTTCCACACACCATTAGCCTCGGAATGATCCTTCCATTCATGGTGTTGTCTTTGTGCAGGCAAATGTTACACGTTCGAATCATGTCATGTGGACGATGGGCACAGATTTCAATTATATATATGCTGAGAGCTGGTTCTTCAATATGGATAAGCTTATACACTATGTTAACCAGGTTCTCTTCTTCACTGGTTGAAGATTATATTAACCTAAAACTTACTTGGGATTTGGGAATAACGTTTCCTGGTTTTGTAATCTATGATATTAAACCATTCCTGCAGGATGGCCGTGTCAATGCTTTCTACTCAACTCCATCTATTTACACAGACTCCAAACATGCTTTGAATGAGTCCTGGCCTCTCAAGACTGATGATTTCTTCCCGTGAGTCGATCTTTATGCTTGCCAAAAAAAATGCAGCCATCATAGATGTTCTTTCAAAATCTGCAACTTAACGGTGGCAGGTGTTAATGTCTCAGGTACGCAGACAGAATAAATGCTTACTGGACTGGATATTTTACAAGTAGACCAGCCTTGAAGGGCTATGCCCGAATGCTAGGGGGTTACTACTTGGTACTTTATGAAACTTGTTGATATCCTGTTGAAGTATCTCCCATTCTTTAGTTGTTAGAACAATCTGAGTCTAGTATCTCAATCTAATCGCACAGTTGGTTGATTAGGCAGCTAGGCAGCTAGAATATTTCAGAGGAAGAAATAAATCAGGGCCGACAACCGACTCTTTGGCAGACGCATTGGCAATTGCACAACATCACGATGCAATTGCTGGAACATCAAAGCAGCATGTGGCTAATGACTATGCTAAAAGACTTTCGATAGGTTACAAGGAGGTGAAAATTGTAGCAAGTGTTCGAAGTACACTTAAGTCAATCCCATCATCTTCTGTTTAAATTGACATTGTTTATTTTTGAATTCTTGCAGTCCGAGGATGTTGTAGCAGCTTCCCTTGATTGCATGACACGATCATCACCCTCAGGAGAATGCAAGAGTCCCATCACAAAGTTTAGCCAGGCAAGAAATCGATATCTTCCATTGTGTTTGCCTTGATTTTTAATCTATGAAATATCAGCTTCAGACATCAATTACATGACTTGGGATTAATACATATTTCTCTTACCAGTGTCCACTTCTCAACATAACTTATTGTCCTGCATCAGAAGTGTATCTTTCTCATGGGAAAAAATTAGTAAGTACACTCTCTTCTAAGTCGATTTGAATGTGTATTGCCAATGGAAACAATGTATTTTATTGAACTCATTTTATTATTATTATTGTATATCTGCAGTCAGTACTTGTCTACAACCCTTTGGGATGGAAAAGATCAGCAACAGTAAGAATTCCAGTGAGTCTTCTGCTTTAGCTTCTTTCCTTCAATATTTTATAAGCTGAAATCCATATTCCTCAATCAATGAACTTGATGCAGATAATTGAAGAAAATGTCTCTGTGAAAGATGCCATTGGGAATCCAATCCAATCTCAGCTTATTCCTATAGTTAAATCTTCAATTTCCCTCAGAAATTTCTATGCCAAAGCATATACAGGCTCATCCCCTTCAGTGACCCCCACATATTGGCTTTCGTTTACTGCAGTAGTTCCACCTTTGGGCTTTAGCACCTATATCGTTTCAACAGATGCACGCAAAGGTTGTTCGATACACCATTTGTTTTCCAGTGTGGTGCATAATGCAATGTACATTCACATTCTATCTACATTCTCTTGCAGCTTCTACTTTGTTAAGATCAACGTCATATCCGGATGATGGGAGTGATAATGGAACTTTAGAGATAGGATCTGGCTACTTGAAGTTAATTTACTCCAGAAGTGATGGAAAGCTTATGCAGTACACTAACAGCAGAGCCTCTGTTAATATTTCTCTTGAGCAATCCTATGGTTACTATATCGGAGATGATGGAGGAAGAGATCAACCTGAGAATATTCAGGTAATATTTTGTGCCATTTTTTTTACTTTTCACAGCCAAGCTTGCTGCAGTACATTTGATTAAATACATCTGTTTGGTTGTTGAAGGCTTCGGGAGCATACATTTTTCGACCAAACATCACAATCCCGAAACAATTTCCGGGAAAGGTATTCGAATTCTAGTCAATGTTGAGTCATTTGCTGTCTTACTCTGCCATTTCCAAACAATGACTTAGTGTTTTCTTATACTTTTAGATTCCAATCACAGTTTTTCGAGGGCCACTCTTTGATGAAGTTCATCAAAAGATTAGCTCGTGGATATATCAGGTTAGTAGCTGACTCAATGAAAGAACTTATTGAGAAAAGAAAAAGAATCATACAATCGTATGGTATGACATTTTCGGTATTTTCTTTCCAGCCCTAAATTCATAACTTCGATTTGTAGCAAACTAAGTTCATATTATCTATGGATAGATTACAAGAGTGTATAAGGAGAAAGAGTACGCTGAGATCGAATTTACTGTAAGTCTTTGATCTATTCATAGTTTGTCTTCTTAAAACATACAGAAGTCAGTGATCCTTACATTATCCTGAAATACAGGTTGGTCCGATACCGGCTTCCCTTAAACAGGGAAAGGAGGTGATAACTAAGATTAGTACAAGTATAGCAAGCAACAAAACATTTTATACAGACTCTAACGGCCGTGATTTCCTGCAACGGGTATGTAACAGGAAAGATTGTTCTTTTATTAAGTATTTTTCAACATATGTCTGTTCATTGCATTCATCAATTTCTATTCTCTGTAGATTCGCAACTACAGATCCGACTGGAACCTCCAAGTTAACCAACCAGTGGCAGGAAATTACTACCCGGTAATTCGAGTAATGATCATATTTACTGTTTACGACGTTGATAATGTTTTGAATAATTTGGCTTTTCGTTTAGATCAATCTTGGCATTTACATCAAAGACAGGAAGACGGAGCTCTCTGTTTTGGTGGATAGACCGGTCGGCGGATCTAGCATCGCCGACGGCGAAGTGGAGATAATGCTCCACAGGTTTCTCTAAATTAAATCATTATTATTTAGTAATATGTATTAGATTTATTATTTGAGTCTGTTCCATCTGCATTGTGTCTATTTATTTCATTATTAGTAATATATAATTCTTAATAGTGAAGAATGTGACAGTCACAAAAACACATAGCAACATTTTCTGATAATGGAGTGTGTGTTTATGTAGGAGACTATTCCATGACGATAGTAGAGGCGTTGCAGAGGCGCTAAATGAAACTGTCTGTGTTCATAACCATTGCTCCGGCTTAACCGTAAGCATGATTATTTCTCTAATCCCTACTCAGATACATTATGTCTACATGTGTTCTTACAATGTCTGAAAAACATGGAGATACCTCTTGATTCTTGACAGGTCCAGGGGAAATATTATCTGAGATTAGATCAGGCTGGAGAAGGAGCCAAATGGCGACGGATATTCGGTCAGGAGATATATTCGCCATTCCTTGTGGCTTTCGCTGAACAGGATGGTAGCTCGAAAAGTTTCCCTACACCAACGTTTTCAGGCATGGATCCTTCTTACAGCCTCCCTGACAATGTCGCAATAATAACCCTCCAGGAGCTCAAAGATGGCCGTGTTCTCCTTCGCCTGGCGCATCTATTCGAGGTAGGTGAAACACTCGTTCGTTGATAAATAAATAAATAAATAATACCTATTCTAATCATTTAAATTTTTAGGTGAAACTTCGTGACAAGGTCATTTACTTCATCTAACAATATCCCTAAAATATAATGATGACATAATCAAAATATCTACTGTGAAATAATTATATAAAATACCCTTTAACTCATTATATATAATATTTTGACTATATATGAAATATATAACATATATGTAATTGCATATCCTATCTTATTTCAGGCTGGTGAAGACAAGGATTTGTCCGTCATGGCAAATGTGGAACTAAAAAGGGTCTTCCCAAATAAAAAGGTGAAAGTCGAATTATTACAAGTTTTTGCATGGATATATTTTATTATTGTAACTAATTTATGTAATCTTATCATTTACATATGATCATCAGATAAAGAAGATAGAGGAAATGAGCCTATCTGCAAACCAAGGCAGGGAAGAAATGCAAAGAAAGAGACTGTCCTGGAAAGCCGAAACCGCCTTCACCACCACGAACCAAGTCACGAGAGGTGCACGTGTCGATCCTGCCAAGCTTATTGTCCACCTCGCTCCAATGGAGATTCGAACCTTCATCATCCTCTTTTAACTGACAAGGGTATTTCTGTCATTCATTATGGGGCTGGTTTAAATAATTCGGACATTATTATGATCGGATTTCGATAGATGAACATGAATTGTTATTATTACATTGTTAATACTACTCCTATATTGTTGTGTAGGGGGACACGTGGCTCTGATGGTACTATGTTAGGGGGACATGTCGCGTTTGGTAAGCAAAATAATCTTCCTGCTAATAGCGCTTTTTTGTCGTGTGTTTCCAAAGTCGCCATCGAGTCACACGCGATTATTGCCTAAACTTTATGCTGAACATGGGTTGTCAACCACAAAACGCTATTCCGTCAAGTCGTTTTTAAAATTAATTTATCATAAAACGTGCTTTCACTGATGCTTATTGATTGACTGACCGATGTGCCTCTTTTACCTAAAGTCGCTCAACTCAAACCATATTGTTCAAACTAATCTCAAAGACCCAAACATAAAAATAATGCTACATCCGTCCCATAAATATAATTTTAATTGAGTTGAACATGAGATTTAAAAAATATTAATATTATATTGATACTTGGTAAAAAGTATGGATAAAAGAATTTTTTTGTCCTTGTGAGTGTATTAGTATAAAAAGTAGTGATGATTGTGTAATAAAAATGAAAAAAATATGAGTAATTTTATGTTGATATAGTTATTTATGAAAATAAGCTATTTGTTTTTTTACAGACAAAAATGGTAACAAGACTATTGTATTGGGACGGAGGGAGTAATAATAATAATAATATTCTTTACGTTTCATATCTATTTATTAGTTTATTTTTAAAATATTAATATTATATTGAAATATAATACTCTCTCAGTCCCATAACAAAATATTCATTTTTCCATTTTAGTCCGTCTCATAACAAAGTATCTATTTTTTTTTTAGTAACGGTATTATCTACCTAACATTACAAATATCCTTACAATTTACAATATATTACACAAATATCATTACCTTTATATCACACATCTAATAAAGTTATTTTAGCAATTTCTACTTTATTCCTACTATATCTCAATATAATACTAATATTTCTAACATTACGTACAAAAAGTAAATGAATACTTCCTTCTGAAACGAAAGAAATATAAATAAAAGTAAAAAAATTAAATTAATTTTATTAATATTATATAATATAAAATAATCACATTTATATAATATATTATAAATTAAAAAAATATTTTGTAACATTAAATAAATAATATCATCACTAAAAATAAAAATTAATAATGAAACGACCAAAAAAAAAAGTTAAATATTTTGTTAAATGACTGAGAAAATAATAATAATAATAATAATAATTTAAAATTATTGAAGTCTAGTAGTACTAAGCTCTAATCACAAGTGAAGTGATGTAAGCGAGGCGCGAGGCTCAGCCAGCAACCATTGCTTTCCTATTGGGAGGCACGATTGCATTGATCTAGATCTACGGTGGGGATTCATTACTCCCTTGTCAGTAAGAAGACTATTATACCCCTCAACAACTTCAATTCCATTCCTAGATTGTTTGTTTGGTTAAGTTAAAATATTATGAATATAATAGTTAGTAAATATATATATGTACAAATATATATATATAATATGATATTTTAAATTCAAAAAATATATAAATAGAATATATTAAATAATTATATATCATACAATATTTGAATAATAACAATATAGATAATTAAATGACTATATATAGATATATTGTGTGGTCTCGTTGCATTTGCATGCAGACAATTTGGTTGAAGTCATGAAGTGCATTATTACACTACATACATATATAGGAAATACCTATATTTAATTATTATTATTATTATTATTATTATTAATTAAAAATATTAACATATAGTAAATAAATTTAAATCTTGATACTATTTACTTTGAATGAGTGACAAGTTTCTTTCCCCAAAAGAAATTTCCTTTTGCTAGAATTGGATGTCATAAACAAACAGGTCCCCAGCCACTCTCATAAAAGTCCATTTTATTAACATCAAAGGGATAATGACATTTGGGTTCTGTTATTATATATATATATATATATATTATTATTATTATATAATTATCGTAATGTTATATAAGGAAATATTATTATTTAAAAAATTATTATATTCAACTACTATTTAAATACAAATAGATTTTTGAGGTTTTACATCTTTTGGATGAAATAAATCTTGAATACGATGTTTTAAATAATAATTGAAAAAATATATGATTATCGAATATGATACTTAGTACATAAATGAAATTAAATAAAAAAAAAAAATAACAAACTTGTCTGCTTTTTGAAATTTCAACACGATTTTTATTCTTTATTATTCAATTGTGTATATTATTCTCTATTCAATGTTACTTTTGGACCATATTTTGAAAAATAAAATAAAAAAAATATCACAATCATCTTTGTGATTATTGGTAAATATATTCAATTAAAATCACCTATATTTGAAGCAAGTAGGTAAATTACTTTTTATAATATCAATATTCTAACATAAATAACAATATGTCTCCATGCACGTGATGTAACAAAGATTTTTGGCATGAAATTATATTAAATTTTTTATTTATTTATTTATTTTAAAATACATATATCATGAACATATTTTTTTTTATGAATAAAGATTCCCTTTTGTCCATATCCATCCTTCCATAAGTTTTGGCCACCAATTTTATGAAATTGGACCATTTGGTTGGGTCCCACATGCTACATTTTGTTATTATAATAAAATTAATTGTTCGTCCTGTAAAAAATGAATTTCACAAATATATATATTCTAAAAAAAAAAAAAAACCTAATTGTTGCTATTCTTAATTTTAGTGATTGATAATAAGCAAGGACAATTAGCGAGCCAAATTTGATGAAAATTTCCATTCAACTAATTAACAGAAATTAATAATTTATTAAATGTCAAGTGAAATTATAGACTTTAAGAACTCCACTGGTACAGAATTAAATTGTACAATTTTACACTTGTCTATTTTATAATTAGATGTATTAAATGATTAAATAAAAAAATTTGCCAAATTTCCTTATAAAGCATTACCTATTTAACACCCCTAAAGTCAAACTCTATTTTAAATGCATGAAAATTGAGGTGTTAGATTAGGGTGTCTTAATAAAAAAAAAATTAAATAATTTGAAATAAAAAGCAAACATACCCTAAGAGTTTATTATATAATTTATTTCATATTAATTAATATATATATATATAAATTTATAGAAAAGAAATTATATCATTTTCATCAATATTTTGAAACTATTTTTAAATGGTAATATATCATATTTATATAAAAATAAATGTGTTAAAAATAGTATTTTACCATTGTTTATATATTAAATTCTAGAAATAAAATAGAAAATAACCTGCAATTATTATTAATTAAGAAAATAACTATTTATTAAATATTGCATGTTTGTATGGAAATAGAAAATAGTATGTAGGGAAAAATTGCATGTGTCTAATACATAGGGTAGATAAAATCTTACTCCCTCCGTCCCAATACAATAGTTTTCTTTATCATTTGTTTGTTCTAAAACAATAGTCTTATTTCCATAAATAACAATTTTACTATAAAATTACCCCTATTTTTTCATTTTTATTACACAATTGTCACTATCTTTTACACCAATACACTTACAAGGACAAAAATGTCTTTTATCTATACTTTTTACCGACTATTTATGGAACGGAGGAGTATTATTTGTAAGTTTAAATATATTTTCAGTACATAATTATTTCTAAAAGAAATACAACCAACTACAGTAATATTTGTTTGCTAACTCAATTCTAATTAGAGTAAGAAAATTAAAGAAATTTCATTTTTTTGCCATTTTTATCACTTTAATTATAATTGAATTAGCAAACAAGTATTACTATAATTGGTTAGCATTTCTTCTAAAAACCAATTAAATACTGAAAACATATTTAAAATCACAAGTAAATATAACTATTTTATTAATTATAACAATTGAAAGTTATTTTCCAATTTAAAAGACATGTATTCTGATATAAATATGAGATATTGCCATTTAACATTAGTTCTAAACTATATTTATATTAATAAAAATGATATAATTTATTTTCCATTTAATTGTAAATTTACACACATTAATATATATATATATATATTTACCGTCAATATGAAATAAATGTGCGTGAACTATTAATTTTTTGATAAATATATATTATGGGAATTGTATTTTTCACAAAAAGAAATTATTTTGATTTTTTTAATAAAGTAAAAAATAATACATTCCTCCTCCATTTGAAAGTATACATTTATTTATAGTTATAAATATTTTTAATTGTAATTGATAGTTATAAATAACTTAAAATAATTTGGTTTTTTTTTGTGTAAAAATAATAATATGGTGATAAAGTAAAAATATTTATAAAAAATATCATATTTTAAAAATAATTACTTTATAAATAAACAAATAAAAACATATATATATATATTTTATGAGTAAACAACACAGAGATTAATATTTTATTAATAAATAATATAAAATCATAATATATGTAATATTATATTTATAATTTATATAAAAATTACAATATTTTAATATTAATATAAAATTACTTTTATTATCCTATAAAATAAAAAATATATATTTAAATAAAATGGATGAAAAGAACAAAATAAAAACTTTTGTCCTAAATCAATTTTGATCATATATATTTTTTAAAATTATATTTAATAAATAATAAAAAAATAATATCATAAGTTATTATATTATCTAACTGAATTACTGTTATTTTAAATATCGTTTCGCTAGCAAAAGCGTCGATTGACATGGAACAAAGGAAATGTGTAACCGCAAATAAACACACTCTCGGCATTTATTTATTATTTAAAAAATTAAAATAAACAAAAATCTAACCTGCCTGTAAGTAAGAGGACAGGCCCACTTCCCCATAACAACCCCTCTAACGACAGAGACAAACGCCGTTACTTGCCAACCCACTCCCATCCCGACACACTGCTAACGCCGTCAACTCTCCTCTCCACAGCACACTACCGTTATTCCCGGTCGGCGGTCGCCACGCCTTGTCTTTCCCTATTCCTCATTCCACACCACAAAATATTGCGTCACTACCCTTTTTACTTCAACAAGCCAATTTTGCTGCGCTCCCAAACACGGCGTTACCTATTTTACCGGCTGTAAGAGTAACCAGTTACCATCCTTCCAGGGTTAAACATTTAACCATAGTTAAAATTTTTTTGCTCAACTCCACACTTGGCTTTCAGCTTCTGGTTATCCTCAACCTCTGCTTTCTCTCTCCTGTCTCTCTCTCTCTCTCTCTCTCTTCAGCCATGTCCACTTTGCTCTCTATGCTGCAAGATGTAGAAGCGGTGGTGTACACGCTGTAGCTGAACAAGCTCGCACCACGAGGGAACGGATTATTTGTTTTTTAGTAGAATCAATTCAACAGGGCTCTGGTCCAGGAATTTGTGTCTGCTATTAGATTGTTGCTGGACGTGCCATGTGTGTTTGATTGTTGATTTTTTTGGCGGTGATTTTGTCTGATAGTTTATTGGATTGAGTTATGAGAGATCTGAGGAGTGATTAGTGTGTTTGAAGATATGGATGCTTCCGAGGCGTTGATCAAGGCGTACGACGAGAATTTCGGGCCAGAGAACGGGAGTTCGGTATCCGGGAAAGGTAGTTTTGGTTTTGACTGTGGTTCTAAGGATTATTTCGTTGTTTCAGGTTCTTTTTATCTGCGCTGAATTTTTGGCTTGTTTGTTTTTTCGGGTGAATTTACAGTTGATGCTGAAACGGCGTTGTACACAGAGCTATGGAGGGCGTGCGCAGGTCCTTTAGTGACTGTGCCTCGTGAACAAGAGCTTGTTTTCTACTTTCCTCAGGGTCATATAGAACAGGTTTATTTTTTATTTTTTATTAATTTCTTCCCTTTAACTTATCAATTTTGATTGTGTATATGTGTGTGTGTGGAGTCGGATGTGATGATAATTTTTGGTTACTGGCTGAATCGAAGTTAGGGTTTGGATAAATTAATTACTGACTTGAGCTTTGTAGCATAAATGATCTGAATTGGCTTCCGAAAGGGAACTTTGTTTATGTGGATTGATGAGATTGAATATAGTTTGCTGGATTGTTTTGATGTGTGTTTTCCTAATGCTCTTTATTCATTTATTGTGTTTTTGAGTAGGTTGAGGCGTCGACTAATCAAAGTGCTGACCAGCAGTTGCCCATGTATAACCTTCCCCCGAAGATCCTCTGTCGAGTTGCTGATGTTAAGTTGAAGGTATTTTGAAATTATTCTATAGGATAAACTGAAATGATTTCATAGAACTAATTGGGTTTGTGGAAGGCTGGATCATTGAGGTCGTTTGATCGTTGTGTTTACTTGTTTTTGTGATTATTGTTTAGGCTGAACCGGACACGGATGAGGTTTTTGCTCAAGTAACTTTGTTGCCCCAACCTATTGTAAGCTGATTGGCGTTATTTGTATTTTTGTTTGATGGTCTTTTACTTGAACAATCTTCGAATAAGATTTTCTGTTGTTGCAGCAAGATGAGAGTGCAGTAAAGAAAGAACTCCCCCCACCCCCGCCTCCTCATTTTCAAGTCCATTCCTTTTGTAAAACTCTTACTGCATCAGATACGAGCACTCATGGTGGGTTCTCAGTGCTGAGACGGCATGCCGATGAATGCTTACCCCCACTGGTAAGGATGGATCTGAAGAATGTTTATTGATTTCCTTCTGGGTAGTCATTTGATGTTTTGTCTTCTATGGCAGGACATGTCGAGGCAACCTCCCACGCAGGAATTGGTGGCCAAGGATTTGCATGGAAATGAATGGCGATTCAGGCACATTTTCCGTGGTAAAGTTGTTATATGTCGTAGTTTGTGTTTTTGATATTTTCTAATTGTTTTTCAATGATTTCTACAATGTGCTTTTGATTGAATTCAAAGAGAAGGGAGGGGAAGTAAGAAATGTTTTTAATGTAGTGAATAATTTATGATTTTTTGGAAATCCTTTGTACTTGTTGGAGGTAGTTTATAAGCCCTTTTCTTTTTTAAGAAATCAAGGGATGGGTTTGGTTGTGTTTTGGTGTTTTTGTATTGAAATAATTGTTTGATTTGATATAAATAACTATTCGATGTAATGCTTGAATAAAAATAATTTTTATATGTAAATATTAAATGAAAACATGTGGTTGATGTGATTTTTTTTTGGGAAAAAAATAAGTAACATATGCATTGTGAAAACAGGGTTATGAAAACACAATCTAACAAATCGTAGATTTTGAGTTTTAGAATTGACTGCTGGATCAAATATGGTTATCTGAAAAAGTTCATGAACTGGAACATATAAAAAATCAAGAAAAACATGAACTCAAGCAATCATTTTTCTGTCTGCAAGAAGTGTGATTTCTATATGTCGTAACCAGTTTTTTTCTTTTCTTTGTAAAAGGACCGTAATAAAAACAGTTAGCTTAATGTTTGAAACCAATCACATCTCATGTACTTGTGGCTAATTCTATTTGTAAGTGTAATACATCTGGATACGGAAATTTGCACTGTGCATCCTCTTACCAAAAAGATTAACTGGTAGTTTTACTGATTTTCTTAATGGCAGGTCAACCTAGGCGACACCTTCTTCAGAGTGGTTGGAGTGTCTTTGTTAGCTCGAAGAGGCTTGTTGCAGGGGATGCCTTTATATTTTTGAGGTTTGATGCTGTTCGATACGGGTAACTATGTGCATAGTGATAGTGATATTCAAATGCATGAAATGAGTGCAACATCCTTTCAGAGGAGAGAATGGGGAGCTTCGCGTTGGTGTCAGACGCGCAATGAGACAACAGAGTAATGCTCCGTCATCAGTCATATCTAGCCACAGCATGCATCTCGGTGTTTTAGCAACTGCTTGGCATGCCATTCAGACCAAAACAATGTTTACAATATATTACAAGCCAAGGTATAACTTCGTCTCTCCACCTATTACATATCTTGGCTAGTTTTATTGCTCGTGAGTTTGACACCGTCAAACAATCGTATAGAAATTTTGTTCTAATCTATAAAACTTTACAAAGATAACTCATCTGACGCTAATAAAATTGGTTATTTTGTCACAGGACAAGCCCGTCTGAGTTCATTGTCCCATATGATCAATACATGGAGTCTATTAAAAACAACTATTCAATAGGAATGAGATTTAAAATGAAATTTGAAGGTGAAGAAGCTCCGGAGCAGAGGTAGGCAGTGTTTTTTGCATCCTAAAGAATTATTAACCGCGACTTTTCAATTCAAATTCATCAACATTTGTGTCATCATCACCTGTTTCTAATTTTGGTTTTATAGGTTTACTGGAACAATTATCGGTATTGAAGATGCTGATGCAAAAAGGTGGCCCGAGTCTAGATGGAGATCTCTAAAGGTATCCTCTCCTAATTCATAACTCTCATTTCCATTCTGCAATTCTAAAAAGCTTCTATAAATTTTTAACTGAAGGTGAAGTGGGATGAAACTTCAGCAATTCCTCGTCCAGAGAGAGTTTCGCCATGGAAAATCAAACAAGCACTTTCTCCTCCGGCTTTGAATCCGCTTCCCGTGCCTAGACCAAAAAGGTCTCGGTCCAATGTTTTGGCTTCATCATCTGACTCTTCAATTCTCACCCGAGAAGGTATGTTTTTTTATTCATAATGGATCTTTCTTGCTGAGATACATTATCCTATCGGAGAATATGTCTTATCGATCATCTATATGATACAATATAGGTCAATTTAAGGTGACGGCAGACCCTTCGCCTACCATTGTTTATCCAAGGGACTTGCAAGGCCAAGAACCACCAACTATGAGAAGCTCCTTTGCTGAGCACAATAGGCCGGACTCTTTGGAGACGCCGTTGCTATGGAATCCAATTTTGGATAATGGCAAGACCGATATTGCTGCTTTGAGAAGATGCCAAGCAGATAAGAAGGTTCCTTTAGTGCATCCAGAACAATCGTTCACCGATCTTTTATCAGGCTTTGGTTCACAAACCTATTCCCGTGACTTCAGTAAGCCTTTCGGCGATCAAGCTGCTTCGAAGGGACAATTTCAAGGTCTCGATCCAAGTTTCAGCTTAATTGGGAACAACTGGTCTATTAGCCCTGGTCTTTCACTTAAGCTGATGGATCCTAGCTTGAAGAATTATATGCAAGGTTCGAATCAGACAAGCAGAAATGCTCGATACGGTGCTTTCGAAGAGATTTGCATGAACACGGATTCTAGAGGTGAATATCAACAGGCAGATTGTTGGATGACCTCGCCTGTTTCGCATTACCATCATCCACCGGTTGCTCGGTCGAGAGAACTCGTGCCAAGATCTTTATTTCCGCAACAGCATGATAATGCTGTGAAGGCCAAGGAGGGGGACTGCAAGCTTTTTGGTATCTCACTCACAAGCCATTCTGCGCCGCTGGGAGCATCACAGCTGCAGAAAGGCGTGGCAATCGAGTCGTTGGATCACATGCAGCCTGAATTCGCATCTGATCAAAGGTCTCATCAATTAAAAGGTTTGAAAGAACAAGAGAATCAGCATCAAACCTTTCCTTCTGTCGACAGAGACCTGCAGAACAAAGGCCATTCTTCTTCGACAAGAAGTTGCACCAAGGTTCTCATCTGGAACATTTCTATCTTTGTGTATATATATATATATATATTGCGAGAATGACTGAACATTGTTCTTGCAATTTCAGGTTCATAAACAGGGGTCTGCCCTTGGAAGATCAGTGGATCTAGCCAAGTTTGGCAACTACGACGACTTGATATCTGAATTGGATGACCTCTTTGAATTCAACGGTGAACTCAAGGCCAAGAACAGGAACTGGCTGGTCGTCTACACCGACGCTGAAGAAGACATGATGCTTGTTGGAGACGATCCATGGGAGTAAGATTTCCTATTTTCTCTAATCAGATATACATATGGTAATCTTTTGCCTGCCTCAACTTCGAAATAGGGCAAATCCTAATCATTCATACCGTTTAAAACAGGGAATTTTGTGGCATGGTTCACAAGATACTAATCCTTACGAAAGAAGAGGTTCAGCAGATCAATCCCGGAACCTTCAATCATAAGGGCGAAGAAACCCCATTGGTAGCAGAAGGCATGGAAGCTAAAGAAGTGAAGAATTTGCCAGCAACATCATCAAGCCAATAAAAATCTAAAGAGGTCTTACACATTGTGCTTGTGTTTTGTTTCTCATATCCTGCAAAAACCATTCGATGAATATGAACTATTTTTCTTATGGCAGGCATCAAAGAGCGAGAAGAACCACTGCACCTGGCGTGATTCTCTTATACATGGATATAGATGATGACTTCTTCGATATTTTTCAATTTTGAACCCCTTTTCGTTCTCAATTATACATATGCCCTAAGTTCTTAAGTACACAATATGACATATATGAGCTTGGTGCCTAGCTGCCTCTGTACATATTATACCCACCCTCCCCCAACTCTACCCCAGCTTCCATGTGATTAGAATATATATATAGTATGCTTCGGTTGCGGCTGTATGGATGATTTCACTACTTAGTAGCTTATGGTATACATATTGGTGTGGGTATTATTAATGTCTCGTCATATATATATATATATATTGTATAAGCACACACGCTTCGATTCCTACATTCATAACATAAGCTAGAGAAAACAGCATGCAGGTTCCATTGCTTCAAAGAAGTTGTCCTAATTCAATGAAAGAAAACAGTGATGGAAGATATTTGAACAGAGACAGGTTTGGGGACTCCCCTTTCTCTTACAGACTTGAATTCTTGTCGAAATATATATATATATATATATATATCTGAGCTTTGTTCACATGATTCCATGGCAGGCAGCTGAGTCCAAGAGTAGTGCCTTTATTTGATCAGCATTCAGATCTTGACCTTCCTTGCACTGCTGCAAAATAGATCATGTCAATCTTTCATGTAAGTAGAGTTCTTATCATTTTAATTTTTTTAGGTGAATTACATCTTTTGATTGAGCATAATTACAAGAGCGATGAGAAGGAAATAAGAATTATTTGCAGACATGGTAAGGACCAAGATGACGAAAGGCTCTATCTAAAAATATACTATTAGAGCTCTTAAACGAACCCACTATTTCATGAGCCAAGTTTGACTCGGCTCGTAAACAACTCAGACTTGTCTCATTTATAGAGATAAACTAAATGAGCTCAATCGCTCATGAATTATTATTTCTGTAAACGAACTGAACTCAGGTTGTGAATAGCTCGATTAAGCTCATTAGACATTTCCATCTTATAAATTCTATTTATACAATAATAATTCAAAAAATACAGTTGCTACAATATTTTTACTCCAATTCATAAATATTTGATTTTATATATTATTTTAAATAATTTTTTATATTTACAATTATAACTCAAAAAATAAAAAATAAATCAAAGGGGCCGATATACAAAAAGTTAAAAAGAAGGCAAAGCTCATTATTGGCGTCAAATTTGGGTCGGTTGGAGCAAATCGACACCAAATCCAATCGCCATTAATGTTGGATTGGAGATACTCTTAGTAATGATATATTTGTATTATTTCATATATTAATATAATATATAAAATTTTTATGTCAACTTACATTTTTTATGACTCATTAAATCCGAATATTTTATTATAATAAAATGTGTATTTATTTAATTTATATATGGAAAAAAAAAATAATATGTATGAAATGTAAGTTAGAACTTGAGCTCGAGCTTAAAATCAAGGCTAATGAGTCAAGACTCACTCACCATTTTAGTTCGAATTTTAAACGAGCCGAGTCAAACCTGCATCAATAGTATGTTCGAGTCGAGCTCGAACAAGCGATATTCAGCTCGCTCGGCTCGTTTAACAGCTCTACTACCAAGTACTTTGTATGGATGCAAAGAGAATCTTGTTGTTACCTCAGCTCGGAAAACGTCCATGGCGAACCCATTGAAGCAGCTAATAACAGCCTGTTGAATGTCAAGCCCGAGTCTATCCATCGCCATCATGGTGGACAGCAGCAGCCCCGGCCTCAAGCCGCAGAACATATGAATGTTCACGGCTTTCCCTTCTCTTACCCTAACCTCAACCTGTCCCGACACAATATTAAACCTTCATTGCATCATCCGACTATCAATAAATACAGTCTTAAAACTTTCGAGAACAATGCTCTTACGCTAGCGGGTTGTCCAGTTGTGCTTGACAGCATACTCGGAAATGCCCGCGGGCTAAGCTCCTCTTTGATCATTGGAGCAATGAAAGAGCTACTGGCAGTCGAAGTCGAATTTGAATTTGAATTCGAATTCATTTCAGTTTGAAGATCGTTTATCTTCTGCGTCAGTTCTTTTAAGTACTCGACTGCATCCCCTAGTATCGATGCCCTGTCCATCTGCCAAAAAAAAATCCATCGACTCCGGTCCAAAGACCAGAACATTCGAAATCAATCAACATAGTTTTCGTAGGGATTATTAGTTTCGAAATTGTGATAAAATCGAGCCGTTTCATGTAAGAAAGAATCCGTACCTTGCTGATCTTGGGCACAATGGATCTCAACATATACAGCCTATCATTAAGCCTCTTCCTGCGCCGTCTCTCGGCCATCAAGTTCTTAGCCTTGTACCCGTTCTTCATCTTCCCGTTGCCATTGTCGCCCGTCACTGTGCTATTTGCCTGCGAGCTACTCTCGCCATTCCCAACACTCTCTTCCAACAAACTCACACCATCATCCCTCAAAACCCGGGAGTTGTCTCCGTCCCCGTCGTCGATCAGAACATTCTTATCCACAGTCATTTTCCCTTCACCAACAAACTCACCATTCTTATCTGCCCTCTGCAGCCTAAAAATGTGATCAAATTCACCATTCAAATACCCTAAATTGATATTTGCAAGATTCCTTCTACTAGCTGCTCTCTTCTGAAACAGAGTTGGCTGTAATTGTGACCCGATTGAGGTGACATTATCATCAAGCTGATTGAGAAGCAAAGGTCTATTGAACAGCAATGGATTCCCCTGCATTAATGGCGCCTCTCCAAACCCTAATTCCCCAAATCCTACCCTCCCCAATTGACATCCAAATTGGGGGCTTATATTGAGACTACTGCCTACATACGATTGGAACCCTAAATCATTGTTGCAAACCGCACCAATTAACCCACCCAAATCCCTATTTAAATTCAAACCAACCCCAAAATAGCCACTCTCAAACCCTAAATCGAAGGGGTTGCTGGGGATAAATGGCGTCGAGTAATTGCTCACCTCAGGACCACCGAAATTGTTGAAAGCTGGGGCGGACGACGGAGAACAAGAGGCGGAGGAATCGAGAAGGTGCTCGCCGGCGCCGCCGTACCAATTTGCAGCTTCAACGTCGTCGCGCAAGGGATTGAATGATGAAGCGGCTGCCATTCCCATTTCCATGGCGCCTTTGCCGTTCGCCGCCCAGGAAGCACTCCCTGCCTCTTCCTCCTCCTCCTCCTCCTCCTCCTCCCCTTGGTTTCCTTCCATCCAAAGTCTCGATAGCATTCCTTTAAACCTAATTATTTGCGGAATGAAATTAATCCATCTCAGATTCAGCCACGGAGCTGAGGAGGAGATTGTTTATTCAGAGGAGAAAGGGAAATCGGAAATGGTTTCCATCTGAGACGAGCAATTCGAATGCCTCTGCTGTTGTGCTTGTGTCATCACATTGGGACTGGGAAATCCTACACAGATATATACATACACATATACATACAGATATATATATGTCTGGTGTATATGCAGCATGCGAATTTGGGATAGCCCATGCAGCAGCAACAGCATCATGCATCATCAAAATTTGGCGGTTAGTGTAGATATACTACGAATCGTTTTGTTTTTTGTTTTGTTTTCATATTATATGTAAAAGAGATCATTTTATTTTTTAATTGCTATTAACTTATATATATTTATTTATCAGAATATCCCTTTCATTTCCATCCCACTACTTCTTTCTCTCTTCTAATCCTATGGTATGCATTCCAATATTTTAGTTACTTACACTTAATTCAAATAAATATTTTATTACTTTCCTCGCCCTAATTAAAATCATATTACAGTACGTGTTACTTTAAAATATCTATTTTTTTTTCTGAAAAATAATTATTCATTAATTTTTATATGAATGGTTACGGTGCTGCACATATAATTTATGCAAATAATACATATTTTTATTACACACAGCACATATGATTTGTTCAGACTTATGTGTTGCATAAGATCATATTATATGATAAAATTAATTATGTGTTATATGTAGTTATAGCATACTCTTAATTTATGTATTGTATTTATTGTTAATTGATGTGTTATATTTATAGTATATTAATATAAGGAATGTGCATCACATCACTGCAGCCGCAGTTATATATCCACGCATGCAAGTGTTGATGTAGGAGTTGAATTTATAGCAAGTGTTGAATTTATAACCGTGAGATCATGGATTCAAAACCCCAGCCTCAAGTCACTTGCCACGCATGCTTCTACGCACTGTCGTATATTAAAAAAAAAAAAAAAAAAAAACCATTATATAACTTTCCCTTTAAATATTTAGATTAAGTTATTATTTGTATCTCCAATATATCTTAAATAAAAATTGAGAGTCGAAAGTAATTTATTTATTTAAGAAAATAAATATAAAAACATACTCAAGTAAACGCCTCCTTATTTTTTACTGTGTCCAATTCTCAAGTATTTGATCGAGCAAACCCGCCAAATGCTTTGAACCAAACGTACCACCATCATTCCACAGTGTACAACCGGTCAATGCAGTTCGTAGCCCTAACGCTTCCTTAACCCTAGCCTCCCTCAGCAATGCTCTGTAAATCCATTCTCCGATTTCATCCCCAATCGCCAGATTTTGGTTCGCCATTGCTCTCACAACGCGAATCGCCTCTAGAATCATACCGTTTTTGCAGAATCCGGCGACCAGAATGGCGTAGAAATCCGCGTCTTCCACCGCTCCGCCGGGGAAATCCGGCCGCGACAACCACTGGAATACCTTGACTGCGCTCTTTGGCCGGCCGTTGCGGAAGAACGACGAGACGAGCATCTTCGCGACCGGAAGTATGACGGCGGAATTTGCGGTGGTCGGATTGTGCTTTAGAGAGTTGAGGAAGTGCATAGGGAGGGTGAGATCATGCTCGAGAGCGAGGCCGTTGGTGATGGTGGAGAGCGGAAGAGAGCTGAGCGGTGGATTGGCGGTGGAGAGCGCGGCGGAGAGGAGTTGAACGGCGTGTTTGAGGTGGTTTGAGGAGCAGAGGCGGCGGACGACGTCGTCGATTTGCTTAGCTTCTTCGTCGGTGATAGTACTGTTCGCAGTTGCGGTTGAGGTTGTGTGTTTTCTGGATTGTCTGCTTGCCGGAGGAGACGAGTGGTGGATATGCGGATTCCGGTGGAAGATCCGGAGCTTCGCCGCCGCTGATTTCATGGCGGCAGTTGAATTCGACGGTGGAACTTTGAAACAGAATTGGAAGAAATGGGAGTGAAAATGTGAAGAAGTCTAATTCGCCGGTGGAACTGGAAACTCCCGATTTAGATTTTTTTTTTTTTCCTTTTTTTTAAAAAAAGTAAAACTAGATATATTATAGCTCCATTTAGATAGATTGTTTATTCTTATTCAACAATAATAAAGTTGTAAAAATCAAATTTCATAGATTTCTTTTTTTTTTTTTTTTTTTACAAATATATTTACTTTGTCGTCATATTATTAGTTTTATTCTTTATATTATTTTTAATTATCAAATATTATTAAAATATTATTTTTTTAAAATTACATACTAAAAATAAATAAATATTTTCAAAATAAATAAAAAATAATATATTTTTTTCTAATAAAACATCATGGGTGTGTCCATCAATAAAAAAAAAAAAAATTGACTCATTTTAAAATTAATATTACAAAAAATATAATATATAAATATACTTACCCAATATATATTTTTATATAAAAAACACAGCCATTACCTACACAATACAATTTGCCCACAAAGAAAATAGCCATTAAAGTGGATACAAGGAAGACGTTTCCAAATCAGATGTGATTTGCAAGACCTAAAAGGAATCATAATTTTCTTACAGCATTCATTCTTACAAATTTCTCAATAATAATAATAATAATAATAATAAATTCAAGAGAGATACCTTATATTTGCTTGTTACCTTACCTTATCAAGAATAAAAACATCTAACAAGAACAGCAGTAGTTAGAGATAAAAAAGAAAAGAAAAAGTGATTGATTTGGTTCCAACATGAGTAATAAGGCTTACACATGTCCACCGGAGCTCCTGCAAAGTCTCCAGCTTTCTTTAAATTTCATTTCGAAGATCTTCCATAGTTGTAGGTTAACAGCTCCTACGGCTTTGCAACAGATCCAAACTCGTCACAATCAGTTAGATACTATCCCAAGTTAATACAAAACATGTCGAAATGATCGAATAGTAATGGCTAAGAAGTGAAACTATGAAGTGATATATATATATATATATGTCTATTGAAGATGTACCTAAGAGTTTGAATTTTGCAAAGTGATCGTCTGTCTTATTAGCTTAATTTCATGTTGTCGGCATTGTCATTGTGGATGAACCCCGGCCCATGGGAATGACATTAGGGACTCCCTCGATCGGTTCTTCCTCTCCAATGGAAGCTGCATAAAACATTCGATTTCACAACTTAGAAATCAATTATTCGTCGAATTAATGGTGGGGTGTGAATATATTTTATGGAACATGGATTAAACTTGCCGGTGACAGCTTCTCCTGCTTGGGATCCGGCAATTCCGATGCAAGAGTAGAGAGAATTTTCATCTATCTTCAACTGCTCATACGCAGCATACACATTGTCGACAGTAGCAGCTTCGTATAGCAATGTCAGATCTTTGATGCAAGAAATGTCCTGCATCATGCCAAACAAAATTGTATGAAAATGATTCATCAAGCATTGGTGTTATTTGAAGAATTTGCAGTGAAGATTTCGATATTTACCTTCATAGGGACATATGTAGCTTGCAAATGAGCCATCAGCCCTAACCAATACACATTCGACTTGATTTCAGCTTCATGTCGCATAAGCAATGTCCGTCTTGCCTGAGTATGAAAAAGCAAGAAAGTTACTAAGGGTGTGTTTGTCTGAGGATTTGGATTTTGAATTGGGATTTAAATAGTAAAAATTTTGAATTGAAATAGTTGTATGATGTCATACTTTGAATGTAAAATTGATTTTTGGAAAAAAATTTGATGAATAGCAGACTTTTGATAAAATTTCATAGACGAAACACACCCTCAACAGCCCTAAAACTTGGAATCCCTTTGTATTACGAAGAATATACGGAAAGTATATTTGGCACACGAGAACTCACCCTATCCAACTCCCTCGCCGCAATGCGGTTGGTGTGCAGACCTCTGAGGACATTCTTGCAAGCATCAACAGCTTTATGTACCTGAATATTTTATAAATTAGGGAGAGATATTTAGACAACCATGTCACATTGTTATAGAATATATAGAAATGTTATATTCAAGGAAAAAAGCACACCTTGGCAGGGGTTGATGTCACTGAGATTACATACCACCCGAGCTTCAACCGATCAAACAGGTTTAGTTCAAATGATACATCATATGTTAACCCAAGAGAATCCCTCACTGTTGTAAAAAGCCTACGTGAAGACAGATACATGTAGAGTGATTATTACCAAACTATACACAGACTTATCTTTGTTCAATGTGTAAAATGCCTGAATGAATGAACATTGATGACTACAGTTGATGTTGGGACACATAAATACCTGGAGTTTATGATCTCTTGTAGAAGGCCCATTGTAATGGCAAAAAACAAGGGGTGAGATTGTAATCTTCCTTGTAGATCCTTGTCGGCATGTTGTACTTCGCCTGTTTGTTCTTCTGAGTTTGAGGATTCAGCTGGACAATAATTCATTCATGTATCTTCAGATGCGTATCATTATATAGATCACAACTACCAACGACTAATTTGAACTACGTAACTTTGAAAAAATATAAAAATTCTAAGGCACATGTTGTAGCTAATACCACCAATATCAAGATCACGGCTAAACTTATAATTTATTAAGAACAACAATTGTCGCAAGTGTTATATCCCAAGCAGACTCAACCAAAATTTATAGTTCCATAGATTGCACAACACAAAAAAAGAAGATACAGTTTTCAAATTTCATTAAACCTATGACGAAGTACTTGGGGGAAATATATATATATATATACATATAAATATAAAGCAAGAACTTACCAATTTTGGAAATATTACTGATTGACTCAAGAAGATACTTTCCCTCATAAGTAAAACCCCATCGATTTGGGGCTGGACCAGCTATGTATGCACATGCCCTCTCATCTGTGTCCTTTAAGTATACCTGTAAGTGCAATTATAGAGCAAAACTTGAGGATGAAATGAATAATGATACATTAGAGAATATATATTCAATGAAGCCAAAATGTAAATGCTTCAATTTGCAGTAGAGATAATACACTCCATTAAACACTTAATTTCTTACTTGTTGGTGCTGTAAATCAGCACTATATGGCCGAAATGTGATGGGGCTGTATTGTTGTGCTCTCTCATATCCTCTTCTTTCTCTAACTGTACCCAAGTACTCCAAAATACATGATTCGATATCCTCCTCCGAGAAGTCTCCAACAACACTAACCTGTCAATTACGAAAAGAAGTAACTAAAAGAAGTAATAACCTGTTATTACTCAAACGATGAGAATTTACTTAGATGTTTTCATATAGATTATATAGGTTAAATACTGCATAGCAAAGAAGTAACTAAAAGGATGCAAAGAACAAACCTCCATGTTGTCAGTGACGAATTGACTCATCACAGCATCCTTCACTCGTTCTAGTGTTAACTGCTGTAATGAATTTGGTGTGGGTTCAACAAACCGCTCGTCTCCATCCAGCATGGAAAGCATGAGCTTGTGGGCTGTGGAACGCTCCAAGCTTTTGGGTATTGACCGGTAATAGGACATGTATAACTGCTTTGCCCTATCAAATGCATCATCCAACCACACACTATGCTGCAAAATTGTCTTAGATATTCAGGGAAAGGTAACCCATCGCGTGCATGTGTCAAGAAGATGATGAATAAATACTTTGTAATATTACCTCAAGTACCATATGAAGTAACTGAAATGCAGCTCGCATCCCATCATCTCTTAGCGTAAAACGGAACTCCATGCATATAAATTCCTCAGTTGACTCGAGGGAACAATTTATCAGATGATTTACACAGAACATTTCAACCTGGAGACCAAGAAGGAATTCTGATTATAATAAAAAGCATAAATATTCACACTGACTTCATCTGAATAACTACCGAGCAATTTATTCATAAAATAATAATAATGATAAAATATTAACATTCAAGAATGCATTCTGTTAAGCACCAACGGTCCCCGTATGGAAGAGCAGTATAATGATATACTCAGAGATTGTGGATGGTAAAAAGCAGTGAATAAAATTTTTTGTCCATTCACCTGCTCACGCGAGAAGTTCCCTACTCGGCCTCCTTCGCTCAAAGTTCGAACACCTACAATGACAGCTCCCCTAGCATCAGCATTTTCAGCTGCTCGTCCACCACCAACTATGAGTCGCATAACACCACTATTGGTCTCATTTTTTGATATCTGTTACAAAAATAATAAGAATCACATGTGAATGTTATTGATAAAAATCTAACATAAAAAGAATAGAAAGATATAGTAATCTTCATAAGATCTAGGGGAGTTTTTTTTTTTATATAATAACTGTAAACCAAGATAATTATGGTTTGTGGGTGGGAGAGAAGGTAGGAGCTTAATGTCCAACATGTTGTTTTGGTAAAAATCATTTTAGCAGATAAAAACCTAGAGAAGCAAATACAGATGCTGTTCCAATAACAATTGGAAATAGGAGTGGTTTTACCAATACCTTGAAATATGACTGCCACACCTAAAAATACTAAAGTGGAAGGGGTATGCGGCATTTACATTTACTTTATATAGTTTCTCAACAACAATAAAGGGAAACAAAATATTTACCTTGTAATTCACAGGAATTCCATTTGAAAGACGCCGCTGGACAATTCCTGTATCCTCATCATAAATTCTTGTCACCTTTTGTTCTTGGTCAGCAGGAATGAAAGAGGGGCTTCGCAGTAACCTTAATTCTTGCAACTGTTCTGTAGATATCAACTCTGTTGGCACCTCAAGCTGCAGAAGAAAGGGAACAGATTCAAATAAAACTCCAAAGTTTGTAGAACTGGGTGGAGAAAGTAATTTCAAGTACTTGTCTACAAACGTAATACAGAGCATAGGAGGCAGCAACACCATCAGCAAAATAAATTATAAATGACTATACAACAGTTTTTAATGTAGAAACCTCAGGTTCTGCCTCTATGGGTTCCTTCAAACCAGCTTCTATAGAAGCCAAAATCTCTTCTGGCTCTATCTTAAATTCAGTTTCACCAACTCCATCGATGTGCACTATCTTTGGTACGCATGCAACAATTGCAGCTGGAGGCCGTGAAGATGGTTTCCCGAAATCAGATATGAACTCTAACACCTCTGCACCAACAGAATTGACCTGATGCATAAAAATACATGTTCAACCATCAATTTAGAAACTTCATTTTATCAAGTTGTCACATGAGATTTTCCTTTTGGTTACTTCTAGGTACAGATTGAAAAACTAAAAAGAAGGTATCTGCTAACATATTCAAAACATTTATAATGCATCCTCAGGGGAAGGATGCAGTGAGGATACCTCCTCTAGGGTGACTGTCCCAGCAACAGCAACCAAACACTCGTGTCCTTGTCTTTGATCCATTACGGTATGGCCAAGTGCATCACTTTCCATAATGAAATCTAAGTTATCCACTGATGATATGTTGTCAATCATGGAAGCCAACTGTTCGCTGTCCTTCAACAGAGCATCTAAATAACGGGCCAATTCACCATTTGTAACACCAAATACTTTCAGCCTTCTCACCTGTAATGTTAAACACACACACACACAAGGATGAAACAGAACATAAGTGAAGCCATACTGTTTCAAGAAAAAACAAAGCACTAGAAGGGGATCCATCCTATTCATGCAGAACATCAAATAACATTTAAGCACAAAACAAACCTCCTGCACAGCAACTTTAATTGCATTTTTCCAATTTTGAGGTTCTGCAGTAACAGTAAGAGTTGTGACCGTACAACCTTCCCTTCCTGAATCACTATGGTCCAATTCCACCGATGTAAATGGGGGATTTGAACTCTGGAAAAATGCTAAAAATTAGTGCCACTACTAGAGATCCAAGCTAGAAAACAGACTGTTCAGAGACGGATAGCAGTGTGAACTAATACACCCTAAAGCATAGTAATTCAATGCACCTGGTATCTAGTATTGATTCGGAAATGCAAGGCGGAAAGAAATATCCTTTTCATCAGAACATTTCGCAAATCTCCGTAAGTACGGACCTTGTTGACAGGAACCTGAAAAGAAATAACAATAAACTCATAAATTACAGGGCAAAAATCTTTTAAATGCCTTTCCAACTGTACTCAGGATACATAGCACCGAAAAATGTAAAACAATAAAACTGGACAATGTCTCACCAATTATACTCTGGGATGGGAAACATCTTTATTTAATTGTTGGGCAGTTGTAAATTAATATTTGCTAGAAATGACCAAATAGGTGTATCTTATCTGTTAGAAGTTTAGCATAGGGTAAATTACATTTTATATGTCAAGAACTTAACAAGATTCAAGATGTATAGAAAATGATCCCTTCTAAAATCCAAGTTGATCAAGAATATGAATCCAGAAATTGGTTCTTATAAGCTAAACATTAAGTAAAGGTCAAGCAAAAATGATACCATATCTCACTCGATGTTCCACTTTTCAACTCAATCACATTTACAATATCCAGTCAGATCATTCAATCATAACCGTTCATTTATTGCAATTGGAATGATACCCCCCCCCCTCCCCCCAAATAAACACACTACTATTTGTATCAAACTCTTCTGTTCTATGCCAATCCTCATAAGCAAGGTTAATATCAACTATATACTTGGTAAAAAATATAACAATCTATAAAGATGTAGATACAACGATGGCTATCATTTAAAATACCTTGCAGAAAAAGTTAATGGAGAAATTCTGAAGCAATTCGTGCTGAAATATCTGAGGAGATTTCTCTTCGCCATAGCTTCCAGGAATGGACCAGTTATGCTGGACAGGAGGACGAACAGCATGCCTTTCCCTTCTGATATTTGTTGATGGCTCCACAGAAGCAGGTGGCCTATCCTGTGATAAGCCATTAGTAAGTCCGACTGACAGCTTAGGAACTAGGAAACTTGCTAGTCCACCAAAAGATCTTGGTGTATTTGCAGGAGTTGGTTCACTTTCTACACCAGTCTGTCCAAAAACTGCCTGTGAAATGACTTCAATGTTAACAAATACTTCAGAAGTAACTGCCTAAGATAACTCAAATTGACACAAAGCAATATCCCTGGCTAATATTATCTTGAGAGTTGGATAGTTAATGAATTAGCAATTACATACTTCAATGTGGTTGACCGTCTTTGAAATGTTATCAATGTCCCCAACGATGTATAACGTGGCATTAGCAGGAAAGTACCAACGCTCGTGGAATTTCCTGATCTTATCAGCATCCCATTTCTTAATCTGCTCCTCTAGACCAATAGGAAATCTTTTGCTCAACTTGTTCTCAGAATGTAAATGTTGCAACAGCTATGTCAACCAAACATCAGACGGGTAAAGAACAAGAAAACTTCAGACAGAGGAGACAAAAGGAAGAATATAATTAACATTTTGTCCATTTCTTGAGGTAAATACCTGACAATCAACACGGTACTCTATAGTATTCATCATTTGTAGTTCTGACAAAATTGCCCGTCTCTCCTTTTCCACACGAGAAGCCAGAAACTTTGGCTGAAAAGCAATCTGTACTTACAAAATACAGTAGCGATGCAAACAGAAAGAAGAAACAGTCAAGACTTCAAGTAAATCCACAATCCAACCTCTACAAACAATAATATGCAAAACAGAAATCTACAGAAAAATAGAAACAAATAACAAAAAATAAAAAATTTGTACCTCATTTAGAGCATCCAGAACAACAGGCAACAAATCCCCATCAGAGTCCTAAAACACAAAAGTCCCACTACATTAAAAATAAAATAGAAATAGGAAAAAGAACTTCAAAAGAATAGATGGAATTTAAACTAACATAACATCATATAGACTTTGGTGAAAAATACACAGATAAGACAGTATGTAAACAAGATGAATGCATGTTTGTCCCAAACAAATAGTAAATTAATTATAGTTTTTCTTATCTAGGTGATAATCATAAGCCGCCTATTCTCTAGCCTAGCCTCATTTTCTCAACCTTTTAAATCTACAACCCACTTCATCCGAGACAACTGGATTTTGTTTCCTAAGAAAAAAAGTGTGGAGTGTAATTTTGCAGACAAGCAAAAGAAGAAGACTGTACAAACCTTGGTACTGGTCGGTGAATGGATATGAAACACTGTGTGATGAAAATCAGTGTAAGCGTTAGATCTTGCCCCAGTTCCAAGAAGTTTCTCACGTTTCTTACTTCCAAGGAATGCAACATGTTCAATCATATGAGCAATTCCTTGCTCATCTTCTTCCTCATCAATGGACCCCACATGAACTTCCATGTGAGCTTCAAATCTATACTTGAAACATAACAACATAAGGGATACAAACAAGAATGAAGGAAAACTTTTCTGCCGATTACACCTGTAGGTTCATGGGTTTTCACAACTATTTGTCACTAAATATCAGTTCCACTAGCACAAAAGAGATACTGGATTCTAGATTAGTGCTACAGAAGTCCAAATTCTTTTCAACTGATCCCAACTCACTTAAAGCGTATTAGTTAATGAATTGAACTCAAAAAATAATTCCAATAGATAAGCAAATATTCTTAGTTTTTTTGTAAATGTGTGGTGAAACAATTAAGCTGGAGTCTTCCATGTTTTCAAAATTATGATGATTTTGTGACCCCCTTAGTTGTTGTTAACTGATACATAAGCTTCATAAATCCAAACTGATAACATTTCTTGTATGAATGGGGTGTAAGTGTAGAAACATCAAGATGAAGTAAAAAATGATCCAACGGCTCTCAAAATGTCTGGAAATAAATCAATTAAGTGGTAGACATGAAAATAATCCTTTTCTCCAACATTTATACTACTTTCAGAATATAACAAGATATAGGAGGAAGTTACTGCCCAGAAAAATATCCTAAGAAGATCCATAGCTATCATAGCTGGACTAAATAAAATTGTGTAAGTTGACAAGATATAAATCACAGTTATACGCCACTTATTTTCACACTAGTAAAACTGTTATAATAAATGTTTTCTAGTGGATTTGGTTAGGAACAATCTAATGCATGTAAGGCATCCAATGAGTAGTGTCTAACAGTTAATGTTAAATAATAGTACCTATTCGGAGGAACTTTATTTGGCAAAATGAGGTAGCGTAGACCATTCTTCAGTTGTCCTCTATACAATTTCGGGTGAGAAGGAACCTCAATTCGTAAAAACTTCTCAAATTCTCTTCTCTCTGCTTCGGAATCCAAACTCTCCATTCCCTGATTTTCCATAACACCATCAGGCCAGGTTGTGCTTGCAGCATGTGGCTCGTCCGGGCCAACAGTGGCACATGAAACATGAGCCTTTCTAGCCTGAAGAAAAAAAGTGATAGGATATAGGCTATAAGATGACATGTCATAGAGCTTCTTATAACAATGAATCAGACAAAACCAGCCATCACTCATCGCCTTAGTAATTCTACATGCAACAAAATAAACCATGTAGCATGGATATTGGACACAAAACAACCAGAAACTCAATCATGAGCTAGTGGAACCAACAGAAATGTGCGAATGTGGGAATAATTTGGAAACATAAACACCTTTAACATTTGATGAACTAAAAATGTTCAAATGTGGTTTGCCATGTTATATATGCATCAATGTCAGCTTCCTTGCTTTTATCTCTTCCATCCTCATAACTGAGCATTCCCCAAGGAAACAAACAACATAAATGATAAGAAAGACTGCCCATGGGAAAGAATTACTGAATACTTCAGAGTTGTCCTTTACTGTCGTGGGAATGGAGAATGATCCTCTCTTGTATTGGAAGGATTGAAAAAAGAGCAAAATTATTAACACGTAATAAGACATGATGGAAGAACAAATACAATCCATTTTGAGCAACAGGGTAAATTTATTAGCACATTCAAGCTCCTCAAGCCCTAACTGACAATTAGATGGCATAGATATTAAACATTGCAATCTCGTAAGAATAGCGTGTAAGAAGCTGACTTTAGAAAACCCAGTGAAAATAGATTCACCTAATAACCAAGTATCAGAATACAAATATCTTCAATGAGTGCCTTACTTGAGCATAATAAATTTTGGGTTTTGGAAAATGGAAAGCTGACTTGTCTGCAAAGAATCCAGATTTGAATCTGTTCAGGCCAATTTGCTTTCTTTTGCAAGATTGGAAACACCGTATATGTTGATGTGTATCTGCAAATTTTGATAGAGGCTTCAATTCTTTTAGCTCAGATGAATAACCCCTCCAAGTATTCTGCAACAAGGCATGTCAAAGGGCGTGATAAGTAAGAGGTGGGAAAGGGAAAAACAAAGGAAAACAAAAGGACATTATTCAAGGGAGAACACAAGGAAATTAAAGTATAAGAATTTCAAATCAGATGAAAGCCCAAACCAGAAACTTCAAACCAAAAGTTATATGATCATTGCATATTCAATAATACTATTTTTAGTTTCAATCATTGGAGCTTAATTGGTTAACAAGACTTGTAGAGAAAAAAATCATCACATTATCTGTTTGTCTTAACTATATCCCAAACTTCCCCCGCTACATTACGTTGGTTGAGGATTCAAGCCAGTATGGTGTTTTAACAAGTGTAGTGTTAAGTGAACCGATAACCTCGAGATTAACAAAAGAAATAAATGTCAAGGCCTACAACAGCAACTTAACCTATACCTTTCGACAAATTATATCCAATTCCTCATTCTAAAATTGTATTTTAAAGAATACTATTCATCAAAACAAAGTTCATGGCAAAATTTAATGGCTTCTCCAAGAAAATTTCATTTCACCAGCCAGTGTAACTTTAAATCAATCAGTTCATGTCCATTCCTACACATAATATGCCCAAAATTTTATTCTCTTTGCACACAAAGAACTCCCGGGATTAAAAGTCAATGTTAAAACTTATTCTTTCAGAATTCCAATTTACATGATGCATACATAAACAACATCTGGAAACAACTCTTCACAGTTACTGATTCCCACTGATAATCATGAACTACACCAAACATCCTCTTTGGCCATAATACCATATATTCGACAAAATTAAAAACAAGCATCAATTATTCAACATTTCTGAAAGCTCAAACAACACTATACTCAAAGAAATCAACCTCAAACTCCACATAAAATAGAACAGCACGACGAGAAGCATAACAAACAACAATATCCGCAGCATAACTTACAATCATCAAATATATATATATATATATGAGAAACGAGCAAAGGAAACTTCCAACCTTACTTCTAACAAGAAATGGTCGGCTGCAGCGACCTCTCTGCGCGCTCGAACCAACGGACTTCTTCAACTGCACCCGATTAAACTTGGCAGCAAACACAACACAATTGGAGCCATCCGTAGTGTGATTGAAACTGCTGTTGGAATTAATCGGCACCAAAACCGGCTTCGTGTTAAACACAACGGATGAGCCCTGCATATCTGCCGTTGGTCGGTAATTCCCAATACAATTTGGTGCTTCCTTGGAAGCAAGAACAAGAATCGAAATCAATGGATATTGAAGAAAAATCAACTGTGTAATTTGCTTGGGGTGGTTTATATAAATATTGTAATCTCAGAGGACGCAGTGTAAGTGGTGAAGAATTAGCCAGCTTGCCTCAGATTTTTTATTTTTATTTTTTAAATTTCTTCCATGTCAGGTCTATTTTAGTTATTTTTATTATATTTTAAAGATATTTTGTCATTTTAATTTATTTAATGTTTCATTGTAATGAAAAATTCAACTAATTTCGGATTTAAGTTTTTATATATATATATATATATATATATAACAACTAGTCTCGTAATAAATAATAATAATAATAATGATAAATAAATAAACTGGTCTCGTAATGATGAACTTAACATTGGGCCTTTTAAAAATTGACCCAAAACTTATGGGCCTTCTTTAAATGGGCTATTTTGTGGGCTTACTAAATGGGCGTTGACTGGATTTAGACTTATGTGCTATCTAGCCCTAAAATTTAAAATCCCAAATCTAATTCCAGTCCGCCGCAGATGGCGGTATCTGAAATACCCTCACAAATCAAATCGCTCTCATTCCGTCGATTCCCCGCAGATTGCCGCCGGCCGCCGTCCCCCGTCCCCCACCCTCGCAGTGGCGCGGTATGCACAATCCTGTACGTCTCCTCCCTCGCACTTTCGGATTCGCAGCCTCGCCGCGTCTTTCAATCCCTCCCAAGGTATGAGCGTGTTTCTTATTCTTTGTGCAATAGCAAGTTCTTAACATTTGACGCATTTCCTATGGTTTTATTCATGTTTGATCACTCTGTGGAATATGTGTTCATGTTTTATTCATTTTCCGTAAGCATAATTAAGGTAGAACATAAGCTTGTTGATTACATACATGCATATCCCTAGCTTGTTGATGTAGAAATGAGTGAAGGAAAACTAGGCGACCACCAACGTTGAAAAACGAAACAGCTCTAGCATTTTAATGTTCGACAAAAATGACAAATCTCAATCGAAACTACAACTTGTAGTGCTGTGCATCAGAGATCGGAATTCAGATTTTTTAAACAAATTTCGATATATACAGGTGGTGTAACGAAGATAATTTCGGTATAGTCTCTATATACGGCCTGCCCTGCCGAAGATTTCAGTATACGGGAAGAATCTTCAAGTTTCTTCTTCATTTCATGTTGCAATTTATGCGATCTCTCCAACTCTGCCATTAGAGGCCATAACCTTCCATTTCTCAGCCTCAACATTCAATTCCGCAGCAATCTTCTCTGTTTGAGTCACAAGCCCCTATATAGTTTCTTTGAGGTTTGCATACGGTTTGAAAATTTGAATTTTCAATTTAAATAATTACATGATGTAGCATTTTAAATATGTTAATAATAAAAGAACAAAAAAATATAGGCATATTAAAATTTGTATAAAGATAAATAGAAAGGATTTTTTGAAGAACTAAAAAAAAACTGTGCACCCCAAATTTGTACTTTAAACTATACCCAATTGTCAATACAAAGTTTTTTATATACATATTTTAACAAAAGAATGGCTTTGTTTACTTTATCAGTTTTTATTTATTTGGAATTATATATTTTTTTTTACAAAAACATCAAATTAAATAGTATTAAAAACAACAAAATATTTCATTAAAATAATACTTTTTCTGTCAAGATAGAAATATGTATACCATGGAGAGTATTATAATTTTTTATTACACTTTAATTTTATAATTTTCAATCATTTATCAGAAAAGCCAAAACAATTTTAAAAAAAAAAAAAACACAAACAAATTCCCAAGCTCTACACGATTTTGGTTTCAGTGCTGCACATTGAGCTGAGCATGAGAGAGAAGCAAATGGCTGCCCTATCAAAATACTGCCAAGCCAACGCACCCGAATTTTCCCTCCCATTTCAGCATTAGGCGGGAATCTCGAACGACATCGTTTCAGCCCTTCTCTTAAAGCGACGTCGTTGCTGTTGTATGGCCCACGTCACCTGCACACTGCAGCAAAATGCCTAAATTACCCTCTATGTATTTTCTTAATTCCGTTACCCATCCCTAGAATTTCCTCTCAAATTACTACTTTGCCCATCCAACTGGAGCAATTTCCCTTTCTGGGAGGGGTTTTTCCGTCCATTAACCACACAGTCGCTGCCCTTTCGGTGGCAATATCCGTAATTCTCAGCCAAACCAGGGTCCTTTTCGTAACCTCTGTCCATATAAAGGCGGGTTTCGGTGCCCTTTTAATTCGTTCTTCGCTCTCACAATCCTTTGCTCGAATTTCTCTCATTTCTGATTCTTCGAAGAAAATTTTCTCCCTTTTTTCTCTTCGAAGAATTCAAGATTGTTTTGCTTTCTTCGTTCCTCTGTAAATTTCGATTTTGGTGTTTTCTCGTGGTTTTTTCTTCAGTGGTTCAATCTTCGCAGAACAGCGCCGCTCGAGAAATATCTTTGTTTATTGTTTTTGCCTCGGGGGATATAAATGCGCGAAACCCTAATACATCTTTCGTGTCGCGCCGACTTGAGAGGCAGGTGGTTTCTCAAACCGACTTATAATTTCAATTTCAAACTGGACTTAAACAGTCACTTAATCAATTTAACGTGTTTTTGGATGGGTTTTTGCTTTGCGAAGGGAGCTTGTTTGATTTGTTCGGCTTTGTGGAACCCTAGTTCCCCAAGGGAAATGTGATTTGGGGGAATATAGGTTTCTGGGTTCGGCTGGGGATTGGGCGAATGAAACGCTAGTTCTCGCGAGATTTTGTGATTGAACTTAGTCTTGATACGTTGATGAAGTTTAATAACTTGCTTCTGATTAACAAAAAATGCTGTATGGGATTTTGAACGTGGTTTGGTGGATTTGGAGATCATGGGGCATTTTCGGGATTTACTCGATTCTATGTAAACTTCCTCTTATTGATTTGGGTTAAGAATGTAGGTTTATTATCTGGAGTTGCATGTTGTGAAAATTAGGGTTTTGGGCCCTGGAATGATTGGTGTACTCTGAGTTTGATAGAATTCTCAACGGGCTTGTAGGTGAGACTAAATGTTATTTAGCAAGATTTTGTACAGGAATCAGGGCATAATTTGTTCCATGGCTAGGAGAAGAAATTAGTGGTTTTTTTTTTTTATGCTGCTTAACTGCTTATTTGGAATGCCTACTGCAATAAGCATTTAGGCCTCAGGAGACTTATTTGGCAGTAGTTTGAAACTTTAGCTTGTTTGATAGAAAGAAATAATGACATTAGTAGCTTATTGAAAGATGTTATGATTGTTATTGACAAATGATCTTTTTGAACTGAACATTTCCATATTTAAGCTGATGTGTTGGACTGTTGGGTTTCATTCATAAAAGGATTGCTGAAGTTTTCTTTTAGACTGTGTTTGCCAATTTTTGACATTGAATTTTCATTGCAGATAACCTGGTTTATTTGCTTGGCTGGGCTTTTCTGAGAATTTAATTGACCACATTTCGAAAAGTAAGTGCTCTTAAATTCCTGTATTACAAAGGCCCGGGGTTTTTTCTTGTTAAACCTCTTAAATGCTTGATCATCGTGATAAAAGCACAAGACAAATGTTTTGAAAATAAATAATATGTCCCGAGGAATCTGCCACGTGTCTTTTAGCTGATGATGCACATGTTATTTACTTTTTTCGGAACTTGTTTTCATGCGAAAATTAGAAATATGCTGTAAAGACTGCTGCATCTAGATTCTAGAATCTTACTAGGCATTGGCTCGCGCTACCGTGTCCAACTTTTTCTGTTGCTTTGCTCTTGTGTTCTTTTCTAAATCTAGTTATTTAGTAACATTTTCTTATTGAAAGTATTTAATAGAAAAAGGTGAAAACATCCCTAAATAACTTCATGCATCTGCGCATGGGTCATGGTTGACACAATCGCAAGAGTGATCAACACTTTGTGACTTCTTAGTTCTTTATATTTTCTTATTTCTCTTAAATTGTCTTTTACCTTTCTCTTACCTCAGCTTATGGGTTGTGATGCTAGTGTTGCAGTATCATTTTTATTCTCAAAAGACTCTTTTTGTGTTGGCAAGAAGAAACTTGATTCTGAAGTTTTAACCTGCTAATTTTTCTGTGATCAGCTGACGTTTCTAAAACATCAATTTATTAAATTGTCTCTACCTATAATGCCATTGCTCCTAAAATGAATTTGCTATTTAAGATTACCTTTTGATTTAGCATTCTCTCTTGAAACTCGAATGTTCCAAGGGTATTTGTATTTGTTGTAGCATCTGATTTGATTTCGCCTCTGTGGATATACTAGCATTATAAATACATTTATGTTATGTTTAATTTTGCGCAATGCGTTGGAAACATGTGCCATCTGCTATATATCTGGCATACTATCAGTGTTGTGTCATTTGAAACTAACTGATATTAGCTGCTTAGGTAAGAAGAAAGTCTTTAACTGTGTTATTTATATATATTTTTTTCAATTTATATTGGGTGTGTCTGAGACTACATAATATGATTATATATGTATTTGATATCAGAAATCTAAGGCCAGAGTGCATGGTTATAGTCTCTTTGCAGCACCACATAACTCCTTTGCAATATAATACAGTTTTGTCTCTTCTGTTTTAAATCAACTTCGTATAAGCATCTAATAACTAGTTCATGACTATAAGAAGTACGGGTGAGCATACCTGTTTATAGCATCATTAGTTGAGTTGTTAATGTTTGAAACATGTTGCATCTGTATATTGTTGTATAACTTTAGTTTTTATCTTTTCATGATGATGTATTCAACTCTACTTTGGATAAGTTATTGAGTATGAAAATCTTGACAGATCGACTTTGACAGTTACTATGCCAGAAAAGCCAAATACGAATGGGGCATCAGCAAATGCTAATGCTTCAAGTGGAAATGCATATGCCATTGATGTTAATACTTTTAGCAAGCGGTTGGAGGCTTTGTACGCACACTGGCGCAAACACAAAGATGAGTTTTGGGGTTCTGCTGATGTCCTTGCTGTGGCAACACCTCCACCTTCAGAGGATTTGCGCTACCTGAAGTCTTCTGCTTTGAATATCTGGTTGCTTGGCTATGAATTTCCAGAGACAATTATGGTTTTTGGAGACAAGCATATTCATTTTCTCTGCAGCCCAAAGAAGGCTGAGTTGCTCAAGGTTGTCATAAAGCCTGCTAAATCTACAGTAAATGCTGATGTTGTCATGCATGTGAAAGCGAAAGGTGAGAGTGGAAGCTCCCAAATGGATTCTTTGTTGGCATCTATCCGTTCCTTATCAAATCATACTCCAGCAGTTGGGCACATAGCTAGGGAAGATCCTGAAGGTAAACTGCTGCAGATATGGTCTAATAAGTTGAAGGAATCTGGTCTCAAACTGAGTGACATATCAGTTGGTTTGTCTGAGCTTTTCGCAGTTAAGGACATGAATGAGATTAAGTGCATAAAGAAAGCAGCATATTTGACTGCTTGCACAATGAAGAATTTTGTGGTTCCTAAAGTTGAAAAGGTGATTGATGAGGAGAAGAAAGTCTCACATGCTGCACTGATGGATGACACAGAAAAGGCTATACTCGAACCTTTGAAGATTGGTGTTAGCCTGAAGGCTGAGAATGTAGATATCTGTTATCCTCCCATCTTTCAGAGTGGTGGGAATTTTGATCTGAGGCCTAGTGCTTCAAGCAATGACGACTTTCTGTACTATGATTCAAACAGTATCATTGTTTGTGCCATTGGCTCGCGCTACAACAGTTATTGCTCCAATGTGGCAAGAACATACCTTATAGATTCACATTCAGTCCAGAGCAAGGCCTATGAAGTTCTTCTTAGCGCTCAGGAGGCAGCTATTAATGCAATAAAGCCTGGGAACAAGGTTAGTGCTGTTTATGTTGCTGCACTTGCTGTTGTAGAGAGGGATGCTCCTGAACTAGTCGCCAATCTGACAAAATCTGCTGGGACTGGCATTGGTCTGGAGTTCCGTGAATCAAGATTAAACCTTAATGCAAAGAATGAAAAAGTAATCAAAGTAGGAATGGTGTTTAATGTTTCACTTGGGTTCCAGAACCTTCAAGCAAAGACAAAGAACCCAAAGAGTCAGAAATTTTCACTGTTACTGGCTGATACAGTTATTGTGACAGAAACTGGCCGAACTAATGCGACAGCAGCTTGTTCGAAGGCTCTTAAAGATGTGGCCTATTCATTCAACGAAGGTGATGAGGAGGAAGTGCCACCGAAGTCTAAGCCAGAGGTGGTGAAGGAGTCTGTGTACACTAAAGCAACTCTTAGATCAGACAATGGCGAACTTTCAAAAGAAGAACTCCGCAGGCAGCACCAGGCAGAACTTGCCCGACAGAAGAATGAAGAAACTGCACGACGTCTTGCTGGTGTTGGAACTGGTAGTGGAGACGGCCGGGCTGCTGTTAAGGCAGCTAATGAGCTCGTTGCATATAAGAATGTTAATGATCTACCTGCTCCTAAGGACATGATGATTCAAGTTGACCAGAAGAACGAAGCCATTCTCCTCCCTATATATGGCTGCATGGTTCCGTTCCATGTTTCCACTGTTAAGACTGTTTCGAGTCAGCAGGATACAAATAGGAATTGTTATGTGCGGATCATCTTTAATGTGCCCGGCACACCTTTCACTCCTCATGATGCCAATTCATTGAAGAACCATGGGGCTATTTACTTGAAGGAGGTTTCGTTCCGATCCAAGGACCCAAGACACATTAGCGAAGTGGTGCAGCTTATTAAAACGCTTAGGCGTAATGTCATGGCTAGGGAGTCTGAAAGAGCTGAGAGGGCTACTCTGGTTACCCAGGAGAAACTCGTGCTTGCAGGAAACAAATTTAAGCCCATACGGCTGCACGATTTGTGGATACGGCCTACTTTTGGAGGGCGCGCAAGAAAACTGTCTGGTACACTAGAAGCGCACGCCAATGGGTTCCGGTATTCAACCTCGAGGGCAGATGAGAAGGTAGACATCATGTTTGGTAATGTAAAACATGCTTTTTTCCAGCCGGCTGAGAAAGAGATGATTACACTTGTCCACTTTCATCTGCACAATCACATCATGGTCGGAAACAAGAAAACCAAGGATGTCCAATTCTATGTCGAGGTGATGGAGATGGTCCAAGCAATCGGGGGCGGAAAGAGATCTGCATATGATCCTGATGAGATCGAGGAGGAGCAGAGGGAGAGGGATCGGAAAAACAAAATAAACATGGAATTCCAGCAGTTTGTGAATAGGGTGAACGATCTCTGGGGCCATTCTCAGTTCAAAGGCCTTGACCTGGAGTTCGACCAGCCGTTGAGAGAGCTTGGCTTCCATGGGGTACCGTACAAAGCCTCGTCGTTTATAATTCCGACTTCCAGCTGTTTGGTCGAGCTGGTGGAGACTCCATTCCTTGTGATTACCCTCAGCGAGATTGAGATTGTGAATTTGGAAAGGGTTGGTCTTGGGCAGAAGAACTTCGACATGGCCATTGTCTTCAAGGACTTCAAGCGCGACGTAATGCGAATCGATTCCATCCCGTCTTCGTCGCTCGATGGCATCAAGGAATGGCTCGACACGACGGACATCAAATATTACGAAAGCAGGCTGAATCTCAACTGGCGTCCTATACTGAAAACCATCACCGATGACCCACAGAAGTTCGTAGATGATGGTGGCTGGGAGTTTCTGAACCTGGAAGCCACGGACTCGGATTCTGATAACTCGGAAGAGTCGGACCAAGGTTACGAGCCCACAGATGTGGAGCCGGAGTCAGACTCGGAAGATGAGGACTCGGACAGCGAGTCTCTGGTGGACTCGGAAGACGACGAGGATGAAGAAGATTCGGAAGTGGAGTCGGAAGAGGAGAAAGGTAAAACATGGGAAGAGCTGGAGCGAGAAGCTAGTAATGCTGACAGGGAGAAAGGGGATGAGTCGGACAGCGAAGACGAGAGGCGGCGGCGGAAAGTGAAGGCGATGGGGAAATCGAGAGCCGGGCCTAGCGGCGGCGCAGCCACCAAGCGGCCCAAGTTCAGGTAGACGTAGATGCCTGCCCTGCCTAGTTGTTTTGTTCCTATTTGTTAAAACTAGACTAAGATTACATACTTAGTAGTAAGTTTTAAATGAGGACAACAGGTTACATGAATGGAATGGATGACTCAAGACTGACTAGTGACTAGCAAGCCCTATCTCTTTCTTTCTTTTGTGATTTTAGATTTGTAAATTAGTGGGACCAGTTTTATTGTGATGAAGAAGGATAGAAACTCTTCTAGTTTTGGTGACTATGTCTCTGTCTCTGTCTCTGTCTATGTCTATGATGATAACATTTGTTTGTTTGTTTGTTTATTGTTTTGTGGGTATGTGGATGTGGTGATGAGATAGATTAGCCATTTATAATTATGAATAATTATGACTATGAGTATGTATGTGTGATTTGAAAATGATGTTAGAATTGAATTTTGCCAACCCCGCCTTCTTCATCTATTTTACATTTTTTTAAGAAAAGAATAAATTGTATTTTAAACATCATTTCTATATGGACAAAACTAGTATTTGTTTGGACCTGTTAATAAAAATATATATATGTTTGTTTGTATATCTTTTGTAATAATATTTTTTTCAAAATTATAATTATTTGACATAATATTTTAAAATAAAATAAATATTATACAATATAGTAAAAATAAAAATTGGAAAAATCACACAATTTGTCAACCATCTTATGATCTTATCCTTTAAGAGATGGCTTGTTGGTTTATTCTGCAAGTGATGATTGAGTAGTCTCTCCGACCAAAAAGAAAAACTAATTAGTAGTCCTGTTTCAACATTGGGCCCATTCAAATATGGTAAGTTGATGGGCCTTATTAAATTTAATGACCCAAATATTTATGGGCTGACATTTAATGGGTGAACGTTGACGTGGGTTTCAGCTGTGTCTTAAAGTCAAGCCGAGTGTATCCAATTGGTTAGGCACTTTTGGATCGAAATAGTGAGTGATGTGTAATATATATATACATATATATATATTTACCCAACTACTATTAAAATAATATTAATTCTATTAATAATAATGTGGCTATCGTTCTCACAAGGTATGCTTGGTTGTATTTTAGTCAAATTTATAATAATTTAATTATTTTAAAAATATATATTATTACAATACTTTTTATCTTTTATTTAAAATGCGCATCTACAACTTATGATAAAATAAATTTTAAAAAGAAAAATATGACATAATAATACTTATTTTATCTCCCCTAAAATCTCTGTAAATACAAAAATTTAAATAAAATATAATTTTAAAAAAATTATTATATAATAAAAATAATTAAATAATTTAATTAAAATTAAAAATATATATTATGAGATGGACTATAATTTTAAAAAAAATATATTTACTAATAATAATAATAATAATAATTCAAAAAACATCAACGTACAAACAAACACACCCACAACTTTCTGACATTATTGTTATGATGACTAGGTTGTATTCAAATATGTTTCGGAAGCCTCTTTTTTCTTTTTTTTGTTTTTTTGGTACGTACTGGATAAATTTTTGTCCGAATCTAATACCCTGCCAATCAGACCCGACGAAAAAGTCATACTAGGCGAATGTCACAAATCCAACCCCTAAACCACCGGGTCATCCTTACGAGACTTTTCCAAAGCATTTTAATTTTATATTTTATTGATTGAAAAATAGTTTTACAGAATAAATATTAAATAACGTAAAGCGATACAGAATTTTGAAAAAAAAAAAAAAAAACCTGTATATAATATTTTAAATTATGAATATAATAATTTTATAATAAAAAAATTATAATGAATAATATCAAAATAAATTGGTTCTATAATTTTAAAGTCCAATAAAGTTTTATTGTTTACTATTATTAAAGTCCAATAAAGTTGGACACTTCTGTAATGAGATAACATTGAAAAGCTATAAATCCTAACATGGCTCATGGTCAAGTTGTCCAAGCGGTCCAGACCCACTGACATGAATTTAATAAACGGTTCCGTGCCGGATTAATACGGTTTAAGCGTGAACCGGCCGGCCACTCGATACCTTGACTTTATGGTCCCATTTTGTATATATTATTGCATAATAATAATAATAATAAATAGTTTTAATATGCGTGCATTTAAAAATTCAAATTTAAAATTTGATTTCCGTCTATTGAAGAAATCAAATATTTTTATTACGAGTGTTTCATTTTTTCAACAATAATTATTAATTTTTGTAGAAATTTTAAAACAATTCAACCACTATTTAATTATTTAATACTCCCTCCGTCCACAAACTAATATTTTATTTTTTTATTTTTTTATTTGGGACGTTCAGCTACTATGGTTCTATTTTTTTTTTTAAAATATAGGCAAATTTGTCAATTCATAACAAAAAGACAATCACCTAAAAATCGTACAAATATATTTTATGACAATAGAAATTTGATGAAGAAAGTATCAGTTTATCTATTACCACACTAAACAAATCCCAACATATTAATTAAGTGTTTGTTAATTATTTTATATCAGTTTATTCAATATAGTATATTATTTATAAAAATATTACATTTGATAGGCAGTTTGTATAAAATATCAAATCATCTTTCTATAGTTACTTTATTTAGGGCTTGATTTTTCATGATTTCAAACTGAAATTAAGAGGGTTTGTTTTGTGTTTTGATTTGATTAGAAAAAATAAAATAAAAACTATGTAATATATAAGGAATTACGTAGATAATAAAAAAAATAAAATAAAATAATGAGTATATAATACATTAACTTTTTTTTTTTGAGATGTGTGTTGATTTCTTTTTACAAAAGAAACAAATATGTAACATTAGTTATTTTGCATAATTTTTAATATAAATATATTATTCTCTCTATAAATATCATATTGAATATTATTTAAATAAAAAATTCAAATTCAAATTTTATTTGAAATCAGTACAAATTACAAACGAACAAACTTAACCTAACAAACATTATTTAATAAAAATAATATACTCCCTCCGTTATGCAAATGTGTGTTCATTTGATAGTTTTAATAAAAGTAAGTAATAATTGTTAATTATTTTATAATAAAAAATAGTACAAAAGTGAAATAATTTTTTACTTAAAGAAGAAAATGAGAATATTTTTCGATAACAATAAAAAAGAAAAGTAAACATACATTTGAATGACAGATGAAGTATATCCTATAAAAAATAACACACTCAAAAAATACAAAACTGTTAGTGACAAAACTGGCTCTTTTTAAGTCTATTGTTGTCGTTTTCTTGATGATGTCCTTACCGAAAAAAAAAATAATAATAATAAATAAATAAATAAACTTGTTTGTTATGGTAAATTGTATATTACGTATTAAATAAATAAGTAGTTGGTTGATTGATTAAAACAATTATCACTAATATTAATATTAATTATTGCATTCATGTCTATCTCAAAGCGCTATTGGTCCACGCAAAAGACACGATTTTTAGATAGAAATGTGTAATGTGTAATAAAGAAGCAACCACTTGTTACGTCTACGTCTCTCTTTGATTAAAGAGGCCTGCAATGTTATTTTATTATTTAAATTTTATTTTTACTATATAATTAATGGGTTTAATATTTTTTAACACATATTTTTTTATAAATATTATAAAAAATATAATATATATAAAAATAATATATATTAGTATAGTATACTTTATTCACTCACAAATAGTCAGTAAATAAGTCAAAAATATTATCTTTCTTATATTACTATTTAACATTAAAAAAAAATTTTTTTATAGATAACACGAAATTAAATATATTACTATTTTCGTTTCAATTCAAGATATTTTTTTTGTTATTTTTGTTTGTCTCATTTCAAAGTATTTTTTTTATTTTAAAAAATATAACAATACACTAATATCAAAATATCTTTAACTTTTATTTAATTATAAATATATCATTACATATACAATTAATTTATACATAAAATCTTACACATTTCTATATTAACCAATAAAATGTTTAAAATTTACTACAAAACCACAGGCCCCAATTGAATTGAAATAAATCTGAGTTTTTAAGTTTATGAAAATCAAATTAAAATTAATATTCAATTTTAAAAAAAATAAATAAATTCCAAAAAACACACGGATAACATTATTACAATATAAATAAATTCAACTATAAACGCAACTTATAAATAAACAGTAATAAGTAGCTACCATCATTAAGTAGTAATAAGTGTCATTAGTCATTAATAGTGAAGCATCAAATACAGTAATATTGACGTATCTGGATGGCTGGTGGGCCCAAATGGGCCCATCAATAATTAATCTATGGACTATTAGGCCCAACAAGTGGTCCATACAGAATGTGCGCCAGTGCCACGTCAGCTCAGAATATTAAAAAGAAACAAAAGCGGGTTGATTTATATAAAACTATTATTATTTATTTATTTATTTTCCGCAGGTTCATTTACTTCCACATGCCTCTGATTTTTTGGCCGACAAGGCCATGTTTGTTTGCGGAATTTCAAAAAGTCGTAATTTGTGTCGCTTTCACTAATAAATTATAGGATTTGTGCGGTGGGGAGGATAATTAGGATAATTTAAATAACGCTTACTATTTTTTTCATTATATATATATAGTTTTTTTTTAATTTTTTTTTTTTTTTGTCTCCGCTTATGAAATTCATTTTGATATTTTTAATGGATCGGTGATCGTAAAATTATAAATTTAAATATCTGATTCTTTCAAATTTCACCTGCTAAACAAACCCAAATCAAAATAAGTTCTAAATAATATGATTATTGGGTGTACTTTTTTTAAAAAAAAAATAAATAAAATGCTATAATATTGTTGAAAAGACAAAATTAATGAAAAAAGTAATATTAAAGAAAGGTACTTTAAGTGAACAATATTTGAACATATTGTACAAGAAATTCTTAATTTATCATTGTTGCTCGAAATATATGACTATTTCACTTAAAGTTTACCAACAATTAAATTCTCATTAAGATTTTGATCAAATCATTTCATAAGTATTTCTTAATTAATTTCATCAACATTTTATTTAAATCCATTGCCAACTCTTTTCATAAATATACCAATCAAGTTCCTTAATGAAGTCCCCTGGTTAAGTTCCTCTTGCTTTTTACCTCTTACATTAGAATATCTTTCATTTTTGTAATTTACATCAACTTTATAATAAATTTTCGATTTCAAACAATCTAAAGTAATCGAAACTAGTTAAAACACACTCTACATTATTTGATTAGCTATGGTTCAAATGTAATTTTTTTTTTTTTTTTTTTTTTTTGTGTGTGTATATTTTATTATTATTATCTTATAAATGCTGATGTGTCATTGTAATATTTGTCAATGTAATGTCTTTTATTATTATTATTATTTTATGAATGCAGAGGTTGGCTGAAAATAGAAGGGTTGGGGTCCAACCCAACCCCATTTTCTCCCCCATTTTTGGGATAACTACAGTGTTACCCCAAAAATGGAGTAATACTCCAAAAATGGAGTAACACTGTAGGTCAATTCCATTTTTGGAGTAGAATATTTTGTGTATTTTTTATAATTTTTTGATATTTTGTATAATTTTATTTTTTGAAAATTGATATAAAATTTTATTTTTTAAAAAATAATATATAATTTTAAAAGTAATATAATTTTATTTTTTGAAAAGTGATATATAATTTTATTTTTTGAAAAGTGATATATAATTTTATTTTTGTAAAAAATAATATATAATTTATTTTTTAAAAAAAGTGATATACAATTTTAAAAATAGAATATGAATTATATATTTTTATTTATAATGTAAAAATAAATTAAAGTTAGAGTATAATTTATAAATATGAAAAGTTATATAAAATAATATAAAAGAAGAATATATAGATAATATATTTTTTTTAGAGTAAAAATCGAAGTTTATGGTTTGAATAAAATGACTGTAGAACAACTGCATTTACTGCTAAAAAATAAATAATGAGTTGGAGAAGACCTAATCCATCGAGTACACACAACAGTAACCGGAATAATTTTACTTAAAATTGAAATAAATAAAATAAGTAAAAATAAGTGGTGGTTCCATTTTTAAAGGTTTTGGCACAGTTGAACTAAATACAATGAGGCTCAATTTATACATGAGTTTTAGAAGTTTTGAATTTATTTTAAAATAATAATAATAATAATAATAATTAAGTATTTAATAATATTTTAAATATTTTGATATAGTTATGTTTTTGAATAAATTACTGCCGATGAATTATTAATTATGTGTGTATAAAAAGAACCCAAGTAAATAGGGTCTAAATATGTTAAATTACACAGTAATTTTTTGTATATTAAATTATAATATAAATTCGATATATATATATATATTACTCCATCCGTCCCACATAATTTGTTCCTATTTTCATCCGTCCCACATAATTTGTCATTTTTTTTGAAAAATTAATTATACACTTTAATAATATTTTAAAATTTAAAATTTAAATTTTTTTAATCTTAATCTTAATCTATAATTACTTATTAATTATACTTTATCTAAATTCTCGTGTCTACGGTAATATACCCATATTACAAGGGACGGAGGGAGTAAATTACTAACCTTATCTAGATTTGATGATATTTCCAATAAAAATTTATTATCGGCATGTCATAAATGTGAATTCGCATTTGGGCTATAACCACAACAAACTTTCCGCTTTATTTGAATTTTGATGCCTAAATATAGTCATAAAAATTTACCATTTCCAATAATTAATAAGAAAAAAATATAGCCGTATATATACGTACAAAACAAAAACAAAAACAATAAATAAGAAAAGAAGAATCCATTGGGTGCAGTTTCCGAGCAATTAATCGTGTCCACTCAATTTGAAAAAGTAAGCTACTGTACTGAATGGAACAGTACAGAATCATTCTTTAGACTCTGTCAATACCGTATATCTACATTTTCTTACCACATCCGTATCTTTTGATTCTAGAAAATATTTCTAAATTTCAACTCTTATCTAGAACTTAGATTCTAGAATTAAGGTACCGACTTCCCCTGTTAGAGATGTGGTTTTTAAGAAATTGAACATAATTAAATTTTAAAATTAAATAATATGATATAAATAATTCATTTACTTTTTATATGCATATTTTAAAATATTATTTTTTTCGCTTCGAATTCAAAATATAATTTTTAGTAAATTAATGAATAATATTTCCTTCGTCTCAAAATCATAGTCTGGTTTGTGTTTGACACGAAATTTAAGAAATACTGATATTATATTCGTAGTGGGTAAAAAATAAGGATAAAAGACTTTTTTGCCTTGTGAGTGTATTAATATAAAAAATAGTAACAATTATGTAATAATAACGAAAAAATAATGGTAGTTTTATAGTAATGTGGTTATTTATGAAAATGAAACTATTATTTTGGAACGGACAAAAATGGTAAACAAGACTATTGTATTGAAAATATTTTATAATATATGATTTTTATTTTTTTGTTGTTTGTATTTTATGTATATATAATGATATATTTATAATTTATGTAAAATTAAAATATTTTAATATTAATATATATTACTTTTACATAAATAAAAAGTTAATACTTTTTACTATAACATACTATAATAGTAAAAGGATACTTCAGTTATAAAGAAATAATAGTATTCTATATTTATATGTATAATAAGGGAGTTATTATATAATTTCACTTATAATAGGAATGTATATATTGTAAATCATTTTGATCGTATTGTTGTAATAATATGTACAATATAAGATTTTTTTTTTAAAAGAAAAATATTTGTGGAGACTACAATTATTAAAGAACAAAAAAAAATGATTTCAAACCGATCAAAATAACAAAATTAATAAATTAATTTCAAATAAAAAATTTATTAAATAGAAAATAAATATTTAATTTAAAAAAAAATTATTCCATTAATCATCTAAACTTTAAAAAAAAATGCCTGCAAGATTATTGACCTTAAAAGTGACATTTTGTTTTTATTGAAACCATCATTTAATTTGATAAAAACGAGCAAGATCAATTAGAATTTTGTTGAAGAAATAAACTTTAATTAAGATAATCGATGGGATATACAAGACTCAGTTTACCATTTTTTAATATTTATTATACAATTTATATGTATATATAATATATTTATTTTACTTACATAAAATTTATTATAAAAAATGTAAAAGTACTCAAAACTTTACTGCAACTTTGTAATTTAAATAAAGTATAAATGTAATACTTTTCCGACGCTTGAAAATCTATTTATTTATTTATTTTGGTAAGTCTCATAACATAATAAAATATATATTTCATTTTTCAGAATGTGTATTTTCTACTAACATTAAAAATACCTTATAATTTAAAATATATTACACAAATGTCGTTACTTTTATATCACACAATACTAATAATGTTATTTAATCGTTTATACATTATTCATATGACAACTCAATATGATACTAATATTTCTAAAATTTCATGCAAAAAACAAACATATACATAGACAAGGGACGAAAAGAGTATTCTTTAAGATTTGTTTGTTTTGTAAAATAATTTTAAAAATATTTTATTTATGTGAAATAAAAAAAAAAATATATAAATAATATAAAATTAATGAGTTTTAATATATTAATATTTTTTCTTTTAAAAAAAATATGTTTATTTGTTAACGGACCATAAATCTTATTTTACTTAATTGGGAAATACTTATTTCTTTTAATATCTATTATTGATATTTCAATTTTTCTTACAAACTCACAGTCGATGTATATTTTTAATGTACTTTTACTAAACAAAGTAAAAAAATGTCAAACTTAATGGTAAAACATTTTGCAATACAATTTAAGTGAGTGAAATTAAATTTACTGCAAAAATTTAAATGAGATTAATTATATTACATCAATGGCACTATATTATATAAGATTCCCGGTAATCCAATTATGTGATCGACATGAATTTTTAAAAAAAATAATTACTATTATTTTTTATTTTTTTATAATACAAAGTAAAAATAATAGTGTATTTTTTACTTTAAATAATAAGAATATATTTAATGACAAAAATGATTATAAATTTAAATGTTAGTATATTTTGCTAGTATTTAAGATGTGCTTATTTTGTGAAATAATAATTATTTTTTTTATAAAAAATACAGAAATCTATTTAAAAATAATAAATATGTATAATATATTAATTTTTTTAAAAAAACATATGAGAAAAATATATACTACTTCTGTCCACAGTTCATTTATCCATTTGTATTTGGTGTCATTATTTTTAATATTAAAAGTATCTTTATATTTGTATAATTTTTTGTATAAATATCATTACATTAGTATTAAAAAAAACTAATAGAAGTATTTTTTTCATTTTTCTTTGATGTATACTATATTTTGATATAATAATTAATATTTAAATATTAATATATAAAAATTAAATGGATAGATTGACAGTGAACATGGGAATATAAAACGGACACCCATAATTCATTACTTGTTAAATTAGTAATAACATAAAAAAAAACCTAACTATAATTGGCATATATAGAAAAGTGAGCCATAACACCTTTATAAAATTGCACAATGAGATGCCGTTTATACATATGATTGGTTAGTTGAGTTTTTATTTTCTATTACTAATATTTTAACCTAAACTATTCTAGAGAGAATCCCATCTAGAAGCCACGTGGCGCGGCCCCATTGGATCTCCATTTACGGCGCACCACACTCGATCTTTCATCATAACGGCCGAAATTAATTTGCAGGCGACGACCTCCGACCACATACATACATACAACAATAAAGTAATAATCAATCATGTTCGTTCTTGTTATGTAGTAGTAATAATTATTCCAATTTTTAATCTCAACCAATCATTGACTCGAGAAGCCCCTCCTTCGCCCCCCTCTTTATCTTCCTTCATCCGCCATTTCTATAAAACCAGTGGGCTGCACCCCGCCATTGCAGCTACCCACAGAGCTTCAAATTCACCAGTCATATCAGATCCTTATTCTTCTTCTACATATATTCGCCAATTTTCAGACAGAAGGAGCAGAAACAAACAATCATAGATTTTTACAAATATATTCTTCCGGCGGATTTATAACTGGAATTAACTAATAGAGTTTAGGGCTTTGGATCGGATTTCTCCCCTTGTCGAAAATGACAATGCAAATCAAGAAGCTTATGACCTTGCCGTCGCGTACGGGAAGACATCTGCAGAGATATAATCAAGGGTTTCGTCTAGTTGTAGGGTATGTGTTGATTTAGGTTTCTTTGTCCTAACCTGAATTTTTGAGCTTTAATTAATTTGCCTGTCCTATTGTGCAGATGTGTTCCTTACAGAATTAGGAAAGGCAGCAGATCCTCCTTACTCCATGGAATCTCTATCGAAGATCTTGAGGTTCTCCTCATCACTTCTCAGAAAAGCACAAGAAAGATGCTTCCTAAGGTATACATACATACACATATACATAATACATAATACATAATACATAATACATATACATATACATATATATGTATATGTCTTGTAATGCAGCAATAAACAACAAGAGTATTTTTTATTGGCCTAACGTTGTTGTCAAATTGTGGTTCTGAATTCACCAGGGAGGTTGGGAGCTTGACGAAAACATCGAATTAGCAGCGTCGAGGGAGACGCTGGAGGAAGCCGGCGTAGTCGGAATTCTTGGGGTGAGTAGCAGCACCACCCAACCATACCTATATGCCTAATGATTGTGTCAAATGTATGATGTCCTAATCCTGCTTTTCATTACTCTGTCTTGCAGGAAAAATTAGGCCAATGGATTTTCAAGAGCAAGAGCCAGGAGAAGTACCACGAGGGATCGATGTTCCCTTTATTGGTGACCGAGGAATTAGACGTATGGCCGGAGAAAGGCCTCCGCAAGCGAATTTGGGTACGCCTTCGAGCAATTTGTTTGTAACATGTACCATGATTGTTAGCCTTGTAATGAATTGAATTCTAAGATATGTTATGGAATTTATATACAGATGCCGGTAAATGAAGCGGTTGAAGCCTGCGCCGACTTGTGGATGAAGGATGCATTGCATGCATTTGTTAGCCAGTTCAAGGCGCGGACGAGAGTCGAGGGAGAGCGTCTAACGAAGTCGTGTAGATTAGCTGATTACTCATTGGACCTCAAACTGAGGATGAAGAGCTGATCTCTTACTATGCTTAATTGACATTGATGAATTAGCTGTACATGAGTTAACAGACTTGTAGATGCAGTTTCGACTTCGATTGGATCGGCATTTCTTGATTCGTTGTATAGTTGCAAAATTAAGAAGGCCTTTGATATCTTCTGGAAGCTGTAATTTTAGGAGATTAAAGGGATCTGTTCTGTGTTAACCATCTGAGGAAAAAAAAAAGAAAAATTGATCTTGCAGAATTCTTTGATTTGCTTGCCATTGTTGAATTTGGATTTAATTTGGGAGCTGTTTTTGCTGTTCAATTTTGGTGATTCAGTGTGTACAGCCATGACCTTGTCCAAATTGTCCTGCTGACATTTGCTCTGCTTTCATGGAAATTTCTGCTTTGAAACTGTTACATGAATAGGAAGGTATTATCGTAATTTCGGGCTGTGGCTTTAGTATAAAACCCTTGTTCTGTGACGACGACTGCATCCGCATTCGTCGAGTCATCTGGAAGGCGAGGTAGGGAGAGGAGCGAAAATGGGGAGGGGAATTAGTCGCGGGTGGTGGTTGAGAAGGCGCCGGAGAGCGTTTATGGCGAGGAGTTCATCTAGCTCTGCGCTGCGAAAGCTAGGGCTCGGTGAATTTGCCTGATACGGTGTGTAATTTGTCACCATTGCTGCAGGTTTTCTTCCGACTGCGTTTATTCGTATCTTCATGAGAATTGAGAGTGTTTTGCATTTCCGAAATTGTTTTTGATATGAAACTCTGTGTTGAAACATTCAATTGGTGGATGTCGTAGTTTCAAATTCACCTAACTGCAATGTTCCTCACTGTGATCGTAAAAAAAGATGCAGAAATTTCGTGCGAACCTGTGCTTGGAAATTTGAAATGCACCTCTGATGAGTTTTCTGATACTTATGCTCAGATAAACAGAGTGTTTTGCATTTCGAAATTGATTTTCGTATGAAACTCTGTGTTGAAACATTCAATTGGTGGATGTCGTAGTTTCAAATTAACCTAACTGCAATGTTCCTCACTGTGATCGTAAAAAAATTGGAGAGAATTTGTGCGAACCTGTGTTTGAAAATTTGAAATGCACCTCTGATGAGTTTTCTGAAACTTATGCTCAGATAAACTTCTCCTACAGTCAAATGTATTCTTCCCTAATCTGATTCTAGAATGAGTATGGTGATTTTGTTAGAAATGTCAATCAGCCACACTTCCCCTGTCTTGTTTGGGTTTGGCGTGAAGGTCAGGTATGGTGAATTCATTCAATTTAGACTTGATGTGTTCATTGAAACTTACACAGACAAACATCTCATGCAGGTACGAATGCATCTCTTCCACAAATTGCTACCAAAGAAGCTGTATCTGATCAAAGTCAATGATCAGCCATACTTTCCTTGTATTCCATGGAGGTCAGGTACGTTGAATTAATTTCATGCCATCAACATCCTATACAAGAAAATATGTATAGGGAAACATATACATATAGTTATACATCTCGTGCGTAGAAGAAACATACTATCGCAAGGCCATTTATCTGGTTCATGTCTTGTTTGATCTTAAGAAGTTTCTACCAGGGTGATGATCTTTGAGATTCTTGAATCTATTGATGGAAAACTTGAATATAATATATAAACTGATAAAGAGTTTCTTGATGCGTGTTAAGACTTCTATGCATAGTTAGCTTCAAATAGTTGGGATTTCATGGATTATTTCAATTTTCAAAAGCAATTAAATTCTTATCTAGATGCTTGGGGTGATATATATATATATATATATATTCACTCATTTGTTCGAGTTTCTTTTGCTGGTATAGTCCATTTCTGGTATTCACGTCTCTTCGAAAATCTTAGGAGAAATATTGATTCAATTCCATAGAGATTTTGGTTAGTTGAAATAATCTCTTGTTGAAGTATGAACCAAATTCCTCCAACCATCATAGCTATTGTAGAGCCACAATTGTTGATTTCAATCCAATTCTGGGATTCATCTCCCCACTTTTCCCCCAGTTGGTATGCCTAGCTCGCCACGCCTTATGAATGGCCTTTGGATATGGGGCTGAGCATGTTTTGCATCGAAATCTCTCCTAATTTAAAATTTCAAACAATGTCAAGAAATGGTATATGGTCTGCTTATCATAATTGAACTTCATTTGCTCTTGTGGAAGAATAATCTATTGTTGTTGATGGTGATCCCACAACAATAAAATTTTGCAATATGCCAATATGGGGTAACACAATTCTTTTAACATTATCATATGAGTTGCTGTTTAATATGTCCCACATTGAAAAAAATGTGAGAACTCTCTTAGTTTATAAAGGCTACTCCACCTAATACTAATTGACTTTAGGTTGGAGGCTCGGATCCTTTTTTAATATGGTATCAGAGCTATGATGCCCGTATTAAGTAGTGATTCTGTTTGAATTTTCGAGAATATCATTTCGAGTGGGGTCCACCGAGGGAATCCCTTTGACTTTATAAGGGTGAAGTGCCACTTCACCTAAGAATTTCTTTGACTTATAAGGATGAAAGACCATTCAAGCTAACATTAATTGGTTTTAAGTTGGAAACTCGAAACCCTTCTTAACCATTGCTATAGGGAAACAAGGTAAATATGAGACCCTATGCCAAAAACTAACATTTATGTTTAGGTCCAAAATTTCTTTACCTCTAATCCATCTGCCTTTGAAGAGTTTTTGTTGTCTAGTATTAATTCAAACAAAATTGCAGTTTTCAGTTGTGAATTCTGATTTCTTATTTTTATTTGGAATCCTAATTGGGCTGAATTACACAATATTTGGGGTATATTGTCATTGTAAGTCCATCTGGATTCTACATCAGGTCTTTCTATTTTATATTTCTGTCATCAATTTCTGTTGGTAACATTTTCCAATTTCCAGCAAAGCTATGATCAGTACTTGTCACTAGGAACACCATATTGCATAATTAGTTTAAATGCACGCTTGTTATTATACACGCTGGAATATGGTGGTGGATTTCTTTAATATTAGGATTTGGGTTGAATGAAAATAACAAATTTTCTTTCTTTTTAAATTGTAAAATCAGAACCAGACTTAAAAAAATAAAAGAAAAAACCCCTTTTAATATCCCTGCTGTCGGTGCATTTTATTTTATTTCATTTTCTTTTAATTTTTGGTCCTAATTTGTTATGTTAGACAATGCCATAACAAGCATGCCGTTGTGTGAAATAAAGCCTGTGTTTTTTTAGTCACAATTAATTCAGAGAAGTTAGCAATAATTATGGTTCATAGCTGTCTTTTCTCCCACACTGTTTGTAGCCGACAGTGAATAAAGAAGTAAATAAAGCTGCTAATCCAACTATAGCCTTTTTATTTTATTTTTAATCTGTATCACTGATATATATGTGCCTTTGATGATTGTTATCCCTCCTGTGCAAATGTTGCCCTTTTTCTTGGTGAATTTAGCAATCTCCTAGTGAAAATGATGGTTGAAAATTACAAAATCCATTTCGAAATTGTTCTAGTTTTTAATAGTTGGATAATATATGGGTTGGAACTGCTGCAATTATTAAAATTCTACCCTTATGATTATGAGCTGAATTATTTAGGTTCCAATAAGGCACCAGCTGGGCTTCATATGAATATACTCGCTTTGGTGTCATAAAAAAAACTAAAAATGTTAGTAGCTGCTATTATTGTTTATTCATTAAACTAAACAATAATAGTTGCAACAAGCAATGTAGTAGTGATTTTATTCTTTATAGCAATTGGGTTGGAGTTTGGTGATTTCTTGGACCAAAACACCAGATTAATCCTAACCATCCACCATGGTTGTTGTTTTGGGATTCCACACTGGATATATATTAACTGACAAATTCCACATTTTAATTTTCAAGGATCTTTTGATTCAACCAAGAAGTTCCAAAAATAAAGATTTATAAAAAATAAAAGAAAGGCTGAAACCGGGATAATATATAAAGCCAAAAATTATTAAAAAAAAAAAAATACACAACTGTTTCTCACTTTTCTGCAGGTACCTTTTTACCTGTAGTTGACCAGGGCAGAGGGCAGTGCAGTTTGAGGTAATGGCTGGCTTGATGCACTCAGCAGGTATTTATTTAGGGTTTTCTGATTTTATGAACTTTTCTTGATTTTATTTGGAATGAAATTTGGATGAACGAAATCAGCATCAGCACTTGTCTGTTTTTGTTTTACAGCCATACTATTTTTGTTTTGTTTTGTCTCATTTTTACTTAATTTATTTTGAATTAAACATTTTTTGAGGTGATTTAGTTTAGAAGTGAGAAAATGTTACAAATGATTATATAATTGTGTAAAATCAAGACAACAAAAGTATCGTTAGCAAGGCCCCATTAGGTCCACTCTATGGTTTCCTAGGTGTGTCGATTCCTGGGAGGTTTCTGGACCTCAGCACCCCGACCCACTTAAGCATTCGTTTCTTTACCTGGATCACAGATCCTGGACCCCCTATTCTTTTTCTCTCTCTCACTCACTCACTCACTCACTCTCTCTCTCACACAGACACACATTCTACTGTCACTGGTTTCATCTCCTCCAACTCCCATTTCCAATTCATCATTCTCAATCTCAACCAACAATGCTGCTCCTCCTCCTCCTCTCTCTCCTAGCCCTCCTCTCTCACTCCTCCTCAGATCTGTCCGGCGACAGGGCCGCCTTACTGGCCCTCCGCTCCGCCGTGGGCGGCCGGACACTCTTCTGGAACACCAACCTCTCCACTCCCTGTAATTGGGCCGGCGTCCTCTGCGAGGCCAACCGCGTGACGGTCCTCCGTCTACCGGCGGCCTCGCTCTCCGGCACCATTCCGACCAACACCCTCTCCAACCTCACCTCCCTCCGCACCCTCAGCCTCCGCCTCAACCACCTCTCCGGCCCTCTTCCCGACGACATCTCCGCCCTCTCCCAACTCCGGAATCTCTACCTCCAGGGGAACCAGTTCTCCGGTCCCACGCCGGAGTTTATTTTCTCACTCCATTCCCTCGTTAGACTGAATCTTGCCTCCAACAGTTTCTCCGGCGAAATCCCGCCGGGATTCAACAACCTGACTCGGCTGCGGACTCTCTATTTGGAGAGTAATCAGTTTACTGGAACCTTGCCCAGTATCGACCTCCCGAATTTGGATCAGTTCAATGTGTCATTTAACAACCTTAATGGATCGGTGCCGAAAGGGCTTCAGGGTAAGCCCAGGGAAGCGTTTTTAGGGACTTTCCTCTGTGGGAAGCCTCTGGACAGTGTTTGTGCCGACAATGCCGGCGAATCTCCGGCAATTCCGAATGGGAGCGTTGATTTGGGGAAGGGAGGGAGACGGAAGCTCTCCGGCGGTGCAATTGCCGGAATTGTGATCGGATCTGTGGTGGGGCTGCTTCTAATTTGTTTAATTTTGTTTGTTCTGTGCCGGAAGAGGAGCAGGAGCAAAGCCCGGTCTGTGGATGTGGTGGCGATCAAGAGCCAGGTGTCGGAATCCGGCGAGAAGCCGATAGCCGGTGACGCGGAGAACGGAAACGGAGGAGTGAGCAATGGCTTTTCAGTTGCGGCTGCCGCAGCAGCTGCATTGTCTGCAAATGGGAATTCGACTTCGAGTTCGAAGGTTGAAAATGGAGCAAATTCAGCTGCTGCTTCGAAGAAATTGGTGTTCTTTGGCAATGCTTCGAGGGTGTTTGATTTGGAGGATCTGTTGAGAGCCTCGGCGGAGGTTTTAGGGAAGGGGACATTCGGGACGGCGTACAAGGCAGTGTTGGAAGTTGGGACTGTGGCGGCGGTTAAGAGGTTGAAGGATGTTACGATTTCGGACAAGGAGTTTAAGGAGAAGATTGAAGTTGTTGGAGCTATGGACCATGAGAATTTGGTGCCTCTTTTGGCGTATTACTACAGCCGGGAGGAGAAGCTTCTTGTCTACGATTACATGCCGATGGGCAGCCTGTCGGCGCTTCTCCACGGTGAGCGAGTTCTTACATTGTTTGTGCTTAAATTGCTTCAGTTTTCAAGCTCAATCCTATAATGTCTGCTTGAATATAATGATAATTGATTCCTGTTGTTTAGACGCCTAGAAATAATCATGTCTAGATGTCGGTTCATATGCTACATTTGTATTATATTAACATGATGCGTCGTTAGTTGCTATATCGGATGCTGACTGGCATTCAGTGCTGTTGAATTATAATATTTCATTTTGATTTTGCTTAATTAGTAGCTATCTTATTACATCATGGTGGTCTATAGAAATGTGTCTTGATCTAGGTTGTTGGTGTTTTTTGTATCTAAGTCATGTTGGTTGGTCTCTGGTCGCAATCGTTGCTAGCTGTGGATTCACTCAACGCAACTATGTCTTTCGACCCAATTAGGTATAGAGAAAGTTGCCGCGACGCGATGATTGCATAGTGAATAAAAAGCGAAAAAAAAAAAAAGAAAGACAAGAAGACATGGTCCCTCAGTTTTCTTATTTTGTTTCTACATGCTCGGTCTTTTTGTTCGTAATCTTTTGTCTTCGTCGATTTCTTTTCTTGATTTGAATGTTAGCGATAGATGAAGCTTATCTGCATTTTGGTGCTTTCGAAATGATTGCGAAATAAGAGATTAAGTATCTATTTGTTCGTAATTCTCGTCTTCTGTTGGGCAGGAAACAAAGGAGCTCGCGGGACGCCGTTGAATTGGGAAGTCAGGTCCGGCATTGCCCTCGGAGCTGCCCGCGGGATCGAGTACCTTCATTTCCAGGGCCAAAACATTTCTCACGGCAACATTAAATCGTCAAACATCCTCCTAACGAAATCCTACGAAGCTCGAGTCTCGGATTTCGGATTGAACCACTTAGTCGCCCCCTCATCCTCCCCTACCCGAGTTGCCGGCTACCGAGCACCCGAAGTGACCGACCCTCGCAGAGTTTCCCAAAAGGCGGATGTCTACAGCTTTGGTGTATTAATCCTGGAGCTTCTCACGGGGAAAGCGCCTGCGCACGCCCTTTTGAACGAAGAGGGAGTCGACCTGCCGAGATGGGTACAGTCGGTCGTACGGGAGGAGTGGACGTCGGAAGTGTTCGATCTCGAACTCCTCCGGTATCAAAATGTCGAGGACGAAATGGTCCAGCTCCTCCAGCTTGGAATCGACTGCACGGCGCAGTATCCCGATCAGCGGCCGTCGATCTCCGAAGTGGCGAATCGGATCGAAGAGCTTCGGCGTTCGAGTTTGCGCGAAAACTACCAAGAACAGCCAGATCAGGTGAGCGAAACGGAGCGGGACTGAGGCGAAAAAAGAAAGATTGAATCCTGAAGAAGAGGAGAGAAGAAAACAGGTTTGCATTAGTTTTTGTTGAATTGAGCAAATATATTTGTTGTTGTTTGTTTGTTTGTTTGTTTGTTTGTTTGTTGCATTGCATGATTATTTGGCAATTTCTGTTCTTCTTCTCTTGAATTAGTTTGTTGTTATGTGTTGATGAAATATGAATATGAATGAAGGGGTTGGGTTGGGTTGGGTTGGGTTGGTGTAATTATGATTAACCTCACTCACTCATATCATATGCTCCTGTCTTGTCATGTTGTTGTTTTTATTGCATTCTTAAATGGAACTAACTTTGTGTTGATGATGCATGTGAAGTGGGGTATAAGTTGTTGTCTGGAATTGAAATTGAAGGGGTGGACAGAATAGAATAGAATAGAATATAGATAGATTGTTGTTAATACTCCATCTCCATGATAAAGAAGCTAACAGGAAGGAATGAATATGAATATGATTAGATATGATGTGTAGAGTGGGGGGATTTTTGAGTGTGTTTGAATTTGAAGATAGAGATTAGAAAGAGAGAAAGTGAATGCGAATGAGACACCTGCACTGCAAATGCAATTCAGATAAAAGTGTGTGTGATATTTGAGACAGTGGAGTGGGGCATTCATTGTGTTGTGCGTATTGTATAGTAGTAATAGTTTTAGGAAACGGGCAATAAATGGTGGGTGTATGTGAAATCAGACAGCTTCATTTCAGTGGTCCTTCCTAATGGGGTATGGATGGGGTAGGGTAGGGTAGGGTATGGTGTATGTTTACAATTTTAACTAGGGGAATTTCTTTTTTTTTTTTTCAAATTAAATACTCCTACAGTCCTATATATAATCTTATCTCACTACTAATTTACCCTTATTTTTACTCTAATTACTCAAATATCTTCCCATTTTTTACTTTTGACTCTATTAAACCCAACCTAAGGGTATTTAGGTTTTTTTATTTTATACTACAAATTCACTCGTCAATATAATACTATTTTTTTTAATCCCCTGCAAAATTATTTTGAAACAATTTAGATGAGACATGGGCAGTATACAATATTCAACATTTTACTATTTTATTATTATTATTATTATTTTTTCCCAAAACTTTCAAAAAATTTCTATCAAAATGAAACCTACTAATTACAATAGTATCATGACTTTAAAATTATGTGTAGGCAATATCATTTGTTTGTTTGGTGTGCAATAGTGGAAAGAAGGAAACAAAAGGGTTTAATAATTAATGGGCATGGGATCCCCTTGGAATTGTCTTCTCTCTCTCTCTCTCTCTATACAAAATGATGAAACAGACAATTCCATGTGATTGATTTATTCAAAACTCGAAACTTACTTGTGACTCACTAACTACCCTTCTCTCTCTCTCTCTCTCTCTCTCTCTATTACAAAAACAATAAAATCCAAATCCAAATAAAGGTTCTTAAAATGATCTCATTCTCAACCTCAATTACACTATAAACCTATTATTGGGATGCCTAACCTAAGAATATGTCCACATTTTTCATTATATAAGTTTAGAAGGACAAAAACCAGAATGTTGTAATAAATCTTGATTCCTCAGCAGTGCAGTTCATTCCTCATGTAAAAATGGTGTAAGTTTAAAGACCATTGAGTTATGAACAATGCAAGAAGAAGAAGAAGAAACTGCAAAATGCATTTACAAGAAATACAAATTCCCAGCAAACCCACCTCAGCAAGAACAGTCACGTACCCGAACTCGTCGCCGCATCGTCTTTCAACCCTTTCGTAAGCAGGTCGTAGTTGATCGACGCAAGCTGTGAAAGATTCTGTCCAGACAAAAAACAAATTAGAACATCATCAAAACAAACAATCACACAATCTTCCCAAGGTATCCATAAAAAAGTGGTTTTTCGGAATTACCTTAAACGAGAAGTTACTGAAGGTGTAATTGATATCGGTGCTGGAATCGAACTCGGCGAGCCCTCCACATTCATCTCCCTGGGCCATTCGAACAAGATTAGTATTACTATTACTATTACTATTACTATTACAACATCGTATAACAACGAGAATAACAATAAATTCGCCATTTTTTCGACAGGCGCACGAACCACTTCTTCGTGACGATTGCTGAGGCAGCAGCTACTGCTCCCGCTCAAGCTTCCGTTCTCGCTCGAATCTTCGAATTCACTCGCGGCATAAACATGTTCTTCTGAAGGATTCCACGAGTATCGACTGGTGAAATAGCTCGTGTCCATCGGGCCTTCCGATGAAGGGACGAAGGCAGCCTGGAAAAAAGAAAAAGACGAAAATGATTAACGCATTACGGGACTTCAACGCGACAACAATCCGTAACATTTACGATCAAACCTTCTGCCTCGCAAGCGTATCCCAGTTAATATCTCGAAAAAATGGATGCTGCTTAACCTGCACGGGAATTTTTGCGTCGTAAAATTGAGCGTCGGAAAGATGAAGTATGGTTTAGGATTTAAAATTACCTCCGGAGCTCCTCCGGCGCCGAGTCTCTGGCTCGGATCTTCAGTCAGCAACCTGCAATTTTTTTTTTTAAGTTGTCGTAATTAATGGAGTGTTATGAATAAATAGGAATCATGAGAAAAAAAGTTTTTTTCTTAAAAAAGGGGGTTTTTCACCGATCAATCAAATCAAATGCTTCGAGGCTCATTTCGTCGGGAACTCGGGGCCATGGAATCTTGCGATTGAGAATGTTGTCGAATATTTTCTACGAGATGGAGTAGGATACCATGAGAGAGGTAATGAAAATCATTAAGATATTCGAGAAGGTAAAAAGAAGTGTAATAACCTGTGCGTGTTCGGCATTGAAGGGAGGGATTCCGACAATTAACTCGAATAGAATAACACCCACAGACCACCAATCGGCAGTGAAACCTGAGGAGGGTTTCGACAAAAATTTAGTGAACTAAACATGGATGTAAGAACTACTTTTCCCATTTCAAATTTCTTAAGATAATAGATTATTTTTGCGACATAAGGAAGTGTAATTAATCTAATCAAATCCGTATTCTCTATAAATTATCAAGAACATAAAGAAAATGGAAAGAGGATGTACGAACCATGCCCGGTCCCTAGAAGAATCTCGGGTGCTAAGTAGTCTGGTGTACCCACAGCCGAGCGATTCTTGCGCCGTTCTTGCTTATGTTCTGATGCAGATAATGGAGGTTCATCTTCATCCATAATCGACGTTCCACCAACGGCGGGACCCGACAAATCGGTGCTGTTAATCAGACCCACTTTTGATAGCCCAAAGTCCGTTAACTGTTCCAATATTGACATCGAAATGAACATAAGAATATTTGCTTTGTCGTATGCCTAAATAATAGTAATTTCATAAAACGAATGAAAAAATTAAAAAAAAAAAAAAAAAAACCTTGATGTGGCCATCATGAGCAATCAACAAATTGTCGGGCTTTAGGTCACGATGAACGACGCGAAGAGAATGCAAATACTCCAAAGCAAGCACCTAACCATAGTAGGATTAGATGTGTAGTCCCGCGATCACGGAGATGATAAATGATAATTCGAAAAAAAGTTGTCAAGAAACTTACAACTTCAGCTATATATACACGGGCAACATCTTCATCAAGGCATCCCAGATTCCTCAATAACGAGTAGAGATCTCCACCATTCAAATACTCCATTACAAGATATAAGTTTTCTCGACAAGTGAATGAATAGAAGAAGCGAACCTAAAACATCAACATCAAATTTTAATATCAAATGAAGATGATTATATAATATAATTGAGTTATAGCATTGTCAGCTGCAAAAGCTCACCACAAAGGGATTGCGCACAGATATCAATATATCACGTTCCGCCAAAATACTCTCAACTGCATTTTTGCGTATCATGTCTGCCTTTTTAAGAACCTGCACAAATTTGAATATATAAATGAAATGTGTATGACTTTCCATTTCTTGAAGATAAATTACGTTATCTTAAAGATCATCTTAGCTATCGTAGATTGAAAATTCAGCTGTTGATGTTACACTCAATCTATATGAAAGAAATTATATCCGTACCTTGATTGCAAACAAATCTCCTGTTGTTCTCTTTCTTGCCAAAAATACGCGACCAAATGCCCCACGACTAATTGGTTTGATAATCTCAAAATCATCTATCGAAGTGCGGTCTCTGGAAGAATGTACAGGGCTACTTCGTAGACTACGTAAAACATCATCTTCCAAAGGAGCATCTTCATCAATAACAGTGCTTGAAATATCAACCTTGTCCTCGTCAACTAGCTCACATAGCTGCAAATATTTCTCCCTTGAAAAATTGAAGAAAAAAAAAAAAAATCAGCATGGCTTCAATAAATGGAACTTTATTTTAAGCAAAGAGATACTCAAATGACCTGATCAATTTCTCTATTCGAGCTCCAAATGTTTCTACTGTAAGGGAGTCAAACTTTCTGCGATCTAACACAAGTTTCAAGTCTTCGAGACAAGATAGCAGATATTGCATAGAGCGATCATCATCCAGTGGCGCGTTTGCCACACATCGAGCAATATCAGCAAGCTCGCTCATCTGCATGTGCATTTCAAAGGAGAAAGATACAGTTGATATGATATTATCATGTTATTGCTTCCTAGATTATTCAGAATTTTATTACTAATTCGGATTCAGAATGAAAAGATTCTTAAAAGCTTGCATTTTTAATCCTTTTAAACTGATTTCTCCAGGCATAAGAAAGCGCTTGTTTTCTACAATCTAAGGATGAAAATCAACGAGTTTTATTGGAAACCTCAAAAGTGTCGAAAGTTGATTATCTAGAATTGTATATACCTGAGGAAGATCGCCATGCTCGGAGAGTGCACCCTTTCCAGATAAAAGCATGTCAATTGGGCTCATTCGGGGCGTCAATGGTGACCTAGGAGTCAAACTTCCGGCTGAAGATGTCGTCATTCCTTGATCAGACTTTGGACCAAATCGAGTTTTACCTGCTGCAGTTGTCAAAGTCTTCACATCTTCCATTGTGATATTATTATCCGAATCAGTGAAAGAGTCTAGCATGTCTTCAGAGCCTCGGCGCGACCAGTCACTAAATTTTGGCGAAAGAAACTCCGACTCTTCAGTCACGCTTGAGTTCGAAACTTTAGCTACATCAGGGCTTGCAACAGCATGTTGTGAATCCTTCACTGAGAAGGATTCCATCAATTTCTCAAGAGTTTCAGCAATTCTAATGAGACGATCATTCACCGTTAGGCCCATTTGATCACATCGATCTGCTATTGCGCATATTCTAGAGTGTTCTTCCACATGTGAAGTTGGAACCTCCTCCTCACAAATTCGACAGATAATTGAACTTTCATCTGATACACTCGGCTGATCTCCACAATAGCCCAACGACACTTTGTGCTGATGTTTTGGCATAGAAGACTCGTGCAAGTCTTTAGAAGGTGGATCGGGCACCTTGCCAGTTACTAATTCAGTATCATTGTCTCTACTTAGTTCCGCTAGAATTCTTGGAGATTCAACGGTGTTCTTATTCTGCTCCTCTTTAACCAAAGAAACTGCTTTCGGGCTTCTGCCAGACTGAGAAGGAAATCTCTTCCACGACGCCATTCGATCTCTACCAACAGGAGAATCAAAGGTTTTTGTGGTTTCAGGAACAGTAGATAGAATTCCAGGTACAGAATGGTCTCTCTTCCAATCTGATTGCTCTTGACTATAAGATTTCCTTGTCGAAGGGCCCTTAAAAAATGCTTTTGAATCGCTGGACATCTTTCCACTTCTTTCTGGGCTCGAAGTGACCTTTTTATCTGCAGGCTGAAGTGATTGACGAAGAGGAAAAATTTGTTCATCCTCGGCGAACCAATTTTCCTTGTGAAACTGCAACAATCTGGTGCATCTTGTGAGTATGAACAACATTCGTGTGTGGAGCTGCTTCAGCGTGCCCATATGAAGTTCCTGCCGTCTGTCGTCCAGTTCTTGCACTATGCCTTCACATTGAAGCCAAAATTCTCCGGGAGAAGTCATAGCACATCTACGAGCCAGTACCAAGAGGTCCTCTATAGTCTCCTGCCAATCGGGATGTGTCTCCGCATTCTTTTCCAATATCCCGACTAGATCAGCTGCAAAAATATGCAAATCGGAATCCACCTCTTCCTTTGCTTTGTCAAATTTTGTCCGAATCATATCTAAAACCTCCTGTTGAAATTTTAACAATAAGTGTCATGAAATAATAACAGCCCGATCCCTTTATCCATCATTAAAGGTTCTGAAAAGTCTATTTACCTCCAAGTTATTTAACCTTTTCGGTTTCCAAAACGGGTAAGGGCGTACGCCTTTGGAATTCAATTCATGTGAAAAACTTTTTATATCACCCGGAAATTTCTTTCTTGGTGCACTTGTAACACGGAGTATAGCTTGAAATCGCGGAGATTCTGACTCTTTCGGATTGTCACATTCGTACGAAGTCTACAAACATAGTTCACAATTAGCTAGTTTGCGCAATCAATTGACATCTAAAGTTAATAGGAAGAAATTCTAATCGATGCCTTTTAACCTAACAGGCGTATAATACAGCTTTTACCTTCATCTCTGGAGTGCATTCATCGGAATTCCTTAGACCTCCCGAATCACCACACGCTGGATTGAATTGCTCTGCATTGACAATATCAAAATCAAGAGTATTTAAATACCTGAATATAGTAAGATTTTATGAAAAAGATGCTTCACACGATTTTCTTGTCTTTAGAACAAGCGCACAATTGAGCATCTAGTATGTATTCACAGCCTCTGTTTCTCGGATAACCTTCACACGAATATCATAGAGGCTACTGTGAACCAAAACATTATTATGGTTTTATAGATGTATAATTCATGGATACTATGATAAATATTACTAATATTTGTGTGTGTTTTACTTTAATTACCTCTGAGAAGATATTTCTCTCTCACACTCAAACATGTTAACAAATTCAAATTTCGGAAAGAAAAACTCACCCTTTAAAATCCCTTCCACAAGGCCTCAATTTCTTAAAAAATTGGGCAATGATTAGTATATTCTCTTCAATCAAAGCATATTATAAAAGCATATTGAAGTCGACCGGATATAAAAAATGCCTAAATGGTGCAGAAAAGAAATGGTCTCGGTATAGATCTTGTTCATCGGACCGACACTAGAACAATCTATTCTTATATGCATTGTTCATTGGACTCAATAACACCATAGATCATCTGACCAACGCAAGTTTTTTCACTCGGCAACTACGGCATTCAATAGCAACACGACAACATAGATCATCGTCATTTCTGATTCTAATTAAAGTATTTGCATAACTAAATCAAGTCAAACAAGCTCCTCACCTAACCTATACTACAAATAATCAATGCCGAACTTGTATTTAACTCGATCCGCCGACAATGGTTAACTAACCCCTCACAATTCACGCAGCTTGATCAACATTAATGATAGCAAACATAAGTTAGCACAACATAGTCAATAAATGAGGCTATATTTGGTCGGTTTCGAAGCCATACCAGACGAAGATTCGGCATTGTGGAGACGAGACCTCGTCTGAGCTTGGAATACATGAGGGCTCTGGTCCCTCGATGCTCCACTCTCTGTCGACATAGTGTCCGAATTACTCCCATTATCTAGATTCTCAGCAAATGCTTTATCCTTCTTCTTGCTAACAGAAGAAATCCCATCACGGCCACCAATGGCGGCGCCGCCCAATGGCTTAGATAAATTACTAGCCCCCAATGCAGCACTCTTATCCCTACTCCCAAAACTAAAGAAGCTCTCCTGCGGCAGAGGCCCTGATCGCGTCTTGATTTTGTTCAGCCCTAAAGAAGACGCCATTATCGGCGAAACGGAGAGCGAATTAGGCGCCGGCGGTGGCGCCGCCGCTTCATCGGATTTCTTCAACTTGGAAGGCGCGGAGGAGTAATTGGAAGCGTATCCAGAAGTAGGTTTGGTCGGATTCAGTTTCTCTTTACCTTTGCCGGAATCCTTCTTCTTCAAAAAACCCTTGGCGGCGCTCGCCGGCGAGGAGGCGGCGGGGGAGGTCTCTTTAGACGCAGATTTAGGCTTCTTCTTATCCGATCGGATCGGCGAATTGGAGTTCGACCCGAAGGATCGGGGGCTACCGGAGGATCCATCGGGGCTGGAAGTATCCGATTTCTTCGACGAAAAGAATCTGCCCTTAAACACCATTTCTGTTTTTCCTCAAATCCCTAATTTCTTCTGCTGCTGCTGCTTCTTTTTCTTCACAAACCAGAAATGAAAACGCGCCGCTGGAATAAACCCAAATCAGCGGCGGCGGCGGCGGCGGCGGGAGATGAAGACATGGAAAGATTTGTATGTATGTATGTATGTATGTATGGAGTAGTGGTGAGTAATGAAGGCAGTCAAGTCAATTGTTTTCAACAGTAGTTTTGGGGTGCGTTTTGTTGAAGACGAACGGTTAGGACAATTGACAATTGAGAATGGACAATGGAAGAAAATGCGATGCGAAGAGGAGAAGAGAAATAGGGAAGAGACTGAATACACAGAGAGAGAGAGAGAGAGAGAGAGAGAGAGAGAGGGGTTTGATGTTCAAACACCACCCCCTACCAAATTACCATCTATCTATCATACATCAGCTTATCTGTGTAATAAATTAATTATATAACTAATGTAAAAATAATAAATATGTTTAATATATTACTTTTTTTTTAAAAAAAATATATTAAAAAAATTCTCAAAACAAACAAACCCAACGTACTATATTTAAAATATATATTATTAAAATTTTTATTCGGTATTTAAACTCTAAATTGATAATATTTGAAAATATGAGCACCATAACCATATATATATATATATATATACACTTTGTAAATATGTTCTTAAACTATTTTAAGTTAAGTCTAGGACATATTTGGATTGCAATTGTATTTGTTTTAATATTTTAAAAGAAAGTTTTATCTTTTATATAGTATAAATAAAAAATAAAATATTTGATTTAATTATTTTATAAAAAAATAAATATTGCAAGAATAAAATCATACTCCTAGAATAGATTTTGGATTGTTTGAAAAATAATAAAAAAAAAATTAAAATTAAAATAATAGTACTGAAAGTCTTCTATAATTAATTATTATAATTACATGAATAATAAAACTTTATTATATAAATTAGCATATTTAATTTTTAAGTGTATCAGCATAGTGTTGAACATGATCCTAAGCTTATTTTTTACATTAGGTATAAAAAAATAGATAACTGATCAAAAAATAATAAATATGTATAATATATTTATGTTTTTTAAAAAAATATTCACCATTGATTTATTGCCTTATAAATATGAAATAATAAAATAAGAAATTGTAATTATTAACAAAATTTGTAGATATTGTACAATGCAATATTGAATAATGATAGAAATGACAATAGAAAAAAATTCAATATTGAATATATATATAAATAAATCCAAATATTTTAAGTTTAACATATTATTTTGTTACCCAAGTACATATACTTGCTGCAAAATAATGAAATATTTCACCGTAAAAGCAAATGAGAAGGAGAAATCATTAGCATTGTTCTATTTTTTTTACTTAAATAGACAAATATGTCTATAACACTTTGTTAATACTTCATGTATTGTTTCTATTTATGTAACCCGGCGGCTCCACTTCACATGTTGTTTGTTTGGGATTTAGATTTTGAATTGGGATTTGAATAGTAAAAATTTTGAATTTGAATAGTTGTATGATGTGATATAAATAGGTGTTGATGTGATGTTTTGAATGTAAAATTGATTTTTAAGTATAATATAAAAAATAAAAAATAGGTGTTATGATTTAATATTTTTGGGGGAAAAAAAATGGAATGAATAGTGAAAATCTAATCCAATCCCCCAAACAAACACACACTTGCCTTATGGAGCCTAGTTTGCAAGTATTAAGTTCGGCGAAGATTTACCCTGTGCGTGCGGATTTTCATGTCATAAAAAAAATTAAAAAAGTAAAAATAAATAATTGAACCGTAACAGTATGAACTCCTAATATATACACGTTATTTGCTGTAAAAATGACAAAAAATAAAAATAAAAATAAAAATCAAAACCATATTGTGTGAACCTGCTGTTTCGATGACGAGGAGCTCCTCCCACCATTGTTTGAAACATGTCAAGAGCATGCTGAGTCCCGAGCTGAAAATCATTTTTAATCGAGATTGCTTCCCAACCAACAAAATCTGAGTGATATGCAAATATTAGGTATTGTCAGTACTGCTGAATAATGTAAGAATATGCATCGAATCAAACCAAATCAAAAAGTTTCATAATCCTCCTACCCCTGGGACCAGTGACTATCTTTGAACCAGCAGTCATGGCTGTTGCTAAAATTTATGCTGAATTTGCTGCTCAAATTCCTGTTGTTGAAGATCCATGGCCAACTGCATCAGAACTGCCTAAAAACAGCATTTGAAATTACCCCATAAGGGTTGCTCTAACAGAGGAATCAAAGTTGAAATGAAATAATACGTGCCAAAGTAATGAAGACTTATAAAATGCGCCGTCATTCCAAACAAGTTCACTTATCATGCAAGACATTCAGAAATAGGTTGATTTTATGGAGAGCTGAAACTCAAAAAAGAAACATGTAAGTATTACAATAACTATCAGATCCATGATATCACAGCAATAAAACAATCGATACTGCTATAAGCTGTAGTATTAAACATTTCATTGAGATGTTTTTCATAGATCGATATCTGTCAGGGATGGACCAAGTTTATCAACCAAGGCAGAAAGATGCTCCTTTGCATCCTGAAAAGATATTCGATACTTCAACATGACTGTGCTAAAAAACAGACCAAATTAAGTAAGAGAGGATCAGGGAGGGAGCACTAGTTGAGAGACATAAATTACTATCTGCATTCCCGATGGCTCAAATGTTCGAAAGAATACTACCCAAAAATGTAAACCCTCATCAACAACTCATTGGTTGTATAGTGCAGCTATGATTAACAATCAGACATAGACCATTGAGCCATTAAATGAGCATACAACAAATGCAAAAGACTATGTCTGACAGGCCACAAATTTGTCTCAGATTGTAGAACTGACAAAACCAGATTTACCTGTTATAAATTTAGGCAAGTCCAGCTCGAGATAGAATCATGAATGTTCCCACAGACGATAGGGATTTAGAAAATTCCAGCTATACAACCAGAATTCAATAAATAAGAATGAGACTAGGATGAGTTTTCGGCGTGCTTATTAAACCGATCGCTCCAGAATCCAAGAATCTTGTAATCCCACACTATTTCAGATATCTTATCTTGGGGGAGAGATAAACCTTGTTGTTTGATTGACCTACTAAGCTCACAAAATAACTTGGCATCTTGTAATCTGATGTATTCGCGGAACAATTTCTCATGATCGGGAACCCAGTTTCTAGGAAAAGGAGTATAGTCACAAGATGGAATTGAGGACATGTGAGAAAACTGAACACCTTCAATGACATCCACGAGTCCCATTCTTAAAAGGTCAGAGTACTCGGGGGCAGAATTGTTACTGCTTTCCCTGAGCGGTTGGCTAAGATTGCGCGACGCAATTTTATAAACCTTAGCACGAGATTTCAACCTATATCTTGCAGCATATAATTTAGCCAGGGAACTCCGAATAACATATGCACAAAAACCGACTATTTTCTTCCTGTTATCTGCATATTTATACCAATCTGCCATTGTCTCCAGCAACTTATTCATCTGGGCATTGGTATGCGCTTGTCCTGAATATAGCATAGGCGTACAGGGCAGAGGTTCGGGATCTTTGTTGCCCTTCAATAATGTGAGTTGTCTGAATTGCCGAATACACTGCTGCAAGCTTGCAGTAACTGAAAGCAGAGTTCCCACACCTTTCTCACTAACAATCTTACCACTGCTTGAAGTATATCGAAGAGTGGGATGTATAACTCTACGAGATATAATGTGATCCAGAAATTGAACTCCTCTTGATATGTGTTCGACCTCAACCTTCGAATTGTCCAACCTAATCCCTAAATTTCTTTCGCAGAACTCAATTATTTCCTTCCTAATCAACACAGCATCTTCTCTAGGTCCCCTGATGCCGACAAGAAAATGGCCGGCATACCTAATATAGTCCATTTTCCTAGTCTTCTCTTTGCCACTTGACGGCACAAACTCCGGCCATGAAGGGTTGTGGCAACCATCATTCATTGAATACTTCCAAATTGAGTCGGATTCAGATGGCCGGAAAAACTCCACTATCCTGTTTTCCATAAGATGATCAAGTTCGGTGAGACAAACATTCACGAGCAGAGGACTCAGAATTCCACAGTAACTGTAGTCGGGCAGCCGAGCAGCTTCTTCAGGAGCAAAGCTAAAGAATGTTCTCAACCAGTAAGGGTCAGGCTTAGGCTCATTGTCACGCAGTATCTTCTTCTTCGTCTGTCTTTTCTTTTTCTCCCTTCTACATAAATTCTCTTCAACTTGTTTGGGATTTCTTGCTGTTGCTGTCTCTCTTAACCCTGATTTAATCAAGCTCAAAACTCTCTTGTCCTCCACAGATTTTGCAACGCAATTCAATACTACATTTGAATCTATTCTATCAAAAATTTCACTCAAATCGCCTCGGATAAACCACAAGTAACCAGCAAAATTACTCCTGATTGTTCTAATGACAGTGTGCGGATTTCTACCTGGTCGAAAGCCATGGGACTTTGAAGAAAAACGCGCCTCGAAAACCGGTTCGAGAATCATCAGCAGCACTTCCTGAACAATCCGGTCTTGAAACGGCGTCGCAGTTGATGCCAACATCGCGCGGAGCTTCGTCTTCGAGAGAACCTCGGGAATGCGCTTATCGTTGGGGCCGCGGATGAATTGCTGGACCTTGGAATTCCACCGGAACTGGTTGCGAACAACGGCGTTCCTGAGGGATAGAAGATTGTGGAGAGTGTAAGACGGGATAGCATTTTTGGGAGGGAACGAACCAGTGGCGTGAGCGTGCGCCCGCTGGTAGGCGAGCACCCAGAGGTCGAGTTTGGAGAGGAAGCCGGTGAGGTTTTGGAAGGGTTTGTGCGTTTGGGAGAATGACCTCACCCACAGATCGGATAGGATTTGAATTGGATCGTGTTTGAGTAGGGTGTACGGATCCTGCGGCTGAGATTCACGGTGGTTGAGGTGGTAACAGAGGCGGCGGACCGCCGGCGAGAAAACGCCGTCGCCGGTAAGGTGTTTGATATTTGTTCTTAACAACATTCTGCTCTGAGCTGCGTTTTGTTGAGGTTTGATTGAACTCCAAAAAATTAGCGCATGGACTCTCAGCGTGACAAATTATTAAATTTATGTTTTTATTAACTAATTAATACTCCCTCTCTAAAACAAATTGAAATTAATAAATAATGATGATTTTATGTTAAAATAAATTAAGTAAAAAATTAATAAAATGAAATAATTAAAAAATTTATTAAACAAAATAGAAAAAGAATATTATTATTTATTAAATTAAATAATGGTAATAAAATTATAGATGGATAAATTTTTTTTATAAAGTGAACGTAGTAATAGTGATACAATTTTGGTTGAAAAATAGAAAAAAATACTATGATTCTTAAATAAATAAAAGAAATAAGAATATTTTGAGAGGTATAACAAATGGTTAAATTATATAAAAAAAATTAGTGTTTTTTTTAATTCAGAGTCTCTAATAAATTATATAATTTTTTTTTTGTTTTACGAATATATAAAATATGTCATATATTGTTTATTGGGTATATTTTAATTTAACATCAAAAATCTTAGGCATAAATAAAATACAAAATGTTTTAATAAATTCGTAAAGATTTACAATTTATAAGTCTTTTTTAATATAAGTCATCTTTTCTAATTTTCTATATATATTATTGTAAAGGTAAATAACACAAATACGATAATTTAAATTTACAAAAAGATGTACAACTATACAAGCCTATGACCTCTAACTATACTGTTTATTTTAGGCTATAAATATTGGGCCGATTCAACTAATTTTGTGATGGGCCTTATAAGCCCATTTGAAAGTTATATAAATGCACCTTTTTTGTAATTTCAAAAACCATCATATTTATTAATTTAAATTTATTCATAAAGTTTATAGGTTTTATTTATACAATATTTCTAGAATTTTGGGATTAGTAAATCTTTTTGAAAATATCAAATCAAATATATATATTTTTTAAAATAATAAATGAAATACTATTTTTTATTATTATTATTATTTTCAAAATTTTCAAAAATCTTGTCTAAACAAATCCTAATAAAATATGTAATTTTATTTGGACGACTTCCGTGTTAATTACCCTCGATTTAACTCGGTCAACATATTTATCAAAGCAGATATGACAAAATAAATATATTTATACAGTACATACAATTTAAACTGTACAATACATGTTTATATATGATACTACATTATGTTTTCTGTCTTGCCGTAAGAGCATAATTAAGTCAAATCAGCATGATACCGAGTTGACTCGATCAATATTTAACCGCCGTCAATTTGTTGGTTTCATTGAATTATGTTATCAAGCAATTAAAAATATCAAATATATTGTATCTATTAAACCGAAATAAAATGTTGGATCATCCTAAAATCATTCAAACATTTATTTCATGTCTAATACTTTCTCGTCCCACTTGTATGGTATTACTAATTATCATTTAAGGTTATGACATCTAAAGAGTCTATTTTTATTTAGAGGGTGTTTGACGAAGAATTTTTTGAAATTTTTTTAGCTTATTGAACAATTTGTAGCTGGTTGACCAGTCAAACAGCTAATTTAGGTATTTGAAAAATTAGTTTTTTGAATAACTTTTTGGACCTAAAAAATTAATTTCTGCCTTTTGAAATAGCTTTTTCAGTTTAAACTTTTTTATTCCTTATATACCCTTAAAAATTTATTATGCATTTTACACAAATAAATATATTTTGATTATTTATTAATTATATTAGAATATTTTATTATATTGTAGTTTTACTTTTATAAATTTAAAATAATTAATTTATATATAAAAATTATTTTAATTGTAAAATATATAAATTTATTAAAATCAACATAAAATAGAAAATATAAATATTAATAATTTATTTTTATATTAAAATTACATTATATAAATTTTATATTAAAAATAAATTAAATTTATCGAAAATTTTAAATATAATAAACTAATCGATAATTAATATAATATATATATATATACACAAAAAATTTATTATTTTATATTTTACATCATTTTTTTTAAAAAAAAACTATTTATATTTTTCAATAAAAATATATTAATTTTTAAATCTAACTATAATAAAAATAAATACTATTTTATAACACTTTTACAATTTTCAATAACTAATAACAAAAAATTTCAAACATTTTAAACTCAAAAGAACATAATCGAATATATTAGGAAAAAAATAAAATAAAAATATGCTCAATTGTCATTTTACTAATAAACAGCTAATATCAAACAGTTATTTTACCAAACATTTGAATACAAACAACTAATCGAATCAGCTAGTCAAACCAACTAATTGAATCAGCTAACAATTATCAGCTAATTAAATCAGCTAATAGCTAACGGCTAATTGCCACCGCCTTAGTCTAAAATTTTTTAACTTATAAAAATTCACTTATCAATATAATATTATTTTATTTAATTTCTTGTAAAAATTTGTTAAAACAATATATATGGGGTGAAGGGAGTATAATAGGTGAAATAATAATCAAACTTTTACATACATAAAATAAAATAAAAAAAAAGGGCACAAATTGATGACAAGAAAGACAATCCACAAAGTCCCATAAGAAAAAAGCATAATCAACTAATTTGCTTGGACTGTTTCCCATAGCAATGTTTTTATTTTTTCATATTTTTATTTATTTTTCTCAATCTTTATCCTTTTTTTCTTGAAAAATATTTCTTGATTCAAGAAGTATGTGGGATTTCCCCTATGGTAATAGAATTTTCTAAACAAACAAAAAGTAACACCCAAAAGGAACATGGGTGAGTGGATACATGTCCACACTCACACACACATATTCAAAAAGGGTATCATATGTATTTATATTTTTACATATATATATATATATATATAGAGAGAGAGAGAGAGTATGAGAGAGATGACAAACAAGAAAAAAAAAAAAAAAACCATTTTGAAATGACATATGTGAGCTAAGCTAAGAAGGATCTTTGCCTTAATAATGAACATATATGATGGGGTCCAATTTTTTTGGCTTATGGTGGAGTATTTCTAAACTCTTGGATTTATTTAGTTTTCACTTATATCAATAAAGAATAAATAAATAAATAATGGGTGTGTTAATTTGGTGCTTGTTTCTTTTTTTTTTTGGGTTTTAACTTTATATTTTAGTTTAAATAATAGCTTAAATGTAATATTTATTAGATAAAATAATATAATTTTCTTTCATCCACACAAAAGTAAATATATATAGTCATTTTCATGTATTTCATCTAAGTATACATTTTTTATTATATTAAAAGTGAGTTCAACACATATACTAAAATACTCTCAACAAAAATTAATAAGTACATGCAAAAGTAAAATTATCAATACCTTCATACGTACCAATACTCAATAAATAAAAACCTATATGTATAATTATGAATACAACATGGAGAATATATTTTATAAGAAATTTTGGATATTAAATAATAAATAAATTGCAAAAAATTACCAAATAAACACAAGCAATGATTTCAAGCACACACATCTATATCTATCTATATATACTTAATTATCATTTTTATTTTGTAATTAATTGTACATTATATATAGTTTATATATGTAAAAATTATCCATTTCTTGATAGAATTATATAAATATGCACATGTATGTATATATTGGTGTGGGTTGTGGGTGATGATGATGATGATACTAAATTCAAAATAAAAATAAAAATAAAAATAAAAGGGATATAAGTAAAAGAAACACAGCATGTGAGTGGGGTTGCAGACCTTTAAATCCAAAAAGAGAAGTTCCCCAGAAAGTGTCCAAAGATATTTCAATAATTCTAAATTTATTTAGTTGTTTCTCTTGTATTTTCTGTCTTACCACTCAATCAAAATTTTAACTTTCATAATTATTGACTCAATTCTATTTCAATTCCACATACACAATAATATATATATATATATATTTAATTTCTATTTAATTGTTTAGGAATTATCTATTGTGGGTTCTACAATATTTAGTGATAAATTGAAATTGTCGACAAAATGTTATGCAATGATTTTTGCTATAGTGAAAGTCGAATTAAGACTTTAGTAAATTTTGTTTTAATCTTGTTAGTAAAATTGAATAAATCAATCTTATATCTCTACATTGATTCTATAGATACCGATTTGATTAGAAAAATCTCTTCTTTTTTTTTTTTTAAAAAAAATATCTTTAAAAAAATGATCCTGCCCACTATCAATAATGTTATATATTTTACTGTATTAACAAAAATCTACTCAACAAATGCTATTATTGATTTTAGCATTAAAATATCTTAATACAAGTATAAGTATAACTAAAATAAATAATTTTATTATACATATATATTGTTTGCATGGTTTATATATGTTGATTGAGACAAATCAGTGCTCATTCGGGCACTGTATTGCACAATAAGCACCATAAGTATCCATATATAAACATATTGTACTTAATTAGGGTTTTGCATGCATGTATCTATTAAAATGTGTAGACCTAATTTATTACTTCCTCATTCCAGAATTATAGTTTTGGATTTGTTGGATACGAGATTTAAAGAATATTGATATTATATTGACATTGAGTAAAAGGTATAGGTAAAAGATATTTTTGCCCTTGTGAATGTATTAGTACAAAAAGAAGTGACAATTGTGTAATAATAATGAAAGAGTAAGGGTAGTTATATAATGATATAATTTTTTTTATGGAAATAAGATTATTGTTTTGGGACGGACAAAAATAGTAAATAAGATTATTGTATTGAGACAGAGGAGTATTATTGTTCAATATTAAAATACTATGAGGCTGTGCTTTGTTAGAAAGAGATATACATATATATATATATATATTCAAGATTTGATAAATAGTAAGATACAATTTTATTTATTTATTTATTTTTCATTACAAAAAATAAATAAATTTTGATATGCAAGTTAGCAATTAAATTTTATTGATTAGCAAGATTAGCAAGTCTAAATTCAAAATTAACCATATATCTTTATATTTATTTTTAATTTCGATAAAAGGTCAAATTTTTTATGCACATTGTCATTTTTTTACCAATTTATTAAATGATAAATTTATACAAGTTTAATAATTGGTATTATCAGGAATATACATTTTCTTTCATTATTCTCCACAACAATCATTAAAACATTGAATTTATTTATTTTTTTTAAAAATCTTTTATTTTATTATTGTTGGAGTTACTTATTTATTTTTTTATGACGTGGAAACCGCCGCCGTTATCCGAAAGTGCACATTAAGTAAACTCACAATTGAACCTAATACTGTGAATCCATGACCTAACGATTACACGTCCAATTCCTACGCCACCGGACCATTCTTACTGTATTGAAATATAAATATATATATATATATGTACGAATTTAGTAAACAATTTATTTAATTTTGTACGTATACATGCAATTGCAATTGAATTTTTTTGTCATTTACTTTACAGAAATGTACCCTATGATGCCTATTAATAAAAAGTAGATTTTTTTTTTTCCAATTTAAATAAAGTGTATCTGACAGAAGTAATGATTCAATCTTAAAGAAGCTCTTTAACTTTCTCTGCCATGAATTTATTTTATTTTATTATTCCAAACACATACAACACAATATACATAAATAATAATAATAATAATAATAATGAAAATTAAATTAAAGACAGTCATTGAATTGAACAGAAGCAATGAATCCATTCTTACAATTCTTTGACTATTGTCCCTTTCAATTTTGCTAATTGATGTATATTAATTGACTTCATAATATTTTGTTATGGAAAATGTTTCACTACAAATCGAAATCACCTACGAAATCAACACTATTTATTACATAAAATTTTTATTAAAGAAACATATAATTTCCTTCTTTTTTAAAAAAAATAAAAAAATTATATTAAAATATTATTTAAAAAAAATTCAAATCAATGGGGTCATTTAATTTCAAACAAAAATTAAACAAACCCGGGAAATATATAAGACAATAAAATTAATTTATAACATGTAGAAAGAAAAACATGTGTTCACTAATTATTATGATTATTTTTAAGGAAAAAATTATTTTTAGTCTCAATATAATCAAAATTCATCAATTTTGGATTTAATATAAACATTTTATCAATTTTGGTCTCAATATAACTAAAATTCATCATTTTTTGTCCCAATATAAAAGTTTATCAATTTTAGTCCCAATATAATCAAAATTAATCATTTTTTGTCCCAATATAATCAAATCTTACCTTTTTTTAGTCCCACCATCAACAAACCGACGGAAAATATTGACGTAAAAGTAAATCAAACCTTATATTTATATTCGAAAAAATTGCACAATCTTGCAAGTTCACGTCAACATTTTTCGTCGGTTTGTTGACGGTGGGACAAAAAAAGATAAGGTTCAATTATATTGGGACAAAAAATAATGAGTTTTGGTTATATTGGGACTAAAATTGATAAATAATTTATATTGCGACCAAGAATGATGAGTTTTGGTTATATTGAGACAAAAAATGATGAGTTTTGATTATATTGGGACCAAAATTGATAAGATTTTTATATTGGGACCAAAATTGATGAATTTTTGTTATATTGGGACAAAAAAATAATTTTTTCCCTTATTTTTATTTTAAAATTTTTATAATAAAACTAATAATTGCACGCAATAATTTACAATAAAATTTAGTCCTGAACGTTATAAATCTGTAAAAAGGCTAAATAATAAATGCAATAATAAAACATACAAATACAAACGAACAAGCCCATTAAAGTTATGGATTTCAACATAATTATTGCGCGACATACGTAGTGTATGATACCTATATATATATATATATATATATATATAAACAAATTATTGATTAATCTCATGCATAATAATAATATAGTCTTTGGTTTTCTATGCAAAATAAATTTTTTTTACCATCTAGAAAACGTACACATTTTATATGGTCTTAGGAGTTTTACAACTTGATCATATATGTGTATATATATATTATTAATTTTATTCTAATATAATTTCCACATATTTCATTTTTTACACAATTAGGAGAAATTATAGGACAAAACTAATGATTAATATTGGATGTAACATAAACAAAAATTAGAAGTTAATCTTGTTTAATTTTGATTTGAATTTTATTTATAAATTTAATTTGAATGATGTTTTTTAAAAAATAATACTCCCTCCGTTCAGCTATAAAACATCTATTTATTTTGGGACGTCTAATCATAAAGTAACTATTTCATTAAATACCCCACTTTTCTCCACAAATACCCTTACTTTACATCACATCGTTACTTTTATACCAAAAAATAAGAGCAAAAATGTCATTACACTACTTTTATATACCCACTATAATTAAAATACTATTATTTCTTAAACTTCGCGCCAAAAGAATGTATATTTTATTCGTGGACGGAGGGAGTACTATCTTTTTAATAGTAAAATGCATTGACTGAATTATACTCCGTCCCGGCTATCGCATCCGAATTACTGTAGACACGATAATTTAGTATAAGTATAATTAGTAAATAATTAAAGATATGTTAATAAAAGTAATTGTCGTAGTATAATATAAATAATTATAGATTACGATTAAAATAACTAATTACTCTAAACTAAATTTAAAAAAATATAAATTATAAAATTTAAAATGAGATTAAACCGTATAATATGACATGAGAAGTAGGACTGACAAAAGTATTAAAATAGATATGATAGGTGGAACGAAAATTAATAATTTTGATTTGAAATAAAAAAACAAGTTTGCTCATTCAAATTTTTATGGTTAATCCGCCCTTTAACTATTTATTTATTTTTCTATTTTGATAAGTTTTAATATAGTTATATTATTTCTAAAACTTTATGGGAATATAAAATATTATGTCCGATAATTATTCTACTTATTAAAAAAGAACCTACAAAAATACAAAAAGAAGAAATTATATGGTAGAATAAAAAGTGGTTGAGAAGTGGTAAATTAGGGTTTGTTTATAGAGGAATTGGGGATTTTGAAAAGAGGGAAAAATCCAGAGACAAGCAAGGTGCAGTTAATTTCCCCATCGACACACACACAGAGAAAGCCTTGACTGAGAAAGAGCAGTCTTCAACTGATGCAATGGTCTGTACACAAATGGAAAAGATGCCCTCTGCTCTGCTCTGCTCTGACCACGAACACACTGATTCTCATGAATTCAACAACAAGCAGAAGAAGAAGATGATGAAGATGAAGAAGAAGAAGAAGAAATTGATTAATTAATAAATTATAAATTAAAAAATAAAAATCATGATGATGACGATATATATATATATATATGATGATTATATATAATTGGGGTTGGGTGTTTGTTGTGATGAGAGTGACCGGTCAAGCTGAGATAATTAATCGAATATATATTATATGGCACTGAAAAACATGGCATTGGCGCCTCCTCTTCAATTCCGCATATATGTAATTAATATATTTTTATTTTTATTTTTAAAATATGTATATGTTGAATTTAATTTATTTGCAGATCTGCTGATCATCACTCAATCTCCACCGTCCATCTCATCTACGGAGTGGGTGGCTAGATCATCCGCCTCTCTGCTCCCGGGACTCCCTCGCCACTCAATGGCATCTGTCTGTATCTATATGTATGTATATATAGATGATGATGATGAACAGGCAGGCAGGCAGGCAGGCAGCAGGTTTTGCAGTACGTTCATGGCCATGGCTTGTAATAATAATAATTACTATTATTAAGCTTTGGTCTGGTGGCAGGCTGTATTGTGGTTTTAATGGCGTCTCTCTCTCTCTCTTTTTTCTCTCTCTGACTGCCATATATACAGACATAAGTCGTCGTCATCGTCCAACCAGGATCTTGTAAAAGTCCAAACACAAGATCTAACGATGCTTCAAAAGTAGTTGGGTCTGCTATTATATATATATATATATATATCATCTTTAGCCTTCAATTCTGAGGTTTCTGTACTAATCAATTGCACACCATACATTAGTTCTGGATATAATCTATGTTTCAGATTATACATTAAATTGTAGCTATAATTGGTGTAGACAGTACACTCACTGTCCTTAGCTTTCTTCATAGAGAGAGAGAGAGAGAGAGAGAGAGAGAGAGAGAGAGAGAGAGAGAGAGTAGTAAATTAATTACAGAAGCTGATTGTTTTATTTTATAGTATTAGGAATTAAGAAACCCTTACAAATCCCTAATTGATTAATCGACGAAGCAAATGGATTAATTAAAAATGGTAATTGGAGTGGTGTATGATCAGATCTGTTTGTTGCTGAATTCCCATTCTCTGAGTGCAGACGATATGTAACTAAGCCCTAATGAGCTGTCGCGGCGGCGCGGGGAGGAAGACGAAGAAGGTTCTGGAACCACGGCCGGCCACGTGGCGGGCGGAGGATGTGACACCTGGTACTTGTGCTTGCAAGAATGGCACGTGATTAGTAGCATCGTCGAATTGATCTGCTTCGTCGACTGCTCCTTCAGCGCCTGAGCTTTCCCCAGCTCCGCCTGCGCCTGCTGCCGGATTCTTCTCGCATTCGTGAATTCCTGCTCCGCCACCTCGATCTGCCGCCGCGCCTGCCGCCGTGCCTCCTCCGCGTAGGCCTTCTCCGCCATCGCCATTCGGAGATGCTCGTCGGCTTGTTCCTTCAGCTTCGCCGCCGCCGAGTTGGGGGTCGTCGTGGTGGTGGTCGAGGTGCTCCCCCTCGGGGAGCAACCGTTGACGGCGGCGTCGGGTTTTTCTCCGATCGTCGTCTCCGGCGAGGAGCCCATCGAGAGGTGGAGATGGGTGGAATGATCCTGATCGTCCATTTTCCGCCACGTGTCGGTTCCTGAGATGCTCGATTTTGTGAGGAGCTGGAGCTCCAGATTCGGGGACCGGGATGCGGCGGAGACGGCGGCGCCGTCGGTTTTTTTGTTGAAGAAACCCGGCGGCTCAGCCGGGTTCGCTAAAGTAAGAACCGCCGCAGCCCAAGGCGCGACGCTGAGATTCGTGTCGGTGGAAGGGCTGGGACTCGACGCCGTCCGCGACAGGCAAGGCCGCGGCAGCGGCGGTGGCGGCGGCGGCGGATGGGCGGCGCGGTGGGGGTCCGATCGGAGCCGGCCCATAGTGCAGGCATCTTGATGCTCAATAAAACTCTCCACCCTACAAAAAAAAATCACAAAAAAATAAAAAATTCAACAACCCACATCAATTTATATATATATATATATATCTATATACATACGCGAATGTAACACGATTTTATTTAAATATTTGAATAATAGTATTCTATATAAGTAAATGATGATAAGAGATGATTTATTTAATACAAGGCTGTAAATGATTCTGGGTGTAGTGGAAAAGCTGAGCAAAGGACATTCTTGTACAGTGAGTGGTGTCTGAAATAAATCTTTTCAATTACAAAAAAGGAGAAAAACAACAACAACAAAGCTAAGGGTAAAACAAAACAAAACAAATACTTATAACAATTCACATCACATCATCATTAGCATCTTGACCTTCTTCTTCAACAATGGATTCAACAGATTAACTAATTAAAATAATCATTACACCACAAACCTAAGCCCTAATACATATATACAATAATATCTTATCAGAACAAAACAAGCTATAGAACTGCTAATCAAATCGCAATTAATAATGGTTAATCTAATCATAGAATTAATTTATAAATATATATATATATATAATAAAATTTAAAAAAGGGTCAAAACCCCAGTCTAAGAACAAGGACCTTTCCCTTACTGCTGCACATTTGCTGTTGGACTGTTGGAGAAAATGATTTGACACATTTCTTCAGTTCCAAGAACACGCACAAATCTATAGTACAATTAATTCACATTCTGCACTGAATACAATAAAAATCCCTATGTGAAAAGACACAATTCCCTCTCTGCTCTCTGTGTTTTTTTTTTTTTTTTTTAAATTTTTATTTTTTGAAGATTCGATGATCGTTCATGAAACCCATCTTCTTCCCCTTCTCCCCCCATTGCCAAATTAGCTTCAAATTTTTGTGATCATCGTTTCAATTAAATCAAGAAAGTATCGAATTGTTAATTAATTAAAAGTTCAATTTCAAATAAAAACCAAACAAAACCCTAGCTAGGTGAGTACCTGGAGAAGACACGGCCACAGTCGCAGGAATGGCCGCGGGTGCCGCAGGTTTTGAGGTGAGCTTTGTAATCGGACTGGACGGCGTAGCCTTTGGAGCATTTCTGGCAAATCCATTGCTTCTGATTGCTGTGTTTCCGGCGGAAGTGTTTCTTAATTCCGACGAGGTCGCCGAGGGCGTGGCGGGGGTCGTGGTGGAGGCAGGTCGGCTCGGGGCAGACGAACACGCGTTTTTTGGCCACCGGAGATTCTCGCTTCAGGAGCTTCCATGGAACCTTGTGGCGGCGCCGGTGCATCTGCAGGTTCTGGTCCCGCTGGAAGCCTTGATTGCAGATCTCGCAGACGTACCGATCCGATTCCATTAGGGTTTTGGGGGATAGGGAAACCACCTCCGCATCTGGATCTGAAATTGATTAAGATCATCAAATCAAATTTCCCCAATTACAGAAACCCTAATTCCCCAAATTGAGTGACGAATTGAATGATTAATCATTTGATTAATTACCTGGAGTTCCGGCGGGGCGGCGCTTCCGCTTGCCGCCGAATCGGTGGTCGTCGGAGAGGGGCGGCGGAGGGGAAGGATCAATGTTGCTCAGCATCATCAATGGCAGCTCAGAGTGATCGGCACCTTAATTATAGATACAATATATATATGTATGTATAGATACAGATAGATACAAATTATTGTGTGATGGGAGGGGTGAAAATTGAGGAAAGGGAAGAAGTTTTTTTAATTTTGGGGGGTATTGGGACAAAAGCTAATTGGGAAGGTATAGGGGTGTGTATGTATAGTGTATGTATAGGTAGTGAATGAAAGTTAAAAGAAAAGGGCACAACTTTCTTTCAGTCTTTCTATCTTTAACACTCATCTTTCTCAGGTATTGCTGTGAAGTGTGTCTTAATAAGCTTCTTGAATTGGGTAGGGTAGGGTAGGGTGGGAGTGGGGGTGGGGGGGCCAATGACAGTAGTGTATGGTAGAGAAAAACATACTCACAAAGGAACAAAAGACACAGGAATTATGATTTTCATGGGCAGAGAGAGAAGGATGCATGGAACTCACATACATGTATATATTCCTCTGTCCCATTTTTATTTTCGTCCATTTCAAAATAAGGTTATTATTTTATAATTTAGTAATTGTACAGTCTACCTAATATAATAAATGTCCTTTCAACTTATACTATATTACACAAATATCATTACTTTTATATTATTAAATACTAATAAAAGTATTTCCATCTTTTATATTTCAACATGTTATAATACTAATATTCGAAAATCTACTTGCAAAAAATAAACGACAATCTTGTATTGGGACGGGGGAGTATATACTCTCTCACTCTATGTATATATATATATTTATGTGTATGTATCTGGAGAGAGAGAGAGAGAGAGAGAGAGAGGGGTAGGGCTTTAGGAGCCTAATTTTTGTCTGTTTGTTCCACAGACAGAAATAGAGAGAGAGTGACCATTTCTTCTATGTCTAATCATCTTGCTGTAGCTCACCCTCTCTGCCCCATTTTGCCTTTTCTCTTTTTACACTTCTACCCTTCCTCATATATATATAGAGAGAGAGAGATGGTATGCATGTATGTATGTATGTATGTATTTATGTATGTATGTGTGTTTTTGGGTGTGTTTAAATCAATTTGATATAGGTGTGTTTTTTTTGTCTGAGTTTGAAAAATTTTGGATTGATTTTGATATTAAATAATATTACATCTTATCAACTCTAACTGTATTATTTATTTTTTGCGTATTAATATTTAAATATTAAATATTATATTAACACGTAGTATAAATTTAAAAAAAATTACAAAAATATTTTAATTAGTGTCTTATAATATTAATATAAAAATATTAATACAAAATTATTATACTAATATAAGCATTTTTAATGTTAATACAATGATGCAAAAGCTAAATATGACCCTTAGAAGCAGAATGATGGAGTATTTGATGTGATATTTTGTAAAAAAAAAATGAATTTTTTTTCTCAAAAAATACAAAGTCAAAATAATAAAATTTAAAAAAAATTAGTTAAAGAAACAAACCCAAATCATTCAAAAAATATATATATATATATTTACACGAGACAAACCTCACATATCTGATATCATATAATAATATAATATATGATATATTTTGACAGTATATAATATAATACATTATTGATTTTAACATAGTAAATATATTTATAAAACACAATACAATATACATATAACATATACAAAGTACCCTTTTATATAATTATAATATCATAATACTAAAAATGAGTATAATTGAAAAAAAGATATATTTTAATATATTAGTGGTGTTCAACAAATTTATTCCTTAGATCAACATTTATATATAATTTAAAGTTGGTAAATGAAAATATGAGTAAAAACTTAAGTGTATTAGATGTGTGTGTGTTTTTTTTTTTTTTGGTTCAATTATACGTTTTATTATTTTTATTTTAAAACATCACATTCGTTCCTCATTTAAAACATTTATTAAAAATATAGTTCATCTACAAAACAACAAAGTAAGAAACAAAAAAACAAAAGACAAATGCACACACCCTTAATTATGTGACCTTTAAAAACTATGAAATAATAATATATTATTGAAAAATATCTCAAATATAAATTTATTACAATGTGAAACTCAAAAGAATTTGATTACTTAATTTTATTAAATTAATTTCATCTCGGATCGGATCGGAGGTGCGCCAAATCATAAATATACTAGACAAGACTTTGGCTATGTTCGGGAGTTTCAAATTTTGTTATCGGATTTTACAACACTACAATCAAAACTATGCTTAGACACATTCTATCAACACCAAATCCGCTAATAAGAACTATGTGTAAATATACAGTGGCGGTTAAGGTACTGATTAAATCTAAGTAATACAATATTGATAATACAATACTATATATATATATATCAGACAATACATTAGATATATATTTATAATATATATAAAATAAAATTAACAATACGCACTGATACTCTATACAAAAATGTATTGTTGGTTATTTTTCATATATTTCCTCCGTCCCAAATCAAAAGGGTCTTTTGGAATTATGTAATAAATTAAGAAATAATACTCCCTCTGTTCTAAATACAATAGTTTCGTTTACCATTTTTGTCCGTCTCAAAACAATAGTATTGTTTCCATAAATAACAATATCATCGTAAAACTACCCTTACTTTTTCATTTTTGTTACACAATTGTCACTACTTTTTACACTAATACACTCACAATGACAAAAAAATATAATTTTTACCAACTACCAATATAATATCAATATTCGTTAAATCTCGTGCCCAATCCAGTTAAAACTATATTTATGGGACGAAGGGAGTAGTATTTTATTAGTTAGTTAAAGTGTGTAAAATTTTTTGACAATTTTGCCATTTAGCTTTATGTATAAAATAATTGTATATGTAATTGTATATTTGTAATTTACATAAAAGTTAAAAAAATATTTTAGTATTAGTATATGATTACTTTTTGTAAAATAAGAAACAAATATTTTGAAGTGTAACCGACGAAAATAGTAAAAATTATATTTCGAATTAGGACGAAAAGAATACTATTTATAGTATTTTTCATATGCTAATTTAGACAATCAATACAGTGCTGATAAATCCACTGTCTATTACTGAGATTGAATTGAACCAAAAATTAATTTTGCTGGTTATTATTATACAATCAAGAAAGGTAAGCTTCATAAATAATTTTGATGTGTGCTTGTTAATACAATATATATATATATATATATTAATTAATTAATTAATTGATGCCCATAAAAGAGAAAACAAGAAGTGGCAAAAACGTCCTCCATTATCTATGAGCTAGCTAGCTACTAGCTAGTGATGATCCATATAATACAATATATATATATATATATATATTAATTTCAATAAAAGAAAATTAATAAAAAAAAATAAAAATGTATATATGATTGTAGTTTGCCAAACGCTATGAGACATTGATTGTGGAATTATTGGGAATTTTTTTACATATGTGCTGTCTGTCTTCAAAACAGGCACCAGTATTTTTTCTCTTCACCATAATTGCATTTGCATAAATAAATAAATAAATAAATATATATGTGGGTATGTTTGATAGATAAATAAATAAATAAATGAATGAATACTAATTAAATAATAGTAATATTATTTATAAAGAAAATTGGACAAGCAGTAGAGGATGATCAATATAACAGTGTCTAAAGAATTGAAGGACACGTTTGGTGAAGGGGCTGGCTCAATGTGGGCCCCATTTTCTCATTTCATTTTCGTCCCATTTAATCATTTGTCTTCCCCCCAATATTCATTCACTATTAATTCTTATCTTTATATGTATTATATATATTATTTATTTATTTATATCCATAAAAATTAATACTATAATTGTTTGAAAGACAGCATCTATAATCCTCGTTCCGTCCACACACAAAATAAATATTTATTTTTGGCGTGATATTTAAAAAATAATAATTTGTGAATAGTTAAAAGTAGTGTAATGACATTTTTTGTGTAAAAATAACGATGTGATCTAAAGTAAAGGTATTTGTGGAAAAAAAAATATGATATTTAATAAAATATTTACTTTGTAACTGGACGTCCCAAAATAAAATATTTACTTTGTATTATTTAGGCCAGCATAATATTTAATACCTTTTCATTCGTTTTGTACGGTCTTAAAAGATTTTGATAATAAATTGAAAAAGAAAACATTGTTATATTAATAAGTGGTTTTGTGTGAGTTAAAAGTGTGTTTATTTGGGAGTTTGAGATTCGAATAATAAGATTTTTAAATTGAAATGGTGATATGATGTGATATATTGAATATAAAATTGATTTTTAATATAATATATATAATAGATATTTGATTTTATATTTTTAAGAAAAAAAAAACTGTAAATAGTAAAAATCCGTCCAAACAAACACACAAAAATTACTAAGTTTAGTAGGATTAACTGTAAAACATAAGATGATATATGAGTAATATATATAAATAAAAATAGGACTAGTCTCAAATTGAAAGTGGGTAAATTTATTTTTATTTTTTCTATACATATAAAGTGTCTTATATTTTATCAATTTTAAACATTATATGAACATTTTGAAAAAAACAATAGCGATAATCATAATTGATTGTATTTGTGGCGTATATTGTTTGTAATTATTTGTATATACATATATATACATGTATTTGTGATGGAACAAGTCAATATAAGATAAATATCATGTATATATAAAAATATAAATGATTAAAAATGTGTTTGGCTGTAAATTAATTTATGAAAATTATGATTTAATATATATTAATTTATATGCTTGAGTATATTTTATAGGGAATAAAATTTATATAATATAAATAAATAAACATATAGAAATATAGACATAATTAATATAAATAAAAGTAAAGTTTATAAATTAAATATATTATAATAGTCACACTTTAAAAAAAATTGAGAGTATAATACCAACACGTGCTCCAAATTACAAAACAAACAGGCCATGTGTTAATTTCTTTGAAGGTTTTTTTTTTTTAAAAAAAAATAATAATTTTACTTTAAATAATAACAGATATTTAGTGAAAAATATATATTTTTATTAGAGAATATGAATTTAAACGTTAAGAAGAAAAAAAAAAAAAAAAAAAAACATCAAGTTTCGATTAAATTCTTGATTATTTGCATCGTCGTCAATCAGCTCCTTGCTCTGGTAATCCATTGGTGAACGAAATCCCTACACGAGAGCACCACATCCCCTGTGAGATACATCAATGAAAATATGTGAAAATGAAAAAATAAATAATTTGTATTTATGAAAAGAAATTAAAATTAAAAGGTAAAATTAAAAAAAAATAAAAAACTTTTTATATTTTAAAAATCAAAAATATGATTTTTTATTTATATTTTTTTTGCATGACTCATATTTCATCTATATTTTTTAAAGTATAAAAAGGGTTTTGCATACTAAGAGTTTCATGTAATATTTATGAAAGTGTAAGGAATTTTATAAATTAAAATAAAAATTTACATTAAGTAAAGTTATCGATTGTTTTGCCAAATTAAGATTAATTTTTTACTTATTATTATTATTTTTTAATGCAGTTCTATATTTATACCAAACATAGTATAGAACATAAAATTCTAGGAAAAAAAATGGCAAAAATAGAGATGACACTTTGTACGGAAACATAAGCTACTAAAGGTTAATTCAAGTCGCATTTCAAGTAACGCGAAACCGTAAATCGTACAAACGGTGAAAGAATCGCATTTCTCGTCACGACGCTTTTTCTTACACTAAACACGCTTTTTCAGCTGACGGTTTCTTTCTTTCTCCATCTTTGCTGCCATGAAACAAAACAATACAGACAACAAAAGATCTCCACATACAGTCGATGAATGTCTTTACAACAATGACTTATTGACGAAGACCACATTCATTCATTCCCTACAGCTCATTCAACACACTCTGCTGTTCAACCAGGAAACAATGCTCTGCATGATTTCTTCCTTCTCCGGTTCGAACAGAAGGTCGTGAAGCAGGCCGTGGCAGAGCTCGATCGTCTTGTCCGTCGAGGGCGAATCCCTGTGGAGCTTCACGGAGGATTCGGGATCAGTCACCGAATCGGCGGTGCCGTGGAGGACGAAAAACGGGGCTGTTAGTCTGCAGATGTTGTCCTGTAGGTAGGCCGTGGTTCGGAGGATTTCGTAGCCAGTGCGTACTCGGATGGAGCCCGTGAATACGAGAGGATCCGAGTATTTAGCCACCAGTGCTGCCGGATCCCGCGAGACGAATACGCCGTTCTTGTTTGCCGCTTTGAATTGGTATCTCGGCAGCAAGAGGGAGAAGACCGGGGCGAGAGCCTGCAATCGAGTGATTGGTCGTTAAACTTTTGATATACGTTACATATGAATCTGACACATAGACGACGACGAATAGGGGGTGATAGGAGGCCCCGATTCTGACATCGTGTTAAATGATCAGGGTAAAAGATATCGTGAATTCGAGTCCAACTGTCCTCATTCATAGTAATGAGTATATAATACTTCCTCCGTCCTAATTCCAAATACTCTTTTTACTATTTTTGTTTGTCCAAAAGTACCCCTTTCCATTTTTAATAAAAGTAATTATACACTAATACCAAAAATACCCTTAAGTTTTTATCTAAATTACAAAAATACCATTACACGTATAATTACTTTATAAAAAAAGTAAAAACAAAAATGTCAAAATCTCTTATCAATTTTTACTGACCAATAAAATATTGCTCCCTTCGGTCCAAAACAATAGTCCAATTTTGCCATTTTCGTCTATCCCAAAATAATAGTCTCATTTTTTATTTTGGTAACTAGTTCCCTATATTTTTACAAAATTATCTTCACTTTTTCACAATAATTACATAAAGTATGGACATTTTTTTCTTTTAGAAACACTTTACACTCATTGCCAATATAATACTATTATTCGTTGTGTGTTCATCTCAAATGTCCTTATTGTTTTGGAACTTGTGAATATTATTTTTTAATCTACTACAAAATTTAAAAAAAAGGGGCGAGGGAGTAAATAAATAATACGTGCTGACCGCGATGATAGGGTGGGATGGCTGAACGCCGACTGCAGGGGATGTAAGGACTACGCCGGCGATACGTTGCTCGACTTTTGGATCGAGGGATGCCTGTTTTGTGCAGCATTGTGAATAAATGTTCGAGTTATGAAATAATCAGGATTGAATGATAGCATGGGAAATATTACCTTCAAGATTATGGCGCCACCGGTCGAGTGTCCGAAGCAGAAGCAAGGTATTCCTGGATTTTCGGCAAGAATTTTGTTGAGAAACAGTTTCTAGACATGGGAGAAGACATATAAATCAGCACAAAATGAAACAAGTGATGGTTCAAATAGGTATTATGTTGAAATTCGAAGATACCATGTCGTTAACGGCATAATCGAGTGAGGGAATGTACGCGTGCAAGCCATCACTTCCTCCATGGCCTATACCAAAAAAAAAAAAAACAAAAACAAAAAGACTAGTTCATACAATCCGATACAAAGCACAAAGCATCGTTGTTCTAATATAACAATGACTGACCGATCCAATCCATTCCGTAAACCTTGAAGCCATTTGCATTCAGTCTCTTTGCAAAATCAGTATATCTACCACTGTTAAATGTGACATAGACATGAGGAAGTGGAAACAAAAAACCCTTAGGGAATTGAATTTACGTCGAATGATGATGTTTAGTGTAGCATTACAGACCTGTGTTCATTCAGGCCATGGAGGATGAGAACCACTCCCCTACACTCATAAAGAAACAATATACAATCAATGTCCCTTCTGGAAATTAGAAGCCATAATCGAAAAAAATTAACTTCCAACTAAAAACCTTCATGAATGCAGAAAGAATTCTCAAAGCAAGCAAATCAGTAATGTAACTAAATCCACATGAATAAGTAAATCAATCTTAAGACACAAATAATCTTGATTTAAATGCAGCAAATCTGAAATATGAAAATCAAAAGATGAAATCTAGTGGTCAGTGCCTGCTGATTTTTCATTTGTTTTACACACAAAATGTTATCCAATTTTCTCATACCAAAGTCCTTTTCTCATGATGGCTTGGGAATGAATTAAAACCCTTCAATGACAACAGCTATCTGCAATTTGCTCATTTGCAGCCCATATCCTGTCTGTCAACAAAAGAATCCTAAAATGTAGGAGTAAAACAAAAGGAGGGGTCACCCTCATAAGAACAGCTTGGGATTTTTCAAATCTTGAGATGCGTTCACCTTGGAATAAGTGATTATTCCTTTAGATCATGTCTGCCTAAGTAAGGAATATTTGAGTAAATTCTTCTATTCTTCAACCCTTATTTTAATTCATATAAACTTGGATTGGATGCAACAAAACAAAGAATGAACAGCAGCATCAAAACCTCAGAGAGCTGTCACATTCAAGAATCTTTAACAACAATGCCAACAAGAGAAATAGTAGCAAGATTATACCATCTCTTCTTCACCAACCATTCAAAAGAAACTAAGTTCTGCTTTATTTCTATCATAACAATGGCCTCTCAAGAAAACTCCGTAGGTATTTCTTATGCAAACAACACATAAACTAAAATTTTTCTGTTGGTGAAGATTTGCCTGTGCTCTACAGAATTTTTGTGCTAATTTCAGATCTATGACAGGAACCAATTAAAATGGAAATAGTTCTCCCAAAATTCATATCTATGGATTGTTAAATGAATCTAACCATGGCCAGAGATGATTTAACATTTAAGACAACTTAATTTATAGAGAAGAGGCAAAATCAATGCATACTCAGGGATGTGAATTAGCTACCGGAAATGTAACAGATACCTAATTCGATTCCTCGCCGGAGTCCAGGATTGGGTGAACAGAGTGTCGCCTCTGGAAGTGGAAAACAGAGAATAATCTCTCCATGTATCCTTCGTAGCTTCGTCGTTCTGATCATCGAGCACTCGCTTAATCGCCAACGCTCGCCGCGCCGCGACCTCCTTGTCGACGACGCTCTTCCTCGGCACCATCGCCGCCGGCACTCTAACCACCTTACCCTGCGTCGCGAACTGCTGCTTCTCATCTTTCCCACCGCAATCGATCCTCTCCGCCGAATCCGCCACCGCGACGCTTCGCCGCCTTCCGCGGAACGGCAACAGCAAAATTAATAACCAGGCGTTAATCAGAAGCCATAAACTCCTCAACGCGTGGGGAGAAAACAACGCCGTAATCCTCCCGCTCGCCCCCGATGTAAGCATTTCTGTGCCGGCGTTGCTCGCACTCATCGTCGTCGCCATAGCTGGAAACTAAAAATTTTGTACAACAAACCTTCCTCTTTTCCTCGATTAAATCAAATAAACAGCCACTCGTTGCATCAATTTAGGTTAAAATTTCAACAACGGAGTTTGCAGAAATGGTGACTTCTGACGGAAAATTCAAACCAGAAAAGAGAGGGAGAAGAGAAGGGCAGAAACCATAAGATTTTTCGTTCCTTTTTTTCAAATGTAAATTCAGCGATTGCAGAAACAATCCACCAATTATTCTTCTGCAAAAAAAAGGAAGTCAAAGTCCCTTCTTCTTCATCCAAAAATGGCAAAACCAATCAAATATAGATGATAATGGAGAGCTTGAAAAAAGCAACAATGGTGGTGGAATTCTGTCCCTCGAGAAAATTCCAGGTGAAGCATATAAATAGGTGAGAGAAAAATAAGGTACACATTCCGCCAAGTTGGTGGGGGCGGGCCGTCCTACGACTGCCACGTGTCTGATGACGTCACCTGGTCGGCGAAGTCTCGTGGATTCCTTTTGAAGCCCAGAACGACACGTGGTTTAGTTTGATAGGTTAAAGTCGGTGCTGCTTATAAAAAGTGATGACTAGCTACTTGTGATGCATAATTTAAAACATACTATCATATTATAATTTTAATTTTAATTTTAATTTTAAATTTTACTGATTTATCCAAATCATCCCTTATTTATAATGCTTATAATTTTTTATGCGTAGGTAATATGTTACTGTATTTTTAATTCGGGTTAAAGTTTATTGTGGTTTGTTTGGTTTGTTCACCAACATTTTTGGCTAAATATTATAAAAAATAAAATATATACTCATTTAATATAATATAATATATATTTTTATATTATCAGTTAAGATTACATGTATTAAGCTTCCTTTCGTGCATCATTGCCTAATTTTTCCTTCTAATATCACTTTGCATTTAGAATTTATTCATTATATATAATCAAGTCTTTAATAAATTTAAAAATTTTCTTTTGAAATGTTAAGCAATGAGTATGATAGTAATTAAATACTGCTTATATGTTTAATTTAATTTTAATATTTTGGTGTTTTATTTAATTTAATTTTAATATTTTGAACGTTTTGATCTTTATTAATAATTGTTGGATTCAATATTTTATATTAAACAATGTGTATAATTTAATTAAAAAACGATGAAATTGATATGCATACTTTACAAAAGTAACTTATGAAAATGCATGTATAAACTATGACATTATTCAACAATTTCTCAGGCCAAAAACGTAAAAAATTCATTGAAGAATTTTACTATTCTACTTATATTACATAAGTTTTAGATACATATAAATAATAATAGAAATGAACTAATAATAAGAAGTAGTTATATATCTATACAAATCTACATCTAAAATGTAAGAGTTTAAATCCTCGTCTCTTACATTAATACAAGGGTAATAACCCTTTATATGTCGGAATGAAATTGTTTAGATCGAACCCATTTATGTAATACTTTGCCATATATGTCGTAGAATGCAATCTCGACGTGCCCTTGTGTGAATTGCGCCGACATGAATCCTTGTCCGTCGTAGAAAAATTTCACGTCATCTTTGTCTATGCGTTTAATGTCACCCCTCCATGCCTTCGACCCTCCCCCGCTTGTAAGAAATTGGATCGTACTATCAAGAAAACAAGAAAGGTAAAAACTATAATTTAATTATTTATATATGGATAATATTTGAAAAAAATTTAAATTAAAAATTGTACTCCCTTCTTCCGTCTCTAAGGATTACATTTATCTTTTGCGTCATTATACTTTACATTAAGAATATCCATATATTTTTATAATTTTTTGTACCAATATCATTCTATCACTATTATAAGACACTAATATAAGTATTTTCGTCATTTTTCATTGATTTGTACTACGCTATGATACAAAAATTAATATTTAAATATCAACACGTAAAAAGTAAATGTGACTCTTAGAGCTGGACGTATATAGTATCATATATGAAGATTTTCGCCTCACCTCTTGCTGTCACTTATGTGCTCTAAACAGTGATCGTGCCCGTTAATATAAAGATCAACGTTGTATGCCTGAAATTTTCACAGTTAGCAAATAATATACATATACAAGCATTAATATATGTGTTGTGCATATATATATATATATATACCTGTAAAAGGGGAAGAAGTTTTCGAACGAGGCCACGAGTATCACCGTGGTGACCTACGCTCCTTATAGAGTGATGGCCGACTACGATTTTCCATTTTGCTCGGGATTCCTTCATCTCGGATTCAATATCCTATTTTTAATTTTTGAAGTAAAATAAATAAAGTATTTCGTTATTATATAAAAGTATTATTCAAGTATTTCAAATATGTAACTCTTATAAATTTATCACGTACACTTAACATATTTGAAATGTAACGTTTTCTATTAGGCTCCACGCCTCGCCAATCATAAGTATGCCCTTCAGGGTCCCTAAAATAATCTTCGACAAAGGGTGTAGTGTCCACGAAGAATATTTCGACAATTTCTGACAAAAATCTTGTTACGACTCGACTCGAAATAAATAAATTAATTAATATTATTAAATAAATGAAATTGATGGTTGACCTGCGTTGACCACAAAGGACCTCAAACAAAGCCATCTGGTGTCAATTTTTCTGAGGAGAGGGCTGAGTTGAGCCAATGTATCACCTCTATAGTCATGATTTCCCAATACTTCAAAATTAAATAAATAAAATTGGCAAAAATTAATTATGCATAAATTACAACAAAATATTTAATTAATCATAATAATGTTAATAATAATAGTAATTATTATTATTATTATTACCACTGAACCATTGCTTTTGGAGGCTTTTGGCAGTGTAAATGTTGGAAAAAGATTGCAAGAAAGATGGATCAGTAACTCCTTTAAGTCCATTTTCATAGAAATTGTCACCTGTCGATACCACAAAATCTATCCCCAATTTCTGCCCAATTCTTCCCATCTGCAATTATGTAATATTTTGTGAAAAATTAAGATTGTATAATAATTGTAAAAACTTCAAAAAAAAAAAAAAAAAAAATCCAAGAAAACTGAGCTCATTAGTGTTTATTTTACTTATATTTTTAATTTTATTCCCACATTTCCTACTAATTTATGTCCGAAAAAAATATATTTTTCAATACAACAATATAAACCCGAAAATACATATGAATTCAACTCGATTTTTTGTTGCTTATACCTAACTGGTACATGCCTTTAATTATTTTTTTCTATCAAAATTTTCCAAAAAGAAGTTATTGTTGATTAGTAGGGTGTGTTTTTACAGTAAATACATAAAAAAAAATAAAAAAATAAAAAAAATTAATTCTATTTTCCAAAAATTTCTACCATTTTTCATTTTTTTGAGGACCTAAACCTAACCAGGAGTAATTTCCAGTGAATTTTCATAAAATTGTATGCTAAAAAATGACATAAAGATGTGTTATATATAGAGAGAGGAAAAAAGAAGAAAATATACTAAACTTGTTGTTCTCATTGTTTAAAAAAAAAAAAAAAAAAAATCATATATTTTTCTAAAACATATTGCATTTAAAACATTTTTCTATTCAAAATATTACATGGAATATTTTTAAAATATATATCTAAATGATGGGTACCTGAAAGGCGACGCGAGACTGGTTGAAATGACCCTTTCGCCCCCAATCGCCGACGACGAGAAACCTAAGACTTCCATCGCTTCTGCAGGGGTGATCAAATCTTGGAAGGCCTTCACCACAAATTCTGTAACAAAATAATAATAAGCTCACAAATATACCTACCCAGACCCCCTCCCCCTCTCTCATCATTTTTAATTATATAATATTTAAATATAAATTTAAATAAAAAATATATATATATATATATTTGTATCTATATCATCAATACACACAATATCTGATTTGATTCCCAGAATATATAAGTCGTATATATAGAGAAACAAGAATCACGGATGCAGAAAAAAGAAAAGCAGTAATTGAAGAAGATTTGGATGCAGAGATAATTATAATAAATAATAATTATATTTATGTATATATATTTCATTTGTGGAGAAGATTTATTTCTTCCGATTTATGTGCAATGACATTCGTCAATTCTATCTAATATTACCAACTTGCATGCATGGCTTCGTCTTACGTAAACCTTCCCCTTATCTACATATATCCACTCATTTTTAACCTTTTATTTAATATATATTTATGGAAAAATTATTTTCAATTTTTATTTTTACATCTAACTTCGCTAATATGAAATTTTTTTGAAAAGTTTAAAAGCAAATATGTATAAGCTCGATCCAAAATAGATAATATCGTATTAGTGTTGAATTAGTACAATTCTAACAATATATATAAGACTATTGACGTGACAACAAGTGAAAGAATGTTATAAAATATTTTCATACATTTTTTAAAGTTGGATTTTAATTTTATTTACTCTATCAATCTCCTCTATCAAAACATCACATCCAAATTACTAAATTTAAAATAAAATAAAAATAAAATCAAACTCCAAAAAAGCCACAACTCAATTGTATTTTAGTCTTCTAAGTTGGGATGTGTGTGTTTTCTTAATAGAAATTAGTAAAGTGTACAGATTTGTTTCTTTAACAAATTTTTTTGAACCGTCTTTTTTTCAAAAAAATTAATATATTATACGCTATTTATTATTTTTATATTATCTACGCAATTCCCCTGTAATTCACATAAAAAAAAATAATTTCTTCAAACCAAAACACAAAACAAACACACCCTATTTTAACGTTTTCTTTAAACATATGTTCATATTGTTTTACTCACTATTTACACTATTATTACTATAGACACTACATATTTTTTACATTCAATCTAATTTAACTTCTTATAAAATTTTTAATTTTACCCAAAAAATACAAAAATTAAGTACATTTTTTTGTGTAGAGAGAACGAGTAATAATTTTCATGGAGCTAAATTTGTTGGGCTTGTTGGGTCAATACTTTTCTAGACAACAAGCCCAATATCGGCCCAACTATATATACATATTCTCTATATATTATTATATATATATATATATAGAGAGAGAGAGAGAGACGAGGGACAGGTATAGGGAGAGGAGAGTGTGAGGGGGGTTTTGCAGGGAATTTGAGTTTTATCGATCGATCGCTCGATCGCTCGCTCGCTCGCTCGATTGAGGGTTTACCTGAGAGAGATGAAGCTACGGTACGCAATGGTGTGCTCCTCGAATCAGAATCGGAGTATGGAGGCGCACGCGCTGCTCAAAAGGGAAGGCTTCGACGTGTGCTCGTACGGCACCGGCCAACACGTTAAGCTGCCTGGCCCCTCCCTCAGAGAACCCAACGTCTACGACTTCGGTACCCCCTACAAACACATGCTCGACGACCTCCGCCGAAAGGATTCCGAATTGTAAGCCTCACGCTCGATTCTGCTTGTTTTTCCTGTTCCTGCAACCCCAATGGCATCTATCTCGTGTTTAATTTGGGAATTTTACGGTTATATTAATTTGCGAATTCAGCAGGTTACATTTGATAAAATTAGGTATAATAGCTAGTGATTAGGGGGATTATAGATTACCGTAGCTTTTTACATTCGAAATGTAAGTATTACGCTCGATTCTGCTTTTTTTCCTGTTCCTGTAACCCCATTGGCATCTATCTCGTGTTTAATTTGGGAATTTTACTGTTATGTGGATGTGCGTATGTGCGAATTCAGCAGGTTTAAGTTGCAGATGACAAAATTAGGTGTAATAGCTAGTGATTAGGAGGATTATAAACTGCTGTAGCTTTTTACATTTGAATCAATTACCTGAAGAAAAGCTCACTGCGCGCTTAAATTGATGATTTCTGGAGAAGGATTTCGTTGATGAAGTCATATGCGGAATATAGAAAGTAAGAAGATGGATTAGAGTGATTTGCAATTTCTCATTAGTTGTATTGTTCATACATTGCGACTATTGCGACTGTGAATATTTTCGGATGCCTTTGAATCTGCAAATTGTTTCGACTTAGCTAAATGCATTAGCTTAGGCATAAGAATATTGCATTTGGATAAATAATTTTCATTGTGAAAATGTGATGTTTGGTTGGATACAGTCTTTAAGCCTGTCAGGTAGCGATTGTACAGGTATCGAAGGAATGGAATATTGCCGATGCTCAGGAGGAATGTGGCGGTCAAAACAGCCCCTCAACGTTGGCAAGAAAATGCATCAGATGGTACATTCGATGTGGTGCTTACGTTTGAAGAAAAAGTGTTCGACATGGTTGTTGAAGGTTTGTATAATGTAAACTTTATTGTGAATCTCTTTTCTAACTTGGTTTGACATTAATTTAAAATTGAATCGTGCGGCAATTTAGGATCATCTTTCCCGACAGATTTGATATGGAAATTATGATATTCATTCATCCTCTTTAGTTGTTGCTCCTCTCATTCACATAATCGTAGTTTATTGGAACATGTTCTTCTGAAGCTCGATTTAGGGACATGTTTGATATGGAAATTATGAAAAATTCGAGTTTTATAGTTGTCACTCCTATCATTCGGGTGATGTTTATATTAATTACATACACAGATCTATACAACAAGAATCATGTTCTTGTGAAGCCCAATTTGGTTAATGTTCTTATGAATCAAGCTTTATAGGTAATGTTTGTATCATTCAAAGAATCTTTAAATTAATCGAAACTTATACAGATCTACACAATAGGAATCATGTACTTGTGAAGCCGGTCCTGATTATCAATTTGGAAGTGAAGGACAACCACGAAGAGGCGGCTATTGGAGGCCGTCTTGCATTACTACTATGCCAAGAGGTATATAATTTTTCCTTTTCTGTTACGACCAAACCATGAATAGATCCGCGAGGCTGTTTACATTCATGGTCTTGCAGCTCGACAACATTGAAAATTGGGAGGAATGCGTGGACGATGTCATCATAAACTTCGAGAGGCAGCATCACAGGAAGCTCGTCTACAACATCTCTTACTATTGACGAATACCCTCATCAGGTCACCGCATTATCCTTGTTTAAATACGACTAAAGAGCTCTAAATTGATTTACTTGTAGCATTAACAAGTGTTTCTTAGGGGTGTTTTGGTGAAAATGAGGCTTTGTTTGATTCTAAGTATGTGATCCGATCTGGGGTTTTGTTTTCGAAAAGAAAAGATTGTGAATCCTCCTCGGAAATATTCGAATATCCTTTGTTTATGTTTCCTTATTTAAGAAATGGATATTTCCTTATTTTCTAAATTTTCCATTTCTCTCACATGCACATGTGCCTAATTTATGTTTATTTGTCTATTTAACTAAGAATATACATTTCAGTCCAAAGTCCATATTGCTGTTTCAATCCCATCTTTGTTTCTTTTTTCTCGAAAAAATGCAACTTTTACCACTTTTGTTTATACCCCTTTCCTCTAAAAAAAGATAATACTAATAATAATTATTATATGCCAAACGCACCTGGAAGTTCAAACAAGTGGAGTAAATGAATGGTCTACGAATGAATCGACCCAAAGTAGTTGTCTTTAAACACTAGTTAGCTACTACATACATATATTCATTCGTAGACCAATCCCAATCCAAATCATATTAATATTAACATAAACATCTCCTCTCCTCTCCTCTCCTCGTCTTCAACAGTAACGGTTAGTATAGTAATATTATCGATTCGATCACTTGCCTCCTGTAGTCGTAGTCGATAAGGCTTAAGCCTTAACGTCTCCTTCCGTAGTACATCCCGGCCCCCGAATGGTAAATCTGTCTGTGCCGCGAAGATCTCTGCTGCCCCCCCTCCCAACTATTTCCTCCGCGATTCCCAACTCTTCCTCCGCCTTGATTCAGCGGCTGCTGCATCCCTCCTCCGTTCAGCTCCTCCTCTTCCCGGTCGTTGTATTCCAACACCAGCCGCTTTATGTCCTGCTTCTCTTCCAGCTCCGCCGCCTCTTTTTGCTTCGTGCTCTGCACCAGAGAGCAGTCCCGAGGAATGTACATCTGCTTCGTCTGCTGCTTGTTGCCGCGCTTCACCAGTACCTTCACTCGGACTTCCTTGTTCCCCCCGCTCCCGTCGTCGGTCGTCTCCCCCCCGCTGTCGCCTTCCAGCCCTCTTCCGTGGTGCTCCTTGTTCGACCCCTCGAACACGTTCATGGGTATCGTCATGTTTATTGTCGGGCGCGAGCGTAGCTCCAGCTTTCGCGATTCCAGGCTTTCCTGCGCCGAGTGAATAATTTATAATTTAGATATATATCAAGATTCGAGTACTAATCCCGGTTCTAGTTGTAGTTATAATGTAACAATCTTGCCTGCATTAGGGCGCGGAATTCTCTATCGAAATCGGCCTCTTCGACCGGGTCAACCTCGGCCACCTTCTGCCGAACGTGAACCTCATCTTCATCAGAGCCCTGATCGACTCTGTCGTCATAGTCATCTTCGCTTTCACCCTCGTCTTGGTTCTCGCCGTCTGTTTCTTCGTCTTCGTGCTCGCTGTGCTCAAAGGTCCCACTCCCGGAGTCACTGTCGGTCTCCCCAACTTCCTCGTGCACTGCGCCGTTCTCGTCGATGCCATTGGCAAGATTTTTGCCATTCGCCATTGCAGCGCCGGAGCTCGTCCTGGCCGGAGGTTTTTCAGAGTCGGAATACTTCTCGTTGTGAATCTTCTCTGTGGTGACTCTGCGCTCGAGCTCTTCGAGTTCAATGAGAGCAGCACTAACCTCCTCAAATGAGGAATATCGGGTCATGTTCGGCCTCAACTCGACGAATAAGTCCTGTAAATATTTCCAGTCGCAATATCAGTCGAGTTGGAACAAATGAGCAGAAATTAATTCGAAATACACCACCAATCTCAAAAGGCATTCCATTCTACAGTTTCTAACCAAACACTTATTTATCGTTTATCTTATGGAGAGAATATACAATTAAATTGTATGGAATGATTTATGAATTCCATTTTTCAGAAGCGAACGTGTCATGAATGTAATGTAGTATAATCTTAGGTTAAAATATCTGGAAATGCAATTCAGCCCGTATGAAATGTCTAAACTCGAGGATAGTAAAAATAGAACAAAACAATCTAAGAAGTACGGACCTGCAGATCGAACTCGATATCCAGAGGAAGGACACCTTTGCTCAATATATACCTTTGGAAATGAATCAAAAACCGATCGAGCTTCCTCTTTGATGAACCTCTATCAAAATAGTGTCCACAGGTCTCTAGAAGTGTGATAACCATTCTGATTCGGAAACAGTCCTCTGGCGGATCCAATGTATCTTGCTAGTATTATCATAATAAAGCATTCCATCACTATTGTAGAAAACTTAAAATCTGATATCATCAAAAGAACAACTATGGAAACTGAAGAATTAAAATTCTGGGAATCTCATTGAACAGAACTCTTCAACAAGGATTTTGAACTCTTTAAAATCGCAATGACGTTTTCTTTTCACAGGAAAAAACAGAGATGAATTTAACGGAAATTAAAGTATATATAATTTGAAAAGAAAAAAGAAAGCCAAAAAGCTCAATTTATATTCACTGGAAACAAAATTTAAACTCAAGATGCAAACACGGAATCTCAAAATATAAATAAATAAATACATATAAAGATAGGTGTGAACATAGCTTTATGGCTTTGCAATCTAATCTTTGCAAATTAGATCTTCAAATTTTAATGAATGATAAATTCATCCTAGAAACTCAAGAATCCATACCTCTGAGGTTCCGTGGCCAAATGCAAGAATCAAATATAGGGTATCAAAAATAACAGATGAATCTATAAGTTCATAGTTGTATAGTTCCCCCAAGAAGCGCATGAATGCAATCCGTTGTTGCTGCATTCCATATTCATTCAGTTCCAAACCACGTCTAATTTCCTCCAGAACCTGAATGAAAGCAGAGGATAGTAGATATGAATTGTATAAATGAAAGTTCTTGAAGAAATTTCCAGTTTATAGAGTCATAAGTTAGATAAAATAAATAATGCAAGAGGGTATATAGCCTCACAATAATCTTATCAGGTGATGCAAAATGCACATAAATGAAGATAAAATGATCAAGGGTTAGCCATCAAATTAGGCAATGAAAAACTAACCTCGTCAACAACAGCCACAGCAAAGTCATCATGATAGCGACTCAATCCAGCAGTAAGTGACGCTATCAAATGGATCTGACCATATTTCCCCTTATGCACCTTCAAAAAACACTTAAGAAGGTATGACTCACATTCACTCCAAGGTAGCTTACGTAATTGTCGCATCACTTGCTCGATGGAAGATTTGTCCAGATCTGAGAAAAGTAGTTTTCTGATATACTGCACAGTATACCAAAACATTAATATTATGCATCCCCACATAAATTATCTAACTACACGCGTAGTAAGCTACCTGATGCAGAGGGGCCCGAACTTTGGAGACTCGTGCAGATCTTTCTGGTGGTTTGCACAAATAGTAGGCATTTTCAACTAATGTACTCTGACGGGGATCCAAATTTTTGACATTTTTCAAGCGCATCAATATTTCCAACATGTTTGACATGCGGACAGTGGTCTCTGGAGATCGGTAGAGAAAGCGACCACATGTCTCAAGGAGGTTACAAGCCACATCAATATTATGGTGAGTGAAATCATCTAGGCAAGCCTGAAATTAGAAAAGTATGTAAAGAAATTATTCAAACAAGCCCGAAACCCTAATTTTCCCACAACTAAATGCAGACACACAATTGTGTAATTAGTGTAGTCTCATACCTTTAGACAGCTAAAAACCAAGCTGGCTGGGGCAATTTTAAACTTGCATAGTTCTCCAATAAACCTGATGTTCCTGATTTTTGTTTCGATATTCATTTGATCCTGCAATATGATAAAATTTGATAATACGGTACAATAATGCCATCAAATATAATGGATGTGAAATTTTATGTGTATGTGACAACCTTTTTATTAATTAAATTGTTAAACTCTTCCTCCAACAACTGTAAGAGCATTGTCGAAACATCCTTCATGCAAGTTGACAGTGTAGCAACCATGCGCGAGTAGTGTGGCAGCAACTCCAGTGATGTCCTTGGAACATTAAACAAAGCCCTCATGAGCTTTTTCCGACTGGACTTTGAGTTCAAATAGCAGAACTCAACCTGGAGAATTGAAACCGCTTTCAGTCAAAGCTTCATTCGCCTATACTAACTGTGTAAATGACGGGATAGTTACAAGAAGCTTGAGCACAGGGAAAGAAGATTACAGTCAACTGGTCAATCAGGTCGCGGTTTACACAACTCGGAAGCCTGTGCAGCAAAGCTTCAAGATGTGTTCCATCAACGCCTTTAGTTTTATCCTTTTCACTTTCGCCTTTTCTTTCAGTATCCTTCTCTTTTCCTTTCTCCTTGTCTTTTTCTTCTTTATCTTTGCAATCCTTATCCTCCATTGCAATCCCAGAATCAGCAGAAACTTCAGGATTTTCTTGTATTGATATATGAACTTTGTCTGCATCAGGTGCAGCATCCTTGCATATGAAAATCATACATGTCAGCAGGATCCATATATAAGGAAAATTCTTATCTTTCAGGTGCCGTATAAATAACAAAAAGGAAACCATTTTTTGCATGCATTCAAAATAAAATACAGCAGCCAGTGGACTTCAAAAAATTATTTGACTAATCTCTATGACTTTTGACGTAGCTTTATAAGTGTTCTCCATCATACAACGATGGAAATCAAATAAAGAAAAAAGTGGAAGAGTAACTGCCACTAGATGATCGGTCGATACCGGAAAATCCCATCATCCATATTTGTTATAAGTATATATCTTTCTTGCAGGAACAGATAAATGAATGAAAAAATAGCAAAACTACTAGTTGAGGTAGGTAGTTAATGTTCTTACAGTTGATGATTCCTGTGATTTCGAAGATTGCTCACTCGACTTTGGATCTGCCTCTCCCAGCAGCACAGCAGGAACAAATGCTCTAAATAGTTAAACAATCAGTAACTTCAGGCCATACTAAATCATTCAAGGAACAAACACTTTATCTTTAAACTCCCACCTCAGGTCTGGAAGGTTTTCATAGAAAGCTTTAGTATCTTCATCATCCCACAGGGGTTCAACAGAAGAAGATTCTTTGCTAGCAACAGGAGATGAAGATTCCTCCCCTGATGTTACTCTGGTTGTATGACCATCCTCGGGCATCACAGGAGGTTGCATATCAAGTGCTTCCGCAAAACTACAAGTGAAAACAAAATAACTTACTCAGAACTTCAACAGAGACGGAACAAATATAAAGAGCGGTCAAATGAGTATCTAAAGATAAGTATCTAAAATTAACTCACGAAGAGATGCTGCGACTAAGAAGGTCATAGGATTTCCGCAGTTTTTCATACGAAGAGGCATTTTCTTCACTCAGTTCACCTTTAGCATTCAATATCTTCGCATTCTCATGCTCCATTTGGCGAAGTGACTACCATATAGGAAGAAAAGGTGTTTAAATAAATACAGCATCCATAAAAATCAATTTTTTTTTTGCAAATAGAAATACACCACAGATACAAATTTACAAAGATATTTTCTTACAGCATGTTCAGCCTGAAGAAGTTCCACAACAACATCATAATAAGCTTGAAAAGCCTTCCTAAAGAACTTCTTCTGATCTGCGGTAATATTAAGGCCCTTGAAGAACTGCTAGATATGGATACCAGCACAGTTAATAAATATCATATTAGAAAAACAGATTAACACATATTATACAATCAGATTCTAGACGATTTAAATTCACGAGATTTTTCAAGAATCATATAAGATATAAATATTGAATGAACTCCTATCTGTTCTAAGTTCAATATTGAAATAATTTCAGGAGCTTTCTACTTAATCCAAGCAGGTTATATGGGTTGCACCTGTTCCAGAATATCCTGTCCAGTTAGCGGAAGTCCAAGAAGGTATCTTCCTTGTCGAGCAAAACTAGTAAGAAGCGAAAGATTCGTCTGGGTTGTATCACGATCTTTCAGATGTTCGCTGTTAGTTAGATCCTTAATTATATTTGTGAAGATGCCACAATCTTCTACAACTCCAACAAAATAAATTTCCAGAAGAAGCTTCAATGTACTTCGCTTCTTCATGGCCCTTGAATTCTTGTCTGCATCTATATCCTCCGTGGATTTTCCTGGTACAAAAACTTTCAAGAGACCTTGAACGAGACTGGGTGCAAAATCTTTGTACCTTTGGTGAAGTAAAGAGCAAATCTGGGTGCAAAACAAATCTTATTAATACAAATTCAATAGGAATCGAAGAGATTGTAGCTATTTCTCTAAGTTAGAATGCATGACAATTGTTTTTCTAACCATTATTTTCATTTACAAAATTCTTTTTAGCAATTTGTGAATCATTAAAACAAAAAAGCCTATAACATAACATTTGACTCAAGAGTGGGATAATTGTTGTGTGTGTGTGTGTGTGTGTGTGTCAAGCTACTTCTTTCTGTAATGTTTGATTATTAGTCCTTATAGCACATAAATACGTAAAACAAAATGGTGGCAGAGCAGACACAGTAAATGACCGATGAAACTTGAGCAACTGAAACAAATTATATATTATTTAATTGGTTTCATATCTCAACCAAAAGGTTGACAGGACAAAAAGAATATGAGCTTCTATACTATTAAATACATATTCCATGCATGTGAAACCAGACACTTTTAGCTACTTGTAATAGTCTAATAGAGCATCCTAATTTATATAAATTATAAATTTTTGACAAGTATACAAGTATCTGACACACTAATAACCAGTCACAAGGCAAACTGCATTTAGTATAAGAGCACCCAAAGATCGTAGTTTACAGGTACTAATGACTACGGAACATAAGAATCACTACAGGATCATTTACTTAATTTAGACTACACTATAACATTATTTGTCGGGTAGCGAATAAATGTATTGAGTGGCTGAATCCACGAGATGAGAAGAAAAGAGAACAACACCAAAAAGCACATGGGAATGAACCACTTAAATGAAAAGCTACCTGTACGGCGGGTTGTATGTCAGCAGACTTAAGCTTTGCATCACAGATGGCAGTCACTGCTTCGCTGACAAACTTGCTTAAATTGACACTGCGCAGCTCATCCATTAAACTTTCGCGCTGCTCTTCATTGATCTGTTTTAACTTTTTAATGACAGCAGTGTTGCGCCTGATGCTAGAGTCCAATGTCCTAAGAAACCCAGAATCTGAAATAGACAAAGGCAGCAAGATAAATGCCTAATACGATGGGCTTCACATCCCAGTGAAGACCAACAATTAAACTTATCCACAAGACTTTCAGAGACAAAATTTACTAGATGATAAATGCTTATAAGACTATTAAGACTAGGGTATAGTATAACACAAATAAAATGCATGTTTCGGCAGTTTAATATTAATACATGCAATAAGAAATAGTATTGAGCATTTTGCTACAAGCGATACAATTGATAGAGCATAGAAGTATTAAACTCTTAGGGTGTGTTTGTTTGGGTATTTTTAGGGATTTTTACTATTCACAATTTTTTTCCCATAATCGTCAAATCAAACTCCTGTTTTCTTTTTTTCTTTTTTTTTCATATTATACTAACAATTAATTTTACATTCAAAACATCACATCAAAACCTATTTATATCACATCAAACAACTATTCAAATTCAAATTTTTTACAATTCAAAATCCAAACCCTCAAAAAACCACACCCTTACTATGCATTGCAATAAAGCAATATCTATATAATATCAAACGGGAAACCCACATCTACATCGCCGGGAATTCACAGCACTCGAAATGCTTCATTATGCAAAAATCTAGATGCTCTATGCATACATTCTAATTAGGGATTCATTCCGTTCAGCAGCTAAACTTTGTAAGAGAGTACCAGAATCCATCCGAGGATTTTTTGAAGTTGTGAACAAATCATGTTAATAGCTCAAAAGAATAACACTAACCAGGCCTCTCAGGGTTCAAATTACTCTGACGCAGTGCCATCTTTGCTTCAATGGATTTCTTAAATTCCTCAAGTCGGGCAACAGCTTCCTGCACCACATACATTCATTAAAAGCAATTTTCACGAATAAGCTACACCACAAACTGTGGAAAATAGTCCAAAAATCATTGAAAGAAATAAGCAAACAGACAGGAAATCCAAGAACAGCTTTAAACTATGCCACCAAGCACTTCCACTTGGTAACCAAATTGAAGAAAGGGTTTGATACTTCAATTAACCACTAAAAAATACACACACACACACATACACACGAGAAACGAAATCTTCCAGTGAGAGCTGTTTTTTTTAATCAAAGAGCGAAATCATCGGAAATTATGAGAGAGAGAGAACCTACTTCATCATCGTGCTTGGCGTCGTCTTCGTGTTTGTCGTGGTGCTCGCCGGAGCCATCGTCCGCGTGTTCCATCCCGGCGCGGATTATCGTTGAGTGCGATCGATTGAATTGAAAAAAGGGTTTGGAAATTTGGGGCTAAAGGAAAGGAAAGGAAAGGAAAAGAAGATCGGTATCGGTGGTACGGATGGTATTTTAGAACAATGCTGTGACTCGACTCGACTCGAACCTAGTTAAGTGTCACGGGTTAACTTCCTTCGCTCGAAGTAACCGTGCGCCCCTTAGCAACTCACTCCCGTCGGCTACTAAGGCAGGCTTCCCGACTCGGCCAAGCACCACAAAAGCCAAAGGCTTTCTAGAGAGAGAAACTAGAGAGAGAAAGTGTGGAGAGAAATGCTTTTGATTGCTAAAGACTTGGATACTTACAAGTGAGGTGCAAGCACCTATTTATACAAGCCAAATGAATAAATGCTACCTTCCTAACTACCGAATTAAATACAATCTACCAACAATCAACCATCAACTCCCAACCACCTCATTAATGCCAAGTTCTACCACCTTCCGGAACCTTCTAGAAGATGCTAGTGAGTTTGAGTGAAGTCTTTGGCATAATGAAAAGTGGTAAGTATAGGAAAACCACCGCCGTGTGTCCGCTTGAAAGTCCGACCGTGACAATTCTCCCCCACCTAAACCTTGACGTCCTCGTCAAGTGCTCGCTCGGTACGTCTCGATGTGGTTCTTGAATTGCCATAGGTCTTGTTCTTTCTCCCATGACGCCTCGCTATCCGGCTCGCCCTTCCACCGGACTAAGTATTCGGTCCAACGGGGTGTCCCCCGTTTTCCCATCACACGATCCGCCATGATCTCCGCAATGTCTTTCTCGTAGGATACCGTCGTCGTCGGTGGAGCGCGGTGTGACTCGTTCCGGGACGGATCTTCCTCATCCTTGTGATACGGCTTCAATAAGCTCACGTGAAAGACCGGGTGGATCTTGAAGTTGTCGGGTAGGTTGAGTCGGTACGATCGGGTTCCGACCTTCTTCACCACCTCGAACGGCCCTTCGTACTTCCGTGTCAAGCCCTTGTGCACTTGACGGATCGCCTTTACATTCCTCCCCAACATTCGGACCAACACTTGGTCCCCGACCTCGAAGTCCCGTGGACGTCGCTTGTCGTCCGCCCACTTCTTCATCCGTTTCGCGGCCTTTGCCAAGTACGCCCTTGCTATGTCGTGCTCCTCGTTCCATCCCTTAGCAAGTTTGTACGCCGCCGGACTCGCCCCCTCGTATCCCCGCGCCAACTCGTGGGGCGTCGTCGGTTGTTGCCCCGTCACCAACTCGAAAGGACTCCGATTGGTAGACTCGCTACGCTGCAAGTTATACGAGAATTGTGCAACATCAAGTAAACGAGCCCAATCGGTTTGGTTTGCACTTACAAAGTGTCGGAGGTAGATCTCCAACAAGTGATTCGCCCGCTCGGTTTGGCCATCGGTTTGCGGGTGAAAACTCGTCGAGAAGTGGAGACTCGACCCCAAGAGCTTGAAAAGCTCCCTCCAAAACTTCCCGGTGAAGCGTGGGTCACGGTCGCTAATGATATATCTCGGTACCCCCCAATACTTGACCACATGCTTCAAGAATAGTCGGGCGGCTTCTTCGGCTTTGCAATCTTTTGTCGCCGGTATGAACGTCCCATACTTGGAAAATCTATCGACCACCACCATGATCGATCCGCATCCGTCCGACTTTGGTAGCGCCGAGATGAAATCCATCGTCACACTATCCCACGGCCGCTCGGCAATCGGCAATGGCTCCAAAAGTCCCGCCGGTTTGGCTTGCTCAACCTTGTCTTGTTGGCAAACCAAGCACGTCCGCACGTAGGCATTAATATCATCCTGCATGTTAGGCCAATAAAACGATTGCTCGACCAACGCCTTTGTACGATGGATACCTGGGTGTCCCGCCCATTTGGAGTCGTGGCACTCCTTAAGGATATCCCGCCGAAGATTATCCCACCGTGGCACAAATAGTCGATCCCCGACCGTGAAGAGTAGGCCATTCTCTTCCCAAAACTTCCTTGTCGTGCCCTTCTTAGCCATTTCTATCAAGTTCGTGGCTAAGGAATCCTCGGCTAATCCCTCCTTGATTCGGTCGGCAAGGTCCCCTTGCACTTGAGTAATCGCCGCAAAGGAAGCCTTCCGACTAAGCGCATCCGCCACGACATTGGCTTTGCCCGGCTTGTACACTAATGTGTAGTCGAACTCCGCCAAAAAGTCTTGCCACCGTGCTTGCTTCGGGGTGATCTTCTTTTGGTTTTGAAAGTAACTCGTCGCCACATTATCCGTTTTGATCACAAAGTGACTCCCGAGCAAGTAGTGCCTCCACGTCCGAAGGCAATGGACGATTGCCAACATTTCCTTGTCGTGGACCGGGTACCTCCGCTCCGTGTCGTTGAGTTTCCGAGACTCGTACGCCACGGGATGCCCATCTTGCATCACCACCCCTCCAATGGCATAGTCCGAGGCATCCGTGTGAAGCTCGAACGGCTTTGAATAATCCGGGAGGCTAAGTACCGGGTCCTCCACGACCGCCGCCTTCAAGTTCTCGAAGGATGCTTGGCACTCATCACCCCACTCCCAAGCAACTTTCTTTTTCAACAAGTTCGTCAATGGCGTCGCCCTCGCCGAGTATCCCGCAATGAATCGCCGGTAATAGTTCACCAACCCAAGGAACGACCGAAGTTCGGAAACGTTCTTAGGCGGTTCCCACTCGACAATTGCCCGCACTTTCTTTGTGTCCATCAGGATCTCGCCTTGCTTCACTTTGTGTCCGAGGAACATCACCTCCGATTGAGCGAACGAGCATTTCTCCAATTTCACATACAATTTGTTCTCCCGTAAGGCCCGGAACACCAATCGCAAGTGCTCCGCGTGCTCGTCTAAAGACTCGCTATAGATGACTATGTCATCCAAGTACACCACAACAAACTTGTCCAAAAATGGGTGAAATATTGTATTCATCAAAGTGCAAAAGGTAGCGGGCGCGTTAGTTAAGCCGAAGGGCATAACTAAAAACTCGTAGGAGCCGTACCTCGTTACGCAAGTGGTCTTTGGCTCGTCGCCCTCCGCAATCCGAACTTGCCAATATCCCGACCGCAAGTCCAACTTCGAAAACCACTTGGCCCTCCCCAAGCGGTCGAATAAGTCCGCCACCAACGGTATCGGATACTTGTTCTTGATTGTCACTTTGTTGAGCGCCCGGTAGTCGACGCACATCCGAAGGCTCCCGTCTTGCTTCTTTTGGAAAAGCACCGGTGCGCCATAAGGAGCTTTCGACGGTCGGATGTAGCCGGCATCCAACAACTCCTTTAGTTGTCTTCGAAGTTCCTCCAATTCGGGCGGGGCCATCCGGTATGGACCCATTGCCGGAGGTCTCGCTTCTTTCTCCAATTCGATCTCGTGATCGACTTCTCGTCTCGGGGGCAACTCCTTTGGTAATTCGGGGGGCATCACGTCCTTGAATTCGTCAAGTACGCCTTTGATCTCCGTCGGGACATCTTGGCCCTTTGACGGGTCATCCTCCTTGAGAGCCACGAAATACGTCTCGTGCCCTCGCTTGAACCCCTTCGAAACTTGCATAGCCGACAAAACATGTGATTTAACTTTCTCAACGTGTAAAGGAACATGAACACTTACGTCACCTTCCGTGAAGCTCATTGACTTGGTCTTGTGGAAGATCACCGTCATCTCCCTCATGAACTTCACGCCAAATATGACTTTGTAATCGCTCATCGGCAACACCATGAAGTCCAATTTGCCGTGCCATCCTCCAATTTGGACCGGGACTTGTTTGGCCATGCCGGTGATTGGTTTTGACGCCGAATCCGCCGGTTTCATCCACCCAATTCCCTTCGTCACCTTTACACCCATTTCCGTCGCCTTGTCTTCGGACAAGAAGTTCCGAGATGCTCCCGAATCCATCAAGACCTTCGTAGGTACCCCGTTTACCTTGGCCTCACAATATATGAGTTCATCCTCGGGTCCCTCCTCCGTAGGCACCGTGAACATTTCGTCGCTTGCCTTCACGGCATTGAGGACTCTCATTGCTCCCAACCTCGCTTCTTCGGACTTCTCCCGTTCCTCTTGGACCACGGTGGTAGCATTGAGAGCCTTCCTCTTCGGACAATCCCTAACAAAGTGTGGCCCTCCACACGTGAAACAACTCCGGTCTTTCGCACCGGCTTCGGGTGCTCTTTCCCGACCCTTAAAGAAAGGTTTGTTCGTCGGCTTGTAGGGCTTCACTCCCCCACCTTTGTCCTTGATCACCTTCTTGGGCACAAAGTCCCGTCGGATCTCCAAAAGATCCTCGGCCGCCGATATAGCTTCTTGTAATGTTTGGACCCTTTGGCGTCTCAACTCGATTGCCGCCCATGATTGCAACCCCTCCATGAAGTTGAACAACCGATCCTTCTCGACCATCTCGGGGAGTTCAAGCATCAACGATGTGTATTCATTGATGTACTCCCTAATACTTCTCGTATGTTTGAGGTCCCGCAACTTCTTTTTGGCCATATCCTCGGCATTCTTCGGGTAGAATTGGTCCTTCAAGTCGGACTTGAATTCTTCCCACGTATCGATTTGGGCTACCCCTCGGGCAATATCATTGTGGCGCCTCCTCCACCACAAACCCGCGTCATCCGACAAATACAAGACCGCCGTCTTGATTTTGTCCCCATCATCGCGTATTCTTTCTGCATCCATATAATTTTCGATGGACCAAAAGAAATTATCGATTTCCCTAGGAATACGCTTACCCGAATATTTCGGAGGTTCCGGAGCTCTAACCCGCGAACCTTCTCGCACCTTGGTGCCGCCTCCGTTCTCCAAGGCCGCCTTGAACAAGGCTCGTTCCTCTTCAAGGCGTTCCAACCTCAAAGCCGTGTGTTCCCGCAACTCGCCTAACTCCACCGCGGTCATGGCTTTGAATTCCACCCTCAATTCGTTAAGGGACGTCGTCATGGTACTCTTCAACGCATTGATAGTTTCCAACACAAAACTCCTCAACTCGTGGAGTCCCGCCAAGGCGTTGTTCTCAACTTCGCCCATGTTTGTCTCCAAGGTGTCCAACCGCTCTATGGACTCCCCCACGGCAAGCTCCAGCTTGACCGCCCGTGTCTCCAACTCCGCAATGAATTCCCGAGACCTACTCCGTCTCTCCTTGCGTCCGTCCAATCCCGCAGCATTTCCGTCCGACACGTTCCCGTCGTTTTCTCCCGACATTCCCACGGCTTGCCAAGATCGTTGCTTTGATACCACGTGTCACGGGTTAACTTCCTTCGCTCGAAGTAACCGTGCGCCCCTTAGCAACTCACTCCCGTCGGCTACTAAGGCAGGCTTCCCGACTCGGCCAAGCACCACAAAAGCCAAAGGCTTTCTAGAGAGAGAAACTAGAGAGAGAAAGTGTGGAGAGAAATGCTTTTGATTGCTAAAGACTTGGATACTTACAAGTGAGGTGCAAGCACCTATTTATACAAGCCAAATGAATAAATGCTACCTTCCTAACTACCGAATTAAATACAATCTACCAACAATCAACCATCAACTCCCAACCACCTCATTAATGCCAAGTTCTACCACCTTCCGGAACCTTCTAGAAGATGCTAGTGAGTTTGAGTGAAGTCTTTGGCATAATGAAAAGTGGTAAGTATAGGAAAACCACCGCCGTGTGTCCGCTTGAAAGTCCGACCGTGGAATTTTCACGAATAAGCTACACCACAAACTGTGGAAAATAGTCCAAAAATCATTGAAAGAAATAAGCAAACAGACAGGAAATCCAAGAACAGCTTTAAACTATGCCACCAAGCACTTCCACTTGGTAACCAAATTGAAGAAAGGGTTTGATACTTCAATTAACCACTAAAAAATACACACACACACACATACACACGAGAAACGAAATCTTCCAGTGAGAGCTGTTTTTTTTAATCAAAGAGCGAAATCATCGGAAATTATGAGAGAGAGAGAACCTACTTCATCATCGTGCTTGGCGTCGTCTTCGTGTTTGTCGTGGTGCTCGCCGGAGCCATCGTCCGCGTGTTCCATCCCGGCGCGGATTATCGTTGAGTGCGATCGATTGAATTGAAAAAAGGGTTTGGAAATTTGGGGCTAAAGGAAAGGAAAGGAAAGGAAAAGAAGATCGGTATCGGTGGTACGGATGGTATTTTAGAACAATGCTGTGACTCGACTCGACTCGAACCTAGTTAAGGCTGTGTTCGCCAAATCCCTAAATTTGCACCAATTCAAGAAACCGCTGCAGCGAGCGGTTGAGGTGCCGATTTTTTTTAATTGTTTTTTTTTTTTTTAATAAAGTGAAATCCGGAGTCACTATCGAAATACGCATTGGATAAAGTCAAATCAAACTTAATATTTTACAAATTAAATTCGACAAACTTAATATCTTACAAATTAGATCTGGCTCGGGTTTAAACCTATATATCATAGATCACAAATTCACTAGTCCCGCTAGATCATCTCTTATGAGACTAGGGGTGTTTGGCAAATAATTTTTTTTGATGAATTTTAACTTACCAGTCAAAAAAAGGTGTTTGATAAATTAGTTTTTTGGAATAGCTTTTTTAACCCAAATAAAATTAATTTATGAAAAACTAACTTATCTAGTGTATTGAAATAATTTTTTCGGTAAAAAAAATTTATTCTTTACATATCCTTAAAAATTTATTATGCATTTTACCCTAATAACTATATTTTGATTATTTATTAATTATATTAAAATATTTTATTATATTATAGTTTTACTTTTATAAATTTAAAATAATTAATTTTTATATAAAAATTATTTTAATTATAAAATATATAAATTTATTAAAATTAACATAAAATAGAAAATATAAATATTAATAATTTATTTTTTTATTAATTTACATTATATAAATTTTATATTAAAAATAAATTAAATTTATTGAAATTATAAATATAATGAACTAATTGATAATTAACATAATAAATATATACATAAAAAATTTATTATTTTATGTTTTACATTATTTTCAATAGAAAAATTATTTATATATTTTAATAAAAATATATTATTTTTTAAATTTAACTGTAATAAAAGTAAATATTTTTATAACACTTTTACAATTTTCAATAACTAATAACAAAAAAAAAAATTAAACATTCTAAATGCAAAAGAACATAATTAAATATATTAGAAACAAAAATAAAATAAAAATGTCATCAATTATCATTTTACGTATAAACAGCTAATATCAAAAAGTTGTTTTATCAAAACATTTTAATACAAATTGTTAATCAAATCAGCTAGTCAAACCAACTAATTGCCAAACACGGCCTAGATGTGAATTGTTATTCTTATAACTTATCGAACTCCCATTCCATAGGTATTGGATAAATATAGATGTGTGTATTGGATAAATATAGATGTGTGTAGAGGTAGACATAAAGTGTCTTAATGTAAAATTTTTAGTTAAAATAATTATTTGATATGATATATATATATAAATAAATATTTTATTTATAAAGTTAATTTTTAATTAGAAAAATAAAGATTATTATACGTTTAAATCGATATAAAAAAAACACTAGATTATAGAATCAAAAATTAAAATTAAAATCCAACAACAAAACACACTAATTTTAATTAATTTTTTTTGAACTAATTGATCGGTTCAGTTCTATAATCCGATATAAATAAATAAATATTTAATTTAATATTATTTAAAAAAATTAATAAATAGTAAAAAATTTATAATATTTGTAAAAAAAAACACTTATTTATGGAATTTTCCCAAAAAAATATTAGTCATTAAATTTTTTTCTTTCAAAAATATCAAATCATTCAACATTCATAATACATAAAATAAAATAAAATAAAATAAAACATCACACAATATTACTCACACCCACCGTAGAGAGCTTCCATCGTGCTGAAAAAAATCAGTGCAAGACTGCATGATTTTTATTTTATTCTTTTCAATTTTTAATTATACAATATCACAAAAACATTGCATCACATTCCCCAAAAAATAAATAAATAAATAAAATAAAACATCAAAACTAAAATACAAAAACCAAAAATCTGAATGAGCATTTTCTTTCTTTTTTTTTCTATTTTAAATATAAAATATAGCAGTAGTATTTACTAGTAAATACCAGAACCAATCTATCGAATTTAAAAAAAATAATAATAATAATAAATTAAAATTTTGTCTAGCAAAATATTAAATCAAAATACTATTTAAACAAAAATTCAAATAAAATAAAAGCTCAAACCAAACCAAATAAACTAGGATCAAGGGAGATACCTTTTATGCCAAGAGATGAGGCGCATGGCGTTAAGTGTCTATATGTATATATATATATGTGATCATATTGATGGGAAGAAGATTGAAAGTAGAGGTACATAGAATACAAGAAGAAACAACACTCTTGTCACCGCCTATATAGTTGGTTTTCCGAAGAGGAGAAGCTCTACTCATCCTTGTACCTCTTCTCGAGTTCCTCCATGCGCTGAATCTCCCTGTGGTACTTACAGATGCGGTAAATGCACCTGAATCGACGTTCAAAATTATTGGATGTGAAAACCGACCTCTATATATATAGCTTGACTTCGTTAAGTTGATTTGGAGGGAATTGGATTGGGGGAGAAGAAGAAAGACTTAGTTCAAAGTGTGGAGGTATTTTACCAATAAAGAAGACACGCAGCAGTGCACAAGACGACGTTCCTCTGAGCCTTGTAGATCTGCAATTTTGCCAAATGTTGGCGAATTAAGAATATCATCGGCCAAATTGGTTAAAATCAAAGAAAAGAATTGAAGTGATCGTATTTGGGAGAACTATTTTTTCTCTTATGTAGATGTAAATGTAACTCTTCTTATGCTGTTGTTATATAATATAATAAATAATTAGTTAATGATTAGAGCAAATATAACATGAATATAGCATTCAATTTAAGCCAAAAACAATGGCTACAAGGAGCAAGGAAATATTTATCACTCAGAAGCCTATCAAACAGAGCTTCTGTAATTCTACATTCCAGATTTCAAAATACACATCCCAAATGCTTCCAGCTAACTCGGGTTAATCACAATTTGTTTCCGAATTCAGGTGATAAGTGTGCAGATGTTTCGAGCACTATGCAAGCGACAAGCCAACAGATACAGGAATCAACAGCAGGTGATTTTCAAAAAGATACTTCAACTTTCTATAATCTTTAACTAACATTTCCGAAACAAAGTTTATGGTCCTAGGATTAGGCAAGTGTAATTTCAATAGCATAACACTTATGAAACCAAAGAGGTACAAAATGGTAGGGGAAATCGGGAAAGAAATGCATGCTCTAGAAGAATTCAAAGCTAAGAATTATATGCTCCCAAAACATCTAAAAGCAAGCATGAATGCATTATAATTGGATTACCACATTCTGACAAAAACAAGCTTCAATGCTTGATCATGGTGGCACTATCATTTTTACAGAATATAAATAAACTACATATTATTATATAAAAATGCACTGACAGTTCGTAATCAAAAAACAAAAAATGCATTGACAGTTGCATCAGCAACACTGAGGATTACCTAACAACAAATTCAATAGTCGTAAGATACTCCAAAAGAAGGATCATATCAATGACAAGTACCTAACTGATATAATTTGTACAGATATAGTAGAAGCTCCACAAGAGTTACCAATAGCAAGAGTGATCAACTATCATAAATTTTCATTTATTAATCATAAATTTTACTAGCAGTTTTCCACGTGAACCAAATATCTCTATAATTAGCACAATAGGTGAAAATTAACAATAATTACCGATTTCTCATATCGATCCCTTTCCGCAGCAGTACAGATCTCCCCGGTACACATCAGCCGATGCTCATTCTTCCAATATATATCTACCTCGCACCGAAAACAGAAATAAATCATCAAATCACAGCAACAGCAGCTGAAACCTCAGATTAAATCAAACCATTCCGAAAAAAATGAAGACAAAAAATCGCACCTAGGAGCTGAAATGCCGAGAAAGGTACAACAAACAGCGACGGCTGCAGAACGAGCGAAACGAGCGACACGATGCTAGATTTCACCGCTTTCGGCGACGGCAAAGTCAGAGCAATCGCGACCGCCGCCTCCGCTGCCACCACGTACGCCAGTATCATCCATTGCAACGCCATGAGTCTCCGGTTCGGCAATTTTCACTTCCAAAACCTCGCAGCAACTTCCGATTACTTCTCCTCTTCCAGAGATCGCTTGATTCGCACGCGCTTCACTGAATTCACGAAGCGATTCCTCGTTGAATTTTGCTTTGCTTGGTAGGTAAGGCTAAGGCTGAATAAATAGGGTTCCAGCTTCGCAGCTTCATCCTGCCATTTATGATTTAACGAAAGCCATTTTACCATTTTGCCCTCCACTCATTTAACGTGGCAAAGTCGCGTTTTCAGTTCTACCGCTTGAAAGGAAAGTCGTAAAGTCATGTTACCACAATCTAACAGTCGGGCATTGATGATTTAACGAAGGGCCATTTTACCATTTTGCCCTCACTAATTTAACATACCGAAGTCGTGGTTTCAATTTCTACAACTTGAACGAAAGTCGTGTTCACCACAAGCTATTGCGGTCGAGCATTTATGATATAACGAAGGGCCATTTTACCATTTTGCCCTCATTTATCTAATATTGCGGTTCTTCATCTTGAAAGAAAAGTCGTGGTTATCACAGGCTATTAAATCGTGTTATCAAAATCATACATCATCATATGATTACATTAGCAATGCTGTTTTACCTATAGCAACTTATTGAGGCTTGTCACATTTCATAAGTTCACCATTTGCTAAGAACAATTTTTGCTCATTCGAAATCGTACTTGGTTCGACAATTCGGCAACCGTTCTCCAATAGGATAACCGAGCCATTGTCAAAATCGAGCTCTTTATTCGCCATCTTTATAAGCTCTTCCATTGTGTCCGGAATCCATAGAACAACTCCCATGTTTTGTTTTTCTTTGTGATCCCATGGAAATCCCGGGTAGACAATACATTTTCTTCTTGATAATGATTTATCTGTCGTATCGAAAAATATTACATGAACATTGCATTGTTAACTTGAAGCATGAAACGTATATATAGATATAAATATCGCTTCTATGAGGACGTTAATTGACAGTTTATCAACATTATACCAATCAACACATGAAAATATTATAGACAGCATATGAAAATAGAAATAGAACGTACAACTCATATTGTCTAGAATATAGTACCTATTAGCAATTCTATTTTGTATATTTGTCATGTTAGCAGACTTCGTAATCTGTTTGTATGAATTATTGTAGTTCATATATTGTATTTGTTAATATAAATATATATTTTGTATGGTTAGATCTATATATAATATTTTGTTTAATATATATTAACTGACACTATCAGCACTGTGATGATTATAATTAATCAGTATAGTAATAACCGTTGTATAAATATATATACCTTCAACTCTTTCGTGACGATAAGATAGTTCTTGCATTTCTTTAAGGGTTGCTTCTTGAAGTAGCTTCATTAGGACATGGCTACCGCCTATCCGAGCTTCATCTATCGGAGTTCTTCCCCATCTGTGCGAAAAAAACAACAATGTAGGAAACCGAACTGTCCTATTATAAGATTACTTCGATATTGCATACCTGTCTCTAGCAGTGACGCTTGCGCCGGCTTCTAGAAGCGAAGCACACTCGTCGTACAATCCCTCCGATGCAGCTAAGTGTAACGGTGTTCTAAGGTCATAGTTTTTCGAGTTTGGATTTATTCCATTACCCAAAAGCCGTTTCAAGAACTCCAAATCCTTCTTCGCAACAGCTTCGCAAAGACAATTCCCCGCGCTGTCAATGGACAACGAAGCGCCGGCGCTTACCAGCAACAATGCGACGCTGTCATGGCCATTCTTGATTGCTTCAAAAAGTGGAGTCTTTCCAAAATCATCTGCAAAAACCATAGCCATATCTAAATCCATTTCATTTAAAAGATTGCGATTAAAGGGATACATATCGTTTATTTATTTATATACAATGAAATCAGATTTGGATTACCTTTGACATTGAAATCCACATTTTTGTCTATAAGGTACTGAACAATGTCTTCATATCCTTTAGCTGCAGCTCTATGCTAAAAAACAGAAGTTTTGGATTAGGACAAGAGATGATTGAGATTTATGATTGAAATTTTTGAATGATTTACAAGTGATGTTTGGCCATTGTAATCCATTTTGTTAGGATCTGCTCCGGCTTCGACTAATCGACGCAGTCGACGAAGATCGCCGTCGTCTGCAGCACAGTTCAATCTCATGCCTATCTCAGATTCATTCTTCTCAATCTGCAGAGCAATCTCAGACTCCAGAATCTTCTTCCTAAGGCTATAATCTTTCCCCTACAAATAGTAGCCTGTAAAAATCAATCCCGATTTCGCAACTTTTCGACAAATTTTCTTCGAAAGAAACGATCATCAACTGAACTTACCTCAAGTAGATTATTAATGACTGCTCGTCCGTCCGATGAGTGTGTATCGATGATCTCTATAAGATCTTCCTTCTCTATACGTAGAAGCTTCGATAGTTCGACAGCTCGGATTGTACGAGGCTCCGGTATGCTGCAAAGAACCGAAATATCGCCGATCGAATCTTTCGACTCTGTCTCCTCTGTGTTCTTCTTTACTTCATCCTGCAGTTCGACATTTTCAGCTAAAATACAAGCAAAAGACTCAATTTTTCGAAGAAAATTGAGCATCGATAGCTTACGAGTTTGCCGTCGAGGATAATGTAAAGCTGATTGCTAATGTTTCCTTCTTCTACTATCACTTCTTCAGGCAGAAAAAACTCTTCGTGCACTCGGATCACCTGTTCGAAAACGAACACCCTTAAAACAGCAAGTTATTACAGCTAAACTATAGCGAAAAACGGTGGCTGTCTTACGACTTTCGTGACGAACTCATTCGAGCAGTTTTTGAAGAGAGGAACCTCTCTAATGTACGGCTCGTAGAGTTTAGTCGATATCTGCGAGAAAAAGACACGGATCGATGTCAAGCGATCGTAATGTGTAAGGGAAAATCGAGAGTCGAGAAGAGCGCGAACCTTGGCGCGTAATGCAAGAGGAAGATCTTGAAGAGCAGCTGCATCAGTGTAGCTGCTTTCGAACTGCAATCGAATATGGCCTTCGACTTCCTTGCTCATTCGCTTCCCGAGCTTGTTTCGATTCATGCATTTGATCAGTTCCGTCATTTTGTCTCGGAACCTCTCCGTTCTCGACCCTTTCACGATCAGCGCCGTCATGTTTCCGAGCAAGTAAGCTCCGAGAATCATGTCGAGCGAAACGTACATCATCACGAAGATCATTTCCCGGCTATTGACAGCGTGGATTTCGCCGTAACCTGCATCGATCGATCGATCGATCGTTCGTTAGTCCTCGAATGAACGAAGTGTTGTTCGAGCTAAGAAATTTGTCGAATCGAAGCTTACCGACTGTCGCCATCGTAACTACAGCGAAGTAAAGCGCGGTTATGTACCGTGTCCATAGATCAATATCTCGGAAATTTGTGTAGCTAAAGTCTCCCATCTTTAAGCTACCTATCCATGTGTAGCCTTCCTTCGACGGAGGAAGAGTCGTCGCGAGGTAGTAAAAGATACATGCCGCCGTGTGCGTGCAGTAGAGTTCAACGACGAACAGCTTAACGATCCTCGTAAACAGGTAATTTATCCGTAAGTCCTTCTCCAACTTCTCGAAAAATTCCGTCACCCTCATCGCTCGGCTTAGTCGAATCCACAGCATGTACCGTACCAATTCGCGCTTTCCGCAAGCCTTATCGAACAAAAAAAAGAACTAGCTTAGTTTCATTAGAACAGCGAATTTCAATTCATCGAGATGTAGAACGACGAGCTCTCGACCTTGTATATGGCATCCCACGGCATGCATCCGAGAAGATCGATGACAAACATCGATTTTAAATAGCTACAAGAACATTAGCATTGAATAACTGTCTCATTTAAAAACTTAAACTTTAAAAATTACGCATTATTAACTATTTTCGTCCGACTCTAAGTGTCTCTTTTACTTTTTACATATTGATCTTTAAATATTAATTATTATATAAAAACGTAGTACAAATCAAGGGAAAATGACAAAAATACTTATATTAGTGTCTTATAATGTTATTATAATTACATTTGTGTAAAAAATTATATAAATATAAGGATATTTTTAATGTTAAGTACAATAACGCAAAAGGTAAATGAGAGTCTTAGAGCCAAACGAAGGAAGTATTAAATAGTCAGCTAACAATTAATATCCCAAGTTAATTGAAAAAACATAAAGAATAAAAAAGATCGATAAGAAGGCGAACCGGAGGGCGACGAGGTTTCGATTATAAACCATGATGTGAGAGTGAGGATCTCTGTATGCAACAAAGAAGGTTGTGAAAATGTCGATGAGAAAAGTGAATTGTCCGGCGATGTCGAGAAGGTGAAGATCCCCCGGGAGGCCTCGAAAGAACGCGAATTCGAGTGGGGTGAAGAACGACGAGTAGACAGCCCAAAGAAGAACAAAATGACTCCATAAAACATACCATCTGCATTCAATTGAATGTATTAAATGATCATTTCACCTAAAAATTTAAATTAATAAATAAATAATTAATTAATTACATATTATATAATCTTCTAATTCCTATCTTACCCGGTATCGGGATGAATGATGCATCCATGGCTACTATGGCCACTTCCTCTTTGAGTTCTACTCGTAAACGAGTATTGCCCTGAATAGTATCTTCTTAAGGCTCTAAAAGGCTGCATTTTTTTCCGCCATGAGGGCGATGATTGGGTCGAGTCTTGCAAATCCTCGACCCGAAATTGTTCGTTATCGTTATCGTCGTCGCCGTCGCCGTCGAAATTGTTTCTTTTGGCATCACTTGTATGCATCTTTTTCTAGTGTATGAGAAGCTTAGAATAGAACAGATTTGTAGTTAGAATCAAAGATGAATGAACAAGTTGCGGCTAATTTGTGTGGTGATGGTAAAGAGAATCATGTTTAAGATAAAAGTGATAGAAATTATTCCATGTTCCCATGAACTTCTCTTATTTTTTTATAAATATTTTATTTTAATATTTTTAATAAAAACAAATTATTACTATTTAGTTTGATGTTTTAATTATTAAAAAAAATAAAAAATGTATTTGTGTATTCAATAGTAAAGGAATTTAAAAAGACAGAGATTTAAAAGCATGTGGCAATATTCGAATGGCTTTGGATTCTGTTCTAACGACACGACAGCACTTCCAATTTTAGAATCTTACTACTGTATCTCTATTGAAAAAAAGTTATCTTTACTGGAAAAAATTAAAATTAAGAGTGTGACTGAATTTTATTATTATTATTATAATTATTATTTTATGAAGCCCTATAAATTATACAGTCCCAAGTTCACAACGGTTGAAGTTTGACCACGGAGCTTATGGGCTTAATTAGCTGGGCCAAGAAGTGATTATTAGTCTTGACAAAAAAATATAACCAAACTCAAAATATATTAGAAAATGATTATGATTTAATCAGTAGGCACATCAATTGTTGTCATAAAAAGTTATATCACAAACAAATTATAAAAATAATTAAAATAAAAATAGTACTATTTTCTTTTTTAGGTTCCAACTAAATGTATACATTTGTTCTTTTTTTTTTTATAATATATTAAAAAATAATAATATTTTATTAATAAATAAAATTTATAAAAATATTTTGAGGATTTTAAGCGGACGTAATTATAATATGCTATTTTTAATTTATACTCACAGCAAATTACACTGAAAATCGATATAAAAACAGTATTTTATTAATATTTAAAAACATTACCGGAAATTATTAATAATTTCGCATATTCAAAAGAGGCAAAATCGCAATTTCCAAAAAAAGGTCATCTCCTTCAACGCCACGCCAGAAGAGCGCACAATTTCTCCGTTGTTTTTATAAGAACAGATTGAGATTGTTTGATTGATCGATTTTGTCCAACTCATCCACGCCATATCGCCGAAATACAAATTTTTAATTCCAGCTTGCAGAGCAATAAAATAATTCATTTCAATCAGATTCTTCAGATATTCATATTTATCGCTTTCCGACATCTCCTGTGGAGAACAGTTCCAGCTTCCAAGTGCCAGCGGCGAAAGGAGCCACAGATTTTACAGCTATGGCGTCTCTCGGATTGGCTCACCAGATCAGCAGCACGGCGGCGGAGTTCCCGGCGGCGCGGCGGCGTTGGCGGAATTCTCTGGTCAGTAAACCCCGGGTCGGGTTCAGAGTGTTAGCCCAGGCTAGTCCGGATCCGGATCTTAGCGTGATGGTGAACGGGTTGAAGATGCCCAACCCGTTTGTTATTGGATCGGGTCCTCCGGGCACGAATTACACAGTCATGAAACGCGCCTTCGACGAAGGCTGGGGCGCCGTCATCGCTAAAACGGTAACGGATTTTGGGGATTCCATTTTAAGCTTTGTTTGGAATTGGAAATGAATTATAAATTTGGATGATAAATTAGGGTTTTGATTTCCATATTTGATTATCTGTTACTTTATCCATATCATTTAAATTATGATCAAATTTGCGGAACTGAGCTGAATTAGGTCAATGATTCTGAGAATTATGCTGATCGAGGTGGATCGAATGTAAATATGTTTTGGTAATCGCAAGAACTTTCCAAAATCATCCCCAAAATTTGATTCAATTCATGAGATATTGGTATTATTAGATTCTATCGAATCCCTTGATCCTCATTTTGAGATTGGCCTGCAATTAGTATGTTAAAAGTATATTTTTTTGTCAAATTTACTTTTTAGTTTTAATAAAGTTTATATTTGATCTTTTTCGATCTTTTGTCGTGATTTCTAGAATTCTACTTCTGAATTGAGTCTTGATTTCAATTCTAACTCTGCTACGAGCGAGTCTCATTTCTGATTATAATTTTGTTAGGAGCTGCCTCGATTATGAGCGAGGCACGCTTTCGATTCGGATATGTAGATTAAGTACTTTCTATTTCATTATATCTGCTAGATTAAATTGTTATTATTGTTCTGCTGCATCTCTAAAATTTCTTCAAAATGTAATACCTATGCTTGTAGACTATAGTTGTGATGTATTGATGAAGATGATAGATCAGTCTCATGATCGAAAATCATTCGGTGCAGGTGTCGTTGGATGCCGCGAAAGTCATCAACGTAACTCCTCGGTACGCCAGATTGAAGGCCGGCGAGAATGGCTCGGCGAAAGGGCAGGTCATAGGGTGGGAGAACATTGAGCTTATAAGCGACCGGCCTCTAGAGACAATGCTGAAGGAATTTAAGCAGCTGAAGGAAGAGTATCCAGACCGGATTCTTATTGCTTCGATCATGGAAGAGTACAGCAAGGCTGCGTGGGAGGAAGTCATCGATCGAGTCGAGCAAACTGGCATCGTAAGAATACGCCACCATTGATTATTCTTGTTGAGGAATTTTTATCGAATCGTTTGCTTGTTTTCCGAGTATTGATGGAATTTGTCGTGGCACTTACACAGGATGCTATCGAAATTAATTTCTCGTGCCCCCATGGTATGCCCGAGCGCAAAATGGGGGCTGCCGTCGGGCAAGATTGTGGATTGTTGGAGGAAGTGTGTGGATGGATCAACGCAAAAGCGACTGTTCCGGTTTGGGCTAAGATGACGCCAAATATCACGGACATTACAGAGGTATCGATTTGATTAATCTTTCGTTGCATTACGCTGTTACAAGACTCGATTAGAGGTATAGAACCAATCGATACGTCTACTCGGTTTTGTTATGCTCGTTTGAATGTAGGTTTGTCGAATTGGGTTACTAAATTCTTGTCTTTCTTTGCGTTTTTCATCATGATTTTACGAATTGGAACGAAAACGATCTTCTTTATATGTAATTTATCGAGAATTCATCGCTAGTCGTGACTTACGTAATTCTCGGGTTTATACAGCCAGCAAGAGTTTCTCTGCAGAATGGATGTGAAGGTGTTTCTGCAATCAACACAATCATGAGTGTCATGGGGATTAATCTCGACACGTTGCGACCCGAGCCCTGCGTAGAAGGGTACGCCGTTTTTGGTTATTTGTTAATCTCTACCGTTATCTAACTTCAAATAAGTCGACTATTTCTTTAAACCGCGTTTTCTTGTAGGTACTCGACGCCGGGAGGGTATTCTGCCAAGGCAGTCCACCCGATTGCGCTCGCAAAAGTGATGAGCATTGCGAAGATGATGAAACAAGAGTTTGGCGACAGAGACTACTCGCTGTCCGCAATCGGAGGCGTTGAGACAGGTGGCGACGCCGCCGAGTTCATCCTTTTAGGCGCAAATACAGTTCAGGTTCGATTCAGAAACACACATAATTACAACCTCATTACATTACATTCTCGATTTCTTAGACTAGGAAACATCGTCGTTCCTCGGATTAGGTCTGCACGGGTGTAATGATGCACGGATATGGTCTCGTGAAGAAGCTTTGCTCCGAGCTGCAGGATTTCATGAGAAAGCACAATTTCGCAACGATCGATGATTTCCGAGGGTATGTTCGATCCTTCAACCTTAGTTATATTTGTATTGTTAAAATGACGCCGCAGATCCTGTGCTAATCCGGCCAAGTCAATATATGCTGAATTATAATATAATATTATATATTAGTATTATAAATATATATTGGTGACCATGCCCTTTTAAATGACTATCTCACCTAAAAATTTAAATATAAAGTCGACCAATATATGCATAATTCGAATTCTTATCGACTGTTGCATACACTTTCTTACCAGGGCATCGTTGACGTACTTTACGACTCACACGGATTTGGTGAAACGGCAGCAAGAAGCGATTGCGAAAAGGAAGGCGATCAAGAAAGGGTTGGCATCGGATAAAGACTGGACCGGCGACGGGTTCGTGAAGGAAACCGAGAGCATGGTTTCGAACTAAGAATATACATACAGGTCAAGTGTATCTATCTATCTTCTTCGTTACATTTGGTTTTTGAATATCTCCGAAGAATAAATTGCTGAATAGGAGGCGGCATGGGTAGTCATAATAACTCATCCTGTCCTGTGTTTCTTCTTCGTTGGTTCCCATCGAAACTTTTTTGAGTTAACATTTCCTTGTATATGGATGTGAAATAAATTAATAATAATAATAATAATATGCGATCATCTTAACAAATATTAATTTTATATTCAAAATATGACGTTAACAATCTATTAATTATTCAGATTCAATTTTTTATTATTAAAGAATTGAAACTCAAATATCAAATCTACAAACAAACAAAATTCTAAAATACATTAAAATGTCTATTTTTTTTAAAAAAAAATATTATATTAAATATTTAAGTATTTTATTATTTCAAAATTATGAAAAACGGGGAGTTTTGAGTCAAAATATTAAATTTATTGGGTTTTGTGGGTCCACCAAAGCCAAGCGGGACATGAGTCTTGAGAAACTGATTCGAACCCGGTCCATTACCAATGTAATGTTATTGAAGATCCAATCAATTGTAGTAGTAGTATAACAAAAGTGAAAAAATATTCATTAGATTTTGGTTTTTTCCTTAAAATAGTCAAGTTAAATATATATATTTTTTCTCAAATTAAATTTCCAGTATTACTAAACTCAAATTTAAATCACCTCCTCTCATGATTAGAGCTCTATCAACATATATATATATATTTGAATTTTTTAACATTATTCATCAATATTAATATTTAAAATAAATATTATATTAAATATTTAATTTTTTTATTGTTTTCAAAAATTTCAAAACTTAGTGTGAATGAATTGTGATAAAGTGGGGGAGAATAAGTCCAAAGGCCATTGAATTTATGAATTATTGACAACTACTGTAGTAACATACAGTAGTAACAAATAAATAAATAATAATATGATCAAACACGATGTGTCCAAATGGAACAGTTAAAAGTGGTGATTGAGAGGAGATATTCTGATCAGTGATCAGTACCAACAACAATGAATGAATAAAATAAAATAAATGGCTCCCCATTCTCCAAGAAACACCCTGAAATGTTCCTTTCAAACCCTAACCCTAAATTATAACTACATCTATCAGCCTACAATACATACAAATACATACGCATATAATCAAAATTTTAAAAAATAAAAAATAAAAATCTCTGACTGATATAATAACTCATTGCCATGCTCATGCATCCATCACTCAATCACCACTTTAATGTCTCTTTTTAACGTCTTTCTTTTATTTATTTATATACCCTTTTCTTTTTTTTCTTTTTTTTTTTAAAAAAATATTAATTTCTATTTTTGGGGTTTGCATTAGGTTATAACAACCAGATCATCAAAGTGTTATTTCGGGGGCTTTTGAGGAGAGAGATATAAATGGAAAGAAAAGCAGGCAGTTGTGAAGAAGAGGAAATAGGGCAGAGTTCAAGAATTTCCATTAATGGAAACCATGATGATCATTATGAAGATGATAATATTAAGAAGGAGATTTCTTCCCATTCTTTGTTTGGACTTTTGGTCAAATCCCACTTGGATTGCTTGAAGGTCCCCTCAATTTAATTTAAATATTTATTTTTTTATAAATTTCATATGAATTTCTTACAATTTAGTAATTAATTAATGTGTGTGTGCAGTTGTGTTTAGGCAACATGGAGAAGATCAACGACGACGACGACGACGACGACGATGATCCAACGGCACCGGTGCTTCCAGGTCATCTCGGGTTAATCACAGCCGGTCGTTCTGAGCTGGATCAGTTCATGGTAAGACGCGATTATATTATTAATTTTAATTTTTGAATATATAATAATAAGCTGTAGTGCAATTGGAGAGAACCGCAGGAAGCGTACTGTACGACATTGAGAAAAGTGAAGGAAGTGATCCGAGAACCGCAGCAAGAATCGATGGAGTTCATCAATCACATGTACTCCCAACTCCAGGACCTCCTCCAGGATCTCCCTTCCTCACCCTCCACCCCAATTTCTCCTGTAAGTATTATTATTACATATGTATATGTGGGTATTGTATTATATATACACTACTAATTATTTTCCATGTTTAATATTTCTTATTTTATTGGAATAAATTATATTGTTGCACAAAGTTTATTTTAACCTATACTCTTTTCATCTTTGAAAAATATGTTTATTTTACCATTTTAGTCAATCTATTAAAAATATATTCATATCATTAGTAAAAAATTATCTTCATGCTTTAAATCTATATTCACTATTTCTTTCTACTTACACAAATTTCACTATGACTCCACATATTTTTTACCAAATCTATATTCACTATTTTTTTTTTTATTTATTTACACAAGTTTCACTATGATTCCACCTATTTTTTTTACCCTCATTCCACTTTAATAAAAAAAATTATATTCCTAATCATATAAAAATTATAATTTTTTTCTTAAAAAAAATACAAAAATTACTAAAATATAATAAATTTTCTTAATCTACGTGTCCAAATTTTTGAGCATATATTTATAAAATATAGTACCATATATATGCGTCTATCCGAAAGAAAATATTTTGCAATTTTCTTTTGTTCAAGCACTTCTTTGTGCTTACATAGAAGTTTTATATTGGTGTTGAAATTTTGAAATAGTAAAAATTTAGGTAATTAATTCAATATTTTCTGATTTTTTTTTTTAAAAAAAATTACTCTATCCGTCCCATAACTATGTATTCATTTGTTTTTCGCACGAGGTTTTAAAATATTAGTATTACATTGAGATGTAGTATGAATAAAATAGAAATGACTAAAATAACCTTATTAGTATTGTGTGATATAAAGTTAATGGCATTTGTGTAATATATTATAAGTTGTAAGGGTATTTGTAATGTTAGGTAGATAATACAATTACTAAAAAGTAAAAAAAATAAATACTTTGTTATGAGACAGATTAAAATGGAAAAATGAATATTTTGCTATGCGACGGAAGGAGTATTCATTTTTCATCTTTTTAATAAGTGATGAATTTTGTTACACATTACAAGTATTTTTAAAATTTATACTTATTGACATCAATATTACATATATTTTGGGTTGATTGAGAAAGTATATAATATGTTGATTATGTTATGTTATTTATTTTATTTTGTAGGAAATGGAAGGTTTGATGATCAGAGAGAATGTTTCAGAGGCAGATTGATGATTATGAAGCTATTTATATATTACTATATGATTTTGTAATTTAAGCAAATAATTAAATTAAATTAAATTAAATTAATCCATGTTTGATCTTTAATCATTTCTTAGTTATGCACTCTCTATTGGTGATTAATGCCTTTTTAGTTAATAACAGTAATTAAAATCTAATAATTTATCAATTAGATGAGACTTTAAAAAGATAATTAATTGAAGTAACCACGTAGTTTTAAAGGATAAATATAATGATGTTTTTATCATTTTAATATTTTAAATAATATTCATTTAAAAATAATTATATATCTAATTTGCAATTACTGAAAATTCCTCTGCAACCGTACTATTTCTATTTACCCTACACGAATTAGCCATATGGTAATTTTTCCGCCAAATAGATTAATTTTGTATATTTAAAAACATTAAATTTAAATCAATATTTGCTAGAACCTGCAGTGTGAAGTGCTGATCCATTTTAAATACTCCCTCCTCCTAAGTATTATTTTTCTATTTTAGTCTATTCCATAATAAAATATTTTATTTTTTTTAGTAATTGTATTATCTACCTAACATTACACATATCCTTACAACTTACGATATATTACACAAATATCATTACCTTTATATTACACATACTAAAGTTATTTTAGTCATTTTAACTTTATTCATACTATATCCAATATAATACTAATATTTCTAAAATTACATGCAAAAACAAATAGATATTTAATTTTGGGACGGAGGGAGTATAATACTCTTTCGGTCAAATGTCTTAGGATGTGTTTGTTTGAAGGATTTGCGAAGATTTTTACTATTCATCCAAATTTTTTTTCTAAAAATATCAAATTAAATATCTATTTTTTATTTTTTATATTAAACTAAAAATTAATTTTACAATCAAAATATCACATCAACACCTATTTATATCACACCATATAACTATTACAATTCAAATTTTTTACTATTCAAATTTCAACTCAAAATCCAAACCCCAAACGCACTCACTTAGGGTGTGTTTGTTTGGTGGATTGGATTTTAAATTTACTTTTCATCCCATATTTTCTCTCAAAAAACATCAAATCAAACAACTATATTTCATTTTTTATATTATACTAAAAATCAATTTTACATTCAAAATTTCCGTCAACACCTATTTATATCACATCATACTACTATTTAAAATCAAAATTTTTACTATTCAAATTCCAACTCAAAATTCAAACCCCCAAACAAACATACATTGGTGTCTTGTACACGGTAGATACAAATATTTAGAAAAAAATATGATTAATATATAATTTAAAAAATATATTAGTAAAATTAATTATACTATATTAATAAAATAAATTATAAATTAAAATTAAAATAATTAATACAACTAAATAAGTTAGAAAAATAAGATACACTTAAATGTATTTATTTAAAGTACTATTTTTATCATTTTTGTCTATTATATTAAAAAATATCAATTTTGTTATTTAGTAAAATAATCATATACTAATATAAAAAATATTTATTTTTATTTAAATTACAAATATACTGACTAACACATACAATTATTTTTTACAAATTTTTACAAATAAAAATGTCAGCACCTCTTTAATTAGCAAATAAAATATTATTATTTATTAATCTATTATAAAACCTAAATGATCTCTTTCAAATAGTACGAAACGAGTAATAATTAATCATAAGAAAAACTATAAAACATATAATCAAAGATAAAAATAGAAAGAGTCCAGTAACGGATGACCCGGTAGTATAGGAGTTGATTTGTGACCATAAAGTCATGGGTTCAAACTGCGCACTTCCGAATAAAGGTTGCGAGTTCATACATTAAAAAAAAATAAAAATAAAAATAAATTAAAAAACCATTGATATTTATAATTTGAAAATATGACAATAATTATCTACCGTTAAGCTTACATCAATTTTAAGCATTTATTTATTTTTATAGTGTTAAAACATTATTAATTCCGCGCTGAATAAATATACGAAGGGTTAGAAACGTCTCTAAAGCGACCAAACTGAGAACGTAATTAATTAAATAACTACCAAATTCTCAACCTACTGGTCAATCCAATCCATCTTTGACTAAAATCAATTGATTCTTGGACACGGGCGCCCCAGGATCCCGACTCCTGAAACCTTTCAAACCATGGTACATAACTGGTGCGGTGCTGAGATCCCGGGAGTCTCCAACCATCTCTCACTGGATCATAGAATCTAGATGAATTCCGTTCAAAGAAGAGCTTTGCCCAAACTCGTGTTTGTTTTATATTTAATATTATTTAATTTGTTAAAAAAAAATATCCCAATTATCTTGAGCTCCACGGGATTCTTTCTGTCTTTCTGCAAGAAAAGGAACTCATCTTTGACTAGTTTAATAGTCAACGATCAACAGTCATTTAAACGACCCTTAGAAAAGGCAACCAATGTTCCGACCGCAGACATTTATTATCAATAATCAATATCGTCTTAAATTGATTCCTTAATATTTCCGACAATACAACAAAAGATTCTGTTTGGTTCAGCAATTCTATAATTCCGACAATGGCTGCTGTTCCAGAAGATTCCCGGCGGCGGCGATCTCTGATCCCCAATTTCCTCTACACTTCTCCGACGGCGGCGGCGGCGCCGTCTGAAAGGATCGAAATGTTCTCGCCGGCGTACTACGCCGCTTGCGCCGTCGGCGGACTTGCCAGCTGTGGCTTCACTCACGCCGCCGTCACGCCCCTCGACGTCGTCAAATGCAACATGCAGGTCGGCTCGGCTCGGCTCAGCTCAGCCCCTCTTTTAAATTAAAATTAAAAAATTGGATTTGTTTAGTAAATTAAATTGATTGATAATTATACGTGTGCATATATTTTAAATGGACGGCTCAGATTGATCCGGCAAGATTCAAGAGCACGGGATCGACGGTGGGGATTGTGTTAAAGGAGCAAGGAATTAGAGGGCTGTTCAAAGGGTGGGCCCCAACGTTTGTGGGGTACAGTGCTCAGGGAGCTTTCAAGTACGGCCTCTACGAATATTTCAAAAAGGAATATTCCGACATGGTGGGCCCCGCCGCCGCCGGCAAGTACAAGACACTGATCTACCTGGCCGGCTCCGCCTCCGCCGAGGTCATAGCTGACGTGGCACTCTGCCCCTTCGAGGCCGTCAAGGTTCGTGTCCAAACCCAGCCGGAATTCGCCCGCAGCCTCGCCGACGGCCTCCCCAAAATTGTCCGCGCCCAAGGCGTTTCAGGGTACGTACGGTCGCCGGAAAATTCGAAATTAATTAATTAAGAAAACATTAATTAATTATTTATTTAATTTGAGGGTTGTGATTTTGTGCAGGCTATTTAGAGGAGTGGTGCCACTTTGGGGAAGGCAGATTCCATGTAAGAATTTTATAGTAAGATAAGTTACTATGAAGTTTTAGTTTTAGGTATTAAATATTTAGGAATTAATTAAAAAATATATTAATAAAAATAATTATAAATTAAAATTAAAATAATTAAATAATTTAATTAAAAAAAATTATATCTTATAAATTTTAATTATATTTAAAAAAATAACAAATTATATGAACAAACAAAAATAAAAATAGTAGACAAATTAACTAGTACGGAGTAAGTAATATATGCTATATATTAGTAGTAATTAATTGCAATAATTATATGTACGTATATGCAGATACGATGATGAAATTCGCGACGTTCGAGAACATAGTGGAGGCGATGTACAAGCACGTGATTCCCACGCGGAAGGAGGAGTGCAGCAAAGGGGTCCAGCTGGGGGTGAGCTTCGCCGGCGGCTACATCGCCGGAGTGTTCTGCGCCGTCGTCTCCCACCCCGCCGACAACCTCGTTTCCTTCTTCAACAACGCCGCCGGAGCCACCGTTGCCGATGTAAATTAATTAATAAATATTAATTAAGCAAATTATTATGATTATGTATGTATGTATGTATGTAAGTATGTATGTATATTGCAGGCAGTGAAGAAATTGGGGATTTGGGGACTGTGCACGAGAGGTCTCCCTCTTCGCATAGTTATGGTGGGAACCCTAACAGGGGCACAATGGGGAATTTATGATTCATCCAAAGTTTTCTTTGGCCTGTAAGTCACCCTATATATCTCACTTCCTTTCTATTTATTTATTATTTATTTATTTATTTATTTATTTTGTAGGCCGACTACAGGTGGTGGAAGTTCTGCAACAGCAGTAAATTAAAGAATGAATGAAGAAATTATTATTATTATTTATTTGATCCTTTTATTATTATTATTATTATTATGATTATTACAAAATCTTGGACTCGTCAGGTGTTTGTTTGTCTGATGTTGGGATTTTGCCAGTATAAATAATCTAATGGGCTTTTAAGCCTATATAGTTTGAGATTTTATTTTTGGGCCGAAGGCCTGTCCAGATATAACTTATTATTATTATTATAATATTGAAAGTGCTTATTTTTGTCTTGTAGTGGAGTAGTATTTATTTGTCCATGAAACTTGCAGAGATGACATGAGATGAGACGATATGCCAAACTTGGAAGAATTTTGTACACACCATCATTGACAAATTAGAATAATAATAATAATAACAATAAATTTGTACACACTATATTAAATTATTAATATTTTTAGATTTTATTTGTTACACATAATTCATATATATAACTTATTTTACTAAATCTATATAGATTTTTTTTTTTTTTTTTAATTTAAACTTCAAAAGTCTATATCTAAACAAAATATAGTTTATATTTTTTAGAATAAAATAACATAAAAAAAATAAAGTTACATGAACAGTGCAATTGTTTGAAAAGAGATGGTCAAGCCAATATTATACATGTGCAATGTACATCTAGATTTTGTGCTAATAGTGTGTATATGATTTAGTAATTATTTTACACGTTATAAATACAATATATTAATATACATAAATTAATATTATGAATAATTTTTTTTTTTTTCGTAATTCAATAAATTTATATAATCATTGAACAGATATCTATAATATGATTTGATGTATTAATAATAGTTTACATACATTCTTTAACCATATTGATAACACATGCTAATATTTCATATCGCATATGTTATCGGTTACTCTGTCATGTAAAATTATGTCAATTTGATCGAACACGAATTTTAAGAAAAATTGAGAAATAACTTTTTTTATTTATTTTATGATTAAAATAAATAAAAATAAAAGAGAAATGAAAATAAATTTAAAAGATATATATATATCTTCATGATTATAAATCCTTCTAGCAAAAATGATAATATAGTATTATAAAAATGATTATGAAAAAATCTGAATCATATATATGTATATTTATCGAAGGACCTTAATTCTTGGTTGTAAGTGGTTTTCAAAATGATCACCTAAATGAAATTTTCGTTATAAAAATAGGAGATTTGAATACAACAGCTAAGAGATAAGATACGATCTGATCTGAATATTGATAGCTAATTATTGCAATGTTAAGAGCACAATTATATAATTAATTCATTCATTCATTCGTGCCACCAAATAGTGAACCTAAACGCTTTGAAATTGTTAGAAATTTTGAGGGAAAATAATGAGACTGATCGTAAAAATAAATATAAATATAATAAATTTAAAATTGAATATCTAAAATATTTCACAAATTCTTCAAAAAATGACACATTTTTTGTCTTTCATTTTTTTTTTTTTTTGTAAAAATAAATTAAGTTTGAATAAAACCAATATCTGATTTAAAATTGATATACATTTGAAATATATATGTATATATAACAACTACATTATTTATAACGCACAAATAAAGCACGGAAAGTGATATAAAGTATTAATTAATTTAATAGTGATTATATATATATATATATTAAAATGTTTTGTTGAATAACACATAAAATATAGTCGTTCAGTCAAATAATTGCATTAGTACTAAACTCAATTTATTAGCCTTCTTGATTAGTCCATGATTATAGATAAATAAATAAATATGTATGCATTAGTGTCCTTGAAATATGGCACAAATGGTGATAAATAATTGCACAAATTAAATGAATCAATTTATTTTTCAACGTCATGAACAGTAAATCAATATATTTATATATATATATATATATATATATAACTATATATATTCATCACACCAATTTTGAAATAATAAACAAACAACAAAATGACGTGTGTTTATTTGTGTGATTTTCATCATAATTTTATTATTTTGATGTTTTCTAAAAAATATACAACAAACATATATATTGATTTATTATATTACATTAAAAGAATTTTTATATTAAAATATCATTGAATACATATTTATCTTGTATTAAATAATTATTTCAATTTAATTATTATTATTCAAAATCAAAACTTAACAAATATTTTCTTTGTAACCTGGATAATAATAATAATAATAATAATAATAATAATAATAATGTGGGTGCTTGCATGCATGCAATTAATAATGTAAGAAAAGATAAAATATTAAATAATTGCAAAGAAAAGAAAAAAACTAAAAAGGACAAAATCTATAAATTAATTAGAAAAAGGGATATTGACAGTCAACCGTTCAACCGTTGAATTAAATAATCAAATCCTGTTCAATATTTAATTCATTTATTTGTTATTTAAAATATTCTTGTACTCCCTCCGTTTCATTAAAATGATAAATTTTTTAATATTAGTATTATATTTGATTATAGTAAAAAAGACAAAAATATTCTTATTACTATATTGTAATATAAAAATAATTACATTTGTATAATATATTATAAGTCGAAAGAGTATTTATTATATAAAGTAGGCAGTACAATTATTAAATTAAAAAATAATAATCTTCCTTGGAATGGATGAAAATGATAAACGATACCTTTCATTGAGTATAAAAAATTATTTTTAATTCTTTAAAAGGAATCGCCTTTGTCTCATATCTCTATATATAGAGAGGATTTGTATGTATAGGCGCAGTTAAGATTAGCCAGCCCCTACGTACGTCTACTTTTTGATCTGGAGTTGGGATCCCGGGAGTTCCCAGGATCGGAGCCTGCAGAGTGGATGAAGTTCGATCCCTATTTAGGAGAACACACCATCTTCAAACCATATACATATCTATCTACATTATTAATTATTTCTTCCATTTTTATTTTTAATTCTTTTTTTAAAAATCTTCGGTAAAAATCAACATATGAAGCCAACTATATGTAGGGTGTGTTTGTCTGGGGGTTTGGATTTTGAGTTGAGATTTGAATAGTAAAAGTTTTGAATTTAAATAGTTGTATGATGTGATATAAATAGTTGATGATGTGATGTTTTGAATGTAAAATTGATTTTTAGTATAATATAAAAAATGAAAAATAGGTGTTTGATTTGATATTTTTGGGGGAAAAATTTTGGATGAATAGTGAAATTTTATCCAAATCCATCAAACGAACACACCCGTAACTTATTGGAATCACTACTTATAGGTGTGTTTTTTGTATGTTTTTAGTTATTTTCATATTTAGAATATTTTATTTTTTAAAAAATAATATACTACAAGATTTGATTTTTATATTTATAAATAAATTAAATTTTAAAAAGACACAATAACACAAAGACTATGAATAATAATGGTGAGGGCTCGGCCACGTCACCATATTTTCAATCCAACAAAGTTAGATAATGTATCATTAATTATTGCAACTAATTAATTGAAATACTAAGGGTTGTTTGTAAAATAACGTTTTGAAAAACTTTTAGCTTATTGAACAACTTTTAGTTATTTGACCAGTCAAAACGCTAATTTAGATATTTGATAAATTAGCTTTCTGAAAGAGCTTTTTGGACCCAAAAAGCTAATTTTTAAAAACTCATCTATCTAGCGTTTTGAAAAAAATTTTTCATTTTAATTTTGATTATTCCTTATTTACCTTTAAAATTTAATTATTTATTTTTTACATATAAATATATTTTTATAGTGGTATTTATTAATTACTTTTGATATATTTAATTTATTAAATTATATTTTTATTTTTTTTGTAAATTTAAAATAATTACTATTATTAATTATTAATATAAATTATTTTATTTATAAAATATATAATTTAAAACTAAATCAAATAGAAAAAACAAGGTTATTAATTTATTTATATATATTAAAATAATAATTATATTTTTATACGAAAGATTTATTATTTTATATTTTACATAATTTTAATAAAAAATTATTATTTTTTAGTAAAATTAATTTTTTCGGATCTAAATAATAAAAATAAAAATAAATATTTTATAATATTTTTATAATTTTCAATAATTAATAACAAAAATTCTCATAAATTTCAAACTAAAATGAACAAAATTAAATATTTTAAAAAATAACATATCAATGTCCTTAATAAACATTTTATGTATAAACAGCTAATGTCAAACCGTTGTTTTACCAAACACTTTGATACAAACTGTTAATTGAATCAGTTAGTCAAACCAGCTAATTGAATCAGCTAGTCAAACCAGCTAATGTTGAATCAGCTGACAGCTAAAAGCTATCAGCTAATTGCCAAACGCAACCTAAGGGTATGTTTGTTTGTGGGTTTTAATTATTAAGTTTGAATTTTTTAATAGTAAAAAATTAAATTTAAATAATTGTTTGATGAGATATAAATAAAAGTTATACTATATTTTAAATATAAAATAAATTTGTAATATAATATAAAAAAAATAATCATTGATATAATATTTTTGAAAAAAAATAAAATTATGAATAGTAAAAACTATGTCACCATATAGTAAAAATCTATAATAATACCAAAAAGAAAACACAACCTAAAGCATTTCCAAACTTAGATACAACGATTTCAAATATGTAATTTATTTATTTACTTATTTGATTTATTTATTTATTCCTCCAATGTTGTCGCAATGTAGATGTAGTTGTGAATTAATTACTTAATATGGTAATGTGCGTGAGAATGGACAAAAATTGAATTCGGTGGGTGTGTTTAATTGCAACAAGACCAGACCAGACCAGACTACATCAGACCAGTCAAATGTAAAAATAACTGCACACTGCCTTCTTCAATCACCTTCACACACACACACACACACACACACACACAAAACACCCCAAAGGCCAATATTATGATTAATAGATAGATAGATATATATATATCTTTTATGTTTTGTTACTATTTATCTATAATACAGTACTTTATTTTAAAAAAATAAAAAATAAAAAATAAAAAAACCATATTGAAATATATTGTTCTTTTTCTATCAAACGGGGAGCCCATCAATTTTGACTTTAACTTTCACATTATGTCAAAATTTTAATTTTTTTACTATTTTCAAAATTTCTATAACTCCATAGCTTCTATTCCAAAAATCTTGATTTAAAACCCCCTACCTCCCCCCACCCTCCAATCCCTTTTGTCTATGGTAAATTGAATGCTTATATATGATGCATACACGGTGTATATATATATATATATATACCCTGAAGCTCTTGGCATTGTCTCAGAAACATGGTTATGTCTGTTATCTGCACATTGCCAATCTGAGCATATATATATATATATAGATAGATAGATAGATAGAGAGATAGAGAGAGAGAGAGAGAGGGAGAGAGAGAGGAAGCTCAATTCTCAAGAATGGGGTGGTGGTGATATGAGGGGGAGGGGGGTTGAGCTTCCATCACTTTCTTCTTCTTAATTTCCCCAATTCCCAAAACAAACTTTCTACCTCGCAATAAATTTAACACTTATATATATCCTATATAATGTTGGCAGCCTTTTCTATTTCATCGTCTTCTCCGATCGCCATCCACCACAACATTAACAATAATAATATAAACCCTTCTTTTCTTGATGATGATCCCAACAAGAACAAGACCAAGAACCAATACCACACCACCCCCCGCCATTGCAACACCTCCTCTCCACAAACCCAGCTAGATCACTCATCATCCATGGATAACAACAACAACAACAACAATAACAATCATTCATCATCCCTTGTCACTGATTATTACAAGTTTTGTAACCATGATCACACTCATCTCCTTCTCCCTCTAAACCCCAACTCCACCAACAGGAAATCCAAGGTATATATATATATATATGTATATATATTTGAAACTAATCTTGATTGTATTCCTTAATCTATTACTACTATATGCAAAATGTATTAATATATATATCATATGTTTGAAGGGGAAGGAGGTAATGGAAATGAGTGAAGTGGGAGGATTATTGAAGATGAAGAAGAACAAGCAAAAAGGGAAAATGGAGGAAAAGAAATTAGCTGTTAGAGAAGGGTTCATTCATGTTAGGGCAAAGAGGGGAGAGGCCACTGATAGCCATAGCCTTGCTGAAAGAGTTAGACTAGTCTTCACTATTTACTTTACTTTATTAATTTATTTCTTCACCATATATAAAAACAACTAAAAAGTATCACATTGATAAATAATCTCATGCTAATTGCCTATTAATTCTCTGTTGCCAACAGGTTAGGAGGGAGAGAATAAGTGATAGAATGAGGTTATTACAAGGCCTTGTCCCTGGTTGTCACAAGGTCTTCTCCTCTGTTTCCTAATCTCTCTCTCTCTCTCTCTCTAAAAATATTGTTATCTTTCTTGTTATTTATATATATATATATATATATCCTGTGTATGAATTTAATATAATGAATTTTTCAAGCTAAAACCAGGTGAATGGAAAGGCCCTAATGTTGGATGAAATCATCAACTATGTTAGGTCACTACAAAATCAAGTGGAGGTAGCTTCTTCTTGATATATATTTATTTCTTAAGCCCCATTTACAGTTACAATAAGTGCTTCTTAATTAACAAATACATTAATTCTAAATAACAGTAACAATAATGCTATGATTCGATTATATAAACTAACCTGGTAGTTCAATGCAGTTTCTGTCAATGAAGCTTGCTTCTGTGAATCCCATCCACTCTCACACCTTTGGATTAATGGAATCTCACACTTCCCAATCTCATCAGGTCAGCAAATTAAATTAAGTTCTTAAATCCACAATATATATAAGCATATTATATTAAGATTAATTCATATTACATTTATATATATATATATATATATACATGCAGAATAATTTTACAAATGGTTTGGCATCATCTTCACGTCTATTAGATCAAAGCATCACAAGCAGTCCTAACTATGCCTATCCTCAATTTCTTGACAACTATGTTGATTCCCTTCTGTTCCAACACTCCCAAACATTCCCAAATGATCTCTCCCAGGTATACAAGTCTTCCCTCATACATCTATCTATTAAATGATTATAAGTATATGTTACTATATAAGTCTTTTTAGTCCAATAAGTGGGTTATCTTATCATTTTAGTTTTATAAATTAAAGATGTCATTTTTATCTAACATTGAAAAGAAATGTATATTATGATCTTCAGATGTTGTGGGAAGGAGATGATGATCAGATCCAAAGACAAGAATTGATCAATCACTCAGACATCATGTTTTCTTTCCATTAATATATACATATATTTATATTAAACCTGCAAGTAAGCAGTGATTAGACCCAACCCACTGGTCCTTTTGTCATTAAATTAAATTTATTATCATTTGCGATCTTGTAACTAAATTTAAAAAACGAAGGCCCCCTTGAGGCATTTATGACTGTCAGTATGATCCATCATGCATTTAATGATAATATTTTATGCATATATATGCGGGTGTGAGAATCTGAATCTGTTATTACAGTTAGTTGTGGGATTCTTTATTTGTATTAATTCAATGCCCCTATTTGCAGACTGTTGTCTGTACATGATTTGATGCCACTATTGCATCTTCACCAGAATCTAAAGCATGGCTAAGAATGTGTGTTGTGTGAACTAAGTGATTAAGTATGAGAGTGAATAATGTTATGTTAACACCCATAGGTAAATATATATATTTACTGAAGTGAATTACATTATTTTCAACAGTGAATAATTTACTGAATAAAAACACTAGATTCGAGGCAAGAGAATGGTGGGAAAGGAAATGAGGCAGTGTCATAATTTTGAAGAAGAAGATGGAGATGGTGACATTTCCCTATCAAGCTTTATTTTGCTCATCAGTTAATAAAATTAACGAAATCTGTTAGTGAAAGAGCAGTAGAAACAACCCTGGTTCTTCATCTGTGCTGTCCTTTTCTTGCATCAATCTACATTAAATCCCCCTTTCTCTCTCTCTCATATATATATATATGCATATTCTATATTTACTGTATTTTGGTTCTATTATTTAATTTTAACGCTCTAGAGACTCTAAGTGACTTGACAGTCTAATCTTTAAAATTCAGGGCGATGATAACTTAAAATTATAAAACAGAAATAATTAGTGACTACACATGACAATTATTGCAAGTTCCCTCGATTGGCCAGCAACATATATATCCAAGAACCATGTTTGCTGTATGTAAATAGTTTCTTTCACTAAAAAAATATCACATAAAAACAATTGTTTTCAATTTAAAAAAGAAAAAGAAAGAAATCCAAAAGCACCCAAGATTTTCCAAGAATTCAAAATCACAGTAATAAAATCATATCGATCTAGAGATCTTAATTCAAATTGATTTCTTCAAATTAAATTCCCTTTGCACAAGTATAAATTTATGTCGTCAAGATCATCCAGGAAGCTAAGGCATGCATGTACAGTCCAAATTCTACAAGATTAAGGTTTCCCATTCCCCCAACCCCACATGTTTCTTTGTCTTGTTAAACTGTTTTCTAGTTGCGACATGATAAATGTCAAAACATGGAAGAAGGTATTTTTGGGGGAGGTTAGTACCTGAATGTATCCACCACAAACCAGTCATTTTCTTTGGTTGAAAACCGCAGCTGCTGAATCCCTCCAGGACCACTGCATGCCATCCATTATCCATGCCGTCACTGCACTCTGAACATGTAAAAACAAGCAGTGCATGATTTCACCACGATGTGCAGACTGAAAACAAACACCGAGGTGGACGTGCTGCCATGATCATACCTTGTAAAAAAGATTCAACTTGCTAAGCAAATGAAGCACAAGTTTGGAAGTCTCTGTGATAAGCCAACCTATCCATTTGAGACTAATTGCAATTAAAATTTCACATGTTAAAACCACTACCAAGAGCGTATATATGTGTGGGTGTTCTATTTGAATGCAGAAATGACTCTGCAACTTCTAATGCTTATCTAAGCCATGAAGATGGTTAAGCCAATACACAACTGGAGGAAGATAAAGGGAGGCTTTAAAGAAAATAATATGACGACTTTTTAGTTTTAACATAATAACTTACAAATAATATATATAGATATATGTACAAAACATACAAAATTTTCAATATCAAATATATGGATCAGATAGGAAGGGGCATGGTATTCTGTCATTCGAGTTTAATTCTGTCGCCTTTGAGCGGTGGTTTCTCGGGCTCATCTGGGAAGTATTTTATACCTACTAAATCACCAACTTCGCTGATTACCTGATAAAGATGGTAAGCATTAAGGATAAACAGAAGGAAACGAATTGTAATATCTTAAATGAAAACACCTAAACCATCAAAGGTCCTGATTCAAAAACCTCATACAATCTCAAGATAAGACCATGTGCTGAACCAGGTTAGTGAAATAAATAATTTTTAATACAAGAATGTAGCCCCAAAGCTTATACTCTTTCAGCTTTTGCTAATGATTATTTTGGATTAAGACACATAAGTTAAGAAAAACACTTTGTGCGATCTTCAAACTATAGGCTGCTTGGGTTTTATAAAGGAGCAACTGGAGTGGGAAAAAAAAAAGTTTGAATCTAGCATAGAGTAAAGATTCAAACCTCTAATGCTCTGACAAGATCTTCCCTTGTATGAGCAGCAGAGATGCAAATGCGAGCTCGAGCCAACAGTAAAGGAGTGGCCGGAAAAGCAACTGTCACAACAGCCACCTGCATTTGAGAAATGAATTTGATGACATGAAAACAACTGATGATCCTGAAATGAAAGCTTGAACAATCAAGGTGTTAGGTGTGCATACTGGCTAAATAAAGTTAGAAAGAAAGCTCACGTTTCGTTTGAGGCACTCCCTTGAAAAAGCAGGAATTTTAGCTGGATTGTAAAGCATTACAGGCATGATGGGAGAATCGTTATCACCCAGAACCTCAAAACCCATTTTCTGCAGTTCTGACCTGAAAAAATTGCTGTTCTCACGGATTTTGGCCAGTTTTAAAGCCCCTGCATTAATGCATAATGTGAGTGTGATAATATTAGGAACAATATACAAAAATAGCATGGTATTGTTTCACAAGCAACTAAAGGACTGATAATACCACCTCTGCTAGAACCATCTTCTCCAAGAATAACCTTAATGGAAGAAATAATTTGCTGCGCAGCAGGTGGTGATATAGATGTAGCATAAAGGTGGGCTGGGCATGTGTATCGCAAGTAGTCAATAAGATCCTGAAGAAAATGCAATGATATAATAATATGTACATCACAGAAAAGAAGATGAAACAGAGGTCAAAGAAATGATATCACAATGTGCAAGAAGGCAGTCTTTCGTGAATACAATTCCATTTAGTTTATTTACTTCTCTTGCAAAAATTTGAGCAGTTTTGTATTTTTGCTTCAACATGCACCATGATTCAAATACTTGTGTATTCCAACTTAGCTATGAGGTTTCCCACTGATGATTCACGAACAATAAAAAAGGCAAAAAGTGAAGGAGGAAATTCAAGCTATCCTCCCCAAAACAATGGGTAACTACCTACAAGAAGCAATTTATTATACTTTCCCAAAATTTTATAATCAGATACAAAAGAACGTTTTCACCTTTCTTCATGATTAATAATCAATAATTATCCTATATTTTTGTAACACATTAAAGGTATTCATGTAATGAACCTTAGATCCTGCAATGTAGCCACCACATGATCCAAATGATTTTGTGAAAGTTCCCATCATGACATCTATATCAGCAGTATCAACGCCTAAGAGTTCACAGACACCCCTTCCAGTTTTTCCAACAGCTCCGATGCTGTGTGCTTCATCTAGATAAATGTATACCTGATGCAAAGGAAAATCAGATACAATACAAGACAGGGGATAGAAAGTTGGAGAAATTTATCACCAGACAATAAGAACAATATATGCATTGACTCAACATTCAGCAGGACCCCCAAACTCATGAATTTCTTTTCTAGCTAGATAAATGAAAACACCCATCCTGTGGCCTTTTAATCATTGTACCATACAAGCAACAAGGACTCACGTGATGCAACATGCTTTAAGGTTTCCCAATGAAAGCAAGTATATATTTTTCTTAAAACATCGGAAAATGGTTCATTATCAATCATAACACAAAACCATGTTGTGGGGACATCAACCTTGTATTTCTTGCAGACTGAAACAATTTCAGGAAGTTTGCAAATTTCCCCTTCCATGCTGTAGATTCCCTCCACCACAACGATGATCTTTTTCCAAGGTCTGTGTGTTCTGGGCTGTCCTTCTGCAATCTGATCCCTCAGAACTTTCTCCAAATGGCAGGGCACTATAAGGTGATTAAAATTAAACTTAATGAACTAATCAATAGAAACATCCTTCAAGAATATTTGGCTACAAGGTTCAACTTACTATTATGCTGGAAAACCCGAATAGTGGCTCCAGACCCTCGAGCACCATTTACTATAGAGTTATGGTTCAGAGAATCACTTATGATTAGACTTCCCTGAAAAATCAATTATAAGTACTGAAAAAAGCACAATTCATCAAATTCACAATTAACCTAACTAATTTTCTGTACCTTCCCCACCAATACAGGAAGAATTGCAGCATTAGTCACATAACCCATGCCAAAAACTACAGCAGCTGGCTTTCCAATAAACTTTGCCACACTCTCCTCCAATTCAGCGTGCAATGTGGTGGTACCTGATCAGATGATTTCACACACATATTAAACATCATATTTTAATGCCTTGCAAGACTAATGTCAACATGAATAAAATCTTTTACCTCCATCAACACGAGAACTACAAGTGCTTGGTGAGAATTTCTTCAACGATTCAATGGCACGAGGCGTGCAGTATTCATCAGCTGCTGCGAACCCCAGGTAGTTATATGATCCCAAGTTAAGGCACCTATTAACTCTTGTTGTCCGCCTACAAGAAATGTTATTAGGTCAGCTAATATTTCCCATGACACTTGCTTAAACATTTTAAGAACGAAACATAGTTTCTACATTACATTAGATTCTAACTGCAAACTGTTTAAACAAAATCCGGGTGCCAAATGACATCAGGACTCAACCATGGAACAACATACTACTAATAAGGAACAATGTTATACAACAACCAGAGTTTCAACTCAAAACTAGATGGTGCTTACTTCAAGGTCTTGTTGTAGTCATTGGAGATGCGCTCCACCACATCAAACCAGGCATCCGGGGAGCTTGATATTGGTCTGTTAAAGCAATCCTGGAAATCATATAGCTCGGTCACGATGGATCGCATAGTATTTCTTTTCAGGGGGATAGGACATCATGAATTTCTGAATAGCTAAAAGTAATGAAGCTTCTCAACGATCAATTCCATGTCCTTTTTTACCCTAACCTTTGAGATATTCATCATCTATGGTCGCTAGATTCTTACAATAAAAATTTGATTTTCAATGCTAACAAGGAAATAATCAAATAGAATCGTGACGCAATAAATACCATGGAGGCAATTCAACAAAGCTTACCAATCACAGAATGCCTATATCACTACTAATTCAGCAGATACAAATCAGAGTAATCCAAACAAAGATGCTGACAACACATCCAAAAGTAAGTACCTGAATTCGTAAATAAAGTCTCCGAATGTAGAAATCCTCGAGCCCCAAGCAAATCGGAGCATACCCCTTCAAACAATCCAAAACACAAAAACAACATTAAAAATAAAAACAACACAGCACATACAACCACTACAGCTGACAACACACAAACTAGGGTTACCTGGAGGTTGCTCTTCGACCACCAGTCGATACACTTACGGAAGAAATCGCGCAACTGGCCGAATGCGAAGAGGAGGCCGTAGCTGAAGTATGTTGTCAAGGCGGTGAGATATGGAATCTTAATCATGGTGAAGAACTCCGATCTGGCGGCGCCGGCGGAGTAGACGGTCGGAGCCTCCTGGAGCGAGATCCCGGGAAAGCACAATGAATTGGAGGGAGTGGATTGAGTTTGATTCTTCTACGCTGGTCTCGTTTTCCTGGTTCAGAGAATGTTTTTGACTTTTATGCCGCCGGTGGTAATTATCCTATACGGTAGGGTGCAGCATAGCATAGAGCGGCAACTTTAGAGGGCCACGTAGTAAAAAATGAAAATAGAAGGCCACATGTTTTTATTTTTAAAAATAATTCTTTTCTGTTATTTTCAATATACTACGTAGTAATATTTATATTTTATTTATTAAAATTGTTAATTCAATCTATAAATATATATATATAATGTTCAGGTGCGTGTCCATTGTCGATTTTGTTTTGATGTTTAAATTATTAAATAACAACATTTTTATTAAATGTAATAATTTAAATAAAAATATAAAACCCCATGACAATAATAAATAAATGGAGATAATGTCAAATAGTGATTAAAACTTTAATAAATTTATTCGAGTGGATCTGCGATCCGATCCAGTTCAATAAAATAATATCCCCTATAAAAAATAAAGTAATATATAGATATATTAATAATATCTACTAAGAAAAATCCAATGAAAAGGACAAACAGGCAAGACCCCACCTGTATTGAGGGTGGAATTCTTGGGGGCACTGGGAGCCGAACTCCCGGGTAAATTCACATTGGAATAACACAGAACAAGAAGCCGAGAAATACCTAAATATGGATGCAGAATTGCAATTAAGAAAATTTGCAATGTTCAATATACTGTGAATTTATTGAGAAATTCGAGACCCCAATAAAAATGTATAAGTAGAGTACAATGAAAATTTCCTAAATGTGAAGTCTAACCGAGTCGTCGAAACTCATCCTGCCTAAGTATGGTGTCAAAGGAGAGGAGAGGAGAGCTTTCAATGCTTCTTCTTCTTCCCGCTTGCGGATTTGGAAGTGCCGGTGAGGATATGCACAAAAAGAATGACGAGGATAGCCACTGCGGCGTGTTGACTGTACTTCGTGTACAAACTCTGCAATACAGGCGATAAGTATATTTATATATGAACATGGACAAAGCAACCATGGAAAGTTGATGAAATGTTAAGAAGATGTACGGATAAGGAAATAAAAATAATACACTCTATCTACGTATGTTTTCAAAACTGTTTACGTACACTTCATCGCAGAGTTCCTTTGTAAAAAGCATTTACATAGTAAAACTATTTCTCATATAAAATATAATACTTCTTCAATCCGGAATCAATCTATCCGTTCCTCCATTTTGATCTGTCCGAAATCAATATCACTTATTTTAACTTACACTCGAGGATAAAATTGTGCGTTCACCCATCTATTGCACTAAATAAATATAAAATACTAATACTCCAAAATTCAAGTGTAAAAAATAAATGAATACATTTTGATTCCACATGGATAGAGTATTATAAGTTTATTCTCAATTCAAAACATTCATTAAAGCATTATTTTCTATTCGAATTTTTGCTATTCCCAAACCAACCAAACATCCTAAAACATTTCCAAAACGTAAATGCACACACACCAACACATTTTGAAGTTTTCGAAATCATACTCACCAATCAAATCCCAAACCAAAAGTAAATATAACAGAGTAGTTGAAAAATGCATTTTCATGTGTTATAGCATCGGCATTACTAAAGCAGACTCAGTATGAACTAGGTTAGAAGATATTCTCAATAAAAATAAGATTTGCATAGTAGTAAGTAAATATTGAACAATTCGAATCATATGGGCAAATCAAGGTCCCCAATTTGAAAGCAAACGTAACAGAGTACTGAAGCAATGAAATATGACGTAAGGTTATTGAGAGAAAACAAGCCAATACCTTTGCCTGAAGTTATCGTACATGGCAAGATAATTGGATCCACCACCGGGCAACAAGCCAAAAGAAAATTTCAGTTACTATCATGTCGAATACATTGAAAAGCTATGTAGTAGTAAATAAGTGAAAAGAATATTACGATTTCAAGTTTGCTCTTAGCAGCAGCTTCAGCCAAGATTTTCACAGGGAGAATTGGGGTTGAGTAGGATTCCTGGAAGCAAGCAAAAAATAAATAAATCAGGACACTGAATTAAATACATGTGAATGATTTTTGGTAGAACAGAATTTGTATAGAACAACCAAACCTGTAGCTTTGACTTGGTGGGGACTCGAAAAGTGATCAGAGCTGGTGCTCCATAGTAGACAGTTTTCACCTTAGATTCCAACTCAAATGAATGGGACACTTTAGAACCACTGCATTCAAATGGTACATGATATTTCAGCAGACAATGCATCGACAAATCAACTTTAAAATTATGTAGCATTCCAAATTATAGAAGCTTACGAATCAAGCCTTTCCCATGTCATGGATGTGTTCCCGACAACAGAATCAAAAATCTCTTTGTCCCAAGTATCGGTGAGAGTCACATCATAAGCAGTTCTGCAAAGGATCAACAGATAAACGATCAAAACTTTCTAGCCAAATTCTACCGTGTTTAGAGACTAATTTTGCCTGAATTAATCTGTGTGTAAAGTGAAAACCATATCATTCCACAAATGAGGCGTCAATCATAAGATGAATTAGAATTTGAAAAGAAATTAGGGCAAAATTAGGGCTAGAATTTGTTTCTAACTCATAGAAGTGAACGTAAATTGGCTACTTAGTGTAAGACAAATGAATGAATCAATTTACCACAAAGAACGCGATCAGCAACATTTATAATCACCAAACAAACTGAATTGAGCAAAAATCCAAACCGCATCAACTAATGAATTTAATTAGAACACTTGATCGACCAGGAGTGAGCTCAAGAAACACAAACAACAAATCAAACCTCAAAAAAAAAGAAGTAATAAATGGAATCAGCAACAAAATAAAGAAGAAAGAGCGTGTGTATACTCGGATCCGGTGTTGTAAACGTCGATGGAGACAAATAACCGCTCCAGATCCGGTTTAACCTTGCGCTGCGAGACCTGCTTGTGGCCGACGATGAAGGGCGAATTCCCCGACTCTGCAAGCGCTGACGAGCAGACAGCAGCCGCGCAAATTAGGGCGACGATCGTCCAAAGGAAGCTGGTCGCCATTGAATTCGATTGAAGGGTTTCTGCCGAGGTTTTCGAAGTGGGATTTTGTCAGAGATCGAGATTCGAGACACGTACGGACACGGGGTCTTTATATGTGCAAGGAAGGATTTAGAGGGCCAGAATTCAGCCCATATTGTAAAATCTTTGGCCCATTAAGTTAATACTACAATTTTATTTTTTAAAATCTCTATAAAAAGGAAAAACAAGAAAAAAAAATTAATAGCACACTTGTCTAGAAAATATACTATGAAAAATACTGTGACCGTGAGGGTACTTCACTCAACACATGGTTTGACTTTTTTGTAGGTTCGGCCTGAAGTTTACCCAATGCGCGCCCACGTCATTAAAAAAAAAAAAAAAAAAAAAGATTGAAAAATATTTGAAGAATGACTATAATACATTCACAATATATATGTTCATTTGGGCTGAACACATTTTAACGAGCATAATATTATATTAATAGATTTGATAAGACGGAAAAAAAGATCTAACATGAAAGATAAGAGTCTATTTGGATAGCCAACGGATGACGCCCGAAACCCTAATTAGGGTTCTTGGAGAAGCCTAAAGGAAAATGGGATTTAGGCAAGTCATCCTTGGCTACCAAATATGAAAAAGACTCTTTCATCTCCATGCAAGACCTCTCTTCCACAACATTTATCAATGGTATTTGTGTGTGTGTATATACATACATATATAGGTAAGAAGTTGATGAAAAGTAGAAGATACCATTCATACATGCAAAACCTAAATGTCAAATGTTGAATGGAATGAGTGTGAATTATTGAATTGATCAAAAGTTAAATTCCCAGTTGCCCTAAACCCTAGAAGCCTACTAAACAAAACCACATGTGTTCATTTAATATTGCTGTTTTTTCTTTATTATAATTTTTTTTACCCTTTTTACTAAAGTAAATAGCAATATTCATAATAAGTTGACCTTAATGATTAGAACTTGAAATGGACTAATGGACCTATAATTGGTGGACACATATTATTTTATCAAATGCTTTTTTTAGTGAGGAGGGTTGAAAAACACATCATGATTGAAACCAGGTGTCACACAAAAGAATTTCAAAATGGGAATATATATATTGATGTAGAAGGCTTTTTAAGAGCCCTTTTCAATGAGAATCATTCTTGAATTGCAAATATATTCTCACATTTTCTTGGGCACGTGTAGGGCTGTCAAAACATTATTTTAGTATTTTTAAGATCTCTCTCTCTCTATATATATGTATATATATATTCGTATACAATGTGTATAACATTGTATAAACATTATAAGTGGGCCCATATTAAAATGGGCCTACATTGTATATATTATATTATACAGTTTGCTATCACAATCTTGCTTCGATAATGTGTAAACATTTTAATGGGTCCATATATTAAATGGGCCTACATTGTATACACTCTATTAAACACTTCGCTATCACAATCTTGTTTGGATAGTGGTATAAACATTTTAATGGGCCTATTGGGCCTTAAACGCAGAAACCATGTGGGCCAAAATGATCATGCAAAGAACGAAATATATGGGCACAAACTTTTTGTGAACTCAATTGGTAAGTGGCAATCAATCACCAAGAAAATAATAAAAACATGACTTTGATGAATAAGTAGCATCGTCTACGTCAAGTTATGACAGCAGAGGGGATGATCAAATTAAAGTCCCATTCCTACAAACACTGATATCATGTAATTAATCAATTTAGGGTTTTGATGATGTGGTGGATTTTGTAGCAGACACTACAGTGAGAATTAAATAGCACAAAAACCCCACGTAAGAACAACCTACTGCAACTGTGGATCTTCTGCAGAATTTCGGGAAATAATCGCAGATCGCCATCCATCCCGTCTTGTCGTTCCCATACTTCCCCACCATGCCGATCGCCGTCGCCGCCGAACATGCCGATATCAGCAATGCTGCCATAATCTGCAACCAATTCCTTCATCTTCAACAATTCATATATATATATATATTGTGTATCTAATTATCTGTGTGTCGATGTTCTTAGTTCTTACCAAATCATGGAGGAAAAGGCAGAAGTAAACCGCCGGGTGAACGGTTTTCCGGCCGGCGAAGAAAGTGGAGAGCAGGGAGAGGATGGAGAAGACAAATGAGACAATGTTTGCAAGGGCGAAGAACCTGAGAGAAATTTAATTAATTAATTAATTGCAGAGAGGCGCCATGGGAGCAGAAATGTTGGGGAGAAATTGAAAATTGGGGATTAATTGGAGAGCTTACTTGAAGGCAGAAGAATAGTTGTAACGCGCGACTTCCTTGAATCCGATGATGGTGGAGGTCTCTTTGGCGGTGATGATGAGCCAGGCGGCGGCGAGAGTGGCGGCGATAGCGAGAGCTCTGAGGATAATCTGCGCTGCGAAGTAGGGTTTGTGGATTGGGAATCGGGGACTGTCGACGGACCTTTCTTCAGCCATGATACGTGTAGAGAGCGAGACAGAAGGATTTGCAGTGGTCAGTGGCAATCAACAATGGCGGATTGATCGAATATATACAGATATATATATATATATATATATAGAGAGAGAGAGAGAGAGAGAGAGAGAGACAGAGACAGAGAATTAGGGTTTGAGAGAATTGGGCGTGGGCGTGGGCGTAGACGTGGGAAGATAATGGGGAGATGCCGTTGGGAGGACTTAACTTATTGTAACTTCCCACGCCTTAATTTAGTGCCGTGTTTGGATGGTCTAATATTTACTGCACCTGATTTTCTGATTTTGGGCGTAGGTTATATGCTGTAAGGAAAACGGTAACAAACATAGCTTAGAAGAATTAATATCCGCCATTTTTAGATATTTATTATTAACATTTGTAAATAGATAATTTTCTATTTTAGTTCAAGCAATTTACTATTATGGTTTTATTTGTCTGTGTTTGTTGAAGACACTGTCAGTAAAAAAACATTTTTTTTTCACATTTATTACATGTTACTTTTCAGATATTGGTGACATAGGTAAATAAGTACTAATGTTAAAAGGTGTAAAATAAATAACGTGTAAGAATCATTTACTCTAAATAAAAAGTACTATAAACTATCTCCCATAAAAGAGTTGTTGTAGTATTTTTTATTTTTTTTATTGTTATTTTTTACCTGTTAAAAAAAATTATCTTATCTTTTTCATTTGATAAATGTAGATTCTTCCAGCAAAACTATCATACTTTTCTACGACATTTACACAAATTCCATTACAATTATCATTTTAATCATATTTTTTCAACTCCTCGTAAAGTATTGATCATTTATATACTACTTCATATCCACAAAAATATAGTGTATAACATACTAATGATATCATTAAACATATACTTGAAGACACTCTATTCTTACATCAATCTAGCTACTCTAATTATATTATTACAAGAATTGTATTGTAATACATTTGTTAAGGTAAAATAATTATTAAATTTTATATTTAAATAAAAAAATAAATATTAAACAAAATATTTTTTTCGACGGTCAATTTTAATTTTATATAAAGTTTTTTTAAAAAAAAAAAACTAAAATTGACGAAAAAGAGAGTATTTTAGAAAGAAAAGTTATAAATTGAATAATAAATCCTCCGTATTTAAGTAAAGAACAAGCATAAACGGAAGACCAAATTTTATTTTAGAAATGATTCTCAATATATATTTTTTATTCTTTTATATAATACGTTAAATACAGATATAAATTGCTAAAATGTACAAGTTAAATTTAATCAATAAGATAGTGATAATAACTAGGGATACATATATACATACACACGTGTATGTTTATTGTGAGATGTCGAAATACGTAGGATTGGAGGGATAATCGTATTCGACCTGCAGCTGCATCAATATTACATTGCAATAACATCATATTTCGATTTTCATACGCATAAATGTACGTATTTAATACTGTAATAATAATAAAAATACGTATACGTGCAAACGTACCTTGCCCTCATCGGAATCCCAATGCCGTTGAGGGAACACCACCCTCATGTCACTATACAAATGGAATCGCCGCTCACCGCCGCTGCCTCCGCCCGTTTTCCGGTGGTGGTCCGGAGGACAAATAAATCGAAGATGCAGGGCATACCGAAGCCCACGGGAACGGCTCCGGCTACATACGCCGTCGCAAAGAGTCGACTTTTGCCGGAGAAAAGTCTGTCGACATAAATAGTAGATCGTAAGTTCGCGCGATTTCGATCGAATATTAATTAAGGTTATTGTCGATAGGATTTGAACCCCTGACTTTAGTGCCGGCCGGCATATCGCTCAAATTGTAATTACAAAAGAACGTGTGCACCGGAGTTCTCTCCGGATTGCTTAGGACCTGCCGGAGAACGGTGGCCGGTAAACTCGTCATAAAGAGACATATCGAAATGTCCTGTCCGAAAACAGAGTAGTCGAAAGCGACAGTGTGTATACCAATTGCAGCCACGCTTTCATCGGTATTCTTACACGAGCACTCAGTTTCTCGGATTTACGTTCGTTCGACGACAAGCGCGTCGAAAGATCGATAGACGAGTAGTACAGCAAGTAGTTACTCCCGTCGACACTCGTCACAGCGAACGCAAGCTTCTGCGCCCGGGGCAAAAACTTTTCTCCTCCGACGAAGTTCAAGACAGCGAGAAAACCATCGATCTTCTGCAAGAACGATATCGAATGTAAGAGTATCGCACGGTGTAAACGACATAGTATCAAAAATTGTAATCGAGGAAACAAGAAGAACCTTGCCGCCGACCATCGAAGAAGCGAATCGGCCGGACAACAATGACTCTTCGAAAGAACCAATCAACGATCTCCGAACGGATAATCCGCGAAGACTTTGATCATTATTTTGAGATGAACACATCGTCTTCTTCCGTTGCTCGACATCGTCGAACACTCGATGAGACGAGAGAAAGCTCGAGACTTTGCAATCTACACAAGTTCTCGGTCCAAGAGGAGACAGCGAATACGACGGAGAGCTATCCCGACATTGATGGCGACGATTACGATGGTCGAGAAAAGGGCCATCGTAAAAAACGTCGTCTAAATGCGCCTTTTTCCTCTCTTGTGAACCAATGCCGTAACCGATCCGATCGAACACATTAGGCCAATGCTGGTCGCTAAGAGGCGACGGCAACATCGACAACATCCGTCTCCTTACCACCGAACCCGAACTTCTAACATTTCCATCATTAGTGATGCCCTTCGGCTCAAACTCGACAATCCTCGACAAAATACGATTCGTTTCAATCGATTCGATCCTCGGCTTATCCACATTGCCTCGACTACTCATCCAATCACAATCCTCCAGCGATCTTACAATCAATCTCATCGTTTCCATTGATTCGATCCTCGATTCATCCACATTGCCGCAACCACTCATCCAATCACATTCCGCCACACAATCCTCCGGAGCTCTTACAATCAACGGCCTTGCCTTGTCGGAGATCTCTCCCCCGGCAAGCTTGAGGCAAGCCCATGATCGAAATACTTCAAAAATCAACAGCTATTGCATTGTCTATACCCTGCACCGATCTTTCCGGCGATTTAGGCGTCGCCGGAATGCCGGAAAATTCGACAACACAGGCAATGCAACAACAGAGACAACACAGTAATCAACTAATCATAATCCAAACTATCACAACCTCAATCATCATAGGCAATAAAAAATATCCCAAATCTACAAAGAAACCTTGTCGAAATCCAACAGCCACACTCCAAAATCGAATCAAAATCAAACGAGCATTGCTATAGAAAATCGATTATTAAAACAAATGGATGGTAGATTCGATCGAACAGGGGATTAGCAGAAATTGATGTGTCGAGAGAATCTAGATTGAGATTAAACAGCAAATCAAAGCAATGAACCCTAAAAAAAGGGGTGGATTAAACCCAGAAAATGCGAAAACCCATCGCTACTGCATCTTCGATCATTTCAGTGAAATTTTGAATGCAGATAGAGAGATCCTAATTACAGAACAATCAAAGCACATGGATATATATATACATATATGTAGCTTCAAGAATGAATAATTTTCTGTGTGATGAGTTTTAACAGAACGATAAATTTGATGGGCAGTGGGCTTTCAATTTTGATCGTCTTCTTATTCTTCTCCTTCACCCCAAACCCATTAAATATTTGTCTTCCTCCTTTTTATCTTTTCCACCATTTATATATTTTTTAAGTAATGAAAATTTAAAGATACCGAGGGTGCTTTTAATTATCGGATGAGTTTTTGAATTGAAATTTGAGTTGAAGCCCATTAAATTTTATTTATTTATTTATTTTTTAATTGAGGATAAAATTTTATAATATACATAAAAAAAATTAAATTAAAAAAGAAAAAAAATGGTTACATTGACGTGTGGTATTTTTGCATCCTTTCTTGCTCCAATCCAATAACATACACACTTTAGTTTAGTGTTTGTTTTGTAAAAAATTTCTTCTCTCATAGTCATTCATATTCAAGTATTAGAGCATTTTGGGGATTGCTCATAATTTACACTGTTCTTCCATTCTTGTACTAGAATTTAATTAAACTAGCTAGAATGTCAACATTAATTGACACCAACTGTGTGTTTTAGAAATAAGGTCCAATAGAATTTAAAGCAAATTTAAAACAATTTAAGTTGGATCAAATCAGTAACCTAAATTGTAGAAATTAAACTCGGCCTGAGTTATAAATAAAGAAAGAATGCTTTTCAACGGCAGATCAAAATCAGTAACAAATTTAAAATATATATCATTCATAATACTAATAATGCTTACTTGCTTAAATTTGTGCTTCTCCCCCTCTCTCTTTCAGCTCTTTTTACTCATAGATAAAAACAGCATCCTCCAAAACTGCCAATAGGAGGAGACAAGTGTGTGATCCTTTCTTATTTCCTAACTGTAATAACGGGTTATGGCGAAATTACGATCAAGAATCGTTGTTGCTGCTGTCTCATTTTCTGAACTATTTGAGGATGTGAGAACAATTACTATATCGATGTCGATAGGAATGACGACAAGACCTTGTCTTTTGTGTCGTTGTATAGCTCAATTAACTCGACTTGCCACAGGTTCTCTTCGCTGCTCGAACAATGTCTTCAACCTGAAATATTACAATGTAGTTATAGTCTTTTGTTGTTTTTACCATAACATCACCAAACATGTTGTTTCAAATATTTTGTTTTTGAAGCAAACCTGTGGAAAAGCCATTCGCTCGATGTTTGCAGCATATGGTGTCGGGACATCAGTGCCTGCGATTCTCTCAACTGGTGCATCAAGATAGTCGAAGCTCTCTTCAACAACAGAAGCACTGGAAAAGGATTTAGGAAACCATTTAATGTATTACATTAAGAAGGTTTGCAATAAAAGATGGATGAAGCTTTAGGGTGTGAGAGTTGTGTCAAGAAAATAACCAAATCTCTGCGCCGACGCCGTGTTGAGGGAATCCTTCTTCGACAGTCACAAGCCTGCTGGTTTTCCTAACAGAATCATTTATTGTAGCTCTGTCGAGAGGGCGAATGGATCGGAGATTGATCACCTGAATAAACAAGTATTGCAGCCTACAATTGTAAGATCATAGGACTCATGAATATATGTAATGTCATAAGTTTTATAGAGTTAATTACCTCAGCAGAAATCCCTTCTTCTGCAAGAGTTTCAGCAGCCTATAAAAGTATTATATCAATCTCGGAAAAGCAAACTCAAATAATCAAATTGTTGCTATAACTCGTCTAGAGTCGAACTAAAGGATACGAAATTAGGAATTTAAAATATATAAGATCTCATATTTGAATCCATGAACTTCAATTCACTCTAAAAACATAAGACATACCTTGAGAGCAAAGCCAACCATCTTTGAGAAGGCAGTGATGGTTACATCGTTTCCTTGGCGCTCAATCTGGAGATTGTTGCAGCAACAGAGTTTTTTAAGGCGTAGGTCGCGAGGATAATATTATATATTGTTTGAAGGAATGGAATACCTTAGCTTTCCCAATGGGAATAACAAAGTTGGAATCAAGTGCTTCTGCTGAGACAGGAAATGATTCTCCATACCTTAAAAATGAAAAGTTGAAGTCACAGGATGGCCTAGGGTAGATTAAAAACTGCTATATATTGACCAATACCATGTCCAAAGATTGAGTATTATGCATAAAAAAAAAAGAAAGAAAAATTGTTAATTCTACTTACAGAAGTTCATTTTCAAGGAAGACAACCGGATCTGGATCCCTTATAGCGGCTTTAAGCAGTCCACGGGCATCTTCTGAAGAGTATGGAACCAGTACCTTTAATCCTGGGATTGCACTATACCATGCCGCAAAGCACTGAAAAGGATAAAAACTTAGTTTACAGATAGAAAAATATAGGCATGCAAAAGCAACCATTAATCTGTTTTGAATATTGGAACACTATATTATATGTAATTAACGATGTATTGTTAGATGGCATGGTCATTTAATAAGATTTCTATGAGATAATTGAAATCTCAACATTATAACAAGTATATGCTTTACGAGTTCTTTCTTACAAAACCAATCATTAGAAAAATTATTTATTAGTTTACCACAAGCTCCCCCAAAAGACACTAAATTTGTCATACAAAGTCACAAAAGCCAACTACCTTTCTCTAAACCTGATTAAAGAAGTTGTGTTCATATACTAACTTATTGAGTTTATACATAACTACAGAGTACAATCCAATTGTTAGGAGCTTGATGAAATGGTTTTGATTTGAGAAATTTCACGGGCTTTAGCAAGGTGAAATGTGAGACATTTGGGATGGTAGACTTTGTACATATATCCCTTAGAATGGCCTAAAGAGATAGTAGTAGTTAAGTATGTACCTGTGAATGCTGTGCGCCAACACCAGCAGCTGCACCATTAGGGCCTCTGAACACAATGGGCACTTGTATCTGACCAGCGGACATGTAATATGATTTTGCTGCAGAATTAATAATGTGGTCGATCGCCTGAAAAAGATGCATAAGTTAACCTCACAGCTATACATATAAAGCACTTCTTCATGACCACAAATGAAATAGGAAACATGAATACATCCACAATGACAGCAGAAGAAATATTGGTATCGATAAAAGAAGTCTAACCTGCATCGAGAAGTTCATAGTCATAAACTCTACTACAGGCTTTAGACCATGATAAGCTGCACCGACTCCAATTCCAGCAAATCCAGCCTAGTTCATCATTATTACATAGTTGAGTCTCGAATCTCAATTCCAAGCAACAATTTGAATAAAGCATGACGCCTACCTCAGTGATAGGTGTGTCAAGAACCCTCTCCGGACCATATTTCTTTAGAAGTCCTTTGGTGATCTACTACAAAATGCAATCAGTTAAAACTTGCTGTAATACAGAGACTTCAATGAAAGCAGGGAAAGAAGAAAACGTTTAGCCGATCTCGAACTCACCTTATATGCACCCTGGTACTCACCAACCTGCATACAAACACCAAAAGATTTCGAAAACCATCTAGGATTGTAACAAAGAACACCAAAAACATAGGAATGACCAATTAATACTTCCAAGATACCTCTTCACCCATTATGAAAACATTAGGATCAGCAGACAATTCTTCATCCATTGCTGAATTCAAAGCATCACGAACAGTCATCTGAAACAAATCGTGATGCATGAATAACACTCACTGTTACCGAATGATGCTATACAGAGAATCTCTTATAAATGCATTTGAGCTAAACAGAAGAACACAACCAGTTTATATAGCTAGCGATTGATTTCTACATTTGGTATAAATTGGAATTTATTGAACAACGGAAACACTAGCGATTTCAAAACATGTGAATCATTCAAACAGCTTTCTGTTTTTTATTAGAAACACATTACCAAAAAGTAATTGTATTCTCATTATTACCTCCCGAGCAGATGAAGACGATGCTCTCAACGCAATCTCCGGAATTCTTCGAACCAATTTCTTTCAATAGAAAAACATTTAAAAATTAAAAACGATTAAATCAAAAACGGCAGCAACCAAATTAAATCCATAAACTCAAGGAACAGAATGAGAATAAATAAATGTGTAATCAAAATCTAGAAATCGTTCTTTTACCGAAGCACAATTGCGTCCGCAGGTTGCCTTTTGCCTCACAATTCCAAACATTTTGCGCTAGCCTCTCCAAAAGTCCCTGATTAACGCATTAAACACAAAAGATCACACGTAAACCAGCACCATGCACAGGAAAATGGAAGTAGAAACCACATAATTCAGAATGCCAATCGCATAAACAAATGAAAGAAACAAAAAAAAGTTGAATCGAGATCAAACCTGGTTAGAAGATGGAATCGAGATCGTCAGAACAGAAACGTATCTTTGATCTCTCAGGCTCTATCCCTTTTTTCAGGTGGTTGTTACTGAAGAGCTTCTGAACAGACACATCACACATGTTATATATATATATACACACGCACTATATAATATAATGTAACTCTAGTTTTAAATTAAAGAGAGATCGGATCAGCCTAAATGGGCCCATTTCTAAAGGCCCAATTCCAACTATTTCACTAACTCATCTCAAAACTTCAGCTGGAAAGGCCCAAATTGAAATTATTATATAATTTTGTACAATTACTATATAAAAATTCCAAATCATTAATTATAATCTCTCCTTACATATAAAATATCTATGATTTTTTTATCTTCGTCAGTCTACCTAATTTAATCATTTCTTTTATAATTTATAATTTATTAATTTAATTAAATTATTTAGCTATTTTAGTTTTAATCTATTATTATTTATATTATATAATAGTTTTTTATTTACTAATATAATTTTAAATTATTTATTAATTATATTTATTCTAAATTTTTGTATTAATATATAATACATTCGTCCGGTTCTAATGGTCTCATTTATTTTTTTTTATTGATATTTGAATATTAATTATTATATCAAAACGTAGTACAAATTAAGAAAAAATTATAAAAATATTTTTATTGGTGTCTTTGTAATACTAATAGAATGACATTTATACACAAAGTTATATAAATATAAAGATATTTTTTATATTAAGCACAATAAAATTAAAAAATATATATATATCTCCACGTGACCCTTACCGGAATGAGGAAATACAATTTTAGTAGGACATAGGAGTAATGGGGACGTTCAATCAATGAAGATGGAGACAAATTCTACATTGATCTGTTTCCTTTTGCGCATGATGATGTCATCCTTAATGTTGTCATATGTATTATTCGATTATTTTTTATTATTATTATTTAATTGAAGAGGTATCACATTCGTTCTTATCAATATAAAACCGAGCCACGTAAAAAGTTTTCGATCAAGGGATAATTTATAAGTCCAAAATTTAAAAATAAATTTATATTGTAATATTATCAAAATATTCGAGAACGCATTGAAGTGCATTTGTTTTGGGGGTTTGGTTTTAGTTATTGAATTTTAATTAATAAAATTTTAAAATTAAGTATTTATTTAATATAATATAAATAGAGGCTGATATAAAATATTGAATGTAAATATATAATATAAATAGAGATCGATATAAATTTTGAATGTAAAAGATAAACATAAATATTGTGGGAACGAAATATATTCTATATTGGTCTATTTATTAGTATTTTTTTAATATCAAATAATACTTTATTGTTGACTTTTATATACTTATTATAGATGTCTTTGTTTGGGAGAGTTTGTCTGTTTGTTTGGGCGATTGGATTAGATTTTTACTATTCATCCCATTTTTTTCCCTAAAAATATCAAATCAAATACATATTTTTTATTTTTTATATTACACTAAAAATCAATTTTACATTCAAAACATCACATCAACGCCTATTTATATCACATCATACAACTATTCAAATTCAAAATTTTTACTATTCAAATCCCAACTTAAAATTCAAACCCCCAAACAAACACACTTAGGCCTATTATCTCTTCAAAAAAAAAATTGTTCTGAAAAAATCAAATAAAAATTTGTTTTTATTTTTTTTATATTATACTCCCTCCATCCAGCTAGAAAGTATAATATTTCTATTTTGGGACGTTCAATTACAAAGTAAATATTTCGTTAAAAACACTATTTTTTTTTCATAAATACCCTTACTTTGGATCACATCGTTACTTTTAGACAAAAATAAGTAAGGGCAAAAATATCTTTACATTACTTTTAACTACTTACTATAATTAAAATAATATTATTTTTTAAACACTGCACCAAAAGTAAATGTATACATTGTAAGTGGACGGAGGAATATTAAATATATTACGTGTTTATATTACATCAAACAATTATTTTAATTTAAAATTTTATTATCCAAAATTCAAATTTAAAATCAAAATCCCAAACAACACACCATATTTTTTAAGTATCAAATTCTTTTATTTTTGTCGCATTCTATTTTTTTTTTTCTTTGTTATATTTCCTACCTTTTTATTAAATAAAAGTATCATATTCTCTATTTTCAATCAAGGAAGATGTTGAATTGCATTACAATTCATTCAAGTTTGATGGTTTTTATGAATTTTAATAATGCATTCCTAAAAGTAAATTACCTAATCACTATTACACTCCTCCTTGGAAGAAATGCTTAAAATCTTAAGTGTGTATTTGGTTTTTAATTTTTTTTTATTTTTTTTTAAAAAACCAGTATTTAATTCCTACTTTTTTTTTTTGTTTATAAAAATTAAATATTACTCTCACTGTCATGTCATCTAATTGTATACTCATTTGATCGAACACAAATTTAAAAAAAATAGATAAAAATATTTTCTTTTTTACTTTTGTAGGTAAAGAAAAAGTTGAAAAATAATACTTTTTTACTAAAAATGAAAGTGATGATAGATTTTAATGAGAGGAGTATTATTTTTTTTTATATAAAATATTATATCAAAATACTACTAAAAAATTCAAATTTAGCACTTTATTTCAAATTACAACGAAATCAGATCTTTTATTATACTACTCTCTCCGTCATTTAAAATATATAATTATTGTTATTTTACTTTTTTGTTTCTTTGCTATTTATAGTAAATTAGTACAAAAAGTGATGTATTTTTTTTGTTTAAAAATAAAATGACTTTTATATATATATAACTAGGGTTTGTTTGTCTAGGGATTTGAATAGTAAAAATTTTGAATTGGAATAGTTGTATAATGTGATATAAATATTTTGGATGTAAAATTTATTTTTAGTATTATATAAAAAAATAAAAAATAAAAATTTAATTTAATATTTTTGAAGAAAAAATTGATAAATAGTAAAAATTTTGGAGAATCCTTCGAATAAACACCCCCTAAAAAAAAAAAAAAAAAATCTCAAAATTTAAAACTAAAAGAATCTCCATCTAATCAAAGCATGAGAAGTGTCCCATATACCAAATATTCCAAATTCCAACATGTATAAATTGAGGACATAGGTGATACATATCCTTACCAGCAACAACAAAGTTAACAAACAAACAACAATCTAGAACCTCGTATCTACAGAAATGGCTAACAAGTACTCGTGGGCTGTCCTCTCTCTGCTGCTTCTTGCAGCTTCTGGTATAAAAATTCATCACACATCTCTATATACATATATATTCATCGTATTTATATTCATGTTCGTTTCGTATTTGTATTTATATTTTGTATCTGTCTGCAGTGGCAATAGTGGAAAAAGTCGAGGGCACGCAATGCTCGAGTATTTCGTGTAGGAGTTCTTACAATTGCCACATCCAGGGGTGCGGCGCGTGCATGGGTCGACCCGGCCGATGCACTGACAAGGGAGCTTCGGCTACCGACGAGGAAGATGTCTCCGGGAAGACTTGTCTTGCTGCCATGACCACGCTCTCGTCGCTTGTCTGAAAAAATATACGAATCCTACTTCGACGATGAATATTAATATGGAATCATGCGCGTATGTGGGTTTATCGATTAGAGTTTGTATTATGTTATTAGAAGAATAAATCTCGACTAGTGTCTTAGAAGGTTCGAGGAGATGTATTATAACCTACGTTGTTGTAAGCATCTTTTGTACGTGTCCTTTGTTGAATAATTATTAACCGAGTATTTAAGATATGTACGTGTGTTGTTTGCTTTACATAGCGTACTTATGAGAAGAGTTTATTACAGTTGAATTAAACTTTAGGAATCGAACGAACAAATAAAGAACATCATACTAGAAATATAATGCACATATTTAAACAGTTCAATACAAAATATTATTTTTTTATATTATTTATATATTTTTTTTTTGTGTGGATTGAATTTTAAATACTATTCATCCAATTTTTTATTAAAAAAATATCAAATCAAACACCTATTTTTCATTTTTAGAAGTATTATATTAAAAATCAATTTTACATTCAAAATATTACATCTGTTATTGAGGATGTTAAACACTTAATTGGGCCCATTTAGGTTGGCCCAATGTAAGCCTAACTAAGCCCAAAAGGGTTTGCAGTTAATCGGTGAGGGGTTTTGATAGGGTTCTTGATTTGCTTGTAAAATCGAAACATTTCCCTCTAATTACGAAGAGCTCTCTCGTCTTGAATGGATCCGTCAGCGTTCAACTCCGCTGAATTGCAGCAATTTCTCAATGTAAGTGATATGCAGTTCTTGGGTTTGTACTTTTTTGTGCTGGTATTTCTGACTTAGTTCACTTTCAATTCTTCGATTTTGTGTTTGGATTCATTGTTGGGAAGTGGATACTGATACTTGATTCGAGGCTTCTTTTTATGTTTTCCGATGAAATTGAGATTTACATCGTGTGAAGCAAAACTGATCCTAGGAAGATTTCCTTTGTCGATGTCGTTGAGTTTGGTTTAGGAATTTGCGCGGTGCAATGTGCCTTATTTACCCACTTTTTAGCAGGTGTTGTAACTGTTGGTTTGTTTGTTCGATTAATTGTATTTCAAAGCTGTAGTTTGAGTTTGCTCATTGAATTTGCCTCTGTTGAAATGAATGGTTGAATTGATGAAGACACTAGAGGACCTTTAGGTCAACAAACTTGTGGATTTAGCTTGAAATTGATTGATTGCATGCTTAGTCTTAGTTTGTTTGAGCAAATCATATGGAAAACCCTAAAGATCAGTTTATACACACACTCTTATATATATATATATATATATATTTATGTAGATAGATTGATAGATATATTAGCATGCTTGCAATCCACTTGTTGTGCATTGAATCTTTGCAAGATGTGAATCCTGTTGAAAACTTCAACCTTTCAAATTTTTGTATGTATATATATCACCCAATCTTGTATATATTTCCCATAATTTTAAGTAGTTTCTGTTAAAACTCTGTACTATTTTGTTTCTATGATAGCATACATTTCATGTCTACTATGTATAACTTCTCTACGAACAAATTTCGCCTGTTTAAAGTGCTACGCCTCATTGTACAATTAAATAATTTTTGCTGTCTTTTAAGGTTGATGATATATGGTTTATTGGTGCCAAATTGGTTGAATTGCTGAAAATCTTTCGAACCCTATCTTTCGAACTCTCTCCACCGTATGCGTTCTTAATCTATAGCTCAAAATTTCAAATCTCTGTAAAGATTCTTGTTTCGACCTCACAATACTCTTCACATATATGTAGATGTGGATAGTTTAATCCGAGAGGCTATTCTTCTTCTCTAATTGATACAAGTTTACAAATTCTTAATTCTCTACGTACATACCTTTAACCAGCAAGAGAAACAAAAGGCTATGGTGAACGAACTGCTCGGAAAGATTACATCTTCGTGTTGGGACAAATGCATCACCGGAACACCTGGCAGCAAGTTTAGTTCCAGCGAAACTTCTTGTCTTACCAACTGCGCCCAACGCTACATGGATATGTCGCATCTTGTCATGAAACGCCTCCAGCAATAAACCTGGCCTAGATTTCTTTCCCCTCTCGGGTATGCCGAGTGGTGATTTACTCTTACTGATAATCCCAGTAGTGTCTTTATTGCAATGATCGAAATAATAGCCCAAAACTGAATTATATATATATATATTCACACATTTGCAGTACATGGCATTTCTGTTGTAGATTCTTTAATCTCCCTTATCTTTTGCTTTACATTTATCAATTGCTATTGCAAATTTTCATACGAACTTTCGCCGTTGGTTAGCGAATGTCTATCAGATCCCATCGAAAGAGCTCTATCCGCAGAATCAGCCCATAGCGCTTTCGGTAGCTCCCGTTTCCCGTTATCCAGGTACGCGCTGCCAAAGCTTGTATTGAGTGATTGCGATCTAATCGTGGGCTTTTTCTGCACTTTTGCGCGGAACTTGTTCTTTGATGCAGGTATGCTGCTGCAGAATACTTCCACGAAGTTCCCGATTACGCCTTTGTTGTAAGGATTCTCACTTCTGCTGTATTGATACCTGAAATTCTCGTACGTTGTCTGCAATGCAGATAAAGGAAAAGATTAGCTGTTGATCTGGATCGACGAAGGTTTCGTTTTTCAGATCGACTTGCCTGGTTTGTGCTTATGAGGTAGAGATGGAAGATCGAGAGCCCGCCCACAAACCAGAGCGCTAGAAAGGTGTAAATGATGAGCGCGATGGAGGCTGGCGTTCGAACCATGGCTTTCCATATCGTCGTCTTTTCGCCGTCCATTATCCTCTTGATGTAAACCCAGCAGAATCCATGGACGTACAGGCAGAGCAGCGTCGCCGAGAAGACGAACATGAAGAAGAATCGGTAGTTCCTCTGCATTCCATGTCAAGACACGATTATTGGATTATTCGACCGTGTTTCTTGATCGTTAACAATGGAAGGTCTTACCATTCCGATGCATTGCCCAACCCATGGGCAGTGATGGTCGAATCGCTCGACGCAGTTATCGCAAATCGAGCAATGCGAGCACCTCGGCGGCCTGTACAGCATGCAAGTGTTGCAGTACTTTACTTTGACACTTATCCCGTTGACGACGACTTCCTTCGTCCGTGGAAAGTATGGCGGCGGCGGCGCTTGCCCGGCAAGTGCCGCCGCGCCCAATTCCATGCTGTTTTCGTAACTTTCCGGCTCCGGAGGATGATCGTTGCGGGGAATGATCCCGGGATCCCTTCCGGAAGTCAGTAGAAGCATCAGCAGCACCTGGATATCGAGAAAAAGCTCAATTACGATTATGACAAGTCAATCAACAAGATCAAGATGAAGATAATACGTACGTAGAGTGTGAAGACGACAGAAACTACGAGGATCGAAATCCCCCAATTGCCTGAGAAATCATCCATCAATTTTCTTGCAACGAAGACACAGAATACTGCAACGGGAGCAACTATGAGGGATATTGTGAAGAACACTGATCCTATATCAGGCCCGAATATGAATCTCCCACCAAAACAGAATTTCTGCAACCAAACATACGAATCGTTAATTGAAATCCAAAAACCCTAATTCGATTGTTAAAAAATAAAACCCTAAATCTCAGATTGAATTGAATTGATTTGATTTGATTTGATTTTGCAGGTAAGAGGAAAAGAAAAGGATTTCTGGATGTACGGACGTTGCTGCCTTCCCAGGCCCGATAGGTCGGGATCATCTCGGCCTCCGCCTCCGGCGGCGCCACAGCTTCCATTGCACTCCCGTGAGGAAATTAGTTGCGAACTAATTAATTAATTAATTTTAGTTGTTGGAGAAGGAACGTGTTTTCTTTCTCTTTCTTCTCTGTGTAAGTGAAGAAAGAGAAGAAGATTAAAAATTTGGGAAAGTCAGATTAGGGCAACTGGGATGGGATGTATACTGCCATTTTTATTATTATTATTTTTTGTAGAGTGCCAATTGTATACAGATTACGTGTCTCACCTTTGACTTTTGACCTGGATTAAATTAAGGATGTTCGTCGTTGATCGGAGCTTGACAGAAAAGCTGTACTTGAGTTTAGTTGTTGCAGACATGGCTGAGTTGTAACTAACTGGTAAGAAGAAGATGGAGAAATCAGTTGGTTGATTGATTGATTGATGTAATTATTTATTGGAGATGAATTTCGCGACTGCAAATGCAAATGCAGATGATGACGATGACGATGACTTATGCTTACCTGTCTGTTTTTATTAAAAGGTCAACAATGGAGGGTCTGCATTTTTATTTTATTTATTACTATTATTTTTTTCTGTTTAATTCTGCTGTTGTGTTTCGCTGAACTACCTAAGATTTGTTTAGTTATTTATACAATTTCAAAATTGTTGGAGTCCAAAATTGTTTATATTATAAATATGTGTTCTTTTTATATACATGCTATATGAACACTAAATTGATTCATTGAAACATCAACTCATTTTTCTTTTATACATAACACATTATATTTAAAATATTTTAAATTAATGAAGTTATGGAATATTAAACATATTTTTTTAAATGAAAACCACTTTCTAAGTAAGAACAATATAATTTAAAGTCAATTTGCAAACAAAATCATGTTCGGTAGTGATATTTAATTTATCAAACGACAACATAAAGGTGGGCCAAACTTATTGGGCTTTTGCATCGTTGGACTAAGTATAAAAAGGCCCAACTTAATTTGGGCTAAGCTCTTTTTACAATGTTAAGAAAAAGAAAATCAGACAATAAAAGGTCCCACCGGGAGTCGAACCCAGGTCGCTGGATTCAAAGTCCAGAGTGCTAACCACTACACCATGGAACCCTTAATAATCTTCTTGTTTTTATTTACATATTTAATATATTTTTACTTTTGACATTTTTAAAATTTAAATATTCATTGGATGCTATAATTCTTTAGAAAATTAATAGAATTATTTAAATTGACTTATATTCATTGTATTTTTTCCATTCAACTTTTAAAATAAATCTACATATATTATTCATTCCTCATTACTTGCAAATTGACTTATTACAAATTTGAAAGTGTAAACTTTGGTTACTACCTTATTTTTTAATTGATAATTTTAGCTTTGATTTACTTTATTATTAATCAATCAGATCATTACTATTAACTAATTAATCGTTAATGGGGTGGGTGAAAAAATGAGCTATTTAACTAGTACACACCCTTCATAATTAATTATTTTTTGTTGCAAATTTATACAAAATAATTAAATAATGATCAAAACTATTGATTCTTAATTATATTGGCAACTTAAAATAATTTTATTTTAAGGGGAATGAAAGTTTTAGCCATTTAAAATTTTTACTAATGCTCCATGGCATTATTAAAAAATATATAGATGTATTAGTTTAATGTAAAGGGGCTTTAATTACCATCTTAAATAAAACAATCTTCAGATTTGATCATTAATTAATTGTCCCAAAATATCTTCAAGGGGGCATACAAATATTGACCTATTGTCGTTACTTCAAAGTTGTTTTTACTTTGATTTTGTGCTTGTATTTTAATTTTTTATTTAATTAGTGATTGAATATAACTTTTATTAATAAGAGAAAATTGTTTGTTGAAAGGGAATAAAATTTAAATTAAAAATTAAATAGCTTCCAGCAAATCAGTTATTTTATTTTATTTTATTTTTTTAAAAAAAAAAAAAAAACAAGAGAAACTTAAAAATGTATAGGTATATATGTTTATATAAAATACTATATATTTTAAATTTAGAATATAAAAAAAATTATGTACATTAAAATAAAAATAAAATAAATTGAAAATCACCAGGAACAAATAATAATATCTTTGACAATAAATTAGCATTATATTGCACCCATGGTTGAATGATTATTAGAAACGCACTAATTTTAAATAAATATTATATATATATTGTATACATAGCAATATATATATATATATATATAAAATCATTTAAATTATATGCATGTGACACCCCTATAGTTAAAAATAATATATTTTTAAAATTTAAGTACTTTTAATAAACTCTAGCAAAAAAATCAATAGTACATTATATTTCTAAAATATTTATAATTTTTTTTTTCATCCGTCAAAATTGTATTATTATTCTTTCTTTTGCACGTATGTTAAATTTATACATCATTCATTTATAGTAAGTAATTTTATTTCTTCACAATTTTATTATTTTTACTATAACACATTATATTAAAGATGTCTTTACCTTACCCAATTACTTTTTTTTTTTTTAATAATTTAATAATTTTATAATATATATTTATTTTAATATCAAAATATCATTATTTATTAATCTCTATATATACTCAAACTCAAATAATTTTATGAATGGAAAAAGTACTATACATATAATAATTTTGTAGTACGAATATCATGCTGAAATTGTAAAAATAAATAAAATTAAAGTTAATCACAACCGTTAATCTCATTTAGTATTAGTTAATAGAAGACTAAAAATGTAATTTTTATCCATTTAATAATGAGATTCAACAATGCTGAATTAAATTATAATATCAGCACATTATCCTTAGCCATAATTTTATTGGTATGTCAGTGACATATTACATTTATAGAAATATTTACAATTATGTTGGCAATGATTAAATTCCCACTATTTAAATGTGAAAAATAACTTAAGCGTTGGACTAATTTTCATTTCAATTTCAAACTTAAATTTATAGGACAAAGCTAATTAGTGGGGTGAGCAAAAAGTTGGAATTTAATAAACTGTTAGATTAAATTAATTAAAATTTGTTGATTCTGTCTGAACTATTTACTTTTTAATTCACACTACATTTGTTCCAATTTATTTACTAATTAATTTTTTGCTTTGAATTATTTTTTTGATGGTATAATTTTAATACTCCTCCGTCCCAAATACCGCTACTGTAGGCACAGTAGTTTAGAAAATGTGTAATTAGTAGATAATTAAGAATGTATTAGTGAAAATAATTATTCTATAATATAAATAATTATAAATTAAGATTAAGATAACTAATTAGTTTAATTAAAATTTTAAAAAAATAAAATTAAAAAATTTAACATGAAATTAAAGTGTGTAATCATTTTCCAAAAAAAGAAAGTGACATGGTATGTGGGACGAACAGAAACGGCAATATGGACATGGTATCTGAGACGACGGAGGGAGTAATTTTTTTATTTTTTAAAACTATTTTCTATTTTTTGTGATTATTTTATAAACTGCACCAAATTCTGCCTACCCTAAAAAGCAATGAAAACAAATATTTAAGCACTAATCATATAAAGTTAGATCCTCTTTATTCACTAATTTTTTATTTAAAACATACTTATTTTTAATAATATTTAAATTTAATTTTCGTTCCAAATATTATACATCAAATATTTATATCCACTCATCAATTTAAATTTTTTTATTATTGAACATTGTACATCCGAGGTGCCACGTGTCGATAAAGTAAAGAGTTTTCAGGTTTATTAAAACCTGAAAAGTGAGCCGAAAAATAAAGGTAAAAAAAAATCATTATAAAAGATAATGCGCTATATCACTTGCTTACGTCATCCAATCACCAATTCCTACATTTCTGCAAAAGTTTTTTTTTTTTTTTAATTATTATTTTTAAGGCAACTGGCAACAGATCGAATTTTTCTTTTTATTTTTACAAAATCTTCTCGTTGATTAAATTTTTAAAATCAATTAATTAATTATTAGATGCATTATTATATGAGAAGAAATATGTTGAATTATGCAGACAAATTTTGATTAATACAAATAATGTTATTGAATCACAGGGGAAAAAAAATGATAAAAAAACATATAAAAAATGTATTAAGAAATACTGAATTAAAAAAAAAAAAAGCACAGAATTATATATTTCAATTTTCTACACGTTCTTGCTACTATTGAATGATTATTTAAATTAAATTAAATTACAAACCATTGTAATTGTGTGAAATGATTGGGAGCAAGATTTGGCAACACCACTGAACTAAATTAAATTAAATTAAATTAATTAAGTTTACAGTTGCTTTTTGGAATGTAACAGGAATTAAATATTTACTAATAGCAATAATAATCACTTAATTTAAGACCAATTAGAAATAATCTAAATGCCTTTTTTTAAATTTTCAAGATTAAAAAATGCACTTTTAATTTGTGTGGGAAATGCAATGCATTTTGCAATCAACATGGAATGGAACACTTGTAAAGTTGTACCCAAAAAAAGTAACTATAAATATACATTAATACTATAAGATAATAATTTTTAAAAATTGATTGATAATTATCTGGAAGAAGCAAAAGAACAGATATCAATTGATAGATCACTATCACAAAAGCTTACCTCAAAAAAAAAAAAAAAAAAAAAATATTCATCAATCATTAATTTGTTGCACTAAAACTTGTACGAATATAAAACATGTTTTTTTTAAAAAAAAAATCGAAGATATATTTATTTAAAAAATATAATAAATTAATCTCAATCGACTCCCTCGATTTGAATAGTCAAGAACGCCCTTGGACGGTGGCCATTCAATATAAGGTCATATTTAAATTGTTTAGAGTCGCGAATTAATTAATTAATTAATCATATCTAGACCCGAATTATTTTTTTTTATTTTAAAAATTTATGATGACATTGCAAGAAAATTTATAAGAAACTTGGCTTAACAAAATTCTCTCTTTATGCATTGCATAAATGAATGCATGATTAAGGATGAACCCAATTTGATCACTTCATTTGTGGCACTAATAGTACACGTGGACCAATAAAATTAATGGGTTCATTCCTTATTTCCCAATATTCATACATTAATTAGTTTTCACAAATAAATATATTTAATTTTAAAAAACTAATAAAGGAACGATTGTGAATCAATAATCAATCAGTAGTGATTAGGGGTTTTCGTTTTGGAAGAGAATTAATCAAAAACATGACATAAACCACCCACAAAAGATAACCCAATACAAAACTATATATATATATACTTAATTATGTAAATATCTTTATTAATGTTAATTAATTAATTAATTAATTAAAATGTACATCCATGGCCAATAATATATACCCAACAAAAAATTACACACATATAATTGACCAAACATGCATGTCCCAATTGGCGCGAAACAATTGGCCGTCGACCATCGGACGAGAGAAAGAAATTCAATTCCCCCACACAAAAGAATATTATTAAGATAATTTAATTTAATTCATTCCAATTTGTGAAATTATTATTCATCCATGATTTCAAAAATAAAAGTATGTGGCTCATGATATATTAACTCTAAAAATAAATAAATAAATAATAATAATAATAATAATGTATGTACACATTATCTCCACACACACTAAAAGTTGCTTTAATCTAATTTTACTTTGATAAGATTTATCACTTACACCCTTAATGTCATCACTTTAATTTATTTTTATTTTTAAATAAAATAATTTTTTTTGTGAATAATAATGTTGTCCAAATTCACAATTGTCTCCACAAGTGTCCAAACTCTCGAGTGCATATAAATACCCACCATTGGCATTCATCATTTCTCACACAATACAAAGTTTTTATTTTAATTTCCTCAATTCCCAAGCCCCCAAAACCAATATTTACATATTTATATATTTAAAACATTTGAATAATTTAAATTAAATATGGCTATAGCCTTCTCTGGTCATCACTTGGCTTTTGTCTTTGGGTTACTTGGTAAGTGAAATTTAAAAAACCCTAATCCTCAAAACCCTAATTTTATATACTATCTTCCTATTCCTTTCATTCGAGTTTTTTAAGGTTGTTTTCTTGTATTCTTATAGGGAATATCGTCTCTTTCATGGTGTACTTGGCTCCAATGTAAGGAAATTTTAATTCATGCATGGCGTCGTACCCTTCGTTTCGAAGTATATTTTCATCGATTACATATTGATCGATATTATTAAAAACTATGCAGACCGACATTTTACCAAATCTACAAGAAGAAGACGAGCGAGGGGTTTCAAGCCGTGCCCTATGTGGTTGCTATGTTTAGCGCCGTGCTTTGGATATACTATGCGATCCTCAAAACTAACACCACTCTTCTCATCACCATAAACTCCGCGGGATGCCTCATCGAGACAATTTACATCGTATTCTTCATTGTCTACGCGACCAAGAAGGCTAGGGTACGTACAAAACCCTAGAATATATGTATGTGTGTGTGCTTTTTTGAAAAAAAAAAAAAAAATTTATCTAATTTTTTACCATTTTGACTCAATATTTTTTTTAAAAGGAATATTTTTTTTATTACAGAATATCATATCAAATATTACAATTAACTTTTATAATCAAATCAGATTGAAAAAAGAATTACACCTATACGAGAGCTTTTTATCTTATTCTATAGCTTCCACGAATCTTGTAATAATCAATGCATATTTCAGGTTCAGACAGTGAAACTTATTGCACTACTCGTGGTTTGCGGGATGGGGTTCGTAGGACTTACTCAATCCGTCGTGCATGTTTCATATCGCGTCAAAGTTGTCGGGTGGATTTGCTTGATTTTCTCCTTGTGTGTTTTCATTGCTCCCTTATGCATTGTGGTAAGCCTCGATATATATACACACATATACATATACACATGCTTTAACGAACATGCATGGAGAATATTTTTTCTGACATATATTTTACATTATTTTATCAGAAACACGTTATAAAGACCAAGAGCGTCGAACACATGCCTTTTCTATTGTCATTGTTCCTTTCACTAAGCGCAGTTATGTGGTTTTTCTATGGATTATTGCTCAAAGATTTTAACATCGCGGTGAGTGCTCATATTATAACTTTCAATATATATATATATATGTATGTATATTTGTTATTCGAATTCATAATCATGTTTGAATTATCTATTAACATTTTTTTTTATATATTTAGATTCCAAATGTATTAGGGTTCACCTTTGGCGTGCTTCAAATGATCCTCTATAAAATGTACAAAAACACTACCAATATCGACGAACAAAAGCTTCCGGTGGATCAATTGCCAAAGCAAATCATTTTCTTAGAGGATCGTGAAAAAATCCCCGAATTCACCGAGCAAATCATAGACATTGTCAAATTAAGCTCGGTTGTGCCTTCGCCGGAGAAAATTGCAATGAAGAACAATGGTCTCGAAGCAACCCTACACCAGAATTTTCCGATCGAAGCTAAAGCTTAACTTCAAGGGCATTTTTTTTTTCTGTTTGGAATAAATGGAGGGATGTAACCTAATTATTGTAGTATGATAATTTTATTTTTAAGAAAATATTAATCCTCATGAAAGCCCTAGTTTTAGTATTATTTTTTTCTTACTATAATTGTCTAATTTAGGGTGGTGAGCTATGTATGTATTTTAATTTTTATTTTTCAATAAAATAAAGTGGATGGTTTTTGCCCTACATTTTCTTTATTACTTTAACTTTGTATCTTTGATGATGTAATGCAACTATTTTATAGTACAAATCGAATAATTGAATTGTGATGTTTATCTGCAATATATATGTATATATATAATTCTACTATTTATCCTACGTCTCTGTGAAATTATTCTGAATAAAGAGACGATTAGACATAAAATTGAAATAAGATTATGTCCATATTTATATGGCTTTTGTCTTTTCAAATATAATAATATTTTTGTGCTGTCACTTTTTATTTGTTTTCTCTAAATTAATAATTAATATGCCTTGATTTATTACATCTTTTTTTAGTAAAATGAGAATGGTGTATCAATTATGCAATATTTATCAATCAAGACATGACTAGGGCTAAAATAGTTGAGACACTGTCCTAGCAATAAGTCACATATTGATGTCTTGATTTTAATTTTTTAAATCAATTTTATAGGATTTTGCATAATAAATTACACAATAACACGTCGTATATATTGTAGAAATTTCTATGCAATTATTCATGAATTATTATAACAAAAGTTTTGATATCTTCAGACATATGATTTTTTATTTTTATTTTTTTCATTTTGAAGCTTTTTTTTATATATATAAAATTATAATAATGTTAAAAAAAAAAAAGTTATACTATTTATATTACAATACAGGATTTATAGAAATACATTTTTACTTGAAGTGCATTGTTTATGAACGATTCATGAATTAAATAACGTGTAAATTAATATATATGAACTACATTACAATTTTATTTTATTTTTTACTTAATTAAATGAAACATATTAGAGTTCACAATTTTCCTAAACTTCTAGAATACCAGTCAATAATTCCTAAATTTATTATATATAGACTATATATAGTCTAATAGCAAAGTCGAGGTTCTGTAACGTGGCAGGCTGAGCCTATTTAAATTTATTCATCAATATAAATATCTAAATAATAAGTATATTATAAATATATGAATAGTGGGTCCGAACAAAATCGGGTCGGGTCGGGTCCAAACCCACCATGAAGCACGCCATAGATACACGTGTGTGCATGCATGCATGTATGTATGAATGGAATGTATATTGTGTGGTTGGCAAAGGTGATAAAAGTGTGTCAATGATTTAACATCAATATAATTTCGAAACAAAAGACACCACAAATATTTAATCCACAATTTAAATATATATATATATATATATATTATTGTGATGGGTTGATAAAGATTTCATACTAGACATGATGTGTTTGGATTTGGGATTATTTCGCAATTGAAAATAATAAAATTTTGGATTGAATATTTGATATGATATATGTGTATTTAATGTATGATATTTCCAATAAACATTCATTTTTAATCTAACTTATAAAATAAAAATATATATATTTGATTTGATAATTTAAAAAATAAATAAATAGTGATAAAAAAAAAAAATAGTATTCCTTACTTTTTTATAAATGTATGCTCAAAATGTTTTGGTACAAAAATTAAAAAATAAAATTTTTATTCTATTATTATTTTTTGTACATCTTATAAAGGTAGAACAGAAATTTCTATAGGGTTCGTAGTAGTGTAGATTTTAAATTAAAATAGTGCAAAAAATGTATGGAATTCAATAATATGTGTAAATAGATAGAAAAAAAATAATAAATATAGATTTAAAAGCTAATTATATTTTTATTAAATACAATATGAACATGTCTTTTGATAGACAATCTAAAATCATAAAATGATCGTATTTTTACATGAGGTTGAGAATAGTTATTAAAAATTGACATAGTGTTGATATAGACATAGCACATGATATAGACGAATAATATAAATGTATCGTATAATTGACTATGCATGACATAATCCTATATATCACATATTATTAATAAATTTATAATACTACTATACTAATTTGTCTAAAATAATACAGTAATTATTTAAATCAGAGTATATTTTTTTTACTATTTTCGTGAATGTAAATTCAAAAGTATCTATTTTTTATTTTAATAAAATAATTATATACTAATAATACCGTTCAATTGCAATAGCAAAAAGAAAGATCTGTGTAGGAGGTGGAATGGTTTGGAAGATAAAAAAGGCCCCTCTGACTTCACCAGATAATTAATTATTGTTGGCTGTCATCTCTCTCTCTCTCTCTCTCTATATATATATATATACATATTCTATCTTTATCTATGTCTATATCCCAATGCTAACGCAACTAACAACTTTTCATTATTACCACCAATCAACTAGTCAATCATTCATATCTTCTTCTTTTCAATCAATCATTATCTCCTAATAATAACATATGTTTTTTGTTTTGTATTCCATTCCATTACATGCCCATACACATACATATGAGCCCCTAAAATGGCCCCAAGGTAGGATATGAGTATGTTCTTAGCATAACTACAAAACATTCAATCTAAATAAATGATTGTCACAAACAACCATATCCACAATAATAATGTATTCAATATTTGGATTTCTCAATCAAAACTCTTTCAATGTTTGAATGAAAGCCCTCTTGTCCTGAGAAGCCAAATGCTTGAGGAAGTCCCTCAAGCTACTTCCCTTATACATTTTCCGGCATTCGTCGTAATCACCCACTAACCCGACGCACGGCTCGACTATTTCATCCATCCCTTCGCTATGAAGACTAGCCACCGACAGCCTCGCGTCGCAGCAACTCTGCGGGATCGCCCGGTGCAACACGCTCTTGTAAATCCCGTTGCTTATTACCTCCAAGTGATCACCAACGAGCACTTGTAAGGACCCTTTTGGCGCCGGGATAGCCTTCCACGACAGGCCGTCGCAAGTGAACTCAAGCCCCGGTGCGCTTTGGAGAAGAACAGTAATGATGCTGTGGTCGGTGTGGGGAGGGAGACCGGACTTCCGGCTGTCTGATCCCAAGCTCGGCGGATAGTAGTTTATGCCGAGAATGTGGAAACCCTTTTCAAATTTTTGTTCCAAGTGTGGGTTGTGAATGTTCAAGCTTTCAAGAATTGCTCCCAATATTTCCATGGAGAGTTTTCTGACCTCAGTGGTGTATCTTCCCATTTTTTCCCTGGTACAAATGTGGCAAATTTGTTCATAGATAATTCATCTAAATTCACTGGAAATTGAAACTAATTGATGGATCTGGTACATGATACAAAGTTGTGTAGTTAATGACGCATTGAAAGAACAATGAGCATGAAGAGATGAATATCTTTGTAAAGCGTAATGATGGATTGAAATAAACTTGAAATGATCGAAACTAGTTACCTGTAGTCGAGAGGAACTTGTGGCCAGCAAGCGATGTATTGATCGAGAGGGTAGGCGTAAAGCTTGAGGAAATCCCTTGCAAAATCCCCTTTTTGAGTCGAAAATCGAACTTCCTTGTACACATCATCGGACATGAGCTCCTCCTTCGCCTCCGGTTCCATCCTGAAGAATCTCAGATTCACATCCAGAGCTTCCTCAATTACTGAACTCTCCACACCATGATTAATTACCTGAATCCAATCAAACACACCACAAATTAACCAAACAATCTATATATATAGATATCAAAAACCACTTCCAAATTGAAACAATCGTATACATGGAACAAACCGAATCGCCGGCAAGCACCACAAATTCCATCGACAACCACCGATCTCTGGAGAGATAAGTCAATTGTTGGAATTTCTGCTGAGATCTCGCCACTTCCATCCATCAGAAATTGTGGTCCCTGCAAAGAACATGGCAGCTGGCGTGTATATATATATATATATATGTGTGTGCATACACACACGTTCATTATCATACATAAATAATAAAATAAACTTTCTATAATTGATAGAAATTCATATGTGCCCAAAGAAGTCACTGATAAATTAGTCAACTTTCCAACAAATAAGGTCCCAAAAACAAAAAAAAAAAGAAAGAAAAGCTGTTACATCAGATCAAACTGTAATATATAAGATATATTAGCACATATTATGTAGTTAATGTCTCTCCTAGTTTCTGCAGTTATGTCCAAACCTAAAACTGGAAGAAAATTTTACAGTCTGAATGCTCTACTGTAAGAGAAGCATGAACACAGATACAGCCTTTCCAGGCAACCTTGGCTGGAGCAGTTGGTGTCCGAAGCTCTGGAAAAACAGGGATCAAATGTTCCGGTATTGTCTCTTAGTCATCCCCTGCGTCTTTACCAGGTTCATCTTCATCCCCAGATTCATCCTCATCATCCTCATCATCGGACATGTTCTGTATTACCTCGGTTATTATATCCTTTACCTCAGCTTTCCGGTGGATCAAATCTACTTCAAAGTGTGCTCCTATTTTATAAGGCATATATCCATTTTAGTAGGAAATTTTGAAGTGAATGATGAAGCTCAATTCTAAAAGACAATAATCAATTATAGAAACATAGTACCTAGTTGTTTGAGGATGTCTGATAAAGTTGCCTGCATTTTGTAAGAACACATGGAATCGGATATATTAGAACCAATGTAGATAATAACTATGGAAAGATTAATGGTACACTCACCTTGTTGAAATCCACTTGCTTTAGCATATTCACTACTACAGCATGCATTTCTTCTCGGGTAGGCTCTTTCACAGCTATTTCACTATCCTCGTCTACAAAATTCACGAACGAACAACAATAAGCCAAGTAATTACTACTTATTATCAAGAAACATCTGTATTCTGATATAACTTAGTTTTTTGCTCATGCCCAAAAAGTTAAGTTAAAGAATTGAGACAAAGAAGACAAGCATATTATCAACACAAATTCGCAACTGTATTTTCAATGGGATAAAAAAAAATGATACCTTCATCCTTTTCGGTGGCTTTCTTTGAAGACCTGCTCGACCTCTTCTTGCTGGGAGATGCAGTCTTTCCCGGTGGACTGGCATCTTTCTCAGCTTTCTGTTTCTTAGTTACACGTGGCTTAGTATTTTTCTCAGATTCAGCTTCAGCAGTTTGCTTTTTTGATTTCGAACTTGAAGATTTTCCCACAGGTTTATCAGAAGTCTTGGACTTCCCACCAGAGCTACGAGTGTCTTTTATAGCACTTTGCTTGGCAGAACCCTTCTCCACAACATTCTGCTTCTCTTCCTCATCTTGATCGTCATTTGTCTCCTCTTCTGACACATTCTCTTCGGCATCACTTTCTGCTGCAGGAGCTGCCTCATCCTGGTCATCCTCATTTTCTGAAGGTTCACTTTTACCATCATCTTCAGCAGCAGACTCTTTTCGCCTCTTCGCAGAATCAGAATCAACTTTCTGTTTCTGCACGCCAAACAAGCAATAAAAACAAGGTTGATATCGCCTAAAAACAGGCAACATAATGCCGGCAATCATAAATTCAGCAATAACATTAATGATATCAGTTCCAATTAATCAGTTCACAAGGAAAAGTGAATAAGTCATTGATTTACTTCTTACTTCTTACACTGAAAAATAAGCCACATAATATAACGATGACAGATAAGCAGGCACAACCCTAGTTACTAAGTTCCATTCTTGAGTTATAGAAACCATATAAGATGGACAGAGCCAGCAAGGTAAGAGCCCAACCTTAGTAGATTTCCTCGAACCTTGACTTTTTCTAGCTGAACCTTTACTCTTCCGCTTCTTAGCCTGCATATGTTGGCATGAACAAGAAAAGACCAATTAATGGTTGGTGAAATTCATCCTGTAGGTTCATTAAGCTGGGTAATAAACAAAACATGGAAGATAGTTTTACATTCTCCTTCTCTGCTAGCAAGATATCTGTAGTAGCATGGGGGGATTCAAGGAACTCGAACAACTTAGCAGATAATTCCTCCTGGATAACATAATTAAGTTGAATAAGATAGTGAATACTTGGAAGTTTAAATATAATATCATACAGCAATACCTTCCTTGTTGAAGCTTTATTAACTGAAATATTCAAAATATCACAAAAGTCCAACAACTTTTCCTTCACACATTTGTCTAATTTCTCCTTCACTTTAGCCTTCTGCTTTTCCTGCCAAATACACCCAAGCAAAATAGTTTATTCGGAAGCAAAACATAATCAAATCTTTAGAACACATCCAGTTATGCACATCGAAATTTGTACATTCATAGATCAGAACAAAATTCCCAGTTGCACTTGATTACATGAATGGACTTTCTCATAATCAGGTGCTAGTACAATATAAATCAAACTAGCAGCTTGGGAATGAACACAGAATCATATGCAGAATAAGTAACTACTCTAGTAGAATAATGGTGATTTTTTGGCATGCGCATGTAAAACATGACAAGGCTGTTCATCCTTCTCAAAAAGTCAAAATAAAACAAAATTTAACATTCTTACACAGATCCCAGCCAGCAAGGGTTATGCAATTTTGTAAGACTAGCTAACTCAACTATCTTGAGAATTCCAAGTTCTTAGCTGTAAAGGTAATTCCATGGTTGCAAAAGGCAGGCCATGGCACATGGAACGCTCATTGTGCCATTATCTATGACAAGGCACAACTTAGCAAGAGGTGGGTCCCTTTGCACCTTTTTAGACTTAAAATCATCTTCCCACTTTTCTCTCGCTTACTCGCATATGTTTGCTTATTCTTCTGTTTCTGCCTCCAATCCTCTACTCCACTTTCATTCACTCAGCCCTTCAGTCCTCCACTGTTGCCCATTGTCTTTAGCTTGATTCAATATTATGTATTGGTTTTATTTATTTAGCAGTCAACTAAATATATTATCAATTGAAAGGATTCTGCATGAAACATGCTTCAGAATTCTAATACTAAAAACAACATAAAATGTAAATTTTGTAAGATTTATCTTATGGAAGTAATATCACTGCCGGTGAACGAATAATCATTGAGTCCTCCTCTTGACGAATGTACATTTTACATGTGAGCATATTGACTTGAACAAGCTCCAACAAGGACACAGGACATGAAAACATCATCTAAGCAGTAACATCACACATCCATACAAATAAGAAGCCTACCTCATTGTCCGTCCATACAAAACCAGAAAATAGACCAATGTTTTTCTTCAAAGAGTGAGCCTGAAGAAACAATGCCACAATGAGACTACACAAAATGCTAAAAACTCAACTAAGCAAAATGCTCATTCACAAAGTTAACTTCAAGGCACCTTTGCTTTCTTGCCAAAAAGAATGGTGTGAAGAAGCTGCAGGTTCTCATCAGCTTTTCTCTTGGACAACTTGAAAGCCACTGAAAAATTCAAAATATCACAGCATGCACAATCATTTTATGAAAGCAGTTACATGCCAAGGTTTATTCATCATTAATTTAATAGGCCATGTTTGCTCTAGTGTAGAAAGTCAATATTGTATTATGAGGCTTTATATAAGATACATGAAAATTGAGGATACCAAGTCCTAGAATGAACTTATTATTTATGTATCATCAACACACAGTACATCAAAAGCCGAATGCTTGGAAGATACTGCTCATATAGATTTTGATAATTACATAAACTGCAAGTGTTCTTAGCATATTAGTAAACTAAGCACTAAGAAACTATTGAGATTGATTGGAAAGACAAAAACAATATATATGGGTTCTAATGTATTAATCCTAGAATTACATCAGGTCCTAAAAGTAACACAGAAAGTTCAATCCTTAACAAAAAAAAAGGATAGACTACTCCCACTTTCATACTCAAGCAAACAAAGAAAGGCCTTACCGTTAGGTATATCCTTGAATTGTGTGCCTTGACCCTGTTGGGGAAAGAAATCCATATATTTATAAGTCAAATTTTTAGAAGAAACTAGCTCAAAGAAAATAAAGCAAGCAAAAGGAGAATCCAAAAGACAGTATACATAAAAACATCATATTGATCATTTCACATGATTCATACCATGCAGAAACATTAACCTATTGCCAAAGAAATTATTTCAACTTGACACATTAAACACTTGTATATCAGCTCCAATTTATTTTATATTATATGCAACCAACCAACACGAGATTACTGGTTTTAATTTCACCAGAATCAAGTAAACTGATTAATATTAAAAATCATTTCCATCAACCAAGTTAAAAGCTCACGCCTTTCTTATTTAAACTGGACAAAGAACTCCATTCATCATCAGATCAATGAACATTATAAATAAGAATGATCATTTATATTCATTTAAAATTTCCATTTCGTGAAGCTCCTTAAGAGAGTAGACAGCCTTTTCATAAAAATGTGAAGACTTAGAAAATGGAAACTTAATCACAAGAAAAATTTCCATCACATCTCTTTCACAAATTTTAAGCCAAAAACATTAAGAATTAAGCAAAGAAGCATTAAAAATTGATTAAGCAAAATTTTCCCAAGATGGTCCTATGTAGTTTGAACAACAGGCCAACAACCAACACATCAGAGAAGCATTTATCCATTGGAGAATTGAAGAGTAAAAGTGCAACAGCTTCAGCACCTCAACTTCTTGTACAGCTAACTCTTTCTCTACTCTTCTATCAGTTAGTTATCAATATGCAAAGTGCTTGTACAGTGGGAATTAAATATACAAGAACCAGAGGTGTTACTGGGCCATATATCTCTTGTAATTAAAATATAGATGCTGTAATCCATAAAGCCAAAGAAAATAGACATTCAAATGTAGCTCCAACCAAGCTAATAGACAAAGTCAAGAAACTAATTTCACAAAAACAAGGAAGGGCTCCAGATCACGTTGGATTCTTGCGAGAAATAACTTTCTATCTTCCGTGCTTAACATACTCTACTAAGTTAATTTTCAGGCTGTTAGCACAACGTACAAACCACCACGCAAAAGATCAACAAACTGGAAGTTATTAACGTACCTTCTCAATTGACAAAGGCTTAGCTGCAGAAACCCTAGGTGTATCCGTCACCATAAACCTTTCCACCGTCTTCCTCTCCCTCGTCGGCCTTTCGCTCCCAGGCGTCCTCGGCGACGACAAGTCCCCAGCCTCACTCGTTTTCTTTCCCCTCGAACCCCTCTTCCCGATTCTCTTCCCTTTATTTCCCCCCTTCGCTTCATCCTCCTCTTCCTCGTCCTCATCCTTTCCCCCTTTTCCTTCCTCTTCCCTCTCTTCGCCAATTTCATCCCCCTCCTTTCCTGCTTCCTCCATCTCCTCGTCTCCATCCACCTTCTCGCTGCCCTCATCTTCTTCCCGCTTGTCCCCCTCCACTTCCGCAACTTCGCCTTTCCCTGCAACCTCAGTTGGGTCCTTCCCCTTCTCCCCCTCCTGCTTCTCGCTCCCCTCCATGGTCTCCTTCTCCGAAGCCATCAAACTCCTCGGAATTGCAACGAAACAGTCGAGCCCCTCTCCAATTCGAGTCGGGAGCAGCGAATCGACGAGCTTGTGGTGGGCTTCGTCCTGCGTAGATTTCTTTGAGAAAAATTTGGGGGACAAAGTGATGTAGATGAAAAATTAGGGCAAACAATTTGGGTCAAAAGGCGGGTACATTTGGAGCCATTTATTTTGAAAATTTTCGCTGAGAGAAACGCTACTCGTAACAACGACTTTACCTCTGTTCCATAGTACAATCAATAAAACGGCGGCGTTTTTGAATTGAGTGAACCAAATATATCTCCAAAGAAATTTATTTTTTATATTTGATAATATATTAAAAAAATAATAATATTATATTTGATAATTTGCCATTTTTATTCATTATTCGATATATTTTAATTTATTTAAAAGCTAATTGTTATATTCTTATATTAATGCATTACTATTCTACTTGTAGTATAAAATACTATTTTCGTCCGACTCTAAAGGTCCCATCTATTATGTTGATCTTTGAATATTAATTATTATATTAAAATAGAGTACAAATTATAGTGATTGCGGGTTTTCACGTCATAAAAAAAATATACCCCCTATGTCCCGATGCAAGGTTGTCGTTTATTTTTTGCAATTAGATTTTTGAATATTAGTATTATAATGAGTTGTAGTAAAAAGGACAAAAGATGTCCCCATTAGTATTGTGAAATATAATAGTAATGACATTTGTGTAATATAGTGTAAGTTGGAAGGGTATTCATTAGGTAGATACAATTACTAAATTAGAAATGATAACCTTGTTTTGGGACAACTTTTCAATATGACAGACGGAGTAGTACAAATTAAAAAAAAAAGCAAAAATACTTCGATTAGTGTTTTATAATAATAATAGAAAATATTTGTAAAAAAAATTATATAAATTTTTTAATATTAAATATAATAACGCAAAGGATAAATGTAACCAAGAGAATAACACTTTTGCCTATAACATATAAAAATAGTAAAAATAACAATTCAATTTGTTTCCATTCAAAATATTTTCAAATATTTATTAAGAAATTGAAATTTTAATTATTTTTAAATATATTTATTTTAAAATTCGATTTAATTCAAATTATTTCTAAACACTATAAATATTTTAAATTAATCAAAAAAAAATTATTTGGAAATATTTATGGTAGGTTCGAATATCAAACTCATTGTTATTGGACATTAATTTTAACCAATAAATTTGGTTTGGTAAGTGTAACACAGTAGTATCATTTTAAAGCCCAAAATGCAATAAAATTGAAAAGCCATCTCATCTAATCTAAAGTTAAACAGTGACGAGTTATGTGACATCATCAAGAATCCAACTCTAAATAAAATAAAAGGAAGCATTGGGAATGGCAATATTGGGGAATTCAAGGTGTAGTATAAATAAAATAATTGTGTCAGATGGTTACCCAATATTCTATCCTGTTTTCAATAAATCATAAGGCTGTGTTTGGTCAAGATTTTTGTAGGGTTTGATTTGTAGATATTTGGATATTATATTTTTCAGTATATAGAAGTGCTATATTTTTATTGTGATTAATTGATAACATGGAATAATTTTAAAGAACAAAATTAAAACAAAGCCTAACTTTATCCAAAGTAATAGTAATATTTTGAATGTGTGATGAATTTTTACATATTTCAGATTTACATTTATTTAAATTTTTACAGAAAGAAGATTATATAATTTACATACTACATATACCTAACATAGTTTTACGGTTTTTTTTTTTTTAAAGAATATTCAAGCATATTTACTTGTAATTTTTGTTTATTTAATAGCTTACCTTTTGAAAAAATTTAATCAAATATAAATAATTTATTTGATTGTAATTTGAAATAAGATATTGATTTGAATTTTTTAATTATATGGTATTTTGATATACTATTTTGCAAAAAAAAAAAATATATTTTTATTATGAATAGTACGAATTGGACAGTGATGTTTTTAATTTGAAAAATAAAAACACACATATCATTTAAAAATTTAAAATGTAAATAATAGTATATATACATATAAATTAAGCAAATAATATTAAGATTTTGAATTGAAAAATCATATTTTATATGCTATAGATGAATATTTGATATAATTTTTTAATACTATTTTTTTAATAGTAAAAAGTACAATAAATAATACCTTTTTTTTTTACAATAAATAATACATTATTGACGGATGTGAGAGCACCTCCAAATACACAACCCTATTTATCCCTCAACTACTTGAATAATTGGAGAAACACATAATTTGATTAATTGTAAAGTTGTGTTATTATGTAGATGATAATTTGACAAATAGAACAAATAATAATAATAATAATAATAATAATGATAATGATACGAACAAATGGGATGGGGACAGAGAATCAAGAAATGGCTGCACATGGCATGTACAAAATAATTAATAATTAGTACAATCTATGAATCAATAAAACAAAACGATCAACGTAGAATTAATGTGTAATGATATACATACTTTTGCTTATTTAAATTTTAATAATAATAATAATAATAATAATAATGGCACCCACTGCTTTAATTTAATGGCAATCATTGTTAGGGTACGTTATTTGGTAGTCAATATTTTGAGTATTTCGCTAATAATACTTTCAATATTCATTTCCAAAGATTTTATGAGCATCTAATAAAGTTAGCGAGTTGTTCATAATCAAGGATGGAATAGACTTAAAATCAAAATCAAAATCATAATAATTTAGCCAACCAAAAATAATTAAAATTAAATTAAATTAAATAAATTCTGTTCTAGTAGGTTAAAAAAAGATAGCACCAACTAACTTTGACACGACATCTAACTACAAAATCCTGGGTGGCGTTTGTTCTTGTTTTTTATATTGATTTTCCATACTATACTAACTATTACCAAAAAACAAATCAAATTGAAACAATCAAAAACACAAACAAACAAGTTTTTATTGAATTTTCAAAGTGCTATAAATCAAATATTCGTTGATGAGATTAAGGTATCCTAGGAATTCGAGGTCCAATCCAAAGACCAACCAAAATTTAAAGAATTAGGGGGTTAGGGTTAGGTAGTGAACTTAGGCCTATTTACTTTCACCAATTGAATTTCATGGCTTTCAACATCAACCCTTTTGGCACAATGTCCCACATCGCCACAAATACAATCAATCCAGTTAACCCGCAAAACACATCATCATCATCATCATCAATATCACCACCCACCATTGCCACTCTACCCAAATAGAGATCCAAATCAGAATCAGATGCACAACTAAAATGCAGTTTCAAGCAACCATCAATGGAGAACAGAGCAACACAAACATTAATTAACATTGCTAATTCACCAACCAAATTCTATTTTACATATACACTCGATCATGCATTCATTCAGCTCTTCAAGAACATATATATAATAGTATATATATATATATTTATTACTGTCATATATTATTGGTATGTGACAAAAGACTACAATAAAGAAACCCCCAAAAAGGACTTCACAAAATTCCACAGCTTTCCCTGTAGATTTACACCAGAGACCTCTTTATTATATATTTATTTAATTTAAATTTAGTTTTGTTTACCCTTTCATTTATTTCTCTCTTCTTTTTTCTTTACCTCAACAGAGACATGGCCACATGCAGAGCACAACAAGATGTCAAGATTGAAAGGGCTCATGGATCAGTTCCCCATGTGCAAACCCTAATTTAATTTTTTCCCCAATTTGCCATACCCCAACCCAACCCCCCCATGTTCCCACCATTTTCAATTTTACATAACACTACATGCATTTGGATTCTCATCACTAAAGATCTGAGGAGGATATGCATAGTATTCATGTGCATACCTTTGTGGATCTCCTAATTGCAAATAGCTTTGTGGGTGGAAGTAGTATGTCTCATTTTTCTTCAATTCCAGCTTTGATTCATCGCCGCCGTCAGCCTCCGGCTTGGCCGGAGGATTATCGGCGCCGCCGGAATCCTTCGCCGCAGTTTCTTCTTCACCTTTCTTGGCTGCTGCTGAATCTTTCTCACCCTCCTCTGTTTTCTTGTCTTCTTTTCCTTTTTCTTTCTCCTTCTCTTCCTCTTCTTTCTTCTCCGGCTCCACCTTGATGATCACGGCGTGCTTGCCGGTTCTCCGGTGGACGTGATCGGAGAGTTTTTTGGGTTCAAAAATACCCTTTACTATAACTTGTGAACTCTTCAAGTCTGGCTCTGCACTTTCAACTCCTAATGCACAAAAAAGATTGATTTTAATTTTGTCAAATGCTTTTGACCTAATCTTGATTCATCCCTAAGATTCCATGAATATTTTAGAGCAAATAATTGACCTTGTAGATTGATTTGAAGGAATTCAAACAACAGAGTATCATATCAATATATCCTGAATTTAATACTGGCATATGATCAGTAAAGAATTTAAAGTAATCATCTCTATCCCTGTAAGCTTTCCTACTTTGCTAAAAGATACCAAACTGGTAAAAAGCAATCATCTCTGCAAATACAGCTGAAAAGTGAAGCAAATCAAAAAGCATGAAACATCACAGATATGATACATGATTGCACATTTGTATTTCAAAGTAAAGGTGGAAAAAAGGTGAACACGATAAAGATGAGAAAAAGGAAAACCACACACCTTTCATTCTCAGAATTCTCTTTTTGATTTCTTGAGCACAAGCTTCACAATGCATATACACGCCCAAAACCACTGTAATGACTGGAGGCTGCAGGAAAAGTAGCAGATGCAAGCCATGGATTCAATTCGATAATTGAAGAAGCTCAAAGCAACAATTGATTAGGGCAAAATTAATTAGAGATGGGGATGAATATCAATCGAAGTAGCGAACCTCCTCTTTTTTCTCTTCAACTTTGGCGACCTCTTTCTCTTCAGGCTTCTTAGGTTCCTCCGGCGGCGGAGGCGGAGGGATTGGGGAGATGAGCTCCACTTGGCGGTGGCTCTTCCGCTGAACCCTATCCAATACCTTGAGCGGATCTGCTTTTTCCCCTTTCACAATCACTTTACTTGCCTTGCAATCGGTTATCACATCTTCAACTCCTGCAAAATCCACAAAGCCAGAACGAGCAAACTCTGTCAAATCTGAGGCAATGATAATCAATCCACGACCAAAAAAGAAGAAAATCGAGAATGTTCAAAGAGAACAAAATCTTCAAATAAAGAAAAAGTAAGAAAAACGAAATGAATGATTTAATCACCTTCAAAGCCTCTGAGGCACCGCCGAACTTTCCGAGCGCATCCTTCGCAATGCATGTAAACCCTAAGAACAATTTCCTGCGGCGGCGGTGGCGGTGGCGGTGGCGCTGCCTGAGATTCCTCTGGTTTCTTCTCCTCCACTGGCTTTTCATCCTTCGGAGCTTCCTCCGCCGCCGCCTTCTGAGCTTCCTCCGGCTTCTTCTCCTCCTGCTTCAAATCAAATCAAAAAAATTCAAATCACATTGAACTCGCTGCACATCACAAAATCGAATACGTGAAAACCAGTACAACAACCATACAAATTACAATACCTCCCCCATTAATTAGCTTGTCCTCGGGCTTGAAAACGGAGGTCGAACGAGCCTCGATAAAGAGGTGCAGGCAGCAGAAAGCAATAGACGTAGGCTTCGATTTGTGTGTAGCGTTTGGCTTTACACGGAAGAAGTGATAACAGAGTTTGAGGCGGGCAGTGTCGCGGAGCTTGCAATAGCAATAGCAATGGCATTGTATCGTCATCGTGTAACCGACGTGGCTCTTATATAGCAGAGCAGAGCAGATCGCCGGCACGTGTCACTGACGTGCCTCACCACATAGATCAATTTTGCTTCTTTCCATGCTTAATCATGGCAATCATTCCGAGGTCCTGGACCCACGATCCGGACAGATCTACACCGTCCATCGTTCCGCGTCTCGTATGGATCCGAAGCTCCCCGGTGTTGGCGTTGCCTGTATGTGTAATAAAGGTTTCTTTTTTAATGGTAAAGCAAGGCTTGTTTGGTTTGTACTCCTTTTCTGTATTCGTCTATGTTAAATACGAACTTGAATGAATACGACATTATATATTGGGGTGTCTTTCTTTTAGTTGAATTTGTGAAAAATTGATCTAAATTTAGTATTAAAATAATATTTATTTAAAAATATATATATATTTTTTTAAAATAGAAAGTTCGAATAAAAAAATTAGAAAAATTTAATTAAAGAAATGTACCCTCTTGAATAATTGTAATATAAAGTAAGTATTTTAGTAAATTAAATAATAAAATTGAAATAAAACTTTTGAGATATTGAATATGTAAATAGCTGTGACATACAGATCACTTTACATTTTAATTGAGCTAAATCATTACTATTTTTAATTTCACATATTTAACAATACAAGATAATATACTAATATATTACGCGTAATACTACTTTCGTTTGACTATTTGTTTTTTTTTTTTGTTTTAATTTTTAAATATTTATTATTATATTAAAAAACAGTACAAATTAAAAAAATATTTATATTAGTATCTTATAATACTAATAGAATGACATTTGTATAAAAATAATACAAATGTAAGGATATTTTTTAATGATAAATACAATAATACAAAAATTAAATGTGATTCTTTGAAGCGTATGGAGAAAATAATACAATATGCAACGGAAATCACATGTTTAACGACACAAAATACAACACATTTTCACAGCACATGAAAATATACAACATAATATTTTATTGATTTCAGTAAATTTATTTATACAATACAATATACTCCCTCCGTCCTACATAATTTGTCCCTATTTTTTATTTTCGTCCGTCTAACATAACTTGTCTTTTTTATTTTTGGAAATATAATTATGCACTTTAATCGCATTTTAAATTTTTTTAATTTTAATTAAACTATTTACTTATCTTAATATTAATTTATAATTACTTTTACTAAATAATAATTATTTTTACTAATACACTTCTTAATTACTTACTAATTATAATTTACCTAAATTCTCGTGTATACAATAATAGACTCATATTACATGAGACGAAGAAAGTATAAATTATAAGGCATATATATGTATGCACCGTCTTTTTGTGTTGATTTGATCAAATCAATCATTTTTTCCTTTTGCAATTATGGGTTAAATCACCATTCTGACTATGATTGGTAATATATTTATAAATATGTGTAATATTAAATTCACTAATTAAAAAATGTGTAAAAATTAATTATAAATGTACAATTTTTTATGAACAAACAATATATATATATAAATTTGATAAACAAAACATTTTTGGGTTGTTTGATTTTGATTTCAAGTGAAAGTAAATATTCTTCAACCCGCCTAATGAAAGATCGTCTTTTTATTTAAATAATATTTCATCTGTCATCGAAAATTATATTTATTTGATTAAATACGAATTTAAAAATATATACATATGTTTATTATTCTTTAGTTGTTGAAATCTATGTTCCTTTTATTTTTTTAGCATTTTTTTACTAAAAAATACAAAAAATCAATAATTGTTATTTATTTTTATTAAAATTATGACGGTGGAGTATTCTCATTCTTATTCTTATTCTTGTTATTATTATTATTTCATTCGGTCAATTTCTATTGTTTTAAAATATATTTGCACTATTTTTTAGATGATTGTCCATTTGTTAATTCTTAACAAATTTGTCCTTAATTGTATGATAGATATTAAAAGTAATAAATGAATTGATTGTAAAAATATAAAATTTGTGTTTAAAAAAATGAAATAAAACAATAGTTGTTGGACGTCCCAAATAGAAAAGTAGGACATTAGTTTGTAGAGTGAGAGAGAATATTATTATTATTATTATTATTATTATTATTATTACTATTTAGTTCATTTCTTTTAATTAGGGTAAATTAAATTTACTTTTAGCTGCTATAAGCACTTCCACAAAACATCGATGAGGTTAATTTCTAATTTTGATGTATATAAATGTATATGTAAGTTCCAGAAGAAACTGGAAGTTTAATGGACAAATATTTTTTGAACATTAATAATATTATTATAATAATATTTATAATTCGAATGTGATGCTGACAACTCCCCATGTGGGGATAAAGTTTTGTTCAGTGTTTACCAAATTATATTTTATTTTTTATTATTATTATTTCTCAATTTTGTACTTATATAGGATATTTAAATTTGTTTTTATTTATTTTTTTAATGATTCTATATTACTTTCCTTCGTCCCACGTATTATGTTCATGTTGCCGTTTATGTCCATTTCATATGTCATATCATTTTTTTAAAAAAAAAATAATTACACACTTTAATTTTATTTTAAATTTTTAAATTTTATTTATTTTTTTAAAATTTTAATTAAAATAATTAGTTATCTTAATTTACCTTATGCGAGAATCAACTCTAATATATATATATATATATTATTTGTTTCTAATTGTACATTTGTAACGTACTGGATCAGAATTGCTGTTTTAGATTTGAAAATCTTTTCGGATTAAATAAAAAATAAATAAATATGTCTCATTTCCTTGTTGAATCTAATCAACCATGTAAGACCTAATTAAAATAAATTTAAATGAATCTAATTTTATGTATTTGAATTGTTTGTTTGTTTTTTATTGGTCTGAGGATTATTAGAATTATTTAACTCATAAATTCAGCAATACTTGTAAGGATTTATCGAATGAAGTTGGGAAAAATCATAAATGCAATTAAAAGTAAGAATAAAAATTAAGTAATATTTAATTGTGGTCCTGGGTGATATAATAAATATTGTGCAGAAAAATACAGAAATCTAGGCAAAAATTAAATTCAATAATTGATTATATCAGAAATTGTTGAACCTATTTATGGTGAATTTTGTGCCAGGGACAGATATGATTTATTATTGCATTTTAAGTACAATATTTGTTGTCTTCATTTGGGTTTTTTTTTCATATATATATTAATGAATATTATAAAAAAATATTAATTTTTATATTATTAATACAATTATTTGTACCTAATATAAAAAAATACTGAGTGTTTTTTTTTGTGAGAATTTTGGATAAAATATATATATTTTTTTAATGTGAAGTATAGAAAATTATGTAGATAATATAAAAATAATGTATTAATTTTTCGAAAAAAAATTTAGAAAGAATAAACCCATCATTCACCTCAAAAACATAAACTAAACACATTAAATATGTTTAATTAATTTGATTAACCAGCTGCTTTACATGAGATAAAATAAATAAATAAGTAAATAAGGGTAATTAAAATTAAGATTAAATTAGGGCGTGTTTGGTTGAAATAAGTAGTTAGTTGATGAGAAAGCTCAACTACCTGTCTCAAGGATTGTTTGTTTGTTTACCTGATGCTTTCATACTACACCTTGTATGGTAAAATTTTTTGAATTTGTTATTTTATTTTTTATTTAAAAAAATAGTTTATGCACCTCATCTAAATAGCTACAGATCATTTTCTACTATTTTTGTCATGCAATTTATGTCTATTTAACGGGGCATATATTTTAGAAAAATGAATAAAAATATTTTTTTTTAATAATAAAGAAAAAAAAAAGACTAATATAAGAAAACAATAGTAGTATTTTTTTTAGAGTAACCAAGAAAAGGAAAGTGACGGAGTAGTAAATTAATGAATAATAATGTTAAATAAAATTATGTAGATTTAATTAAACATAGATTTATAAATAATAGTAATATTTTAATATTAAGTGAAAGTGAGTAAAAAGTAAAGTGAGAATATTATTATCTCCGATCCATAAATTCTATTAATAATACAATTTTAACTCCAAAAATTATTACAAAAAAATTAGTACACTACACACATTTATTAATTTTATATTTTCTATACAATTTTTTATACTTCACACAAAATTTTTGTCTTTCCAACCATTTCACTAAACAAACACATTTATAATTTACATTAATTTAAAAAAAAAATAAATAAACCAAAATGGAAATAATATATATATATATATAAGAAAATACCCATTTTTGAGTTCTTTCTTCATTAAATCACATATATATATTTTATTTTGAATATTATGTATGTATTTTTTTCTTTAAAAAAAAATCAATTAGTGACATGGAATTAGATCATCAACACGTGGTTGATTATAATAGAGTTTGAAATACAAGGACGTCTTTGCAAATGTCTTAATGCATCATGCCCCGTCTACTTTAATTAAAGTTGTCTTTTTTTAGCTTTCATATATGTTGAAAACATTTCATTAGATCCTTAGTTATTATATTGTAAATTTTGAAATAAACATATAAAAAATACTTAACAAGTTAATAATAAATATAGTAATTAAAAATCAAATATTGATCATGAATATCTAAGTTCTAAAGTAATTTGTTTTTTTTTTTTAATAGTAATTCATTTTAATGTAAGTATTTTATAATAAAAAAGTAATAATTAATTTTAGTTTGAAATATTTTTTATTTTACACATTAAAAAAACGTGGTAGATACATTTACTATTTTGTGTTAATTATTATGAATGGATAAAGTGTAAATATATTTATCATCGTGTGATTACGTGTATAGATTGCATTGAGGTGTGAATAATTTTTTTTGGTGAACACATGTTTTTACAAAAAATAAAATAATTTGGTGTATTCATTGTGCATTTTATTTTATTTTTTAATGTTCAAATAGAAAATTTATTTACGTAAAAAAGTATAATTATTATTATTTTATATAAAATTGCATATTAAAAAAAATATATATTTTTTTATGACGTGAGAACCTTAGCCGCTGTCCAAAAGTACGGACTGAGTAAACTCCTGAATCCATGATCGCACGATCACAAATCCAACCTCTATACCAGACAATCTATTATGAAACTATAATTATCAAACTTTGTTTGTGCCTGTAAATGTATGTATGCCACGTGGCGGGTGAGCTTTTATAATTGGGTGGTTGTGCTTATGTGTGCGTTTGGTGGAAGCTATGATCGACCTTCAGTTTTATTTTAATTCTTTTAAAAATATATATATATATAATTCTTCATAGATATTATTTTTTTAAAAATATAATATATACATATTAATATAATATATAATATATAATATATATATTTTATTAATTTATAAAAAATCAAAATTTTAAGAAAAATAATTTTATATTATCGATATAAATTTTTAATATAAAAAATAAATTCATCCAAACACTCTTAAGTGAACAACCCTCAGGTTATTATTTTCTTTTTGGCAGGACATTTATTTAATTTATCCAAATTATTATTCAAATAATAAATTAAAATAAAAAATATAAAGTTATATTTGTATAGGCATTTTAAAAATTTTTATTACATAAAATAATTGATCTTTAATAAAATATTACATTCAATACTTTATTATTATTAATTTTTTAAATAAATTTCAAAACTTTTTTAAAATTCTATTTTTTAATTATTTGTTTTTTTCCCGACAACTATAAAACATTGGATGCTCTTGTCCTTTAAATTAGGTCGATAATTGCCACAAATGCCGTCTATACACATATATATGCTGACATAATGACGCGGAGAGCATAAATAATTTATTTTAGAAGTTACATTTCTATTTAAATTAAATTCGAATGCTTTTAAAATTAAATAATCGTTGAATCATTTCTATGAAAAAATAATTAAAAATAATTACAAAAGGATGCATAAGTTGGAACACGAAACAAATTCATTGCATGGGATTTTGCACAGCCAAAACATCAAAATCAAACTCAAAATAATACAACAAAGTAAAAAATAAAAATAAAAAATCTAAATGCAGATAAAATTACTAATAAATAATTTAAATAGTATAAGAAGCATTTTAGCCCGTATATATACGCACGCGCACAGCCATTATCAGAATTGTGAAAACCCCAAAGAAGAGCGCGGTATGGATGAGCACAGCTTTCCCGCTCGTGGCGAAGCTCCCGAATTCGACGTGGCGGGAACCGCCGGGGATCTGGAACAGGACGCCAGGGGATAGCAGCACGAAGAGGATGAAACCGAGTATTACTGGCGCCCAATCCAACATCCTCTCTCGCTCTCGCGATCAATTTCAATTTGAATTTGAATTTCTAGGGATTTGGTACTATCGCCCGACCTCTGTAGGTATGTTGATTCTGAGATACGTATATATTGATATGCACAGGTCCTCTTCGATTGATTTGCTTGTGTTATGTGGTCATTTGTTCCTTTGAGGGGAGGAAATGGATTGAGATTGCTTTCCAATTAGGGTTCTGACAGATTCTCGCTTTGTTTTTTTTCTTCTTCCATTAATAACACGGAACATTATTTTTTAATTATTCTTCTTATAAAAATGGTTATGAGTATTGCTAATTAGGGTAAATCAATATAATAATAACCGCGATTATTTGTTTAAAATTGTCAATATTTGATGAACAAATATATTAAATTTTATTTTATTTTTAGTATAATATAAAAAATTATATTGAATGTGATATTTTTGGGATTTACTTCTTAAATCATAAATTAAATAGGTATTATTTAAATAAATTTATTACAACTTAAAAACCTTTTTCAATGTTATTCCAGGTGTCGGCTCCTGATTGGTTGAATCCTAAACAGCATGCAGACGCTACATGTCGTCCTCCCTAAAAACAGAAGCATCTTCATCGCTGCTTCCATTTTCTCTGCACACCTACATTCATTCTCGCTCTCCTTTCTTCCCCAGTTTTCATCAACAAAATTTCTCATTTGTGAACGCTTTCTCCGAGGCTCCTGAAAATCTCCTTTTTGCCGGGTAATGGTATACTCAGGTAGGTATGGATGTATAGACGTGTGTGCGTTTTAATTTTTCTTCTTAATTAATCTACAATGTAATTGTTTTGTGTTGTTTCTGCGAATTGTGATTAAATTTATGGATATTAGTGAATAATTTATGTAGGAGGCAGGCTTATTGTTAATCGAGTTGGTCACGATGAGTCAAGACGGTTCTTTGTCTCGGAGAAGCATTTCGTTGCCGAAGACTCTGGGAAGGAAAAAAGTTTCCTCAGCCTCGACCGGTCGGGTCGCCGGCGACGGAGTTTTGGATTCGCCTACTAGCAGAAAATCTCTAACGACTTTGCGTTCCATGTAATGTTAAATGTTTGCTATTTCCATGATTTGCCCTATACATAATTTATTTCAGACAAATATCTTCATTCTTTTGGTATTCAATTTTTCGTATAGTCAAATGCATATCTTTCTACAAATTTGATGTTTAGGGTAAAATAATCAGCGTTTGGGATTGAATTGGATTCAAACAACAACATTTCCAAAATTGAAATATGTTCAACAGAAGTAATTAGGACTGGATTGTCGCATGAGTTGTCTTTTTTTGCTCACATCTGCAACAGGGGACAGCTGAATGGTGAACGAACAGTGAAGAGATTGCATCTAGTAAGAGCCTTGACGGTGCCAGAGACCACAAGCATTAAAGAAGCTTGCCGACGAATGGCTGCACGCAAAGTCGATGCTCTGTTGCTGACTGATTCGACTGCATTGTTATGTGGAATCCTCACAGATAAGGTAAACTTAACTAAAATGACCATAATTAGCAGTGATCCTTTTTGCCTGTCTTTTTAAAATGATAAACATGTTTCTGAATTAAGGATATAGTAAAAAGAGTGATTGCTTGTGAAGTTAATATGGAGGAAACGCCGGTGTCCATAGTTATGACAAGGAATCCTGTGTTTGTTCTTGCTGATACACTTGCTGTTGAAGCCTTGCAGAAGATGGTGCAGGGTATATATACAGTTCTCAATCTTGAATTTGTCTTGATTGATACTACCAGCTTAGCTTTTCGATCTAACAGGAAAGTTTAGGCACTTACCTGTTGTCGACAATGGAGAGGTGATTGCCCTGTTAGACATAACAAAGTGTCTGTATGACGCTATTGCTCGTATGGAGAGGACAGCCGAGAAGGGAAAGGCCATTGCAGCTGCTGTCGAAGGAGTTGAGAAACAATGGGGAGCATCAGTGTCCGGTAGGTAGAAATATTTCCGGTTGCTATATTGTTTTAAGCCATCATCATGCTCATTTTAGTGGTGGCCATTTTTAGCGATACAGATCTAGCTCTGTGGTTTATGTGTAGGCCAGAGCACATTTGTTGAGACACTTCGCAACCGGATGTTCAGACCTTCTATATCGACAATAATCTCTGAAGAGAATTCAAAGTAGGTATGACATATCTATGATGATTTTATTGGTAACTCCATCAAATATAGCAGTGCTCAACTCACTTCATTGTTCTGCATCGAATGGTTAGGTTTGTTATGGTTGATCCAAGTGAAACTGTACTAGTTGCCGCGAAAAAGATTCTTGAGCTTCGAGCAAGCTGTGCAGTTGTCACAGTAGAGGGCAAACCGCGGGGAATACTTACGTGAGCTTTTCATTGCTTATGATACCAAAAAGTATCTAGAAATCGCGCATTCTCAATTTTCATCGTAATTCTTTTTTAGTTCAAGAGATATGTTGATGCGAGTCATCGCTCAAGATCTTCCCCCTGAATCCACCCCTGTGGAGAAGGTGCATTCTTCGCCTCATGCTTGTTTAGCCTTCAATCTTTCTGATGGATGAATCAAAACCGCGACTCTTTTCTTTCTTCATTCGATCATTTCTGCAGGTGATGACTCCTAATCCAGAGTCTGCAAGAATTGATTCTCCTATAGTTGATGCTCTCCATACTATGCATGATGGGAAATTCTTGCATCTCCCGGTGCTCGACAAAGGTAGATTTTGTCGTCGTGATTTGATAAAAGCGAAAGGGACGACACTCGGTTTATATAATCTGATTAGTTCAATGGCACAGATGGAATGATTGTATCTGTTGTCGATGTGCTTCATATAACTCATGCTGCTGTATCCACGGTGAGCCATTTTCGACTTCCCTAATTACATCGATCAATCTTAACCAACAATGTTGCCATGATCTTCCTCCTTTTGTATAGGTCGGCAACATACCTGGGATTAGCACCGAGGTTGCAAACACAGTGATGCAGAGCTTCTGGGATTCAGCAATGGCATTCAGTCCAGACAACCGTGACGACACAATGAGGTAATCGCACTCTTATAACACAACACCTCCCTTGTCCGATTAGTACTTTTTCAGAAGCTTCCTCGGATGATATCTCAGCGACGATTCCATCAAAGCGCCTTCCGATGGAGCTGAAACCGGTCGATCCATTCCACTACCTACCACCGGCTTCTCCTTCAAGATTCAAGACAAGAAAGGAAGAATGCATAGGTTCATATGCGGTACATACATTTGCCACACAACTATATTCCTTCCCCATTTATTTTTCTCAATTGTTAAACGATCGGTCATCTAAAACTTTAATTGCATATCCGTATCTCCTTCCAGATTCGCAGAACTTGACGGACCTTGTGACAGCCATCCTTCAAAGAGTCGGCTCTGAAATCGACCGGAACAACATTCCACAACTCCTGGTACTACTCCCTCCCCTAATGCAACTCTTCTTGTTACCAATTAGCAATGAAGATTGATCTTCGGCCAAACATTGATTCAGTACGAAGACGAAGACAAAGACAAAGTCATCCTCGCATCGGATAGTGATCTCCAAGCAGCCATATACCATGCAAGACTAGCTGGTTGGAAGGTAGGTACTCTACACTAACAAAAACTTCGATGCCAGTTAATGGTTGTTGTTCTAAACATGCAGGGATTAAGATTACATCTGGACTACCGATCGGTCGATAGAAGGAATATTGAATATGCTGAGACCTGGACTTCAGCGTACACCACCATTGCTGCCGGAGCTGCTCTACTCGCCGGTTTAGGCGTATATGCATTCCTCAGGCGTGCCGGTAACTAATGTGCCGCCGGAGAATAGGTAGTTTCTTTATTTAGAAAAAAAAAATGAAAAAATGAAAAAATTTCGTCGACAGCAGGGTTCGAACCTGCGCGGGCGAAGCCCAACAGATTTCAAGTCTGTCTCCTTAACCACTCGGACATATCGACTTTCTTGTTGAAGCATTTTGTATATTATTTATTTATCATTTAAATATTGTTTAATATATCGTGCCGTTTTTTTCTTCACCCTAGCTATTATACATTTGATCGGTTGTACATTCTTGTGTTTGAGTTGTACCTGATGTTGTAGCGATGAAAATTGGTTTGGATTATGATCACTTGGCGGTTGAGTTCCCAACTTCCCATTCGAATGCTGAACAGAACGGAACTGAACAGATACCGATAAAAAGAGGGGCCCTCGTGCTATTCAATATCATCTTCTTAACTGATTCAGAACAAGAAAATCTTTCGGGAATGGAAAACCCCGGTGATGCGCCGTACGCGGCGGGGTATCCGGCGCAGGGGCCGTACCAGCAGCTTTTGCAGCAGCATAAGCGGCAGTTGCAGGTTTTGTGGACGTTCCAGCGTGAGGAATGCGCGAAGGCGCACGATTTCAAAAGCAACCCGCTGCCATTGGCGCGGATTAGGAAGATTATGAAGGCGGATGACGATGTGCACATGATTTCGGTGGAGTCGCCGATTCTGTTCGCCAAGGCGTGCGAGCTCTTCATCCTGGAGCTCACGCTTAGGTCGTGGTTTCACGTTGAGGAGAACAAACGGCAGACGCTCAAGAAGAACGACATCGCGGTGGCGATTTCGCGGACGGACAAATTCGATTACCTGGTGGAGATTGTTCCCCGGGACAATAATAACGATGAGGCGGCTGCTTTGTGGGGGAATGTGGGGCAATTGCCTGCTGCGGGTGGGGTTCCGGGGGTGCCCTACTACTACCCCCCCATGGTTCATCAGCCTATGATTCGTGGCCCTGCCGTGGATCCTGGCGTTTACTTGCAGGCTCCGCCGCCGCCTTCTTCGCTGCTGCCGTGGTCTCCAGCGGCGGCGGACGATGGGTGCTACACTAGCGGCGGAGGTGGAAGCAGTGGACAGGCCAATCTGGACGAACAAGGGTAATTAACTTTTTACTTTCCTCCATTTTTTGTTTGCTGTTTAGTTGAATCATTGAGGCTTGATTGGATCTGCTGAATTCTTTTTTTGAATTGATCGATTCTGTTCTAGTGTGTTGCATTTTGTATAATGATCTTGTTGTTCTGTGGTGTATTTTGTATAAATTGTTTTTACTATTATTGTTTTGCTTAATACTGTTACTGTAGGTCTATTATATTGTTTTCTTTGTTCGACTCTAACTCTGATATGAGTTCCGACTTCCGACTATGAAGCAATAGAGGATATTAGATGGTTATTATTTGAGTTTATAGAGTCTTTATTGTGCTTATTAATAATAAGTAATTCTGATATGAAGTTAGAATAGTTGTTCATTTAGCACTTAGAATCAGAAGTTCATGGAGTAACTCAAGAGGACTTTATACATTGTAACAATTAGTTCAAGGATTCTTGTCTGCCTGGCAAACTTGATGAGGACTTAGTTCTGCAGTGCTTAGAAAAACTCCCTTTTACGGGAAAATGTGCACTAGTTTCTTAGTTTTCCTGGAAAGACTCGATAAAAACTCAAGAGTATGCTTCATAGGATTTTCTTGTTTGTTGCAGTTGAAAAGAAAATGCTGAAACTGTAACTGAGACTGAGAGTTGTGCAATGGAAAAGCAGTGGATGTTGCTGCTGATACTGATGCTGTGTGGCAATTTGCTTTTCATCTGTGAATTCGGAAATTCTTTGCTTGTATCCATCCATCCATGGTTATTGGCATTTACTGTAAATAACTTGCTGCTTCAATCATTTTTACATAGTAAATCTTGAATCCCTTCTCCTATTTTTCTTGGTACAATTGTTTGCATCCAGAAAATTGACAACGAAGGGTAAAACTTGTGTGCTGCTAATAATTAGCGCCATATATTGAATAGAATGAATTCCAAGTTGTAGTTACTTTCATCAACGATAGATTTGTTATATCGTGAATTTTCAGATTAAATAGTAATACTTGTGGAGTTTTAGTTTTGATTTTGAACAGAAGTAATTATGTGATATAAATATATATTGATACATGTAAAATTAAATTTTAGTATAATATAATAAATGAAAAATTGTTTTAATTTGATATTTTTGGATGATTTTTTATTTTAAATAGTAAAATCAAAATCAAAATTCTCCATGTTGTTTAGCTGATATTGTATTAATAAGTGTTGTTGATTTATATTTTAGGAACTGCTCACTTATCTATTGAAAATAGTTTGAATAAATATTTTTTATACAAAATATAGAGAATTGTATAGGAAATATAAAAATAATAAATATATGTAATATATTAATATTTGTTTTGAAAAAATACGTAGGGAAAAAATGAAAAAGAACAAATCCCACAATGTGTTTGTCTGGAGAATTGGATTGGATTTATACTATTCATCCAATTTTTTTCCCCAAAAAACATTGAATCAAACACCTATTTTTTATTTTTTTTATTATATTAAAAATTATTTTTACATTCAAAATATCACATCAACACCTATTTATATCACATCATACAACTATTCAAATTCAAAATTTTTACTATTCAAATCCCAACTCAAAATTCAAACTCCCAAACAAACACACCCATTTAGGGTTCACAAGTAAATTTGAAAAGTTAAGTGAGCAAATATAAATAACTAAGAAAATAAGGGACTGAAATGAAAAACCAAAGGTTTTCTACGGCTGCACCCATAAAAACCTAATATAAAGAATCCCTTCCTTCTACTCTTCCGCCGCTTCCAATCTCCAACGCCGCAGCTTTACCTCCTGTAAGTCTTCCGAATCTCTCTCTACTTCTGTGTATGTGTATGCGTTCCTGTGTCTCTGTGTGCGTTAGATCTCTGTTTTTCTTTGGGTTTGATTTGCATGTGGCAAGTGGATTGGTTTATCAATTCTCACTGAAGCTTGTAAATAGTGGCTTGGCAGAGCAGGTCGAGTTGCAATCAACTTTTTCTAAGCAATGGCTGTCATTTTTAACGACGTCAATTCGCCAGCCGGCATCAAGAAACTTGATGAGTATCTGTTAACTCGCAGCTACATTAGCGGGTGAGATTGAGATTTCCCTTCTTTGTTTCTGTTTTTAGGTTTCTACTGATTTTAATGATCTGAAAAATGAAGACCTTGTGTCGGTTGTGTGCCTTGCCTTGATTGCGTGATTTATACATGTACGAGTAATATGTGCGTTGGATTTTGTACGCTGATTAGATAATTGGGTATAAATGTAATCATTTTATTTTCCCTTTGACTAGAACGCTGTAAAATATTGTAATGGAAACTGGTAGTTCTCACTTGATCTAATGAAAGACGATCTACCATAAACAATTGTTGTCTGCACGTTGATAGCATATAGCGGCCATAAGTTTCGACTATTTAATCATTCAGCGGTACCATAGCCCTAAATCATAATTCATGACTCTGATATCCTGTTCCTAGATAAGAATATTTGTTGGTTCAATGTACTCTTTGAGCACAGCAGTAATATAATGTTATTAGTTGGAAATGATGCCAATTATGAACAATCATGTGGCACGGGATTGAGATTGCTTTGGATTATGTTGTGTAGACCCAACGCCTCTGATTTTTTTAGATTGGTGTGGGTGGTGAAATTTGATGCATCTATTGATAGATGGGAATGCAGTTGTATTCTAATTGGTAAAATAATTTTCATGTTTTTATATTTATTCTTATTTATTTCAGGTATCAAGCTTCGAAAGATGATCTCGTTGTTTACACAGCACTGGAGGCACCTCCATCATCAAACTATGTGAATGCATCACGGTGGTACAACCACATCGATGCATTGCTGAGGATTTCGTATGCGCTACCCAATCCCAACTTGTTAATCTTATATGTATTCTTTGCTTAATTAGTTATGTAATTGTTTTGTTGCAGTGGTCTTTCGGGTGAAGGAAGTGGCGTAACTGTGAAGGGATCAGCTGCTCCCTCTGTTGCAACGCCGCCTGCTGATGACAGCAAGGCAAGAAACCTAAAAATGTCAACAAATTGTTTGTATAATCTCTTTAAATCCAGTATTCTGTTCGTAGAGTCTTAGATTGAAACTGTGAATTGTTGATTTCAGGCCACAGCTGCTGACGATGACGACGACGATGATGTGGATCTATTTGGCGAGGAGACTGAGGAAGAGAAGAAGGCTGCTGAAGAACGCGCAGCTGCTGTCAAGGCTTCTGGAAAGAAGAAAGAATGTGAGTAGTGTTGATGCACCGGTTACGCCTTTTTGAATTCATTACACTTTTTTTTGCACCATACTTACAATAACTTGATCGATGGCCTTGTTATTACATTGTTCAGCTGGGAAGTCTTCAGTGCTGTTGGATGTCAAGCCATGGGACGATGAGACTGACATGAAACAGCTTGAAGAAGCCGTCAGAAGCGTGCAGATGGAGGGTCTTCTTTGGGGAGCATGTAAGGCTTCTCCGTTATTTTTAGATTTTGCTTCACATTTCTGCTACAATGCTCGACTTTTTTGTGCAATTATACATCAAAACCAGTAATGAACATATTTGTTGTGCAATGTTTGCAGCCAAACTTGTACCGGTTGGGTATGGCATCAAGAAGTTGCAGATTATGATCACCATTGTTGACGACTTGGTCTCTGTCGATACTCTCATTGAAGATTATCTCACGGCTGAGCCGATTAATGAACATGTTCAGAGTGTGGACATTGTTGCCTTCAACAAAATTTGTAAGAACTCATATATATATATATGTATATATATATCTTTCATTATTATTATGTTTTTTTGGCTTCCCAAGATATCAATAATCAATTGAGGTTTTATTGCAATTCCATCTGACCCGCGAATTTCTTTCATTGCAGAATATGGATAGATGTGGATCCAAGTTGCTGCCATTTTTATTTTGGGATTTTTATCTTGGCAGTTTTGGTCACTTGTTTTGGAGTTTGGATCATTTTCTCAACCAACATTTGAGAGGAATAACGTTATTATTATCATTGGATTTATGAAATTTTAGCAGACTTTGCTTTAATTATTTTTCCACTTGTTTTTGGGAATTCTTGCGCTCCTCACCATGGCTATGCATTTGGTTATATTTTGGATTGGTAATAAGAAAAAGTTAAAATTTGATGTGATCTTTTTGTAAAAAGAAAAAAAATTGCATTTGATTCAAGTATATATATATATATATATATTTTTTTAAAATGGGAAATAAAATGAAAAGAATATTTAAAAAATATATAATTTTTTTTTTTCAAAATGAGATCCAAAACAAGAATACATACATGTATGCTACAATTTTATCATATCCAAAGCAACAACTATTGTATAAATTAAATGAAGGTTTCTTCTAATACTACATTTAATATTTTCTTAAAAATATATGTAAAGTCATTCATTTATACATATATATGCATTTAGAATCTTTACTTTAATATGATAGGCGTAGAAACGAAATAAGGAAAAATTTATACAGTAGCTATTAACGAATTGGCATACAACGTACAAAGGCATTCAAAGTCAAAATTTGTGGAGGGTAATTACGTCATTTCAAGTTTCCAATAAATTGGTTGCCCAATTCGCAGACGAATTCAAAAGGCTAGAAATATCAACACAATCCAATTTCCCCCTCTGTGCGCAGCGGCAGAGCAGAGCTGACCTGAGCCCAGCCATTATCATCTTCTTCTCGTAAGTCTTTAACGTTTCTGTAGCGCGATTTTACGTTATTTCGTTGTTTCATCGTTCTCTCTGCTGCATTTTTTTTCCATATTCATTTTCTAGGGTTTTGATATCCACTTCCCTTGCTAAAGCGCCTCGTAAAGCAGTCGATTTCATTTTCTAATGTTGATATATTTACTAATTCGTCGTGGAGGTTGTTAATATATGAACAAGTTTGGGAATCTGAGATTCATGACATGTAGAATTAGCTCGTGGGACGACGGTTCTGTGCTTTTGTTGAGTTCGTACAAGGAATTTTTTTTAAAAAAAAAACTGTTTCAGTCATGGGAATTATGATTTGAAGAGAAAGCACTTGCGCTGTTGTTTTTGAATTTGCGTTTATACTTGTTTAGTTGTTGTGGCCAAGGTTTTTTTGGGAGAAGAGATTGGATTGGCCGCTTGTGCTGAAACGCAACAAAGAGGAATACTGATTTGTGAAATTCGTTTAATATCAGTATTGATGAAATATGGATCATTCCTGTAAATATGGTTTTGTTTTTTAGTGCTGTAGTATTGGAAGGTTCAATGAATCACCATGGTAGCAACAGTAACAGCAATCCGACCAGGGAAAATTTTAGTTTTGGCAATCCAGGAGGAATGCAAACACAAATGCCGATGCAAATGTCCATGAGCCATAGCCAACAGCAGGTTCCTCACTTGTCTCAGGCGCAAATGCAAGGCAGGCCGTATTTCGCAGGACACTTTCAATTGTCAGAGCCTCAGGCTCCGGCATATTTGCAGTCCCAGGCAGCTCAAGGGAAGACAGATTCACAAGTCTTGATCCGGCCTGAGGCTGCTACGAATGTAGGCACTTCATCTCCCTCAATTGCCACACCGGCTTCTGGATCAGCAGGACCTGCAAAGCGTATCCAGAGGCCACCTTCTCGTCCATCTGGGGGAGCTTCTGGTCTGGGAACTGCTTCTCCCATGAAAACTATGGAACTGACTCCTGCTGTACATAGAGGGAAGAGGAAGGTACCTGATAAAGCAATTCCCGATCAAATTACAGCACTGTTGCCTGAATCTGCACTCTATACTCAATTGCTTGAACTTGAATCCAATGTTGATGCTGCCCTTGCAAGAAAGAAGGCAGACATTGCGGACTCCCTTAAAAATCCTGTGCAAGTTCGGAAAGTCTTGCGGGTATATGTTTTCAATACCTTTGAAAACCAAACAGGAGTAAATTCAGAAAATGAGAATGTGGAGTCACCATCATGGTCACTTAAAATAATTGGTAGGATTTTGGACGGTGGAAAAGATCATGTTATGGAAGGAGGAAAGGAGAAGTCGAGTTCTCTCTATCCAAAGTTCTCATCTTTTTTCAAGAAAATTACTGTATACTTAGATCAGAATCTATATCCAGATAAACATGTAATCTTATGGGATAGTTCTCGATCGCCGGTACTCCAAGACGGGTTTGAAGTGAAGAGAAAGGGATCCAAGGAGTTCACTGCAATTATTAGATTGGAGATGAATTTTGCTCCTGAGAAATTTAAACTCTCTCCAGCACTTCAGGAACTTCTTGGTATTGAAGTGGAAACACGTCCGAGAATTATGGCAGCACTTTGGCAGTATGTGAAGATGAAAAAGTTACAAATACCTGGCGACACAGCTTTTTTCACGTGCGATCCACCTTTGAAGAAGCTTTTCGGAGAAGAGAAGTTGAAATTCTCTATGGTTAATCAGAAGTTAACACCACATCTCGCCCCACCGGGTCCCATACATCTAGAGCATCGAGTGAAGCTTTCCGGGTCTTGTCCATCTGGAGATACTTGTTACGATGTCCTGGTTGACATTCCCTTATTTTTAGAGGAAAAGTCGACATTCTTGGCTAGTTTAGAGCAGAACAAGTTCATTGATGATTGCGATGAATCCATTTCTTCTGCTGTGAAGAAAGTCCACGAGCATAGTCGAAGGCGGGCTTTCTTCCTCGGTTTCAGTCAATCACCTGCAGAGTTCATCAACTCCTTAATTGCTTCTCAAGCCAGAGATTTGAAGCTTGCTGCTGCCGGTGCTAGTTCTGAGATGGAGAAAGAGCATCGGGCTGATTTCTATGATCAACCATGGTAAGTGTTCTAACCCATATGGATTAAAAGGAATTCAAAATCTTGTATTGTGCGCCTTCAAATTATCTTTTTATGCTGCTATGGGTACTCATATTTAGTTTCTCTAAATGTAGCAGTTTGTGATGTCGAACACATTTATTTACATTATGCACACTTTAATCATGTTCTTCTTAGTCTTTAATGCTGTGGAGTAAACTGACTGTCTTCTATCCATTTTTGGGTAGGATCGAAGATGCTGTTATCAGGTACTTAAATCGCAAGTCTCCTCTGGGAAGCGAAGGTTTTGGTGGAAACAAATAGCGAGGGAGGCGCGCAGTGTACAGTTGAGTCCAATGTTATTGCTTTGGCCCCCCAGATCTGAGAATCATAACTGGTAATGAAAATGATTTCATATCTCTTACATTAGCCATATGATGAATATGATTATGATTATGATAGGAAGTAGTGAGGATATTTATTTAGTGATGATAATTTTGGTGTAGAATGCTATTTCATATTTCTTGTATACTTATGTTAGTCACTCTGATAATCAGCATGCACCACGGATTGAATCGTTGTGACGAATGGAAGTGAGACTAGATTAGATCTGTACCAAAATGTTTACTCATTTGATCTTAAAATTTTTGTGGAATGCAAGTGAGAATAGACTTGATCTAATAATATCTAGGAATGACTTGTATTTGGTTATAAAAAGATTGTCACATTTATGACTTCTTTTTGTGTTTTTTTTTAGATGAAATAGTGTTTTATATAGAAAATGAGTATATTCTTACTTAGAATGGTGATATTGTGTAATAAAGAATAATGAGAATAACTAAAAGAAGATAAAACTGAATATTTCAAGTGCATATGTAAAGTTTTTAATCTTTCTTTAAACTTTCAAAGTGAGATGAGTTGGAGGGCTCAAACGTTGTGTTTGTTTCTGTAGTTGAGAAAATACTTATATTTTTGCTGGAAATGATTATAATTAAAAAAAAAAAAAAACCCCAAGAGAAAACTATATGTTGAATGATTTTTATATCTATTTTTTTAGTGTATTTTGAAAATATAACTTATTATATAATGAAAGAAATAACATACTAGGAAATGTTGATTAAAATTAATGCATGATAAGTAAATTACATGTATATATTTTTTCAGTTTCTTTGCTATTATTTTTAATATATGATATTTCAAGAACTTTGCAACTTCCATTCATTTATATAATTTTTATTTTATTTTTAAATATAATTTATAAAATGATTTTTACTTTAGAAATAAGAATAAAATGGTAGAGAAATTATTAAAATTATACAATAGACTTTGATGTACTATTAATTATGGATTTGTTTCTTTAACCCCAAACTTATTTAGACTACGAATTTTTTGAAAATATATATATATTTTTTCTTTTCTACACTATTTTATTATATATTATTTTAATATCAAATTTCAAATAAAAAAATTTCAGCCAAAAGAAACATTATATTTTCTCATAAGTTATTTTTTTAATATATAAATTTACCATAAAATTATTTATTAATAAATGCAAACTTGTATAGTATTTTAAATTAAACAAAAAGAATCATATATACCAGAATAAATAATACTTTCATTAGTGTGTTAACAATTTATTTATTTATTTTTATTTTGATCCCTTCACAGAGGAGTATAGGAGTATATAGAGAACTTGTACATTCATTTAATTCAATATAAATATTTAAAAAATATATATTTAAACAAAAACTTAAATTGTTATTTCAATTTCAAATCAAACTAAAAATAAAATAAAATTGTTAGATTAAAACAAATTATACTATACTTTGATCGAAACATTATAAAATATAGTTGGTGTTATATTTAAAAAAAATAAAAAATTGTAAGATTAAAACAAATTATACTATACTTTGATAGAACTATTATAAAATATAGTTGGTGTTATATTTTAGTTTAAATAGTAAATTAATAAAATGTTTATTATATGTATATATATAAACTTTATAAAAAAATCATATAGTTAAAAAGTGCTAGGAACACATGTCGGCACTATTATACTTCAAAAAAATTTGTGTAAAAATATATAAAGATAAATTAAGAGGTATATAGATATATTTTCTTATTATTTTAATAATTTTCTTTCATAAAAATAATAAATATATATAAATAAAAAACAAATTTGAAAATATAAACCAGCAGACGGACAAGCTATTATTTATCTAAAAAATATATATACAAGATCAAAGAAGTTTAAGCTAATTTTTTGAACACCTGCCAAGATGACGACGACGACATTAATAATTATATTTTGAGATTTAAATCGCCAGATTAGTTGAACTACCCAAGCCAGCCTATCAACTGCTTGGGCGGATCTTTCGAAGTTCATGTTCCTCTTGTCTCTCTCCTATGGATGAACTTCGATCTAACCGACGAATTATATCAGCATTTGCTCTTTGATTTCTTTCTTTGCTGCAGAAATCTCGCTTCTCTCTTCCATATGGACATTTCATTGCAGCTCGATCAAATTCAGAACAGCTACAGATTTGCTTGTTCACTCTCAAACCCGTCCAAATTCGCCCAAAAATTTCGTGTTTTCGAAGCAATTTCGCTGGGAAGATGTAAAGCCACATTTTCCACTCGATTTAGGTGTTCTTTGCTCGACCAGGGGCTAAAGCCCCGACCAATTCCCCGACCTCTAAAGGAGGCGGAGATAATTGAGCATGGCAGGGGGCAGTTGGGGAAGAAGATTGATCATTTGAAGAAATCGAGTTTCGATCATGGCATTTGTGAGCAGATAGAGAAGTTGGTTCAGTGCAAGAGGTACCATGAGGCTCTCGAAATGTTCGAACTTTTGGAATGTGAGAATAATCGTTCAGTTGAGATTAGCACTTACGATGCGTTGGTGGATGCTTGCATTAGTTTGAAATCGATTAGGGGTGCTAAGAGGGTGATTTATCATCTGATGAACTCGGCGGTGGATCAGGATGTGTATATAAGGAATAGGGTGTTGTTGATGCACGTAAAATGTGGGATGATGATTGATGCTCTGAAACTGTTCGACGAAATGCCTGAGAGGAACTTGGTTTCTTGGAACACCATAATTGCAGGGCTTGTGGATTCCGGCGATTATGTGGAGGCGTTCACGTTATTTTTCACTATGTGGGAGGACACCTCGGATATCGGAACAAGGACGTTTGCTACGCTGATTCGAGCATCGGCTGGATTGGAACTCATCCATCCCGGGCAGCAGCTGCATGCCTGTGCTTTGAAGTTGGGAATGGCTGGAGATGTCTTTGTTTCTTGCACCTTGATCGACATGTATAGCAAGTGCGGTAGCATTGAGAATGCGCGGTGTGCTTTTGATAAGATGCTGGAGAAAACAACGGTAGCGTGGAACAGTATCATTGCTGGTTACGCGTTTCACGGTTATAGCGAAGAGGCGTTGAGCATGTACTATGATATGCAAGATTCCGGCGCTAAAATGGATGGTTTTACGTATTCCATGATCGTTCGAGTTTGTACTAGGTTGGCATCATTAGAGCATGCAAAACAAGCGCACGCTGGTCTTGTTAGGAACGGTTTTGGGTCCGACATAGTTGCCAACACAGCACTTGTTGACTTCTACAGCAAATGGGGAAGGATAGAGGATGCTCGGAATGTGTTTGATAAGATGCCCCTGAAAAACATCGTGTCTTGGAATGCATTAATTGCAGGATATGGGAATCATGGCCGTGGAGCTGAGGCAGTCGAGTTATTTCACCGTATGGATTGTTTAGGAATGGTGCCTAATCATGTTACCTTTTTGGCTGTTTTATCTGCTTGTTGTTACTCAGGGCTGTTCAATATTGGATGGGAGATATTTGAATCAATGAGTAGAGATTACAAGGTAAAGCCTCGAGCAATGCACTACACGTGTATGGTTGAGCTATTAGGCCGTGAGGGTCGCTTGTATGAAGCTTGTGCATTGATAGAAGATTGTCCATTTACACCTACTGTTAATATGTGGGCTGCATTGCTCACAGCTTGTCGTGTTCATGAGAATTTTGATCTTGCCAAATATGCTGCTGAGAGAATTTATGGTATGGAACCTGAGAAGCTCTCGAGCTATGTTGTTTTGTTGAATATCTACAACCGTGACGGGAAGTTCCAAGAAGCAGCAGCAGTACTTCGCACCTTGAGGAGGAAAGGTCTTCGAATGCTGCCGGCTTGCACTTGGATAGAGATAAAGAAGCAGCAGCATGTTTTCTTCACCGGAGACAAAAAGCATCCACAAACTGAGGAGATCTATGAAAAATTAGATGAAATCAGTAAGAAAATTGTGGAACATGGATATGTTCCTCTCCGAAAAACATTGCTTCCTGATGTGGATGAGCGAGAAGAGACTATGCTACTTTATCATAGTGAAAAATTGGCGATTTCGTTTGGGATCATCAGTACGCCTGATTTCACTCCTCTGCAGCTGGTCCAGAGTCATAGGATTTGCAATGACTGCCACAATGCAATCAAACTGATTTCGATGGTTTGCGCACGAGAAATTGTTTTTCGCGATGCTAGTAGATTTCATCATTTTAAAGATGGCAGATGCTCTTGTGGCGACTACTGGTGATATTCTTTACTTTACGTGGCTTAGTGTGTAGCGTGTAGTGTTGTTGTTACTCTATAGATAAGGGTGAATGCAAATATTATGTTCTTCGATAGATCAAATACAAAATGAGCATTCATTGATTCATGCCCTTTTTTACGAAATTGAATAAATGAGATATATTTTATACCCTTGTCCTGGATTGCTAAAGTGTTTACTGTAAAGGCCTTGGATAATATGTTTGAATGTATGAATGTTTTGTCTGTGCACTTAGATTCTAGCCGCGATGTAAGGAAAGCCATTTTGGTATATGACATTATCCGTATCAGGAAAGAGTTCGATATCATGATTGTTATAATCAAGCTACAGTCATATATGTATCTATGTATGTATGTAAAACATTATTCGAATGCAAAGTTGCTAGTGCTCTTTGTTGAAAATGGTGGATGAAAAAGCTGAAGAGAAAGGAAACTTTGCTAGCTGGTTGATTTGCAGCGCTTTCGCCAATGACTGATTGAAGTGTGATGTAAACATCTCTCGAGATTGTAGCCCCAGGTGATCCCACACTATCTCTTATCTTTTTCAATTAAAGGGTCGTGTGTTCGATTTAGCAAACATTGTGCTTTCCTTGTGCAGTTTTGATCATTTGAGTTGTCATGAAGGACGAGGTAAAAGTGACGAAGTTTTTGAAGCAAACAAGCTATGGCTACAGAATTGGTACCACGGTTGCTTGTTTATTATTGTCATATTACACATTAGCTCTTAAATGGAAACTCTTTCCTTTCCTGCTCTTTATGGAATGAATGGATAATGAGCAAGTTCAATGGATTGATTGATCCACACAGGAAAACTAATTTCATTTATTCTGAATGGTTGTTTGGAAATGACAGCAATACAATTAGCCCTGCACTCCACATCGACATCTACATGTGAGGTAAGAAATGTCCAAATATGATCCTGTTCATTTATGGCATACAAGTATTTGTGTTTTTTTCTTTTTTCTTTTTAATATCTCACTATTGAAAAGAAGTAAAAGATTGATACATACAAAAATTGAAAGCGCTACAACCTTGCTAGCGAGAAAGTGTCGATGGTTGTTATATGGACCACCATGAACATGTTTTTTGTGCAGCAGCCATTGCAATGGAAGGAGAGGAGATGAGGTAACCCCACAAAACCCATATTCATTTCATCACCCTCCATTATATTCATAGTTTCTATTTTATTCATGTGTTATCTTAAAACTGTTTAGATTTTTAGGATTCAATAATGAAGCACTTTGATGGAAGCTAAAACTTTATTGGTTGTCAAGCATGGCCACTCCAAAACTGTTGTCTCTGAATGCACATTACATTGTCCACTGTGATATGCTATGGTGTTTCCCACATTTCCATAATGTCAGTTTTTGAGTCCCACAAAAGATGAAAAAACATCTGCCCACCTTCAAAAGTGCTCTGCACATCTTCTAAAATGGCTCTAATTTTATGAATGGGATGGGATCATCTTCCAAGTTATTTCTGTCTTTTCAATCGGATAGTTACTGTATCCATCCGCATGGTCCAAATCTTCATGAAACTACTCCTGAATTTCTGACCAGCAAAAAAAAAATACTACATAGGAATTTATGTCTGTACATGATAAAAACTACAGGTTAGGTTGATTTGAATTCACAGGAAAAGTATCTGTTCCCACTAGGGGAGCTCTAAAAATGTGCTTTGGAGCCAGACAGACAGACAAGGGAAATCCCTGAGAGCTACAGCAATCAGGTTTAACTTATTTGACACCATCTACTGTAGTTTTAACTGAATTGATGAGTTGCTACTGAAATACTATCAATGTTCCATAATATTACCACAGTGAAATATATGTATATATGACTGAATCCCCCAATTCTCTGTGGCTTTAATCAATCTGTGGGATATCGATCAAAGTCCTTTTGAATATTGTGTTGAGATTCTTGATCCATTGCTCTCTTGTAAGATGCTGACAATTTGAAAAGACAAATATTAAGGATTTGTCATAATAACTGTGTTGATGATTATGCAAGAACAAGGGCCTACATCCCCTTTTTCTTTTTGAGTTTTTTCTCAAGTCCCTATAAACACACACATACATACATACATATATTATATATATAAAAATGTTTGATTGCTATTGGAATTGGCTGTGTGTTCTGAATCATAGATAGGTGGCAGAAAGTCTGGAATACTAAAGCTGCAGTCATATTTGACACAATTTTCCCTTCATTTCAGCACCACTAACTAATTAATATATATATATATATATATATCACCAGGTCATCCTGAATTATGTCATCATTAATTCATGAAACAGGCATTTTGGGATTTCTCTTTGGTATATGTCTTTGGACACAATATCTTCAACCAAGAAAATTCACATAATTATCACAATAAATTATAAGGTCTAAACCCATCAAGAAACCCCACCTCCCCCCAAAAATCATATCTTCCATTATATTTATTATAGGGGAAAGTGCAGTAGATATATACATATATATATATATATGTATATCAGGTAGCTTTTGGCTTTTTGTTGGTATATTATTTGAATTTGATACTGGCTTCATTATAGATATATACAGAGTACTGTGGTGAGATGTTTTTGGCTTTAATTCCTCTAATTACATACACTTTGCAGAAGCTGTGGTGCAGGCAAAAGCAAGACACGTGAACAAAAGGTCAAATTGCAAATTAAATAATCAAACCTCATGCATTGATCTCAATATTCTGCTTTATATTTTTGGTCATTGCACTCAGCACTGAAAGAATCTACACTGCACAAAAGCTATATGCTGTCTGGATGACCTAAATCAGATGATTATTGTAATTCATGCCCTTTTCATGCATGCTCCCATACTCTCCAAAGTACAACTTTTAAATTTAACCCTCCTCCCTCCCACCCTACCCTACTCTATAAATCCCAAGTAAAGATTATAAATTTGCTTGATGAAGCAATTAAAGATGTAGAAAATTAAAAGGGGATTCTTGAGACATGTCAAATGGGGTGGTTGCTGCACAAATTGAAAAAGGTCTATCTTTTGATCAGTTATCCATAGAGATGTTTTTCTTTTCAGTGATGGATCCCAGACAGGGATGGATATATAGTGGGTGTTGGTTCTTGGGTGAAATATATACTATTAATTATTCTTATTTTAATAATATTATTATTAATGTTAAAAGTTGGGGGCTTTGGTGGACAGAATTGCTTATTGCATGTACAGCTATGCTGTCCTCTTGCTAATTGAATTGCTTGCTGTTTTCACTTTTTGTTCTGATTCATTTGCCTTTTCTAAGCTCTACAAAGTTTTTCCATCTTCTTCTTCTACACTTTACTATGGCTTTCAAAAGATTAATCAGAGCCAACATTCTGTTTAAATTTATAGGCTTAACAACTATATATATGCAAAATATTATCAATCGATCCTACTTAATTTAAGTTTGATTAGAACAGATTGATCCATAGGAATAACTTATGAAAAACTCCAGCAATGAGTGTAATTTGCTGGAGATTAGGCTTGTATGTATATATACAAACACATTAATTATTTGCAATGATAGATGAAGAGGGTGGTGTTAAATATTGAAGAAAATTAGGCAGTAAGAGTGGTGTATTATTGATTGTACTGTGTTGAAGCCTGAATATGACATTGCAAAAATGCAGGCAGACACCATCTCAGGGATTGGAAACTTATTATGCCATGAAAAAAACAATCTATGGTGTGTCTGCAATCACAGTCCTGTCTGTCTAAATCAGTAGTGATCTCATCTCATTCTCACCCCTTATTTGTTAGCTATACTCATTAACATTAGTTTGCAATTATTATCTGTTAACTCAGCACTGCTGTCAAAGATATATATACATATATATATATATATTTACCCACAGAAATGTAAATTCTTGTACCGGAGATCTGCCATGACTTAAGGGTTTTTTCTGTAACTTTGGCACATGAAATAATGCTGAGAAACTGATCAAAATGTTGATTCAAGAGAAATTAAGAAACAGTTCAAGTTTCGGCTGAAATTTAAAAAAAAAATAAAATACACACACATGTATGTATATATATGTATATGAAAGAGCTTTAACTATATAGAACTACAGATAGATTGATAAATATGGAAAGAAACCATCAAATTAGTACAACCAAAACACACTTTCAATTCAATCAAGAATCACAAGAAGAATCACAAGAAGAAAATCAAAGGGCCCATAAAAAAGGAGGCTTTTTTTTTGCAAACAAAGTAGTCTGTTATTATTATTCATTCCTACACAAGTGATCAAAGAGAGAGAGAGAGAGAGAGAGAGAAATAGAGAAAGAGAAAGTTTAATTAGGTCTAAACTTCTGCCTGCAGGAAAAACAAGTGATCTCCATGCATGAGGTGGGATCTTCTTCTTCATCATGATTATGATCATGGTCCATTCTATGAGTTGCTCTCTCTTTTATCTTCTCAGCCCTCTCAACTTCTTCCATCGCACGGGCCCACAAGGCGCGTGCCCGGGCAAATTCCGACTGAGCCAGCTCCATCTCCCTCCTTGTCAGCTCCATCACGCGCTCTGCATAAGCCTTCTCCATGGCCGCCAGACGAATCTGCTCGGCTGCCTGCCACTTGAGGGCCTCCACACAGGTAGAGTCAATCTTGGCATCATTGTTGATTCCACTACAATCTTTGACATGATGAGATTGCTGTTTTATTAGGACACATGAAGAATAATCTGAAGTGGGCTGATGATGATGATGAAGGAGATGATGCTGCTTCAAGGGTGTGAGGCTTATAGATAGTTGAAGGTCTAGTGATGGAGGAGAAGGGTCAAATTGGGATGAAGAATTTGGGGGCAAAGATTGATTAGGGCTTGGAAGTAATTGCATTTCTTGATGATGATAATGATATTGATGGTTTTCCATTGAAGCAAAATTAGGGTTTTCTTCTTCTACCCCTCTTTTCCTTTTCTTGTTTTGTTTGGATGGAGGTTCATGTAAGAAGAGGGGATACAGAATGAGGTGCTACTATATATACAAAGGGCTTTCATATTAGAATGAATATTGGCAATTTTTGAATTAAATGAAATATTTTCCATGCAAAAAGCCATGGGAGTTGGGGACCATTGCCAATATATATAATCATGACTACCATGATTTTTGAACATGATCCCATTAATGGATCTTGGAGGAGATTTTAGTGTTATTATAATAATATTTATTTAAGTTACTCACTCTCTTTTTTTTCCCATTCTTGTGGGTACTTAGTTTGAGATGTGTACACTCACATGATTCAATAAAATTGGTGGCTTTATTCAATCATAAATCAAGTTCTTGGTACCATGCACATTTGCAAGTAGTGGCTCTAGTGTGCTAATAGAATTATTATTTATGCAAATAATTTGTGAAATTACTTAAAGTGGTGACCTAATTTATCAGATTATGCTATGATTGAGATCAAGATTAGCATACCCCATTTCTTAAACAATAAAAAAAAGGAGAATTTTAACTTGTGACTTTTGTCTTTTTTATTTTTTTATCATTATTATAATTAGACAAATTTAATATACACACGATCAAGTACATAAACCCTAATTAAATATTGGAGTCAACCCTCTTTTTAACACCTAAAGAAAAAGATGAAGATGCCTACAGTCTGCCGTATGAAGGAAAACCAAAATTGTTTTTTTTTATATGTAATTATATATGTCATCAAGATTTGAGTTGATCTAATAATAATATTAATAATAATAAGCTAACTAGGTTAGTAGCAAGCAATAATTATAAAGGCACGTGCAGAGTGGGTGGTGTTTGGGTTTTGGGGGCTTTTTCTGTAAAGGGCCTATTAATCTTAACTTTATTACAATGGTGGGCCTAAGGCTGTCGGCCCTCTTGGATATAATCTTCAAATATAAAGCCCAGATTGGCACGTGGGGGAATGAACAGCCTCTCCCTAAAAAAAAAAAAAAAAAAAAAAAAAAAAAAATCACCGCACGTGCCAGCCAGTTGGATTGTGTCCACTTTGTGCATGCAGTAGGCAATTCTTTCCTTCCTTCATTCATTCACGCTATCATGTAAATGTAAAATGACAAGAATGCCCTTCCCCCCTTTCCTGTTATCATAAGAATGAAACTAATTTTTATTGTTTCACTGGCAGCAGCAGAAATGGACAATTAAGAATTATTACAATCAATCAATAGCAAGTGTAGTAGTAGTAGTAGTAGTTAGTAATAGATAATGACATCCCTAAACCTCAATAATGGCCAAAACAGAGCACACACCAAACCCTCAATTCTCATTTTCTGTTCCTTTCTCTTTCTCACTCTCACTCTCACTCTCACTCTAATCCATTCACCATTTCATCTCATCGATATACATATAAATATATATATATCATAAAAATTAGAGAGAGTAACCTTAGGCCCTCCATAATCAAAACTTACTACTACATACATTCTTACATACACCGCCGGCAGGTAGGGTGGGGGGGGGGGGGGGGGGGGGAGGAGGATGCACAGGGGGGCTCCGACAAGGCAGCCTCTCACATAAAGTAGCTGAGAGACTTCTTTTTCCGGGAGCCGCCTTCGCCGTAGAGCTCGTTCCACTGAAGGAGCTCCGTCATGTTGATCGACTCCGACGAAACGCTCGCGCAGACCTGCGTAAGAACGAGGTTTGAGTTTCACGCGTCCTCGACTGAACTGAACAAACATTGCCGAGACAGAATCGGGATTTACACGACTCGACTTGACTCACCTGATCGTGTGCGAATTTGAAGTCCTCCATGTTTAGAGGACGGATATCGGCACTCCCGCTTAGCGGCGGTGCTGGTCTGCCCTCTGACATAGCAGCCTCCCGCTCCTGACATACACCCAACGGTCCCGTCAATATTAATTATTCATCGATCTAAATAATTGCCGGGTTATTAATAGTCATACCTTCTTCTCCTTCTCCAAGATTTCCCTGATCGGTCGATGGGCTGCCGTCACGCACAAATTCTGAAACGACGAAAGAATTACGAATATCATCAATCTCCCGAGTCAAAACATTATGTTCGCAAGCAATTTCAATATGACGAACCTTAAGATCGCTTCCCGAATAGCCATCGGTCATCCCGGCAATCGCATCCAAATCCATATTAGGAGACATGTCCTCCTTCGCCAATATCACCTTAAGAATTTTCGCCCTGTTCGGGGCATCCGGCAAGTTCACCATCAATCTGTGCAACAACCATGGATTAAAACAAATACAGATTTCATATTTCACAAAATTTTCCATTTCTCGTAGGTCTTACCTTCGGGGGAGCCTCCTGATCACAGCCTCGTCGAGGTCAAAGGGCCTGTTGGTGGCTGCAAGCACCAAAACCCGCTCGGTTTCCTTTGTGCGCAGCCCGTCCCAGTTCACCATGAACTCGTTCTTCATCTTGCGCATCGCCTCGTGCTCCCCCGGGTTCTCCCTTCGGCCGAGCATGCTATCGACCTTCGGAGAAAGAAAATTGCATGCATTTTAGATAACTAGTTCTGGATGTGAAAGATAGAAACAAAAGAGGTAATTTAGACGCGAAACGATTCGGCATACTTCATCGACGAATATGACACTGGGTGCAATTTTGCTAGCCAGCGAGAAAACAGCCTTCACGTACTTTTCACCCTCCCCAAACCACTGCAATTTCGGATAATATAGAAAATGGATTAGAAAAGGTAAGTGTTAGTCAAATTTTGTAACAATCGAACGAGTTTTTTTATTCAAAAAACCTTCGAAGTTATGCTGGACATGGAAATGTTGATGAAGTTGGCCCCTGCTTCGGTTGCTACGGCCTTGGCCAGCATGGTCTTCCCCGTCCCGGGAGGACCAAACAGCAATATGCCTTTGCAGGGCTGCAAGAGATCAGGTAAATTTGACATTATTATGATTCCATAAACAGGACACGGAAACTCAAATGAATCGATGAAAAGATCAATTTCTTGGAAACAAATATGTCTATATGTGATGGATGTTCGAAAATTTGCCTTATTTGTGCACCCGAAATCCTGTTCTGTACATACAACACAGAATAACAATACTGCCAAAAAAAACTTGCCGTCTTCAATTGACATGTGATTCAAAATACACGTCACGGAACATGACAAAAACTGTTAGAGCCACGAGGGGGGAGAGTGATTATCGTTTGCCAGAAGTAAATATGAACAACGGGGATTTTCAGTTGACACATGATTCAGAATACACGTCATGGAAAGGGACAAAAGCCGTTAGACTCACAAGCAGGGAAAGTGATTTTTACTTTTCGGATCCTATGAAACAGAAAAAACAAGATTGACCAAAAGTAATAATAAACAACAAAGCTGCAGGAGAAGACAATATGATCCACCTGAAAATTCAATTAAATGCTAACGCCGCCAATTGTCAAATCAAACACTTGGCACTAGGATCAAGATACCAACCTAATTAATGCATAAACTAAATTCCAAATTGAAAGAAATGTAACCTTCGTCAGCTGTCCCTTGCAGAAAAGTTCTGGCCGTTGTAAAGGAAGCATAACCAACTCCTTCAGTGTATCCTTAACATTTTCCAGCGCTCCAATATCATCAAATGTCACGCCAATATCATTTGGAGGGATGACATCAGCTAGAAGTCTCTTCTCAAACTCATTCTCCGTTACAACATCCTAGGAAAACCACAAAAAGACAATTTCCATAACCACTATAGTCAAATTTTACAAGCTAAACAGAACAGATTTCCCTAGGACTTGGTATTCAACAACAAACCTTTAAAGACTTCTTTGAAGCCTTGGAATCATTCTGGAGAGCATGTACAATTCCAATTCCGTACTGAATGCTGATACAAGGGTACGTCAGTATTTTAGTTGAAATGAGTACTGAATAATTTTTCACCCATCACTATCAAGTAGGAGCAGTGTTACCTCTCGATAGACAAAACAAGCCTGCCATCTGGTTCAGCGTCAGGATTCGTCATCAGATGATGGCTTAAAGCCCATCCCACCACCTTCTCAGCACCTTCAATGAACATATTAAAACATGTTCGTTTAACTTTTATCCACAAGTTTTGCACAGTTGATGATGAAACGATATATGAGAAAAAAAATATGCAAATCAGACGAAAGAGAAACAAAACATCAACTTACTCTCATTAGTCAGTGTTTGGTCTTTGAGGCTTAATGTTTCAAGTCCATCACATGCAAGCCCATTGCGATTGAGAACCTGCACATAAGAATGTAAGGAAAGCAACTATATGCGTCAATAAAGTTATCAACACCAAGTTTACATTTTGCAGATCATGTGGTGTCCAAATATGCAAGTATATCACATGAAAGATTATTAATATTTCTTGTTTATAATGGAAAGAACCCTCACAGTGCGGAGATTATTGAGATTCGATTTCAGTTTCAAGGTCTCCGCATCTCGCTCCAACTGTTCCTTCCAACTGACTAGGAGTGCCTCCTCCTGCAATATCCATCATTTCATGGTTAAAACATCACTAAGCAATGGGCAAATAAATGGAAAAATAATATTGAGAAGTTATTTATAAACCTGAGGCATGTGAATTGTCACTTTATTGGGGAAGAGTTTGGATAGGAGCTTGGTTGCCTTTGTAACATCCCTCGACCTATCGTGCAATCTTCCAAAACTATCCTGGGATTGTGAATACCATGATCATGTTAACCAATGGTAGGATACAAATTGAAGGTTCTGTGACATCATAAATTTTTCAAAATGAACATAGCCACATCAACACAAACAAGTTGACACATACAGAAAGGGGGGAGAAGTGTGTACTAGTAGTTCATCATTTTAAAAGGCATTTCAGCGACAAGAATGATGCCGAAGAATTATTGGCTAAAGGTACGTCTCGCTGACAAGTATACTTTCCTTAATTATTCAAGCTAATATAACATATATTTTCCCATTGCCAGAGGTTTGAATACAGTAGGTTTCAAGTTAAATTAGATATATTAAATACACTTTTAAATTGTTAAGCTCTTAAAGGAGGTTTTATTTCGATGTGGTCTTAAGACAGCAAAACAGAACATCATGGTTTTGAACCTTAATGAATTACGGTTATATGAGAGAGTTTTACAAGCTAGGCTTCAGAGAAAGAACATGACTGGCAGATTAGGTAGGGAGTTGAAAGCTATTAACTATTATGTTTAAATATGTTTTGGAAGTATTAGGGAGTTTTTGGAATAGTAAAAAAGTTATAAATATATATAGATATAGATATAGATATTTGATGTGATTCAAATAAGTATGTGATGTAATGTTTTATATAGCTACCAGATTTTTTATGTATTATTTTAAATAAAAAATTTGATATGAGCAGTTAAGACAAAAGGATCATCCATATAGTAATAGATAAGGCAACCAGAGACGAAACACTAAAATATCAGTGTAGGATTAGCAGAAACCGGCAATGCAGCAAATACATGTACATACCGGAAAAGCCAAGTCCAACAAAGCAGTCTGATTACTGCCAAATTTTGTGAAAAGCAAACCACCAGGATGAGACTGCATGGAAAAACAAAAATTTAACATAAACAAATCATTTGTGTAACTGACTAGCATTTATTCTAAAAGAAGGAAAACATAATTCTTCACACTAGCATCCAAGTAGATTTGACACAAGTATGAAGATGTTCTCCCAATGACAAATGCATGGCACTGGCAGACTACATCAATGACTCCTACCTTTTCTTTGCGGCTGTCATTCTGAGTGTGTGAGCCGATAACTACAACATTATCGGGAAGTTTATCCAGCTTGGATTTGAAAAAAGCATATGACTCTGAATTTCCAGCCATAGACTTCTCGGCATCTTTCATAAACAAAATGAAAGGGAACTCTCTGCTGACTTCAAATACAGTCTAATAGCAAATAGAGAAATTGAAATTAGAATCTGACTACAAACAGACACACAGAATAATACGTTAAATGAGTTCATTTTGGGTGTATAATCTGACCTCAAACATAGTGTTAATAAGCAACTTGTCCAAATCCTCCGCCCCTGAATTGTCTGGACGAAGTTCATCAGCTAGAGAAATAATAGAACACATCAGAGAGGACAGACATATAAGAAATCAGATAGAGCAAATAGCTATGTAAACTTAGAGTTAAGCAGATTACCATTGCAGAAGAAGCCATGACCATTATCACAAATACCTCCAAAATCAACCCCATCTTGCATCGGTTTGTCGAATCTTACACCAATTTTCGACACCGGATTATCTTCGAATGGAAGAAAAACCTTCCCCCGCATTCCAGGAGTAGGACCCCTACTGAACCAAGTAAAGGCATTAGCCCACAGCATTTATCAGCAAATGAAGTGTGATAAGAGATGGAGGTGTGTAAAGATTATGTAGAGCTCCAAAATCCAATCAAAATTAAGGGGACAAAAAGTGTCTCTCTGTGGTGCATGTACATCTGAGATCATCAATAGGGCTGCAAGATGAGGCTTACTTGAAAATTATTTTCCAAGAGTCCACCATAATCAAGAAGGTAGTACAATTGACTCAGCAACATAACAAATTACTTCAACTAAAAGATATTGTTTTCCCAATTAGTAGGATTGAATATCAGTAATTTAATAATCATATATTTGTGTATGCTCTTTTAGCAACTAACAATTCAATATATTAACCTCCACTCAAATGAATTATGTGGCGCTCAACCAACTTTGCAGGATTTCTTAATGAAGAAAAAGTAGATAAATAAATAAGCAGCAGCAGCAGCTTCCTTCAAGATAACAAGCAGCAAAAAAAGTTAACTACAGATAAATCATTTACAATGGCATGCAATCGCAAAATGCAAACAAAACGCAAAGGAGATGACTGGGTGGATCCACAGTTTTAAACTAACACAAGACTACGTTTAAAAAAACAAAGAAAAGGGAATCCAAGTTAGGTCATCATCACCATATCCTCAACCCCAAAAAACAAATCAGCACAGAAATACATATATGTATAACTTGTCTAACGATATAATTAATGCAGTTTTTTTGCAGTATCTGTTCACATAAAACGCATAAAGAGACACCACTCTATAGAAAAAGACATTTAACACAATCTCTTGATAAGTGCTAATCTCCATCACAAATAAAGCCTGTAAAGAGAGATAGAGAAGCGCAAACTACCTTCCAGAGCTAGCATACGAACCACCTGAAGCTGGGCCAACAAATTTAACTCTATCGCCTGCCATTTTCAGCAGTCAGACACATAAATAGAAAGAATTGCTCAATGCTACGATGGAAGATTAAATGCTTACATAATCCAAAAGATAGTAACACTTACCCATTTTGAATGACTGGTTCTTAGCTGCATTCACCGAGGAGGGTGCATCAGCTTCCGCTCTTGGCTGCGAGTTCAAGGCAGCGGTAGCATTCGGTGAATAAGCCTCAGCTTCACCTGAGGAAATCCCAACATCATCAGTGAATGCGGGGGACTTAGATGCTTGACTTTTGGAATTGGCCACTTTTTCTGCAGTGTTATCCTCTCTTGGAAGCTTTGTATCCTTGGAACCCTGGCATGTCCATAATCAATGAATTACAATCCAATTTATAGCAAAATATAGCTTAGTTCCATCTATTTCCCATGGCCCACCACAGTCCACATGTTCCCCAAAAACCAAAACAAAAACCACCCCCAATGAAAATAGAGTTTCTAGAGGTTAATACGCTTACGTCAGTCAGATGTTTCCCTCCGACATCCAAATACAGCCCCAAATAAATGTAATCAAAATGATTGGTCAGCGAAACATAGAAAGTGAGGTGTTAACAAGACAAGGTCATGAAAAAAATGTTTCTTGACTACATTCACATGAATGTGGATAATCATTAATTTGCCATCCATTGGCTAACAAATATACTTTAGTTCCTCTTTTTCGCACCACATGTTCCCCCAGAACCGAACCAAACCTAACCCCACCCCAAATAAAAATACCGTTTTTCGTGGTTAACATGCTTACGTTGGTCAGGTGTTTCTGTCCAACATGCAGATACATCCCAGATATTAAAATAAATGTATACTTAAAATGATTGGCCAACGAAAAATAGAAACTGAAGTGCTAACAAATCAACGTCAGGAAAATATGCTACATTTTTCAACAATATTCACACAATATGTAATAATAAAACAAAATCCAGGTGGCATCCTTTAAATCTATCTTACCCCCAAAAATGAATGGCTGTCAAATATAAGCAATTTGGCGCCAAAATAATGAGCAAGTGCCTTTGCCAACATCTCCTGATAAATCTCAGACCCTGAGAAACAAATATATATACACATTAAGAATTGTAAGGGCGACAAGGTCACAAGTCATGAGTGGAAAACAATAAGAAAAATTAGAAACATGCAGACACCTGCAGGGCCATAAAGCAGAATACGTGGATTTAGAGTAGGAAGCTCAAATGTAAAATTAGCTTGTTCCTTCAACTTTAGCTGTATATATGCCGCCGCAACCAGCACATTTTTTGTGCTCTCACTGTAAATCAAATACAAATAAAAGCGATGACAAACCCTCGACAAGGGGAAAGAAAAAAACAAGACATGTATGCATGCTCTTGACTAAGATGAAGGAACTTGTACAGTCACAATAATAGCTCTTTGAACGTGGACAGCGATGGACCTACCTCAAATAGTATGGGAAATTTTCAAATGAAACATCTACATCGTTCCCGTCAAGAATCGCTGCAAGTATCCCTTCTCTAAATGCTGAGGTTCGTGAACATAGCCCAGTTACAGGAGCTGGGAGTGGCTCTTTAATCCAATCTCTTTCCTCCTGTTTGCACAAAGATTTTTATACGATTAAGTTATGAGAGTGTTGAGGCATGAAAAGCCAAAGTTTTGAGGAATTAGTCCACCCGCAGTTTATATATATTCACCTGTGAGGCGACACAATCCATGTTTCCTTCAAGAGGGAGTGTCTTGTTGGACGCTCCAACATCGGTAGCAGTTTCACTTCCTAAATTGTTAGCTGAATTAACATCTTGACCATCAAGATCATCTTTAATAATAAAAGAAGAGGAAGGTAGATATCCCAGTAAGTTTTACCATTGTTCTGAGAAGTAGCCTTGCGAGATGGTAAATCTTGCCGCAGGTTTGAAAGTGATGCCAAAATTGAAGCACCAGCTACAGCTGATGCATCTCCTGCTCGTTTCTCTACATGAGTCAACTTTCCCATGTTAGTCTGAACATCTGATGAGGAGCTCTTGATTATCCTATCATAAGTTAGCTGCTGAAAAATCTGCAAGAAGCAATTAAGGATTGCTCCAGATGGGAAAAGTATACATGAAACAAACATGGAAATAATAGTACACAAAATAAAAGGATACATATGTGTGACTTCCAAGAATGCCAAAAACCACTTCATCCCCAGAATTCAGATCACAGCTAGTATCCTTCTTGATTGCTTTTCCATTCACTTGAACACATCCTTTGCTCCCACGACTTTCAAGGACCGCCACAGGCTTATTTTCCCGCTGATGTTTTTCATCAAAATGTAACATAAATGGATGGAATAAGATATATATATATATATATAAGGCAGCAGTAGTCATCAGAACAAGTAAAATAACTTTGTCTAGTTACAGTATATTAATCAGAAGGGTTAGTAAGGGGCCAGAATCAACATCGACACAGGAAAGAAACAAGGTTTACATATAGAAATTTCTATTATGGCTTCAAGTCTGGACAGCAACATTTTTTAGTTTTTATCAAACACGTGGCATGGATTAATGACTTATATGAGCAAATCTTTCTTTCATGTTGTACTATCTAGGGCACTTGAACTGTTCTGAGATATCAAGTTGGAATTTTTCAAGAAAGCAAGTGGTGAAACTGAAGTCCAAAATGAAAGGTAAGTTCAGGCACAAATAATACCTGAATAAGCCTTATCGAACACAAGATCGAGCTAACAGGCTGATCCCGGATCGGTAAATGAGATTGCTTGCTTGAACCCACCAAGAAAATAGTAGTGTAAACGGAAATAGTCGAGCACTGAAATCAAACAAATCGCATTATTTCAACAGCTCCATAATTGGAAACCACACAAATTAGAAGAACGCAAAACCATCACTAAATTGCAGAAAGGGGGAAAAATTCACCTTTGGGGATTCTGTAATCAGCCTACACCAAGCACAGTTCGTTTCAAAACCCAGGTACTGTTTCCATGGCGGAAGAGAACTACTCGGCTTGTCCGCCGCAGCTGCCACAGCAACTGAATTTTCAGCATTCTCGACACATGCACTTTAAAAGACGAGACGAGAGAGAGAGAGAGAGAGAAACCTTCTGCAACCACTGGCGTAGCAACAGACGCGGAGGCGGTGGCGGTGGCGGTGGCGGCAGGAGTATCGGCCGGAGCGGTGGGAGCGGCAGGCAACGCAGGCGGATCAGCTGAGTTTAAATCCTTGGGATTCTCCGCCGGCGAAGGCTCCGACGCCTTGGGATTACTGCTGCTACCACTGACATCACAACTCTCGCCCTACAAACCAAAAAAAAAAAACACAACCAAAATTAACCTAGAATCAATGAGTATTCCATAAACGAACAAAGCAAAAGCTCATTATCGGTGCGTGTTTGTGAGGAGAAAGTGAGAGTATGCCTTTTGCCGCTTGGGAGAAGGCGGTCCATTGTGATTGTCGTCAGACGGCGAAGATGATCTCTTGTTGTTGCTGGGCGGAAGGGATCCACTGCGCCTTGTCCACACCATTTTTGCTTCCTGCTACTCCTCCGGAATGAATGCTGTAACTTTCTGAAGAGAGGAGTGATGAATCTGTATTGTTTTCGTATGTATAGAGCGAGAAAGAGCAGAAACTAGAGAGAGCGATACGGAAATGAAAAGGCACTAGAGTGAGGAACAGAAGGAAAAAGTTGTGGGTTTAAATACGAATAGTGATGGTGTAGGGGCAGATTTGAGATTTTAACATTGTGTACGCACGGGAGCACTGCGGCCACCGTCTGAAAGTATCGGCGGGGATCGCTATTATAGCTAAATTATAATTCGACCCCAGTATTTTTTTGGAACGGTTTCGACTCAAAGCTGATAGCCTGATATTGATTTATACGACCGCAAAAATGATCGCTATTACTCCCTCGTTTTTGGAATTAGTTCCGTCTTTTTATTATTATTATTATTATTATTGTTCCATTAAATTAATCTTATTTTTTAAAATAATAATTAATTATTAATTATTTAAATTAAAAATATAAAAATATTTATTGATATAATATTTTAAATATTAAATTAAATTTTAATTTTAATATAAAAAATAAAAATAAGTAATTATTTTAATATTTCAGAAAAGACAATATTAGTGAATAATAAAAAAATTGATTTAAATTTTATCGTAAAATATAAAAAGATTATATCGATAATATAAAAATAATATTTTATATTTAATGTTTAATTATTTTATTTTTTTTTTTAGTAGCAAAAATAAAAATAAACTCAAATACTAATACATATAAAATATAATAAATCGGAATTAATTTTGATTTCTTCGTAGTCTACAAGGAATATGAATTTTAATCTCATTCCATGATTCTAATTCCATATATCCAATCGGATTAAAAGTCCAGATTTTCAGTGTGGTCTCATTTAATTTCATAATCTCCAACATGTTTATATATTTCATATGGTATGAAGATTGAAGTGTGCATTTTCACCGGATTGATGTAATTTTTCAATGAGATGCGATTTTTCACAAAATTGATGTAAATTTTTTTATAAAATTTTTCAAACAAATTGACAAAGTTCTTCAAAATTAACCAAATAATGCTCAGGAGGTGGATCTGACTATGAATTTGAATTTATGATCTCATAGTCACAAATTCACCCTCCGTACTATCGGCTCATCCCTTACGGAACTTATAAAATACTTCATTCAATCCTCAATAATTTATCTATTTTTTTCATTTTGGTTCGTTCTATAATAAAAATATTTATTTTATTTTTTAGTAACTCTAGTATATATCTAACATTACAAATATCTTTCAAATTTACAATATATTATACAAATATAAGTTACTTTTGTATCATACAGTACTAGTAAAGTTAGGTAGTCTTTTTATTGTATCTCAATATAATACTAATATTTTTAAAATTATGGAAAAAAAAACTGATAAATAGATATGAAATTGATAAAGTATTATGGAGCGTTGAAAATATTTATTTTCAATTGAAATATATAGGTAACTAAATTACTAAAAATAAATATATATGTCAGCTTTTAAACATATAAATATTTAAAATTATTAAATACTGTATAAATCATAAATAAGGTTAGGGTGTGTTTGTTGGGGATTGGAATTTAAATATACTATTCATTCTTCTTTTTTTTCGAAAAATATCAAATTAAACATTTATTTTTTATTTTTTATATTATACTAAAAATTAATTTTACATTTAAAATATCATATCAATATCTATTTATATCACATCATACAATTATTCAAATTCAAAATTTTTACTATTCAAATTTCTAACTCAAAATCTAAATTCCAGACAAACACACCCTTCAAAGAAATACAAATATAACCAAAGCTTGCATCACACACTACTATATTTCAGTCCAAGCGGTGCAATGGCCTCATTTTAAAACTGCTGACCTCATCTGGCCCACTTAGCTGCCGTCATATACAACACTGACACGTGCCGGTAAATCTTTAATCGGCACCGTCAAAATCCGGTGACGGTTAATTTTCCGATTTGATCGATAAATTTTGGTAAGAGTCGTCCACGTTGTTCGCCCAAATTCGACTGCGTTGTATTTCAGCATTTTACCAACACGAACTTCGTTAAGGTGTTTTTCGAGGTAAGTCGATTTGATCTTCAATTTCATTGTATGCTTGTAATTTCATCCATTTTTTATTTTTATTTTTGGTACCTGTGTTGCGATTTAGCATTAGCCTTGTTTAGGTAGTGATAATCTATTCAGGGTGCTACAATGATTGAAATCCATCAATAGCTAAAACCGTATGTGTTTCAATTTTGAGATAAGTAGATTTGATCTTCTTCAATTTCATTGCATGCTTGTAGTTTCATCTGTTTTTTGCTACCTGTGTTGCGATTCAGCATTAGCTTTATTTAGGTAGTAGTGATCTATTCACAGTGCTACGATAATTGAAATCCATCAATCTACTTCCAGCTAAAAACGTCTGTATTTCAATTTCAAGTTAAGTCGATTTGATCTTCTTCAATTTCATTGTATGCTTGTAATTTCATCTGTTTTAAAACTTCTACATGTGTTGCGGTTCAGCATTAGCTTTCGTTAGGCACTGATAATTTGTTAAGAGTGGTACAATAATTAAAATCCATCAATTCACTTCCAGCTTACCGTCTGTCCGTGTTTCATGGCGGAACTTTGACAGCACTTAGCAAAACAAGCTTGTTAAGGTACATTGATTATGTGTTATTTTTTTACAAAACAAAATTAAAATAATTCAATAAAAATAAATTAATATTTTTTATATTATCCATATATTTTTTCATACTTAGGATAAAAATAATTCAAACTAAAGCATTAAACAAACTCATCATGAATCCTGTTATCAATAATTACTATTAATTTTTAATTTTTTTTTTAAATTATAAAAGATTATGTAATCAACAAAATGTTTTTTTTTTAATAAAGAATTGTATCAAATTGAGTAGAAAATATAAATATAAATACGATTTAAGACTATTATTTTATAAATAAGTTAAAAATCAATTTTAAGTACAAAATTTATTTGTTTGGTTGTAATTTGAAATTTATTTAGATATATTTTGAAAGTGTTTTAAAATTTTATATTGATCTAAGAATAATAAAAAATATATCAAAACGAAATTTAAAATCTTGATATAATACTTTAAACAAAAATAAAATATTTAGGGTGTGTTTGTTTGGGAGTTTGAATTTTGAGTTGGAATTTGAATAATAAAAGTTTTTGAATTTGAATAGTTATATGATGTGATATAAATAGGTACTGATGGGATGCGTATGTTTTGAATGTAAAATTGATAATAGGTGTTTTGAATGTAAAATTTAATATGTTTGGAGAAAAAAAATTGGATGAAATTTAGAGACAAATCCCAAACAAATACACTATTAAAACAAAAAGTGTTAATGAATGAAAGAAGTGCTTTTGAAAATGGTTAAATAATGGGACAACAGATTGTAAAATGGGCCATGACCCACTTTCGACGGAAAATGGGCCTAGAGGCCCAATATTTAATTCTATATTTGCATGGGTCCCGCTTGGTCATTGGTACAAATTGCAAATACTAAAAACCCAAAACCCTAATTTTGGAGTAGGCAACGCGAAACCCTCCGCCACACCTACACGGAGGAAGCCGAGAAAACCAGAGGGTTACGCTAGACGGAGGTTTGGCAATGGCTCTGTACGTGCTGTACGAGTCGGCGAGTGGATACGGCTTGTTCTTGGCGGACGGGATAGATGAAATCGGCCAGAACACCGAGGCCGTTCGGAGTTCGGTTTCGGACTTGAACCGGTTCGGCAAGGTTGTGAAGCTTGCCGCTTTCACTCCATTTGAGTCTGCCTTGGATGCGCTAAACCAGTGCAATGCTGTCTCCGAAGGTAGATTGGAAAATTGACGAGATATAAACTGGAACATTTTTTGTTTTTTTCTTATTCTGTGCTTGCTTAACGTTGGAGACTTTTTAGTAAACTATTGAGTTTGTGAAGTTCATCTTATGTATATCATGTGTTTTTAAATGTTTAAGAGATGGATGCATGCTTCGGTTCTTGTTGATTTATTAGGCTGCAGTATTATTGTCGCTTGTTTTTTTTATTCGTTTGGTTTTCAACTTTAAATTAGTTTTTGGAAAACTTGGTCACGCTGTTTTGCCTGTGTTCTGTGGGATTAAGGTCAAATGACTGATGAGCTGAGGAACTTTTTGGAGCTTACTTTACCCAAGGTGAAAGAAGGTAAGAAGCCTAAGTTCAGTGTGGGTGTGGCTGAGCCAAAGCTTGGATCACATATTTATGAGGTAACCAAGATACCGTGTCAGAGCAATGAGTTTGTTCTGGAGCTTCTTCGAGGTATACGGCTCCATTTTGCACGGTTTATCGACAATCTAAAGGTTTGTGATTTTTCTCTGTAATGTTTTGCTTAATTGATTGTCAAGGAACTATTTCCTGTTTTGCAATGTTGTTTGTCTGTGGGTTTACTAATTCCTTCGAACTTGAACAGCCTGGTGATTTGGAGAAAGCACAACTTGGATTGGGTCACAGTTACAGCAGAGCGAAGGTGAAGTTTAATGTGAACCGTGTTGACAATATGGTTATTCAGGCTATCTTCACTCTTGATACACTCGACAAAGATATCAATTCTTTTGCCATGAGAGTGAGGTTAGCATGCTTGCAGGACATTGTCTTTGATAGTTGTGAAATACATTTTATGCCCTTTAGAATCAGGGTTACATTCATTCATGGTTAATAATATATATGTCATACTTCATACAGAGAATGGTACTCTTGGCATTTCCCTGAGTTGGTGAAAATTATCAATGATAACTACCTGTATGCTAAGATTGCAAAATATGTGGATGATAAATCTCAATTGTCTGAGGATCATCTAGCCGGGCTGACTGAAATAGTTGGAGATGAAGATAAAGCTAAGGAGATCATAGAAGCTGCTAAAGCATCCATGGGTACATCTTTTGTTTTTTTATTTTTTTTTCTTTATTTTTTCAATTGCATTCTTTATCTTGCATATAACATTAAACTCTGTGTCTTCAGGACAGGATTTGTCTGTAGTAGATTTGATTAATGTCAAGCAATTTGCACAAAGGGTGATGGATCTTGCCGAGTACAGGAAAAAGCTATATGATTATCTTGTCGTAAAAATGAGCGACATAGCACCTAATTTAGCTGCATTGATTGGTGAAGTTGTTGGTGCCCGTTTGATTTCTCATGCTGGTAGTCTCACAAACTTGGCGAAATGTCCCTCTTCAACTCTTCAAATTCTTGGAGCGGAAAAGGCTCTCTTTAGGTAGTGCCTATATTGATTTGTCTTTGTGCTTGTTTGATTGCTTTATTGTTCGCTTCCATTGGCCTTGGAATTCAGATTGTGTGAACTTTCTTGGTTATTCAATTTTGTCTTCAGGGCATTGAAAACCCGTGGGAACACTCCCAAGTATGGTCTTATATTCCACTCTTCTTTCATTGGCCGTGCGTCTGCTAAGAATAAAGGTCGGATGGCTCGTTATCTTGCAAACAAGTGCTCCATTGCATCTCGCCTTGATTGTTTCTTAGGTAAATTAATTGTTGCTTTGGGTGTTAGTTTCTCATCTCATGAATTTAATTTACTTGCGACTCATGACATCTTTTTTCGCTACAGAGAAAAGTACTACCGCCTTTGGAGAGAAGCTCCGTGAACAAGTTGAAGAGCGGCTAGATTTCTATGATAAAGGGGTTGCTCCCCGGAAAAACATTGATGTGATGAAATCTGCTCTCGATACAGCCGTCACCAAAGGTCAAATCACTTTCACATATTCAGATTACTGTTATCATTACATAATTTATCTATGATATGACATGTTTTTCCGCATTTTAGCTGCTGCCCATTTGCTCGTGTCATTTAGATAAACAATTATCATTACAATACTCTGAAAGTGTCTGTGTTCCATCTCAAACCTTTGGCAGAGAATGATCCAACTACTGCTGTGAATGGAGATGCTAATGGTGAGCCTAAAACTGAAAAGAAGAAGAAAAAGAAAGAGAAGCGGAAAGCAGAGGAGGAAGACGAACCAGAACCAGAGCAAGCGAAGGAAGATGCGGAAATGGCAGACGCCGAAGACGGGACTGCCAAGAAGAAGAAAAAGAAAAAGACTAAAGACGAGAACTCAGAAGCTCCTCCTCCACCTGCCAGTGAAGGGAAGAAGAAGAAGAAGAAATCGAAGAGCGAAAATGGTGAGTAAATATATAGATAGATTGCAAGATGGATCTATCAAATATTTTGGTCAGAGTAGCAATGGAGGCCTGCTGGATTTAGAGTTATGGTTTTGTGGCCCCCATTTTGATTACCTATTGTCGAAAACCTTTATATCTATTACCTTTCCAAATGTGCTTTTTCCCTATTATTATTGTTATTATTTCGTTCTACTCTCGGCACTGCATGAATTGCTTACGAACTCTTATTTTTTTTTCTCACAAAATATTCTATCAAACATTATTTTCATATCAAATTCAAATCAATTTCTTTTCAAACTAAACTAAAGAAACACACCCTTGATTCTATGTGTTCTTCTATTCTACTAGTTATAGGGCTCAGTAGCCTTGATGATGGACAGATAATACATGACTACGATTAATGCAGTGTCAACTTATGTGCCATAATTTTACATTTATATTTTATGTACTGAATTCTATATATAAATTATTTAGATATTAATATAAATATATAATGTGTAATTTAAAATGATGTTTAGCTTTGAATTATTATTATTTCTTTTTTGATTTTTTGTTTTATGTGTATACAATGTATGTAATTTTGGTGATATTACTATCAAAACAACGGAGCTATAAAAACTTCATGGTAAAGGACATTTTCGGGAAAATTTTTGATGTCCACGAAAACCCAAAAATAAGTAACAGGTAACAGTAGTAAACAGGCCTAAGATATGAGAAAACATAAGTACTTAAGAACTGAAAACGTGAAACGAGGCAAAAACACCATTATTAAACGACATCCTCCAAGCTCCCAGCCTAATTATTTGTGACCTAAAAGACCACTGAGAAAGTCGATATTGATCTGACTTAGTCCACAATTTTCATGGAGAAACTGTTATTGGAAGCAAATTAGCAACATCAAGAGTGTCCGACCGGAATTTGAAAATAGGGTACCTGCGATGGAAAGATTCCGGTGATCAGCCGTCAACCGTCAATTTCACTTCGAGATGAGCGAACTCTTCGAAGAAGGCCTTGAAGTGCTGGAAAGAGTAGTTCACATCATCCACTCCACACACTTCCCGAATGCTATGCATCGACAGCTGCGGGGCGCCAACATCGACCGTGCGGATGCCCACACCGCTCGCCAAGATAGGCCCGATGGTCGAGCCACATGACGAGTCGTTACGCACGACAAAATCCTGTATGTGTTCCGCCGATTTTATGAGTTTAGACAAGAATTTTTCATGAGGTTAGCCATTCAAAGCTTGTGGATTATATATATGATGCAGCAATCCGGACCTGCACAGGGAGTTTGTGCTTTGCTGCTATCTCAGAGAACAGGAATTGTGTCACGGCGTTCGTTGCGTATTTTTGGCCTGCGTTGTTTTTAACGACAAGACCACCGTGCAGCTTTGGACGATGATTATCTTCGTGTTTTTCCTAAAAATGGAGAACGTTAGTTAAGTGTAAACGTTCAACGACAAGAAGAGTGATGTATAAATATATAGTACCATATAGTTGGGGTGCAAAGCATGCGCCATGTCGGCTGATACTAGGAAGCTCTTCTGAATAGTTTTCGGCAGCACCTACAATCAGAACAATGAATTTATTTTGGGATAAATGTATGGCATTGCATCATAATTGAAAGCATTTTTCCGAGATATGGAATTTCTCACTACCTTGGGGTCGGAGGTGAAGGAACTAGTGATTCGGGACAATGCATCAAGCATAACAGGAGATCCTGCGCCTTGCGCTGAGGCAGATCCAACTTCTTCGTGATCAAACAGGGCGATCATTCTGATTCCTGTCTCTTCATGGAGACTGGTTTCAGAGGAAGTTGAATCTATCAGTGCCTGAAATTTACATGGGAAATGGATGTCGGAGTTTTCTTTAAGTTGATGCAAAAGATCGAGCAAACTACAAACCTTTAAAGAGCAGAATGTCATGCAAAGGTTGTCCAATCTTCCGGAGTAAATGAATTCGTTCAAGGCACCACCAATGACACTTTTTTGTGTATCGCATAGTTGCAATTCTAAGTCGGAAATTTCATCAGGTTCACACCCAATCTCATCAGCAAGAAGCTGAAATATATGTGAAAGAACAAAATACAAAAAACAAATTGATCGGAATCAGTCGGGAATTAAGCAAAAAAAGAAAGGGATGCTGGATAAAAGAAGAAAGACAATGAACTACACCTACCTGCAAAAGAATCGAATGGTGCTTTTGAGTAGTTTTCGTATCAAGCTTGCTACCAACACCCGGCCCGGTTTCAGCAAGTACATTCTCAACAGCTAGTTTATTCAGCTCAGCCTGCATCATGATACAAAATCTTCAGTCAATTCACTAACATTTTAGAGTGACTCTTAAAGTGGGCATATAGAACTACAAAAATGGCATTCAGCAAAATATGATTGTACAGCGGAGAAATATAGACTCATTTTCCTTCCTTTTCATAATCAAATCATTTCATATCAAGCACCAGTACATCTGAGTCTGTTTTCACAGTAAAGATTAAAGAATCTAATCCAGGCCACAATCGATTACCTTAATTGAAGTAGCTAAGACAGGCACAAATTGAGTTTCTTTGTTAAACTTAAAAGCAGTGTTCGCATCCCTGTCAAGAAAAGTAGCAACTTGATTAATTAATGTTAATAGCCACACAAACAGATAGATATTGACAATTGTAATATCCAAATAAGCACCTATCCAAGTGGATCGCCAGAGTTGGGATACGCAGGATGGGTTTCTCAATGTGGACAAGATGGTGTGAGTAAGATTCAGAGCCAATATGATTCTTCTTAACTATTACTCGTCCAGCAACAGTGAGGTCACGGTCGAACCAAGTGTACCACAAGCCACCTCCGTAAAGTTGTACACCAACTTCCAAGTATCCACCTTTCGATACCTGAGAGAAGCAAGACATGGTTGCTCAGCAAAACAAAACGTATCAAATGAAAATTGTGCTGTATGAGGACTCACCTTTGAGATGGGCTTTAATTTAAGGCTAGGACTGTCGGTATGAGCACCTACTATGTAAACTCCGTTTCCAGCAACATATCTATGAAATACATAACCAATCCAAAAAAAAAAAAACATGAAATCCAGATATAAAGGGTCTGTTTTCGTAGACATTTTTAAACTATTTGACACTATTCATCAACAATATATATATTTTTGAATATCCTCTAGCATACTTATTCCATCTCACAAAATCAAATCAAATACTAACTTCTTACTATTTACAATTTTTGTTATTTTCTTTTTCTTTTTTTCAAAATTACAGAACTTCAAAATCTCTATCTAAATCTAAAGGGACAATACTTAAACCCTAAACATATCTCACTCACTGAAGAGCAAAATGACTTAAAATATACTTTGTTGATAAATGATAAGCTTGAGTAAAAATGATTGCATACTTTTTACCAACAGCAAAAGCAACAATTGTAGAGTGATTCCTGGTGAAGAAATATTTCTTGCCAGGTTCTAATTTCCAGTCCTTCCTCTCCGATAATTGCTCAAATCCTGCACTGCTCAGGCGCTTCTTTGCTTCATCTAATTAAAAAATTCAATGCATAAATACCAAAAGTTTCAGCTCTTTTAACAATGCTTACCAAAAATTCAACAAACTAACTCTCACAAGAAAAAAATCACTAAAACAAATGTTTGATATACATTATTTCTATGTTTCGAAGCTTTTGGAAGCGACAACTGACTTAATCTTAAAATGAATACGCGTAAGTTTTCTAACACCTAGGAATGAGCACTTCCAGTGTGGAAACAACGCCAAAGCCGAATCAACAACGGTTCCAAATCCGAAGAATTGAAGATGTATTGTAGCGATTGAACATAGCTACCAGAAAACCAGAGATGGAAGGAATCATTACCGACAGCGTGGAAAGCAGTTGGAGACGCATTCAAGAACTCCACGAAATCGACGGCGGCCGTGTTTTCCATGTGCCTAAATCCAACTCTTCACAGAGTCCACTCAGACAAAATATCCCTTTTTGGCAGAACACTTCCGATATTTATACTGAAATTCGGAAGCGATGATGACCTCAATGTTACGCCAGACACGACATATTGCAACATCGACCCGACCCGACCCAACCCGAATCGATAAACTACATGGTACAGAGGCTCAGGTGGGCCTATTTGATTAATATTGGGCTTTACATTTTAGCCTAAGTGTCTCCCAAATTCTGCAATAAATTTAAACGGGCCTTATATCTTATACATTTTGGACCCATAAGCCCAATTAAATTTATGAATAAATTTAACAAACAAATAATAATAATAATAAGTATTGAGTATTGCTTTTAATAAGATGAGCTATATATATTTGAATTTTGATGGGTTTTGTTCTTTTAATTTATGGCTTCAATTAAATAATACTAGTATTTTCTCCATTCAAAATTAATCTTTTGTTATATATATATTTTTTCTTTTGTTCAAAATTAATCTATTTGTTTTAATCTCACACAAATAAAAAAATATCCTTAAATTTTAATTATTATTATAACAATTCCATCAATTTATTTTTATTAAACTATAAAACAAATACATCTTATTCAACATAGAATTATCTATCCATTCTTTTATTGTACTACCTATAACCTATACAAGTAAATATATACAAGCATATCAAATATGAAAATAAGAAAATATTAATTTCACATAATGATGCAATAAATTTGCTCAAATAATTCCATTTATTTGACGAGTTCATCCAATCTTATCTCATTTTTCTAGCCGTTCTTATCTTTAGTAATTCTAAGGTGTGTTGTTTTATTTTTTTGTTTGAAAGAATATTTTTTTTATATAAAATATAGAGAATTATAGAAGTAATATACAAATAACAAATAACAAATGTACGTAATATTTTAATTTTTTTTTGGTAAATTATATAACACCCTTCGTGTTTTAGTAAAAATGCACATACACCTCGTATTTTATTTAAACGTGAAACCCTTCGTGTTAATGTAAAATTTGTACGAATATTTTCATTATCCAAAAATAATATTTTGTCATAAATAAAGATTTAAATTAAGTTTTATATAAATAAAAAACGTAAAATATTTAAAATAATTTTTTAAATAAAATATCTAAATAAATAATTGATTGATTTTTTATTTTATAGATATTTAAATATAAATTGTTATATGAGTATTTATTTGTTTACGTTATTTAAAATATATATATTAATTAACACAATCAATAAAATGAAAAATATTTTGCATAATTTTTACTAAAAACACAAAAAGACGTATATAATTTACCATTTTTCTGAAAAACAAATGTAGAAATTTTGGATAAAAAAACAGTACTTACGAGAAAAAAATCACTACGATACTATCTCATAGAGGGAGGATCGACGATTATTTCATCATTCCCGGAGCAATGAAGTGCGTGCATTTAACCTTAAGCAAATTAATATATGAATTAATTAATATGTAGCAGAAAAGATGCTGAAATCCCGGAAAAGGAGACAACAATGAATGACGAAGCAGCCTTACCTAAAAACATCCCGTGATTCAATTCCCACACGCCTTTAATAAGATCCGATCCGATCCTACCAATTCCCAAATCAGTCACTTCCAAACCCTAATCGATCCTCAATCCGTACCTCTTATTGCTTGCTGGTCCGAACAACAACATGACGTCGGAGTATGACTCGCCGGCGGGGGTTGTAATAAGGGGAAGGTACGACCAAGACTTCGCCGGGATTTTGACCAGAGACGCTCTCCAATTCGTCGCCGATCTGCACAGAGAATTCCGAGCCGACGTCCGCCGCGCCATGGACTGCCGGAAGGCTGCTCAGGCGAGGTACAACGCCGGCGACCTGCCGGGGTTCGACCCAGCGACGGCGGAAGTCCGCCGCGGCGATTGGGTCTGCGCGCCGCCGCCGCCCGCCGTCGTCGATCGGAGGGTGGAGATCACCGGACCGGCGGACAGAAAAATGGTCATTAACGCACTTAACTCCGGAGCCAAAGTATTCATGGTAACTACCTAATTAATTTGCAATCAATTAAATTTAAATACTTTCTTTTTCTTTTTTGTAGATTTTTATGAAAATTAATTATTGAAATATTTGTAACTGTTAAGGCTGATTTAGAAGACGCATTGTCGCCAAGTTGGGACAATGTAATGAGGGGACAAGTGAACTTAAAAGATGCTGTGGATGGGACCATAAGTTTCCATGACACGGCCCGAAACAGGGCTTACAAGCTGAACCAAATCACTGCCAAGCTCTTTGTCCGCCCGCGTGGCTGGCACATGCCCGAGGCCCATATCTTGATCGACGGCGAGCCCGCAATCGCCTGCCTAGTTGATTTCGGGCTCTACTATTTCCATAACTGGTTTACTTTTCGACGGGCTCAGGGCGAGGGGTTCGGGCCCTTCTTCTATCTCCCCAAAATGGAACATTCCAGGTCATTTTAGACTTTTTCCTTAAATTTAACTTTTAGGTGAAAATGATCATTTAAGTGTTATAGTGTAAATTTTGGATTCTTGACATGTGATTGATATTTGGACAGGGAGGCTAGGATATGGAACGGTGTGTTCGAACGTGCCGAGGCGAGCGTTGGGGTCGAGAAAGGGAGCATTAGGGCAACGGTGCTGATCGAAACGCTCCCGGCCGTGTTTCAAATGGACGAGATTCTTTACGAGCTGAGGGATCATTCGGTCGGGCTGAATTGCGGCCGTTGGGATTACATTTTCAGCTACATCAAGACATTCCAGGCTCACCCCGACCGGCTCCTCCCCGACAGGGTTCGAGTCGGGATGACTCAGCATTTTATGAAAAGTTACTCCGATTTGCTCATCTTTACGTGCCATAGGCGCGGCGTGCACGCCATGGGAGGAATGGTAATCGCAAACCAGCAATATTTATTTCTACCGTAATCACGTACATTGTACGCGTATTCCTTTATGTGATTTTTTAGGTGGAATATGTTAAAACTTATTACGAATTAAACACTAAATGTTCAAATAATTGAGATAAAAAAATAAAACTCATAAATCTAACTCGATTCAATTAGTGCTGTCGATTCAAATCTATAAATTAATTGAGGGTTTTGTGTTTTTCAAGTTGACGACGTTACCCTTTTTGAAAAAATTGTTAGGGTTTCCTCTAAATAATGAGATATAAAAAATAATGGTTGTTGCGCCTAAATTTGGAATCACAACTCTAAATTAAATTTAATTTTTTAGGTGAGATGATAGTATATGTATTCTTAAAAAAACTACTGTGGATCGTAAACAGGCGGCGCAAATCCCAATCCGGGACGATCCTGAGGCGAACCAGGCGGCCCTAGAAATGGTAAAGAAGGACAAACAGAGGGAAGTCGAGGCAGGGCACGACGGGACATGGGCAGCGCACCCGGGACTAATCCAGCCGATCACGGATGTCTTCGACGGCAAAATGGGCAAAAAAGCAAACCAAATCCAATCCATTAAGCGAGAGGACGCTGCCGGATTAACCGAGCACGACCTCCTGAAGCTTCCTGAAGGCACGCGCACCGTCGAAGGCTTTCGCCTCAACATCAGGGTCGGGATTCAGTATCTGGCGGCCTGGCTGAACGGGACGGGAGCCGTCCCGCTCTACAACCTGATGGAGGACGCGGCAACAGCGGAGATCAGCCGGGCGCAGAACTGGCAGTGGATCAAATACAGCGCCGAGTTCGACGGCGGCGGTGCGGTGGCAAATGGGGGGCTGTTTGGGGGGCTGGTGGAGGAGGAAATGGAGAAGATTGAGAAGGAAGTAGGGAAGGAGAGATTTGAGAAGGGGAAGTATGGATTGGCTTGTGAAATATTCAGGAGGCAGTGTACGGCTCCGGTGTTGGATGATTTTCTAACACTTGAGGCTTATGCTCACATTGTTAATGTTGTTGATCACTGACTTGTGGAACTGTTGTAGTACTGAAAGCGTTATTCGTGTAATAAACGGCACGGTGTCTACTGCTGAGCCGCATTTTGGTCTCGCACTTTTTTTACTTCTTGGACTGTGGTTTTGCATTGACTAATCACTATTATGTGAAAATTGACATACTGAAATTAAAAAGCATTATATTGCGCGTTTTTTTTAAGGATTTTGACAAATTTATATTACTTATATAAAGTTTTTCTTTAAAAAATATCAAATTAATTAAATAATTATTTTTTTATATTATATTAAAAATTAATTTTATATTTAAAATATTCCATTGATAAATATTTAAATCAAATTATACAACTATTCAACTTCAAATACTTTATTATTAAAATATCAGCCTAAAATAAACATATCCTACATGAATTTTTTCTTGCAAAAATATTAAATCATACGTTCATTTAATATTTTTTATTACATTAAAAATAGTTTTGCTTTAAAAAATGTTTTATATCTATTTATATTAAATTAAATAATTGTCTTAATTAACAAATTATTATTTAAAATCCATAATTACAATTTTAAAATCCACAAACAAACACACTTTTGACACACTATAGGGCTGAGTATATTATGTGGGATACTTTTAATTAAAATAGAGAACTTAAATAGGAAAAAAAAAGATTGAAAAAAACAATACAAGTAAATGAACTTTTGTTTTGGATTTGTGGTGATTTGAATATAATTTTCACTTTAGTTGTTTTTATTTTTTTGTTTTTAATTAATAATTATATTAAATACTTACTTTACTCATGTTGTGATATAGTCAACATGTTTGGAGAAGGATTATTTCTATTTACAAAAATTTTACTTCTTAAAACATACATAAAATATATTATTTAAGTCCGTTTCATAACAAAGTATCAATTGTTTTTAGTAATTGTATTATCTACTTAACATTACAAATACCTTTACAACTTATAATATATTACATAAATGTCATTACTTTTATATCACACGTACTAATAAGATTATTTTAGTCATTTCTACTTTATTCATACTATATCCCAATATAATACTAATATTTCTAAAACTACGTAAAAAAAAAAAACAAATGAATATTAACTTATATATTATAGGATATAAAAAGTAACTTATATTTAAAATATAACATCAATGTCTATTTAGATTATCCATTAAATTATTTAAATTCAAAATTAAAACTCAAAATCTTGGGGTTTGTTCTTTTTTCATTAAAAAATGAATAAGTAATCATTATTTTTATATTTTATATACAATTTTCTATATCCCAAACCTTCGACCAAAAGCATGTACTTTTAGGGTGTGTTTGTTTGAAAGATTTTGGTGGATTTCCACTGTTCATCCAATTTTTTTCCCCCAAAAACATCAAATCAAACACCTATTTTTCATTTTTTATATTATATTAAAAATCAATTTTACATTCAAAACATCACATCAACACCTATTTATATCACATCATACAACTATTCAAATTCAAAATTTTTACTATTCAAATCCCAACTCAAAATCCAAACCCCCAAACAAAAACACCCTTAATATAATATTTTGAAAACAAATATGTTTACCATGTATTTTTTTTTTTTTCTCATAAATTTAAACATAATGGTAATTATTTATTTCATTTTTTTTTTTTAGCAAATTCCTATAAAGTGTCTTTAATTTGTATTTCAAATTATAATTATTACTATTAAATAAAAACCAAACAAACTCAGAGTATATTTTACTATACAAAATACAACTTTTAAATAATTATTCAAAACAAACATATAAAATTTAAAACATCCAAAATAAACAAAGCAAACAATTACATTTTAGATATTATAATTTATTGTTATAGGAAAATGTAAAGAATGGGATCTTATCCCTACTTTGGAAAGCTTTCCAGCAAAGGGTGTTTTTGAAAGGTAATCAGATTTAGGTGTAAGGGTCGATGAATGTAGGCATGAGATGGGGTTTTTATTATATTTTAATAAATATATCATTTGATATCGAGTAAATTAAAAAACTATATATATATGTATACATATCTTTAGAAGATTTATATTGTTTATAAATTTTTATTTTTATTTAAAAAAAAACAAATAAAATAAAATTATTATTTTTAAATATTTTCAAAACTCTTTGTCTAAAATAATATAATGTTTGGGCAAAATCAATATAATTGTACTTAATCAAATGTTAATATTATATTATATTAATTAAATATAAAAAATTCACAATTGACGAAAGAATTTGAATTATTACAATTTAGTATTATGTTCATTAACTACAAACATGTATTTTTTTACCTTCTTAATTGGGATCATGTGACATAGGGTACTAAAAGTAGAAATAAATATTTATTTATCAAAGACTTTATGCACACTGCACGGCAAACGGTCCCACGTTAATCCTAATCCTTGAAATATATTAATGGGCATCAGTGAATTAACTATTATTTAAAAAAAAAAATTATAATATATATATAATAAAAATTTATAAATAAATAAATAAAATAATCGAAAGTAGGTAATTCTGCTGTCATGAAAAGCAAGTAAGCAGCCATTAATTAATTAAAAAAAATGATGTAGTGTATTTATTGTTTGTGAAATTTGGGACTCTTTTCCTCATAGGAACAGACAGCCAAAAATGGGGCAACCTCATAATTGGCCGCATTGATACGTGTCACAAACTCACTTCCCAGTGTTTATCTTAATTTAAGCTAAGGATTTATTTTTATATTTAAATTATTGATGACAACTGACTAACACTAATACTATTATTTATTTATTTATTTATTTTAAAATTTTCGAAAAGATGTTTGCTTCTTCAATTGGCAAGATTTGGACCAACTTTTTGATTGGAAGAGTGACGTGGAGGAATTTAAGTGGAAGTATTCGACCAAATCATGCATGAATATGACTGGTTTTGGTGCGCCCGCCCGTATTTGGAAACATCACGTCAGAATTATCTCTAAATAATTTTACCATTTCTGCTCGCTACTATATATAATAATATTAAAATAATACTTCTTTTGTTCCGATTATAATATTTTTTTTTACTGTAGATATAAAAATTTAAAGTGATATAATTAATAAATAATTAAAAATATATTAATAAAAATAATTATTATTTAATAAAATAATTTTAAATTAAAATTATGATAACTAATTAGTATAATTAAAATTTAAAATTTATAAATTAAAAAATTTAAAATTAAATTAAAGTGTATAATATTTTTTCAAAAAAAAGAATAACAAAATAAGTGGATAAGAAAAAATAAAAATGATTCGTATAATAAGCAGGACGAAGTGGGTATAATATAAAATAAAATTTGTTCGGGACTATAATTGATGTGTTTATTTTAGGTTTGGATTGGTATCTACCTATGGAGAGCAATAGATATTTGAATTAAAAAATGAAGGTGCTTGATGCAATAATTAAGGTTTTATTTATATAAATATTTATAATAATATTTTAAAAAATAGAGTAGGATTAAATGCTTTTTTATAAATCAATTATCCAAGTTTTAATTTTTCAATCAAAACTTCTATTTAAGCTAGATTAAGCTTTTGATATGATATTTGAATTGATTTTTATTTTTTATTTTTTTGTAATATATTAAATTAAGAATTGTATTTTTTCAATAATATGCGATAAATACAAAACCTTTAAGAAGCAAACTTATTGTTACTATACATTTCATGCGTGTTAAATAATATACACGTGTTTTGATGCTATATTGTGGTACATTTTTGTGTGCCCATTTTAGCCTTACATGGAATAATTGGATATGTTACGCCCGGTTTAGATATAATGATTTGAAAATTGAAAATTCTTGTACAATTTATAAATAGTAATATTTCAATTAAATATTAAATTCAACGTATATTTTCCGTTTAAATATTAAATTAAAATATTATTTTTTATTCAACACTGATCGTAATACAAAGTTGATAGAAGGAATGCAAATGTCATTGAATTTTTAAAATTGATATTTAAATGAGGCTGGCCCATTGATTTTGACTATTTACTATATATTGCATTTATTTAATTAAGGGTTTGATTAATTAGAGAGACAGAGAGCTTTATTTAGTCCAAGATCCTTGACCCTTCTCGAAGATATTGTTAAGATTTTATTGGTATATGTGTAGGTATGTCTCCCTGCAAATTATAAATTGATTTGTTAATACTAGATTACGTGACGTAACACTAATTTTCTACTTATAATCACATCTGGTTCTGGGTGTCGGATGATTTATAATACTCCTATGTCTCCAGTGTTTCCCATTTCAATAATCACATTTTTAATAAAATATAACTTTACTTGTTCGGGGAAATTAAATTTTAAATAAAAATAATTAAGATATACATATGTACAATATTTAAAATTTAAAAATATTTTTTGATTTCATAATTTATCTATAAATAAAATCAAAATAATATATTTGATTCAAAACTAAAAAAATAAACAATATATTTCATTCTTATAAATATTATTAAAAAACTATAATACATGTATATCAACACGATATATATAATATATATTTTATTTATTCATAAAAAATTAATAACTCAACATGAAATTTTATTTTTATCCGCTCATCGAATATACATATGTTTGTTAAATTACAATATAACAATTTTAAAAATGTTTTTTTTTTGTTTTTTATAAATACATCTACTTTATTGCCACATCAAATCATCAATATAAAAAAATATGAATAAAATTATTTTTACACTATTCTTTTTAACTATTCGCTACAAATAAAAAAGAAAAAATATTATTATTTTATAAAATCCACTCCAAATGTATTATATAATTTCAAATTGCACATTGCCAACATAAATTTCTATATCTAACCTAATATATATACTATCAAATAAAAATCACAAAGAACAAATCCAGAGTGATTATTATGCCATTATTTAATTCATGAGCATCGTCTCTTCAATAAAAGTTATAGAAACGTAACAACATGGCAATAATGTCTGTTATGTCGAGATTCTGATTCAGATTCAAAACTAATTGGAACATCTGTGTTCTTACCATCCATCCATCCATCACTTAGGATTCTTCAAATCTCCCAATGCTTTATCCTTTACCTTCAGGTTTTCCACCAAATATTTTCTTCCAGATTCTTTTTCATTAACGTCAATAATATATAGTTTCACCAAAGCTTCTCATAAAAAAGAATATATATATATATATATATATAACACTATAAAATATAATAATAATAAAAAAAGGTTTTCCCCTTTAGTAATTGGAAAGAAATCGATCAAAGGCACAATAATTGTGCTGGTATTAATATAATTCACAAATAAATAAATAAATAAAACAGTCGAATATGAATAAAAATAGGTTAGATTTGATTATGATATGTTCTCCCCAACATACATAGAATTTACCTATCACAACATTATTGCATTAAATCATGGTTTGATGATAGAATTGTCTACTAACTTATTTATTCTACTAAATAAATATAAATAATATTAATCTCGTCCCATTCAAATGTATTATTTTTATTTATTTCATTAAAAAAAATAAATTATTTTTTAGTATTATAGTAGATCAACCAGTTGTTCTTTGGCTTACTCATGGCTAAAAGAACCTGCTCTGGTAGCAAAACTATTTTTGGGCTAATACTAATATTTAATTATTATTATTTTTTATATAAATCACAAATATATTAATAATCTTACAAATCAATAAAATACTAATTTCTCTGTCATATAAATGCAGTGTTTAAAATTTGTGAACATTACTTTTGTACTTTTTATAAGAGTACAATTAAATTTTTTATAAGGTTAATATAACATTTCATTTAAGATAGAATACGTGTAAGAAATATACAATATTGTTTAAATGAATGTAGAAATCATGGATATATTTTTTTTTAATATTTTTGAGTAACGTATATAAAACTTGACTTATTTTTATTTCTTCATTTTTATTCTTCTTTCATATACAGGAAAAAAAAACCGAATATTGATAAATGATGTGGTATGTTTATCTATTAATTTTTTGTAATATTCAATTTTTATGAATTTTTAAAAGTACGCTTTTGAATTTTATAAAATTTCACATTTAATTTAATATTGAAATATTTAATTTTTATATTTTTCTAAAAATTACATTGTTTGATTTTAAATCATATATAATTTATTATTCAAACAAAAAAGTCACCCACAATATTTTACAATGAATTCTCACTCACTAAAATATTTACATGATTCATTATATTTTTCTTGATCGATTAAATATACTGCCATATTTTTATATTTTTATCTGAATTTAATATTTTATTAAAATAAATAGATAAATCTAATTCTCTATTAATTTTTCTATGCAATTTTATCCTTTATAACGATGATTGAACAAGGTAAAAAACTTGTGTTAAATTTTGATTTCAATAATATAGGTACGTGCGACCAAAATATCTGACTGCCAAACCAAACCAAACATGTCCTAACGCAATCTAAGCTAAATACGGACTGTTCCCCGCCGGGACGAGTCAAAGCAAGCTCATCGGGCCGTACACGTGGCGCGATCGGAGCGGCGATCCCGGTGGTGGCACCGAATGCGAAGCGAACACGTATGTGTTATTCTGGAAGTTCCAACGCCGCACACGAGACCCCAGGCGTAGAGCCCTACGTGCCCCTACCCTTCTGCCACTCCCTCAATTCTCATTGGCCACTGCCCTATTCTCCTCTCCTATTGGCTGCCTTTCCTACTCCCACGTGGGCCCCGCACCACGCCTATGCGCCACGTATCATCCCTACCACCAACCGCCTCCCTCACACGTGTGCCACTTCGAACCTCTCCTCGCACGTGCCGCCCTCTTCCCTGTTCCTTCTATAAATCCAACCCTAGTAATTATTAAAGAATTGCAGTTGCAGGCAGACAGGCAGCCATTTTTAGGGTTTTAATTTTTTGGAGAGATCGGAATGGATCAGAGGGGAGGTTGCTGCATCGCGAGGTACGCCGGTGGAGCGTACGATATGTCGAAGGTGGATCGGATAATGCAGAGATTTCGTCCTATTGCTCCCAAGCCAGCGTCCGGTGGCGGATCTGTTTCCGGCGGGGGAAGTTGCGGTTCCGGTGCGGCAGAGAAGTGTGGAGTGGCGGTGAAGAGTGTGGGACGGGGGAAGAAGAGGCGTGCGTGTAGAGATAGCGAGAATCTGAATAGTAGCGTGAGTAAGAGGAATAAGAGTGGGAGTAATACGAGGAGGAGGAAGGAGAGATCGAATTCCGGCGGATCTGTTTACGGCGGTGGAGATGAGAGCGTTAGAACTCTGAAGTTGCTGCCGGAGATGCCGGAGGTTAACGGAGGAGGGAAGACGGTAGCGGCGCAGCGGATTAATCGTCCTCTGTGGCTGAGCTTCGAGAATGGTGGGAAAGGGGGGGAGATAATGGAGTCTCCGGCGGTGGCGCGGCGGGTGGTGCTGTGGTCGTGGGTGAAGGTGGAATGCGTGACGGACACGTGGGGGGTTGGCTGTGGTGCGTACTGGAATCTGGGGCGTACGGATGAGGAGAGGTTGCGTAGTCTGGATGGTGACACGTGTCCCGGGCTGATATCGGACGGTCTGAATCGGGTGAGATGGATGAATGCGGAGTACCGGCGGATGGTGTCGGTGGACGGGGAGGGGGAGGTGGTGGCGTGGGTGGTGATGGAGGATGGGGTGGCGGTGCCGCCGGGGAAGTGCGTGGGGTTCACGTGCCGGGTGAAGGTGGTCACGTGGGCGAACCGGAAGAGCATCAAAACGGTGCCGTGTGACGTTTGGAGAATGGACTGTGGAGGGTTTGCATGGAGACTGGACACCACTGCTGCACTCTCTCTGTCTCTCTAATTACAATTAATTAATTATTAACTATAACTATTACACTCATAATCATAATTTACAAAAATGGTCTTCGAAGTTCATGCAGCCCCCTGATGTCACAACGCTCCCATGAAATGTAAATATGCGTTTTTTTTTTTTTTTTGTAAATTATAGTTTGATTATGGAAATTATGTTTGTTTTTTTTTTTTGGTTGATCTAATATGCTGTTGTCTTGATCATGTTTAAAGTGAGTACAACGTATGATGGTGTGCATGTGCTGCTGCTTCTTTTATTATCCTCTATTTTATTTTACTTATTTTTCAATATTCTCCGGGTACATGATAATTCTATAAACTATTAATATAATGAATATTTGAGGTTTTTATTTTAATTTTAAAATAAATCTAAAAGTGATAAACGGATATATGTACAGTTTTAGTATTTGAAGTAATTCGCACTGATTGAATAGAAGGTGGCTGCTTCTATTCTAAATAAGATAGTACAGTATATTTTGAATAATAATAATATATATGCACATGTATTTTACATTGCATAGTTAAAGAAACATGTGATCTTATTTATGTAAGTTTTCCTACCATAACAATTCAAACATGTAACTTTATAGTCCTCATCAATTCGGCCAATGCAATAAGTATGGGTACATTATATATTTGAATGTGAGTAAAATTATACTCGCCAATCAAGGGTTGGATTTGTCTGTCCAGTCATTAAAATTTTAATATATTTATTTTCAGAAATAATAAAATTTTTGATATGTGATCACTTGATGTGATTTTTTATTTTTTTTTAAAAAAATGTTTATTTAAAAGGATCCCTAGCCATTCATCTGCACATGACTTTGCCTGGCATTCCCATAGCCTAAATAGATGGGATGGTATATAAAATGCTGTTTCATTGGATCCACTGGTTTTGGTGCAATCTGTCATTAGTTCATGTTTGTTTTTAATGTTCATTTACACAAAATTTCAGAAAAATATATTATTATTTTTTAAATATCACATTAAAAAAATCACCATAAACTCTTTTGGAATGTGGGAAGTGGGAACCCATATTATTTAGGGTTGGTTATTAATTTATTATTATTATTACTGGAGTCGTAAGGTTTTGAATTTCATTTAAATAGTATTTTATAAAAATAATTTAATTTTTTTGAAAAAATGGAAGAGATCATTTTTATTTTAAAATATAAATTAAACATATTCCTCAGTATTGACCATGGTTAAATGGTCTGGGTTATGCTAAATGATGGAGTGATTATGACTCTTTTTACCTAACTAATTTTCATTTATTTGGAATTATTTATTTTGAAAAAAATATCACCTCAAATATATATTCTTACGAAACATCAAATAAAATACTAATTTTTTATTATTTTATTATTTTTATAATTTTAAAAATTTCCAAAAACCTACCTCTATTTAAACGGAGCCTAATATATATGGGTCAGGCTACAATTGGATTGTGGCCATGTTGGGCCTAAAAGTTTGGGCTATTTGGCTTTGGAAGCATTTCTTTGGGCTAATATGGAAATACCTTTTCTTACTAATATTTAGGGTGTGCTTGTTTGAGAATTTTGCAAAAAAAATCACTATTCATCTAATTTTTTTTTAAAAAAATATCAAATCAAATATTTGTTTTTTATTTTTTATATTATTCTAAAATAAATTTTACATTCAAAATATCATATCAATACCTATTTATATCACATTATAATTCAAAATTTTTACTATTCAAATCTCTAACTCAAAATCCAAACCTCAGGACAAACACACCCTTAATATGATAGTAATAAATGATTACGATACGTTTGAGTATTTAATGATCTGATTTCATACTAAGGAATCCATTTATTCATATTTTATAATTTCTATAATATATTGGAAAAACTAAAAAAATTTATAATTTAGTTGTGTAATTGGTATATTTTATTAATTAGATTATTTAAATGAATTGTGTTTACATTCTATATCGTTTCAATAATCTTAATTTTTCAAGGGTTGCTATTTTTATAGACGTGATTATTTTATAACAAAACATATTTGTTAGTGGCTAGAAATTGATATTATTGATATATATATATTTATATTATTTTTTAAATATTTTAATAGAAGAAATAATATATTTTATGAAAAATAATGTTTATGAATGAAAATAACACTCTAATTAATTGTGATTAGTGAAATAATTTTAAAAAGATTTAAAATAGAATTTTTTTATTTAATTATTTTTTAAAATTATGTTCCACTAATAGGAGTACATATATTTTGATTTTATTAATATAAATATATACTTAGATGATGCTAAAAATTAATAGTAATATAATTTAATATCAAAATAGAGAATAACGTAATTAACACGTGTTTGCGAATGATACGACGTCGCATCACACATCATATCCCAATCCCAGCGTCCGGATTCAGATCCCGTCGGCACTGTTAATTGGCTGCACCAAGTTGGATGTTCGTATGCGAGGCAACTTTCGCCGGCGATCCCTGGCTGCCCGGACGTGTCGGGGAGTCCTAATCCTGTAAGTCATGTTCATCACTATCTCCACATATTCGTTTATGTTTTCAATTGTTCGTTATTGTTGTTGGCGTTTTGTATTGGGTTATAGAATTTCTGCGAAAGATATCGCTCTAGGGTTTGTTACAATCGTATTGGACCCATTACTCGTTTACTCTTTCACACCGGACATCGTTGGTTTGTTTTTTCGTGTTTCTTTATCGATGCGATTTCCGTTAGGCGCTGTTCGTAAATTTTCGGTCTAGGGTTTTGATTTTGCGTTCCCTTCGTTTTCTCTGTTCGTTGGAATCGTATTGAACCATCATTCGTAGACCCCTGTACACCGGCCAGTCGATGATACGTTTTCTCCTTTTTTCTTAATCGAATTCTATTTTGATTCGTTGCTGCCGTCGTTTTATTGAATCGAATAGATGATGATAAATGTTTCTTTGGATTTTAATACGGAAAACATAAATTTTCTGGCTTGTGATTTGATTGATTTGAATTCGAATATGTTTGTAAACGACTTAGAACGAATGGGAAGTCAAGATTTATGAGGGATGGAAAATGACAGCATTTTGAGCATGAGATGTTCTGTATTATTTTAAAGTTAAGGTGTTTTGTTAAATTGTTTTTGAAGGTTTGACCTTATAGTCATAGAGAAGTTTCTTAGTAGCACTGGTTTTGATATGTATAAATATTGGAGTTTATTATTATGGCACTGATTATAGATTATACCTGTAGATTACTTGAGGAACTGTGGATAAAAAAGGTTATTGAAATCTGGCTTGGGTGATACAATGGGAAAAGCACGCAAAGTTTCAAAGGGTCACTTTACTGGCTTTGTGCCAAATTACCGTCATGCAGTTGAAACAGTGGCAGAATCTGAAGGTTTTGGAAGTTCTGGCCATGTGGATGAAGGGTCTACCACTTCACAGGGATCGTGTGGTCATAATAGGAAATCTGTTGGCTCAGACATTGGTGGTTTCGATATCTTTAATTTGCCATATAAGCTCCTGCCACTATCTAAGATGTCTCATTTGGAAAGGAGGGAGTTAGAGGTGAAGTTGAAGTATGAACTCGAACAAGTTATGAATCTTCAGAGGAAGGTAGCTTCTTTGGGCTCAGATGCCATGATGAACCCACCAGCTTTTGATGTTAGTAGTTATCAACATGGGCCAAAGAGACAAGTTATGATAGAAAGTTTGCCAACGTCTACTAGTGATGTACCTGCATTGACAGGGAAGAAAAAACGTCCTCCTGGGAAAAATGGTCCCCGCACCAAAAGTGGGGCGGCCTCAGTAAGGAAAAGTGAACCAATTAAGCAGCAGAGTCTTCCCCTCAATACTGGTTCTTTTGCGTTGATAAAACAGTGTGAGACATTGTTGGCACGTCTGATGGTTCATCAACATGCTTGGGTTTTTAACGAGCCAGTTGATATTGTGAAACATAATATCCCAGATTATTTCAACATTATTAAGCATCCCATGGATTTAGGAACAGTTAAAAGGAAGTTACTTTCGAATCAATATTCCAACCCGATGGAGTTTGCTTCCGATGTGAGGCTCACATTCAAGAATGCAATGACTTATAATCCACCAGGACATGATGTCCACTACATGGCTGAGGTAATGAGTAAATACTTTGAAGTGAGATGGAAACCGATTGAGAAGAAATTTCCATCCCCAGCAGATGAGTCCACTCCGTCAAAATCAAGTGTCATAATAGAACCTGAAAGTGCATATGTGCCTCCTGCCAAGAAGCAAAAGACCAAAGCTGTAGAAAATAAGGTTAAGAATGAAATGGATAAGCCGGTGATGAGTGATGTTGAGAAACAAAAGTTGGGTACAGAGTTGGAGGAATCATTGGCAGAATTGCCTGATAATGTAATCAACTTTCTGAAGGAGTGCACGCTGAACGGTGCTGCAGCAGCTGATGAAGAGATTGAAATTGACATTGATTCTCTTAGTGATGATACACTCTTCACATTAAGGAAACTTTTGGATGATTTTCTTTTGGAGAAACAAAAAAAGCAGGCAATGATTCAGCCCTGCGAAACAGAGGTAAGCTTGTGCAGATGCTGATTTGTATATTGAATTCTGTCTTATTCCATTTAACAATTCTTTTTGATATTTATAATTCTTCTTTTGCATATATCATGCAGATGCAAAAGGAGTCTGGTTTTAGCAATTTATCTGTCCCACCTTGCAAAGGTAAATTTATTTTCTGCAGATGAAATTTTATTTCATATGGTCTCTTCATCTGTTTTCACATGACACTTGTTTTCTGTCATTGACTTCCACCACACACCAATCATCAGACAATGAGTTAGCTGACGAGGATGTGGATATTGGCGGGAATGATCCACCACCCCTATCTAGTTCTCCTGTGAAAATTGATAAGGATGCTGATCAAAGGAAAGACTGCCAGTCTAGCTCTACTAGTGATTCAGGCTCTTCATCATCTGGTTTGTGCTGTTATTAATTTTGCTCTTTTACTGTTACCTCATTGATGTTTTACTGGTATGGTTATAAAGTACCTGAAATAGTCAACATATGGAGCCTAATTTTCCCTGAAGTCATGATTATAATATAGTTGGGTGTAGGTTTGATTCCACATTGAATTGGAGTGTGTAATTGTTGATTACAGTTCTCTTTTAGTTGCCTTGTTTTCATCTTGTTTATTTCCTTTGCCATAGCATTTCTCTTTCTATGTTTCTCTTTTAATGTGTACAAAGATGAAGAAGGTTTGGGTTTGGTACCAGTGTTTCTTTTCTGAAAGCGAACCATAACTGAAACGCAAGCATAAAATCATTGAAAAACTGCATCACACACTGTACATAAGTAATTATTTCTTTTTTATAGGGAGACACTCACTTCTCGTGACTTGCTTATGAGCTCTCTAAGAACTAGTGCGCTGTTAAGTTCCTAATGTATCAATGATTGCAGCGTCAACCTTCTTATTAGCATGCGGAATATGCTCTGGTGCTATGAAGAATGAAACATGCTATTGCCATTGTGTTTGCTTATAAAATGTTTTAGTTATATGGTGTTCATTTTTCCGTCCAGATACAAATTCTGAAGATTCTTCTGCCAATGAAACTGATCAAGTCAAAAATTCCGTTCCTCCGTGTTCCTTGATTGTATGCCTTTTATTTAAGTCGTCCACCTCGTTCTCTATCTTCAATATTATTGTGTGCATAATAGCTTGTCTTGCCTTGTCTGTGTTATTTAGGCTACTGGTGATACTAAAGCAGATCAGACAGAACATGTTCTGAACATTGGAGGTCAGTAGGCCCTTCTGGCTTCGGCAAAATAGATTTTGGTTGTTATATTTGCAAATCTAATGTAAAAAGGGTTATTTGCCGATTATGCAGAGCAAAATCCTGAGTTGAACTCCTCTAATGAGGGTAAGCAGTGGTATCTAGTGATGAAAAATCATTTCTTTAGTTGAGCAGCATAAACTCAACAGCATGCTGTGTGATATTTTAGGGGAGAGTGCCCAACCTGAAAGACAAGCCTCCCCTGATAAGCTATACCGTGCTGCTTTATTGCGAAGCCGATATGCAGATATCATAATTAAAGCCCAAGAGAATTCCATTGATAAAGTATGCTAACTCTAGTTTGTCTGCAATGTTGCACTCTGTTCCATTGTTACCCCTTTGTGATTATGGCATTGGAAACATTTCAGGGGGAAAAACTGGATACTGAGAAACTGAAGCTTGAGAAAGGGGAGCTTGAAAGGAGACGGCGAGAAGGTTTCAAATTAATGAAATCGATTGTGATTGCCTAAAACTGTTAGCTTAAGTTAGTACTGACAGCGTCATGGTCTCCTGTGTTACCAGAGAAAGCTCGATTGCAAGCAGAGGCCAAAGTTGCAGAGGAGGCTAGAAAGAGAGCCGAAGCAGAAGCTGCAGCAGAAGCCAAAAGGAAAAGAGAACTTGAAAGAGAAGCTGCACGTCAAGCTTTGCTACAGGTAAAAAGTACATTTTTGTTTGTTTAACTCTTTAAGCACTTCTCATAGCATTTTGTTATTAACAGATGGAGAAGACTGTAGATATCAACGAGAACAGCCAATTCATTGAAGATCTGGAGATGTTTAAGGGTGCACCGGATGACCACTTACGGCACTTGATAGAGGAGACAAGCCCTGAAATTTCTCAAAATGGTCTCGGAAGTTTCAAGCTCCGGGGAAGTACCAATCCATTGGAGCAACTCGGACTGTTCATGAAGAATGATGAGGAGGAAGAAGATGAAGTCAATCTTTCAAGTATCAACCAATCTTCAGATGATCCCAAAGTAGGAGTTGATCCATTCCAAGGGGTAAATGAGAACTAAAATGGAATATATCTTTTTCATTTTTGAAAATTTTTTTACCTCAGTGTCTTTCATGATTCACTATTCCTAGCCACGTAAAGCTGAACTTGCGTCAAGAGTTCGATATTTGTTGCGGTTGCTTTTATATATAAACTGTTTGATGCAACACTTGATGTCCCTTCTCTCTTGGCTTCCTCAGGGTTGATGAAGTACACAGACACCAGGCGGAAATAGGTTGGTTCTTTGAATTCATTATTGTTATTATTAATTTTTCACGGGAAAATTTCATCTCTACATATCGTAGAGGGAAATAAAAACAGATGGATCAATGATCAGTAGGCAATGCCGGAGTAGATTTATATGTAGCGGTGCTCTTGTAATGGACATCCCATCTCATGTTTATTGGAGGTGTGTAATGACCAATAACTTGATCTATATAGTTTAGATTCATTTTACATGAGCTGAGCAACTAATACAGGGGATGAGTACAAAGCAATAGTCCACCTGATTTGATTCTGTTTTGTTGTCTATACACTTCAAACAATAAGTCCTCATTATTCTCAAGTCTTTTGTACTCGCCCATGTCAAAGCTATCTTTGTTGCCATTCCTGCTTTCACTTGTGCCCTGTTTCCTGCCCATCTGGGGGCTCTCGAATATACCGGGACTCCAGCTGCCATGGCTGCTAACCGAACACATGCTTTCGTCGTTAAACTGGACCATGCCCTGTATGAAATAATGTTAAATTTAGGTGAACATTTCTAATAATAGGGCTAAAAGCAACACTTAAGAATCTTATGTAAGAATTATATGATGCCTTTTGTAGTGCAGCTTTTGGAGTATGTCCCAACTGAAAACTATCATGGCTGGTTTCCCATTCCAGCCATGGCAAAATAACGCCTTCCATTTCGACAGGGGCCGGGTAAGATTCAGTCCCAACAGTTACAGAATTCTGTGACTTCATCGTCCCTCCTAAACTCGAGCTTGTTTCGTCGTTGAGGAAAGACATGCCACCATCTTCAACATTACAGATGAAGTCCTCGAAGATTTGCTCCGCCTCCTCGATCAAATTCTCCGGTCTCTTTATCAGCATAAAAAATAGTTGGACATGTTATCACACTCTAATAACATTGCAAGTCTGAGAAGCTAAAATCTTTTTCATCCAAGAAAAAACATAAGGGCACCTCTTCTGACTTCTTCGGTGGACATGTTTCTTTTTCTTCGAAGCTTTCTGATTGCGAATTCTCAAGAACTGTTTGATTAATTCCCATTTTCTGCACAAACAACAAGTTGTTCAATAAATAACCAGACATGTTTAGCCATAAAAAACAATCCAAGCTTTATGTTTGTCCACCTGGTTTAGTTCAGTGCAGATATCTTCAACAGCACATCGGATTTCTTTCCTCATCACTTCATATAATCCACCATTTGCAGCATCCGCCGAAGGGTAATCGCACTGAAATCAAAATTCATATGAGAATGAAGGGAAAACACAAAAATAATAGCATCAGAATGCTGTTAGTCTTAGGCAAGGCCATGACCTTCTCAGCATAAACTTCTCGAATTATCTTCTCAAATCCATTTTTCCCAAATTGACTATCCTTCCAATCATCGTCAGTTAGTGCAGAAGGGTGACTCTGGTTATCCATGAGTAAAACGTAGTCAATTTGTGATATGAATAGCCAAATACATTTTTATATATTGCAAGTAAGAGAAGAAGATCTCACAGAGTAGCCATCGTGCAAAATGGAGATGTTCTTATGGCTTCTAGATCTTCCTAAACGCCGATTGCTGGAAGGCGTTGCATTCCGTCCCGAAGAATTTTGGTTGTTCCAACTACCAAGAGCTTTCGCAGCGGCAGATTTGCTTGAATCTCGAAAACTATCCACTTCACTCTGAAATTGAAGGTAAATCGCTATTCAATAAATTTTTAGGTCATCGGGGTAAATCGCTATTCAATGGCCAGATGAATTCTCCTGCATTCGCCATTGGAGTTAAGAATTCGAGGTATAGTTATAACATAACGCACCTCGGAGTCGCTAATCTGATACCTGGCCACCGATAGAGACCGCCGGCGCCGGGAGCCGGAGCCGGAGCCTACCTCATTTGAAATAACATTTTTACCCCCAGAAGTGGAACTACCGGAAACGCCAATGCCGCTTGCACGGGTCCGGGACACCGAACGCGCTCTTCTCCTAGACGACGCCGTATCGCTCGCCCACCGTCCAAGGCGAGAACCAGACCGGCCCGGCCTCTCCTTCCGGTCCGGCGGTTCGTCGCTCTCGTTGGAAGAGGAGAAGAACTCCAGCGCCAGATCATCTAAGCAGATGGGCGCTCCCGACCCTCTCTTTGTGTTGACGAACTTCCCCCTCGGCGCGTTCCTGTGGTAGTCGGCGTCGGTCTCCGGGGATGATTGGCTGAGGCCGCTGCCGGAGGCGGCGAAAGGCCTCTTGGTGGCGGATTTGAAGGAGGAAGTGGCCATCGGAATGGAGATTGAACTTGAAATTGAAGTAATAAATAATTGAAGGATTTTGCTGTTATGGCGGACAATACGATTTATTCATTTTCAAAATTGAAAATTCGTGGGCCGTTGGTTGCCCTATTTATTTATTTTTCTATATTTTAAATATAGAAACTAAAATGTCTAGTAAACCAATACTTTGGTTTACCATAGCGTACCCACATATTAAAAGAGACGAAAAATATTGTTATTTTTATTTGAATAATAATTTAAATATAATATTTTTATAAGTAATTTTTAAAATGAAATTAAATAATAAAACATTTTAAATAAACATATTTTATACATACAAAATTATGTATTTCATAATTTCAATTTCTGTGATTTAAACAAACAATATTTTTATTTATCTGTCACACTTTTATCTACCAAACACACACAAGGAAATTTGGAAAGGAGATTTTACGCTAAGATTGTCACGTAATGTTTATGACCAGAGTCACGTGCAATGCAGGTGGTGTTTAATTTCTGTGGACATTTGTGTATACACTACTACTACTACTTCTAAAAACGGCAACACGGCCGTGTTTCCTTTTGCTGTGGTTCTGAACTATTTGTTGATTTCCAGTGTTTCCATGGTGTCTTCAAGCATGTTCACCCACGCTTCGATCCCTTTCCCGTCGGATCTGCTCATCAGTATCACCAAATTCTTGAATGGCAATGGCGTCGTGCACACCCACGCTGGCTTCCCCCACCCGTAATCCACTTCGTACAGCGGGAACCTACACCAACTGCTGAAATTGCACATGCTCGTTCCTTCCTGCTTCACCAGGGCTCCAATATTCTGCCTTAGGGTTAGGTATTCCCCTCCTCTGCTGCTCTGGATTTTTCTTATATAATCGCCGTCGATTTTTCTGATTGCGTTCCTTAGCAGGTGTGCTAGATGGTGCAATTCGTGGCCTTCCTGGTCTCCGTCGGCGTACGCCGGCGCTATCATGTAGCAATTGCCGAAGGCTTCGTCGTCTCTGAGCGGAGGCGCCATTCGAGGCCTCATATTCACAGGGTGAAGCGTCGCGAAGGTCGTGTATCGATTGCATCGATTTTGTTCGATGAAATGCCTCCAAATAGAAGCCGACACAGCTTCCACTCTACTCGGATCCTTCACCTCCGACCCCTGCGCCGTCGCAATTGAAGTCTTCAAGGACGTTAGCTTCTGATTATCGTAAATGAATCGTCTCGTCACAATTTTCTCACTGGAAATGCCTTTGGACGGGTTCAGATCAAGTCCAGGCATGTCGACAGGGAGGAATTGCTCCGCCAGGACATGGAAGTTGGGAGCAACAACGCCGGCAGCTTCCCCGCGGCATATAGCCGCCCATGCTTGCATAAACATTGCCAACGAAGTTCCGTCTGCTACTTTATGCGACAGGCAAACTGCCACAGCGATTCCTCCACAATCAAAGAGATTAGCCTGCACTAACAGGACAGCTGCTTCACTCTGTCGAGGATGGTGCTGTGGCTGCACAGGTAGATACTCTCTGAGCTCATCCACATCAGGATCTTGTATGACATCTCTTAGCTGAGTGTGAACACAAGCTTTGATGAATTCAGCACCTTTGTCATTGCATTCAATGAATCTATTGCCCTCTCGAATTCGCCCTGCCAGTGGGTAGAACATTGTTAGAGTATTGGATAAGGACTTCTTGAGGCGGATGAGCATATCATCGGGGCGAAACTGTTCAGGTTGATTGGCTGTGTAGAAGAATATAAAGGGAGTGTATATTGGGACAGATACTTGATCAAGAAAGGAAAGTTTCAACTCCCTGAGGTGCAGTGGAGTTGGAGATGACGGCTGGATTGTTTCTCTGGAGATGATCTCCACTCGTTTCTCCATCTTCACAACTTGTAAGTTCTTGCTTGAACTCAGTTGCAGATCCTCCTTTTATACATTACATATATGCCTCTATTATTCACATGATTCTCATTGGCTAGACTAAAGTGACATTTTACAACATTATGCTAATATTACAATATTACATCTCCACTATTCAAAGATTCACATTGGCTAGACTAAGTTGAATAATTAGAACATCATGCTAACATTGCAATATTACATGCCCACTATTCACATATTCACATTGGCTAGACTAAACTAAAATTTTACAACATTTTTGCTAATATTACAATATTGCATGTCCACTATTTACATGAATTCAGTTGTAGATCCTCCTTTGAACACTGTTGGATTAGGCCCATATAGTTATGATTAGTTTAGCTTAGGAGTTTAGGCTATGCATATTTTCTTTTGTTACTCCTTAGTATGTAATTTTACGTATTGAGAACACAAAATATGTATTTTACACGATATAGAATACATATTTACAAGTACATGATGGGTTGATTAGGGTAGATAATATTATTTTTTCCATCCTAAATACTTATTTACTTTAACTTATTAAAATCTAGAATTGATTAAAGTCCACATAGTAACACACTAATTACGGATAATTAATCCTAGATGAGTGAAATTAATTTATCCCAAATAATATCTGTACTAAAACTATTTACATGAGTTGCATTGGCTATGCTAAGTATTAAAATACCAGACAACATTATGCTAATTTAGTCCGTTGCCTAAGGTGAAGAAGATAGAATGAATTTTTGGCTTCATCTATAATATCCAATTTTTAAACTGCAAGGGTGTTTGATGATCTTTTGCTTTTAAGTTTTTACTATTCATAATTGTTTTTTCTCCTACAGAAGTTGTCTCAATACATAATATCATATAATAAATCCGGGAGTTGTACAGTCATTTTAAGTTGGTTACGGCTATGAAGCCTTCCCTCTAGGTTCTATGCATATGTTTGTTTGGCGTCTTCTTTAGAAAGAAGGTAGATTGTCAATTTGAATAGGTGTCGATGTTGTTATTATTTAAATGTAAAATTGATTTTTTGTATAATATAAAAAATAAAAAATAAGTGTTTGATGCGTGCTAAACAGGGCTGTCCCGTTGACGGCGAACTAGACGAGGCTGTGTGTAACCAGGTTTGGAGAGTATCTGAACTTTGAGATAAGCATATTTACGTTTACATTTGTGTTGAATTAGTGTTAACATCAGGTTAGATGGGTACGGCAGTGTCCTATCATCTTTGCAAGAAAACTGCTGCTGTTACATATGGTGCTGTGTTCACATTTTTTTTGTTTTGTTTTTCATCCCCCATTTGATTAAGAAAAGGCTGCTTAGTTTACTTTAATACTTTTCTCCAAAGTGTTGACTCTGCAATCATTTTTATGTTAACACGTTTAGATAATTAATTACTTTCTGACTTTTTTTGCCAGAAGTCAAATAATGTATGCTGGTGGGATGCTGGCAAAGAAAACTTTCGTGGTTAAGTCTCTAGTTGAGTAGGAAATTGTCTGATCGAATAGGGAGGGCACCAGGACGAGTTAGAGTGGACCCATCCTGACCAACCTCAATAAGCAGGTCCACATATTTTGATTTAAAAGTCCTATTGTGCTTCTTTTATGCTTATAAATTTGATTTTTTTTTTTTTTATTTAAGTGGCATGTGATTTAATATTTTTGTAAGAATATGTACATATATAAATTTAGAAATATAAAGGCCAGATAGTGAAATATTAATAATGATTCTATAACAGACTGAAAAACAAACACGCTTTGGGGTGGGTATACTACCTTATCTGCTTTGGTTAAAAATAATAATGATTCTATAAGAGACTTAGAGCGACAATGATGTGTAAGAGATACATTGCATGTGTGTAAGTGACCCTGTTCTTGTTTTATTCTCTCTAATATTCTTTCCTTCCCAAACCCAATTCTCATACTTATTTTATACATAGTTTTGTTTGGTAGTTGTTATTATAATTATTATTTTCTTTCATTATATGCATTATAGCGGATGGTATGAATTTAATACATACCCTGCTGAATTATATAGGACCAAAAGATCCAAAACTATAGCGTTTGTTTACTTGATGTTTTGTTTTTCTTTCTGTGTAAATGTTGTTAAGGTATTTTTCTATAGAAGAATGTGATGCTTCTTGAGGAAATTGGAAATACTGAATAATAAAAAAAAATTGGAGAAAAACACAAAGTGAACAAAATCTATAGAAACAGAAGTAGTAATGTTACTTGATTTGTCGAGTTTATCCGAATCCCTGAACTTTTTGTTGCATGATGGACTAGCTTCAAGATTGTGATAAGAGCATGTATGGTGGGAGAAAGGGAGTAGTGAACTGATGAATGTCTATGTCCTGTTCTAGTCTTGCCATGTCTTCATCAGCCATAATAATCCATGCATCAATTCCTCCTTGTGATTCTATCGAATCAAACAGTAAAATACAATCCCTACTTTCATAACTAGCACTGCTCACCCAAACAGGCTTCCCCCACCCGAAATCTGCTCTGTAGAACTCAAATCTGCAGTAGCTGCTGAATCTGAACACTTCAACATTTCCATGTACCAACAATTTACTCATTTCGATGAAACTATCCCTCGTGAGGTTGAATCCTTTTTCGCCTAACAGTTTTTCTGTGTACTCACTGTTGATTTTACTGAATGCAGTCCTCAGCTTCTCCACCAAGAGGATCCAGTTGGTTTCTCCGTCATTTTCTGCTTTCGCCATTTGGAAATTGTTTCCGAACGAATGCTGAGTCAATCCCTTTATCCTTCCTCGCAAGTTCACCGGATGATATGCCACAGACTTGTGTGATTTCCCGGCATTTTTGGCCATCAGACAACGGCTCCACAAGAATGCCGAAAGAACCTCTATGCGGGTAGGCCTTACTATCGAAGATCCTTCCTTTACCTTCATTTTCAATTCATTTATAATATAGGAAGTGAAAGTAAACCTTTTCATGGCAAGTTTTACAGAATGAGGCTGGACTGCCGGGCTTTTCCAATTGGGCGTAAAATCTGGCGTGTTCTGTGGTGGGAAGAGTTTTGCCGAGTTATATGCAGGGTAGACCACTCTGCTAGCCTCCCCAGATGCTATAGACGTCCAGCATTCGACAAACGAGCTGAGGGTGCAGACATCTGCTACACTGTGTGAAATGCATATGCCGACAGCGATTCCTCCACCGTCAAACCATGTAACCTGCAGGATCGGACAAATAATGTTGGTATGGACACAGTTATAGTACAAGTGTCCTGTCCTATTAGAACATCCTTTTACTAACCTGAATTGCCAGCAGTTCCTCAGCTTTTGTAACAGAGGCGTTGGAGTTGAAAGGGACAAGCTTATCCAAAATAAGAGAATCTGCGGTTTTAACTACCTCAGATATCCTTCCGTCAGCAACAGCTTCCATGTACACAATCCCCTTGTCGTTGCAATCGACTGAAGCCTGGCCTTTCAACCTTCCAGCCAGGGGGTAGAAATGGACCAAAGCATCTGACAGTGAACTCTTGAGCCTGCAAGACATCTGGGATTGGACAATGCCTTTTCCTTCATTAAGGTTGTAGTAAATTACCAGAGGGATGTAGAGAGGAGGGATCCTCTCGTCGATGAAAGATCGCTGGAAGTTTCTGAGATGATTTGGAGTCGGAGAAGACGGTCTGATGAGCTCTTTCGACACCCGTTGAACCTGCATACTGCTCATGCTTCCTGGTGAACAAAACAGGTATGGAGCTTGTTATGACATTATAGAGACATCATGCACATTGGCTGTTTTACTATACCTTGGTTGAGTTAATTAATTGGATTAGAAAGAATCTGGGCTTAGTTAATGATAATAAGAAAAAAAGCCAGCCTAGCATTTGGACTTTCAAGCACGTTTATTTTTCAAATGATCTTCACTTTTGGACAACATGGTTCAACGGATGTTGTGCATAGTTCAGTAAATTTATTATGATTGAATACATTTAGTTGAAAAAAAATTTATATTCTAGATGACCTCATTTTATTTTATTTTTCCCCCAACAACCTTTTATTAAATGTTGAGTTTGTAGATACCAATTAAGAGAATATATGCTCTGGCAAATGCAAAAGACAAGACAAGACAAGACAATATCACATGGGAGCAGAGCAGTGTTCTGATGTCTCACTTAAAACATGTAATAGCAAGCAAGAATTGATGCTAATCACTTAGCGATCAATTAATTCTCTATTCAAAGCTAATAAGTTAATATTCATCTTTCCAAGATCTCAAAATCATCTTTAATATAGGGATCATGCGATAGATCAATACATAATAGAAAGTAATAAGTGAAAATCTAATCACATGGTAGGGATGCTGCAAGCAGAGATATATAGCAATATGAATTCAATTCCAACATAACTCAACAAATTGGCGCAATACGGATTCAATTCTAATACCCATTCCCAACAAATCGGAAAAAATAAACATGATTCAATTACCAAACCCATTCGAAACAAATAAAAAGCAATGACCCAACATTAAGAATGCACAACATTTGATCATATATAGCACACACTACTCCAATTTTTGACAAAAAACACACAGAGGATTATCAAGAGATTTGAATGATTTGAGAAAACCTAAACCTGGTGGCTTGGAGAGTATAGACATCAAATAGGACGAAGCTATCCTGCTCCAATACTGAAATGGAAGACATCAAATTTGATTGATGAAAAACTAAGAGAGAATAAAACATCAGATTCGATGTTTTATGGTAGCGAATGAGTGATGAAATTATGTTCACTGTATTGTATATTGGAAATTTCTTCTGCCTTTGTTTCATGGTAGCGAATGAATCTCTGACTCATCGTGGATTGCATTTGCAGCACCACATAAAGCAGCCATGGCCGCCCTAACAAGAAATAAAGGACTGACTGTCTGTCAGCTGGTTTGCGAGGAAGAGGATCCTCCGCCATAGTTGTATGGAGAGGAACGCTTTGGAAGCCTCTGCAGTTCGCAATCATGGTTAATAGTTAGATATTTTCTATAGAAGATTTCAGTTCGATTTGATTCTTTGGAGGAAATTGAGAGATTGAATAATTAAAGAATAAGAGAACACAAGAAGTGAACAAACCCTATAGAAACAAAAATAAATAATGTTACCCGGTTTGTCGAATTTATCTGAATCCAAAAGGATGAGAAGCCTGAACCTTTTTCTTGCATGATGGCAAACACGTCCTGCAACGTCATAAGACCATGTATCTGGGGAGATAAGGAGTAGTGAAGTGGTGGATGTCTATGTCCTGCTCAAGTCTTGCCATGTCTTCATCAGCCATAACAATCCATGCCTCAATTCCTCCTTGTGATTCTATTGAATCAAACAGTAAAATAGTATCCCTAATGTCAAAACTAGCACTGCACCCAAACAGGCTTCCCCCACCCGATATCTGCTTTGTAGAATTCACATCTGCAGTAGCTGCTGAATCTGAACACGTCAACATCTTCAAGAGCCAACAATTCACCCATCTCCATGAAACTATCCCTTGAGAGATTGAATCCTTTTTTCGCATAACAGTTTTTCTGTGTACTCACTGTTGATTTTACTAAATGCAGTACTCAGCTTCTCCACCAAGAGGATCCAGTTGGTTTCACTGTCATTTTTAGCTTTCACCATTTGGAAATTGTTGCCGAACGAATGCTGAGTCAATTCCTTTATCCTTCCTCGCAACTTCACCGGATGATATGCCACAGACTTGTGTGATTTCCCAGCATTTTTGGCCATTAGACACCGGCTCCACAAGAATGCCGAAAGAACCTCTATGCGGGTAGGCCTTGCTACTGAAGAGCCTTCCTTTACCTTCATTTTCAATTCATTCATTATATAGGAAGTGAAAGTAAACCTTTTCATGGCAAGTTTTACAGAATGAGGCTGGAAAGCCGGGCTTTTCCTACTGGGCGCGGGCGCAAAATCTGACATGTTCAGTGGTAGAAAGAGTGTTGCAGAGTTATATGCAGGGTAGATCACTCTGTTAGCCTCCCCGGATGCTATAGCCTTCCAGCATTCAACAAAAAAAGAGCTGGGGGTGCAGAAATCTCCTACACTCTGTGAAATGCATATGCCGGCAGCGATTCTTCCACCGTCAAACCGTGTAGCCTGCAGGATCGGACGAATTATGTTTGTATGGACACAGTTATAGTTAAAGCATCGTTCCATATTAGAACATCCTTTTACTAACCTGAACTGCCAGCAGTTCCTCAGCTTTTGCAACAAAGCCCCTGGATTTGAAAGGGATAAGCTTGTCCAAGATAAGAGAGTCCGTAGTTTTAACGACCTCGGATATCCTACCGTCAGCAACAGCTTCAATGTACACAATCCCCTTGTCGTTGCAATCGACTGAAGCCTGGCCTTTCGTCCTTCCAGCCAAGGGGTAGTAATGGACCAAAGCATCTGACAGTGAACTCTTGAGCCTGCAAGACATCTGGGATTGGACAGTGCCTTTTTCTTCATTAAGGTTGTAGTAAATTACCAGAGGGATGTAAAAATTAGGAATCATCTCGTCGATGAAAGATTGTTGGAAGTTTCTGAGATGATTTGGAGTTGGGGAAGACGGCTCGATGAGCTCTTTCGACACCAGTTGAACCTTCATACTGCTCATGCTTCCAGGTGAAGAAAACAGGTATGGAGCTTGTTATGACTTTACAGAGACATCCTGTCCATTGCCTGTTTTGTATACCTTGTTGAGTTAATTGGATTAGAAAGACTCTGGCCTTAGCTAATACATTTCGATTGGAGAAGAGTCATTTATTTAGACAGGATAATAAGAAAAAAGTGTAATACCCGGAGTTGGGTTAGGCCTGTTCACGCGGATGGGCCGGTGTCAGACCATCCGAGATTAAATAGTAATTTTGGAGAGCTTGGAATAATTTGAGAATAAGTAAGTCTCCCAAGTGCCTGTGAAGCTCAGTAAATTTGTTATGATTGAATGCATATATAGTTAAAAACAAGTTTTATATTCTATTTGACCTTCATTTTTTATTTTTTTCTTAACAACCTTTATTAAATGTTGAGATTGTCGATACCAATTAAAATATATGAACTGGCAAATGCAAAAGACAACACATGACAAGTAACATGGGAAATACCTATACAATTTCTGGCCCCAAATTGCTATCTATTTCCGACATATCATTTTGCTATTCTTGCCCTTACTATTTTCACAAATGTATCAGCAATAGTTGAGTATAATCCTGAAGTATGAGAAAACCACGACTGACAGTTATCTGTTGGTTTTTCAGCTAAGTTGCTGGCTCATGAGTGAAGCCAACAGAATCAGGGGTGAAATCATCCAAAACCACAGAACCTTTGCAATAGACAGGTATGTAGCTAGTTTTTTTTACACTACTGGGAATGACCAATGTCCTTGCACTACATTGCTACCATCATTCTTTTCTACAACTTATTTCTGCAAACAATGTTCAACAAGCATAATAGAGAAACACACAGATATAAAAGATGAGTTACATGATCAGAAAACACCTACTTAAAATTGACATAACAACATAAAGAACTTTAGGTCTACGTTAAAGTCTAATAGTGCAGCAGACACATGGTAACTGTGGTATGAGCATTAAATCAGAAAACAGCTTACCTGGTAAAACAGGCCTTTTCACTTGTGCTGAAAAGGTACTGGTAGCATCCTCTAGTGTAGTGTTATATCGTCTTATAGATTGATATCATTCGAGATGCCTCATTTCCGTACTATAGTAGACTTTCCCCAGCATCTTGTGAATTAATTTGCTCTTACTACAATAGATCTACGTGACGAAAAGCTTCCAGGGCCTACAAAAAACCAATGTTCAACTTTTACAGAATATAACTAGCACGTTGAGTCAATGAATATGAAACTATTATGCACGGCAACTATGGATTCATGTTTGAATTGTACCCATGCTTTCTTAATAGATTGTTTGCATGTCTGAAGCCAACCAAAGTAACTTATGTAAGCACATCAGACTTGTAATTAATTGAAGGAAAACAGATATAAGAGATACACAATAAGAACATCCTTTAGCATTTTATGTGGGAGCGGAAGCCTCTAAACGGCAGTGTGTGGTGCTAGAACAGGTTATCGATTGATGAAAAACTAAGAGAGAATAAAATATCAGATTCATTTCCAACATTGTAAAAACAGAGGAGACTAGTCGTGCGATGAAGTTATATTCACTGCGTTGTATATAGGAAATTTCGTCTGGCATTGTTGTAGAGTAGCGAATGAGTCTCTGACTCATCGTGGATTGCATTCGCAGCACGGCATGCAGGTGCAGCAGCCGCGGCCGCCCTAACGAGGAATCAAGGATTGACTGTGCGTCAGCCGGTTTGCGAGGAAGAGGATCCTGATCCTCCGCCATAGTTGAATGGAGAGGAAAGCTTTGGAAGCCTCTGCAGTTCCCGATCATGGAATTCCATGCTTGAGGTCCAAATGCAAATGCTGAAGCATCTCTCCAGCAGTTTTGAAGTGACCATCAAACTCTGTAATGTAAACTGAAAAGTGAAAGTAAATGCGATCAACTGTCACCAAGTAAATCGGATCGGATTTAACCCAAATGCATTTTATTTTTTATTACTAAATGCTTATTAAATTTCAAATTATTCATGTACTCCCTCCCTCCCCATTGAAAGAAGGTTACACTTTTAATGCGACAGAGGAAATATAATTTTTAGGGAGTATAATTTTTTAATGATAACTTTTCTTAGCGGTTTAATTAATTACAGTATATAATAATTTGTTTTAAAAGAAATTATTGTACTTTTATATATTTATTTTCTGACTCGACAGATAGTATATATGTTTTTCAGAACTCAGATAATAAAAATGCAGTAAAATCAGCATACGAGACTAATACTATGCATAGCCGCCTCCTAAACAATAGCTTTGTCTTACTACTGACTTGCTTGCAGGTTTCCAAAAGTGGCAAATGCAGGATTCAACATCATTTAAAAATAAAAAAGAAAAAGGAAGAAAATTAACATTAGCCAAACTCCGTTCTAGTTGTTTCAAATAAATATAATTATTTGAAGTGTAGTTAGTTCTGCTTAAAACGTTTCCAAAGTACAATTAGGCGTCTGTGAAAGCCCAAAACAAAAAAGATAAAAAAGAGTTGAAAACTTGCAAGTCTAGTTCAAAAGGTGGAGGGAGGAGGGGCTTTGTGTTCCAATCTGAGGTTAGCATTGGGCGAGGCGATAGACTGATCAGAAGGGGCGAGCCTGCAATACCGCAAACTGAGAGGGATGATCATATTTACAAGCTGGTCCGAACTTGCAGATCCCGTAGCGATGATAGTGAGTGCAAACCGGCTGATCCTGCATCATCAATGATGGTGGATGGAAGATTACATACATTACATGGCCAGCAAAGAGTTATATGCCCAAACAAATGGATATATATGCTATATGAAAGACTTACCGGTCGAAGAGGTAGGCCCTTGTGGTTGAGAGAATGTTGGTTTGGCTTTGGCTTGGAGGTGTGATTCTTGGGATGATGGAACTTGCAATTGTATTTGAATTTGCAGTCTCCTGTTTTCATGTAGAAACTGCATTCTGGTTCGCCGGGCCGCTCAGGGTAGCAATCTTCGGCTACAGGGGAAGAGAAGTGCTGCTGCATCTCTATACTGTTGCTCATGGTAAAAGCTGGCGGTACAGGCAAGGTCTTCTCAGACGATGAGGCCTCAATCAAATCAAGAAATCACAAACAAATCAGCAGATAAGACACCAAAGGGCATGTATCAGTAATTCAGGCATAGAATGACGATAAGAGCATGCCACGCTGATGAAATTGCGAATGGAAAGTCCTTAAGAGCTCTTGGTTGTAGTAGAACTTAATCGTTAATCCTGAATCAGTATTATTGTTAAGTGCTTCTAGCAATTTAGTCCACCAGCACAAAATGCTGCCTTATAAAAATAAATTTACTTCCCACCAGTAAATGACACACCAACACAAACCCGAGTACAGGTTGAAAGGGTGATTTGAAATTCAATAACCTTTTACTAGAATATTATTTTGAATGAATTCTCAATACCCAGCCATGAAATAAATACTACAACCAGATATATTTGAAAGGCAGCAAATGACGAAAATCAAGAATAATATTGCAAGTATGATTATACTAAAGTTGTTTAGTTCCAATTGACTACCTGATACCCTTTCCTCTCAGGATTAGAGAAAGGGGCAGCATGAGGCATGGAGAACATTTCCGATACAAATGGAGGAGCCTTATTAAATGCCCTTGGAGAAGACCATGAAGAGGCAGATGGTGAGGAAACAAGTTGTGATGGAACAGTCCCGCCATTGCCATATCCCGAGGAGTCACCTCCAGCTGATGAGGTGGGATCAGGATGATGGAACCTACAGTTCGACCCATATTTGCAGGATCCAGTCCGCATGTAGTAAGGGCACTCCTTTTCTCCCTGAGAAGGATACAGCAAACACGCTATTTTTGTGAAAGCCACTTTTCAAAATTTAAAAAACTAGGTAATCCGGGAAAGATTTATGTTGCATTCATATTCATAATATAGCAAAATATTGCCAGTTCATATATATCCAAATTAGTATCTACTTTCAAAGTGACATTGCCTTTGTCATGAATCTAATTTTATGAAATTCAACATTTACAGCTTATCCAAATTCAGTTCCCTTTTCAATCCATAAGAAAAATGCCTAGATGATCTCATGCTAGGCAATTTAATCTTGAAATCTTGTTTAACTAAGAAGAACAACTGTGTTTGCATCACATCATACTAAATTCTGCTAGAGAATACATAATCCATATAGATATGGAAAAACAAAAACTTCAAATATTAAAGAGAGGTATACTGGTCGAATTGGCAATCCTAAAAAGTTGAGGTCAGGAGTATGTGGAGTCAAGCTTTTGGGTGAACCATGAGAGTATTTACAATCCTTTCCGTATTTGCATCCACTGGCCGAAAGGTAAAACTGCATTGAAAACAAGAATCCCTTACTAATCCAAGTATCAAATCATTTCCAGCATAAAAGTTCTGATTTAGCTACAACAGAAGCAACAGTAAACACCTAGGCATCAAAAAAACATAACTAATCGTATAGCAGATAAATCACACATGCCAATTCTCAAAACCACCAAAGTATCCACAATTGTAACAAAACATGTGCACCAACCTAAGGCAAATGTTAAGAATGTAGAAGTATATATTGAAATGCATTTTCCTTCACAAACAAAAGGCAACAATAACCTTGCATTCAATCTGCCCTGCCCTCCCTGAGTTCTCTGCCTTGTAGTTTGCCTTCTCTTTAATACCCTGCAAAATCAAATAGATCCATACAGAGGCTGTAATAGTTTGTTCTACATGGATTATTTACGGACAAAGATTTCCTGCAAACAGAACAATCTAACAGTAAATCATATAAAAGCTTGCTAGGTATGAGAGAAAACCTGGTCGTTTCTCCGAGGGGGGTGATTGAACTTGCACTGTGGCCCGAATTTGCAGGATCCAAATTTCACATAAAATGCGCAATTCTCTGCATCAGGCCTCGAAGGATAGAAACTCCTCCTGTTATAACTTTGATTGTATATTCCCAAATTGTTCGCCGCGTCTCCTAGTGCCCCTCCTTCAGGCTCGTCCTCCTGTTGTTCGTCCTCAACACTATCATCAACATTTGCATCAACGTCATCCGTTCTCCATGGTTCCGCATTCTTCTCTTCTTCTATACCGTCAACAGCTTCCAATCTCCGTTGGCCCCACTCGATTTCAGCCTGCTCAATCGTCAACTTGCACAAATCCCTCTCGATTGCATCTCGCAATTCCTCCTCCTCGTCGACGCCAACACTTCCCCCCTCCGGAAGAGTATCACTCCCCCCGTCAGGAGCACTTTCAAGTGATTGAGACTGATCGGACATGACAGGCTGGTCCGCAATCGCATCGGAGACCATCTCCCCAGCGATCGGATTCTCAAGCCCTAGTTTTTCAATCGGAGCATTTGGGGGGGCTGGCGGTGGTGGCGATTCGGCATCCATGGCGGTCCCTCCCTCCGCAGAGCAACCCAAACAAAGCCCTCACTCAAAAGCCCACGGCGCTTTGTTAGATCGTGACCCCCGTCGGCGGGTGCACTTCTCAGTATCTTCTGCAACACCCCGAAGCCCAATTCCCTAGACAATGTGGGGCCCGCCCATCAACCCAATCTGAACGTTGTGGCTCATCATAAACTTGGGCTCCCATGACCCAATATTCTGGAATAAATCAAAGCCCAAATAAAAGCCCATTAAACTTAAAACTCACCACTATCTCATTATTATTATTATTATTATTATTATTATTATATAATTGTTTTAGATTCGATATTATTTTTATAGATAACTAACATATGACATAATCTCACCACACATGCTCCCATAAAATATAAATACAACATATTATATTAGATAATATATTATTTACATCTTGTAACACTTTTGTCAAATAAAAACTCATGCTATTTGACCATTTTATGTGTGTTAGATTTTCAAAATCAGCGCCATAACTGATTCATTTTTATATACATTCAAGGAATCAAGAGAGGCTATTGATCGATTACCCAAAAACAAGTAACAAAGAATTCCCAAATATAAAGGCTCCCCAACTGATACCCAACAAGGAATACCATAATACTACTTAGGATCAAGAAACCAAACCTCCAAACAAAATTCTTGACTACTTTTTGCTATAAAACTACTATCAAGAAATGAATCAAAGATCATCCCTTTCTGCAATGGCGAATTCCCAACGACGGCAAACCAATTTGTAGCTCCTTGCACTGATTACATGGCGGTGTGCCGGTGCCGCCTCTGCGGATGCGAATTCATCATCGTTGACATCGTGAGTACAGAAGCTCATGCCATGCCAGCCATATTTGCAGCCCTCATCACCCCAACCAACAGAGTCATGCTGCCAGCCACTGAAGGAGATTGTGGCAGACGACATCCAGTGCCTGTGTACCGTGTTCCAGAACTCAGAGCTATTGAAGAGCCTGAACGTGACTCTGGAATGGGCTCAATCTTGCCAAGTCTTGTGGCGCTGATGGGGATGCTGCTTCTGCCTGCAATGGTCTCTCTCCTGCAGCTCCAACCAATGGTGAGTTAGCAATCATTATAATGCAAGCATAATTCACTTCTAACCAGGGGCTAATCATATATACATATAGATATAGATATACACACACACATGTTGGTGCATAATCCCATGCAAGTAGGCTCGAGAGCCCACCGGCAGCTAAAAGTGCAGGCAGTATGAGACATTCTGCCTCATTTGGTGTTGCGGCAGCAGCAGCCATTCTCATTGTCTCAGCAATTCAGGAATTTAAACGGTTTCCTGTATGATTCTTAGCTTTAACTGGATTGGTGCACCTGGAAAGATTGATTATAAGAGAGTACCTATTCATGCTTTTGATTGTTTCAATTGTTTAAAATCACAGGAATATTTTCAACATATATCACATACAGATATATACACAATGAGGCATCAACTAAGAACGTAAGTAACCAAAAAGCCAGTCTATTCAAGCCATTGAACATGGTATAGGGTTATTATGCCTATTGCTCGCTTTACTCGCTTGCAAATTCCAATTTAGCCAATGAAAATAACCAAGCCAGAATAGCTTAGTTGAAGAAAGGGGTTTAAATTTAATTATCTTCCCAATAAAATCGGGTCCAAGTAAAAATTTATCATCAGATTAATATTAGATCCACAACGCATACTCTCTGTTCAGATGAACCTTTTTGAAAAAAGGGACGAAGAATGATTGGAATTGCTTACAGCAGAAAATGAAATGATCAGATTAGCACTTGAAAAAAAAAAAAAAAAAAAAAAAAAAAAAAAACCCTGCAACTGAATCCTACAAAAGGATTAATTCAGCACCAACACCAGAGTTGAAATATATATATATATATATTATATACTATTGTGGGACTAATTTCCCAGAAAAAGGTATGATCAAGTGAAATAAAAAGGAGAGAGAGGAAATATAGGAGCACACTAGTGCACAGGCCGGAGGAGCAAACGGCTTATGCAAGCATATGGTGCTCGCTGTATTTCGGCAACCAAAGGCCCGATGTCGCTATTGGAAAACGCGTCAGTGACACATTCAGTTGCCTTCTCATCAAAACAAAGTAGAGCAAAGAAAACAAATCAATAATAGATGTGAATATGCTAGTTGGGCAGTCGTACTACTAGCAAGGAATAGCCAGCACCGCCATAAATGGACGCCATACACACCACACACTCAAACTCAACGGAAAACAGGTGACCCTCTTTCTCCGATTGTATCAGAGCGTCGCACTCGCAGTACCGACCCCATAATTTCAACCAGTTATCACTTCTGGCGAAGAAATGCAATGTAGCGGCACACAGCACTATTAAATGGAGCCCTAGTTTATAGTGGGCTTCGGCCCATGGACTTCTTTGCTGATGATAATCATGTGAAAATCGCAGTCGGTCCGGTCCATATAGAAATTAAAGTTACTTGTATGAGTAGCATGGTCGAGTAAATATAAAGTTTACAACGCAAATAAATTTATTAACGATAAGAATAATAATAACACGGACGGTCTTTTAATCATTGGTAAATTCTAACCCACAAATTTAATAAAATTGTAGTGTATTTCTAAGTCATAAATTAATACTAACGTCTTTCTATGCGTAACATAATCTAGTAGTATATAATAACTATTTTCATAATAAGAAATGAATTGTTTAAATCACAAGCATATAGAAAGTGTTATGCATATCAAAAATTGGATAATGATACAAGCACCCATCCAAATGCAAATGCAAGCAACCCAATACACACACACACACTGTACATCGCTCGCTCGCTCTCTCTCAAGCACTTTCTAACTGAACAAACCCAAACTGAAACAAAAACCCAAGCCCAAGCCCAAGCCCAAAACCAAACAACAAAACTGCACTCATTTACACGAAAGAATCAAACAAATGTAATAAATGACGGGCACTAGTGTAAACTCACTCACTGTGCATCTGCAACAAGAAGCTGCGGTGACCCCATTGCCTTCATTAAGGCTACAAAGTTGAATAGACTCTCTCTTGAGAACCACTTCAGCTTCCATTTTACGATATCAGAAGCTGCCTTTGTCTTTCCCTTACCCATACTTGTGGACCTTTCAGAAGGAGGGAACTCTGAACTGCAACATAATAAAGTTAATGTAACGCAGAGGCCATCCTGCATTTCCATAATCTGCAACAGACAGAGCCACAATGTTCTATGTTAAATATGACTGCAATGTTACCATATCAACTTCCAAACTACAGCAAAAACAAACTACAATTACCATCTTAGACACGTCACTTGTAGTGCAACACCAATCTAATGATAAATATTGAGGGGAGAATGTGTTCTCAGAGGAGCCAAATTGCATCAGCTTTTCAGAGCACAGAAGAAGATGTCCTTCAAGTATGAAGAGAGACCTCGGGACCCAGGATTTTTCTGGTCAAATGGAAACAAAAATATGAGGAAAAATCAATTGATTATAAAGTGTTAATACAAAAACATGTTCATAAGTGACACTGTTCTTCCGGAAAAGTATTGGTTCACAACCACAATCGTCATTCATCAGTATTTACACCATCAATTAAATGTGAATTTTTATTTTTGGAAGTGCATGATGTCATCAAGATCAAAGAAAGGTTCAGTTCATATACCTCCAAAAAAATTTGGGCAAAAGAGCACCATTGAATACTGCAACAGGTTGATGTTAGAACCTCTGCATACATGCTCCATAAAACAATTGAACTGCATCTGCTCCAAGCTGCAGATAATTACCAAACCCCAATATTAAAAAAATGTACACAATTCCAGGTCCTCCAATCTCAACACGAGTAATATTACAAACTTTGAAGAGAATAACCACTGATGCTTACCTTGTTAAGGAGCATGTATTCTTCATTCCAGGAAAAACAAGGATATTCAATAAACATAACAATTCTCTTGATCTCTCCATACACCGGGTTATGAATAGATATGCAGCATCACCTTCAAAGCACACCCTATAAATGCCCAATAAAACTGTGTTGTTAGTCCACAATTTATTGAAGTGCAGTATGAGGTGATTGAAAGTTCCAACCTAATAATTTGAAGTCCCAATCCAACAAAAGCCTGCACCACATCACTAACCTGATGGCAACCAACCATTTTCAAGCTCGTTTCTGCAAGTTGCACGATATATTGTTACCTGTTTAAGTATGATTCTATCTACGGAAATGGCACACGATGAGAAGAAAAGGCATAAACATCTTTAACCAAAACATCATACCACAACAAAGCTAACCTGACCCATCACATGAATCGACAAGGAAAATGTACAGCTTCTGTTCACTGCTGAGTAATATTGCCACTTCCCTACATATGCAGAGCAGAGAAGGTTGGAACCAAAAGACCACCTAGTTGGAAAATAACAGCACATGCAAAACACATCTATCGATATAGTAATATGGAATTTTAAGTGATCTATAAGAAGCCACTGGCAATCACATAACTTCCTACAGATCTCAGCTATAGATAGTTGATAAGAGGTACAAACCTTTCATTACATTCAGATCTTTCAACAAACAGACAATGGCATAGCACATACTTCACACATATTTCATTTACCCGAGAATGAACCATATTTGCATTGAAATAGGTCACAATAAAATCATCTTTTCCACCATTCAGCGTAGCAGCAATAGCTATATCCTCACAATTTCCAGCTAGAGGAGATTCTATCATTTCACTTAAACAACCACCTTCTTGTCCTTCGTGCAGAACATCACTTTTGTAGGGATCCATGTGGTCGGTGGACTTCCTTGATGAGTCAGTATCACCATGTACATCCTCCTCCTCTGGTAAGGAGATCATTCTTTTTCTAAGTTTCCTTCTGTGTTTCATCTTCTCTAAGGAACCAGGTTTCCCCTTAATAAATCCTAAAGCTTCCTCACCATGCTCATCATTAGAGTAACCACCACTGCAAAGAAAGGCAGAGATTTCCGGCTCTTCACCATCAGTTCTAACAATTTTTCCTTGAGTATGAGTACATGGACTCAATGTATTTATCCCATTTGGTTTTGATGCCAAATTGTTATTATCATAATATTTACCTGCATCATCACGATAAGAATCTACAAAGAACGCATTGAAACTCCCTTTAAATGTATTGTTAATAGCAGATTCATGAACTTGAGATGCTGAAGGCACTGCTGCAGAATCATCTTCACTACTAGTATTGCTCTCAGAAGATGCTAATGAGAAAGATTCAGCGGATAGCTGCAGAAACTCTTCCTCTAGGTGGTGGCGTCTTTGTAATATAACCTCTTGGTAATGAGGGGGGGAGCCTTGGCATCCTGAAGATGAAAGGAACCCAGTAAAATCATTCAATGCAGTGGAAGTAGAAGTCATATTTTCAGTGGCTACACTGTCCCTAGTGCTGCCTACAACAGAACTGTAGTTCCCAGCATCCAAAAACACACCCCCTTCATTGTTGAAACGGCTCAGATCATCCTCATTCAACTTCAAGTTTTTGAAAAGAACATTGTCTCCTCCATCTTGCCTCAAGAAAGATCTAGAAGATGATTCACCAATTTGATCAAGATATTGTTGGGAACCAACACCAGTGGATGTATCAGCAAAAGATGTCTCGGAGTCTAGAATAGCTGTACTGCTGTCATCTCCAGAAAGCTTAAATGAGTCGGATATGTGTCTAGAAGTCTCGGCTAGGTCCCCATCATTTGTCTTGCTCTTCAGAAGAAAGTCATTACTCTTATCTAAGATAGTACTAAATTTAACAGCATCAACAGAATTATCAAACGTTTGATTCATCCATTCTCTGAATTCCTGCAACCACAGAGCAGATCGGTCTTTTTTCAAACATTCTATTTTTGTCACCAAATCTTCTATTTCAGCTTCTTCATCTGTATTTGCATTCTCATCTCTGCTTTGACTCTGATTATCACATGAGAGTGATTCGTGGTCAGAACCTGTACAAGGGCTATGCTCATTATCCTCAATTCTGGCGAGACGAGATATTCTCTTCTGCAAAACATAAGAATAGCAAAAATACATGTTAATAGGATTTCCAGTTCTGTAAATGGCTTCAAAACAGTGTCCTAAAATAAAGAGTTTGATCACCACCAAGCAACTCCCTACCCTCTTTGTGTTTAAAGTCCCTCGTGCATCAGGATCATCCCAAACAGGTAAGTAAAATCCAAAGCTTGCTGGCTGCTTCTGCCTGCTAGCAATTATGATTTGCCGTTTCCATAGCTCACTTGTGGAGATTTTTTTCTCATCTAGCTTTAGCTTCAGGACAAGTATAAGATATATGCAACCATGTAAGTTTAAGCTAGTTAAATGCAAGAAATGTGCTTCCGGGAAGCTCATCAAGTAAAACCGAAGATGCTTGAATAGTAATACTCACTTGGTCTGGCTGAGGAAAAAGACTGAAAACTTGTGACCGGAACCATCTTGCACCACAAATAGGATTACCTTCTAGCCATAAACTCTGAAGAGATGGAAGGCCAGCAAGAAGCTCTATCTCAGAAAAGTTTGAAATAATATTGTAGGAAAGATCAAGCCCTTGTAGTGACTTCATATTTTCAATTCCACGCAATGAGGTTAATGCATTGTTCCTCAGCACAAGCTTAACAATCTGGCAGGATATCTGTAACAACATAGGATACTAATACTCAGGGCAACAATAAAAACAGAACTTGAAATGAACAATATTCACTGAAACTACCATATTGTTCTCCAAGAAGTGTGTATACATATATTGAATAAACTTTACAGGCATTTTCTTCCAGTTGCAATTCTTTAATGTTCATCAACTTGTTTAGGAGAAATTCTTACCCACATAGACCTTACAAAAGTTTGAATGTAAGGATCACTACCGATCTTACAAAAATGTCAGCCAGACAATATAGGAACCATGGTCAGCTAGATATACTGTGTTAATCAGACACCACAAGATTTTTGTTGTAATTTAAATCCAAACTTACAAAGTTACCTCACTAAATGATGCAATACTCCTCAGGTTATTAAATCCGAAATCCACATGCTTCAATTTGGTGCACTTCTTGAGATTATCCACTGTTGCAAACTTGTTCCTGCTTAAATCAAGGGTTTCAACCGCAGGAAGAAGATGCAAAGACTCATCCATGAGAACCAATCTATTGCAGGCACATGAAACAAAAGAAAGTCGGTTCCACTGGTGTGATTCCCTTATATCTGCAATCCTACTAGCAAACACATGCCGCAGTGCATCCTAAACCAATTGTAAAGCAAATCAGTGAAGAAAAGAACATGAGAATTCAAAACAAAAGTTTCCAAAGAATTGTAAAGTGTTTAGCATTTCTTTACAGCGTCATACAATTTTATTGTTCGCGCAAGAGCAAGGACAACAAGTAGAACTAATAAGATAGGAATTCATTCCATCATTTACTCGACATCTTTAAAATGCAGTTTCAAGTAAAACAATATAGAGAGAAAAGATATTAATCAACTTCCAAATGCAAAATTCATGTAAATTATAGTACATGATTTTAAGTAATCACGGCACAATCAAACCATACTTATTAACGAATGTGCAAAAAACACAACCCTACCATAATTATAAAACATAAAACTAATCGATCCTGTTTAAATAATCAAGACATAGATAGAACTCACGGTTGAATCATGGCAGATCAATTTCTCAAGGGTAAACCTCAGCTGGAGCAATCCTTTCGCCTCGGATGTCGACAAATCACATCCACGGAGCTCCAAAACCTTCAACCTCCCAAACGGAAGCAAATAGAGCGGCGTCGGATCCCTCCCCAGCGGCAGCACCGAAACCACCTTCAACGACGGAAGTAACCGAAGAATCCTCCGTAACTGCTCGAGTGCGCGGTGATCACCCAAATCCGAAACATATGCCCGCAGATAATCGACCGGAGCTCCGGCCAACAAGCTCTCCAGCTCTGCGAACGCCTCCAGCCGCGACTGCACGTAGCGCAACCCAACCGGATTCAATTTCAACACCAGCGTCCCTTCGATTAACCTCTCGGCGTGGTTTTCGACGAATTTTACTAGCGAATCGAGGTACCTGTCGCCGGTGACAATCGCCATGGCAGCTATGGAGTAGGGTTAGAGTTGGTGAGCGATCAATTGGGGTTTGGGAAGGGAGGTTTGGGCGGGATCGACGGGAGGATAGGAGGCGGATGAGGAGCCATGGCTGGGTCGGGTTGGATCGGCGTGTGAAAATGCGGGAGTTAGATTAGTGCCGAATAATTTGGGGGGTTGGATGATTGGAATCTGAATTATAGAGAGGCGATGGGGACAGCGACACGTGGCGCAATCATGTTAGTTGGTGGGGTGAACCCTGATGCCTGTGCGGCTGTGTTGACGTTTTGGATTACGTGAATTAATAGAAGATGATCGAGAGGTTTTTGTTCATTTGAAATAAATATAATAATATTAAATCTGAGTATTATTATATTTGAGCTGGAGAGGTTTATTTGTATCGCCAATGTGTGAAAAGTAGTAAATGATTTAATATGGCCAAGTTAATAACAAAATCTTGAATATATGGGCATAAATTAAATACTGTTTTGGCAAAAGCATGAACAAGATCCTATTAAATTTAATTTAATAGGATTGTTGTATCTGGACATCCAATCGTATTCACTCTCTACTCTCTTTCACTAAACTTTGACAAAGGATCAAAGTGCAATCCAACAACAAAACCTCCGTTTTCTCTTTCGTTTCTCCGCTCTTGCTCTTCCTCTTCTGTTTTTTCTCTTTCTTCAAATCTATGGATGGGTATATATAGATTATGGTTCTACGTTGCTTGTATCACTCCTTGTTTTCTTCTCCTTTGGGTATTGTATACGACTAAATACTGTTTTTTTCCTTAAAATTCAGTTGAGCATTACATAAGTTTTTTTAATTTGAACCTACCATTGTTACCTGAAATGCACGTAAGCTCATTTTGTTTTGAAATATGATCATATTGTTATATCTATTTACTTTGATAAAATTGTTCATATCTTTCAAATAATTTTGAAATTCAACATTAATCACCCTCAGTACTTTAAAATTTGTTTAATGTGCATAATTATTTATTTATATTTTTTGTATACACAAAAAAAAAAATGATTCAATATTTTTTAAAATATAAATAAATTTTAAATTAGATTTCAAAACAAGGAAGAGTTATGAACAAAATGAGTTTGTTTGGGAGTTTGAATTTTGAATTGGGATTTGAATAGTAAAAATTTTGAATTTGAATAGTTGTATGATGTGATATAAATAGGTGTTGATGCGATGTTTTGAATGTAAAATTGATTTTTAGTATAATATAAAAAATAAAAAATAGAGGTTTGATTTGATATTTTTTAGGGAAAAAATTAAATGAGTAGTGTAAATCCAATCCCAAAAACAAACAAACCCTTAAATGTGAGTATTATCTTTAAAAGTAGACCAAATTTAATAAATTTTTTTATAATAAAATTATAATTAATCATTTTTGTTTTCATTAATAAATTGTTTGAAAAAAAAGACATTATTAATAATCTTCTTTATCAATCTCATTTAATTTCGGACTATTACTACAGATACAAAAATTTAGATAAAATATAATTAATATATAATTAAAAAATAAATTAATAAAAATAATTATATAATATAATTATAAATTAAAATTAATATATTTAATTAAAATTTAAAATATTATAAAATTTAAAATTTAAAATATAATTAAATTGTATAATTATATTTTTTTAAAAAAAATAAATAAGTATGACCGAAAATAAAAAATAGAAATAACTGTTAGACCGGGGAGTCGAAGAGCCCTAGCCGCCATCTTTCCTCTTCATCTCTTCCGCTTGCCCGACGTCGTCTCTGTCTTCGCCTTCGTCTTCCTCTCATCTTAATCTGTCTTTGTCTTTGAATTCCTCCACCATTTTCTTTTAATCTATTTGCCTTCTTCACCCAGGCGAGTAACAGAAGATAGTGGATGGCCGGCGGGGTCCACGCTACCCGATGTTTCAGCATAGTAGCCGGAGGAGAAACTCCACTGCCGGGAGGCGCGCCAAGCAGCTTGATTTAAAAAAAAAAAACACTAAGGAGATGAAAAGGAATTTGGGGATGGAGTGGTCGAAAGAGATGAAATGGGATTTGCATGGTGAAGTTGTTTTTGGTAGATGGACAGTGCCAAAAACCTAACTCAATCCAACCACAACCTTCTGTTCGCAGAGCAGTTCGTTCTTCTTTCTATTCGGCCGTTTTCGTCTCCGAACGGCCCCAGAAGCTTTAGTTAGCAGTTCTTCTCTTCTCCTCCTCAACCAACCGCAAGGTGTGAGAAAATTGTAAGTTCAGCCCCCTTTCTTATGGCTAAGAAATCTGCAACATTGTTTTTGCCGCCGACCACCGGCAACTACTGATTATTTGAATCCGAGTAGGTGCTGAGATATAAATATGCGGAGAGTAGTATGTTCGAAGAGACTGTACATTCTCTGCACCAAGTCTCGTAATAGTTTATCTGTTGGCAAGCCTGAAAGTTTTGAAAGGGATTCTTTCTTGTTTCAATTTCAACGTCACGAGCCATCACAATTCTTTCTGTTCTCCACTGATCCATCTTTGAATTCACTGGAAACACCTTCAGAACAAACCCGTTATTCACAGCCTGGTAAGTCACTTCCAAAAGATTGTAAACCACAAAAGGGGGCTGACCTCATACATATAAGGAATGAACCAGATTTGTTCACGGACAGCCAAACTCATGAGGATGAGTTTACAGTTGATGTTGAGAAGGTGTACAGAATATTGAGGAAGTTCCATTCTGGAGCTCAGAAGTTGGAACTTGCCTTGCAGCATTCTGGTGTTTCGATGAGGCCTGGTTTAACAGAGAAGGTGCTTAACCGTTGTGGTGATGCTGGGAATCTAGGGTACCGATTCTTTGTCTGGGCATCTAAACAGCCTGGTTATAGGCCTAGTTACGATGTTTACAAATCAATGATCAAAATGTTAGGGAAGATGCGGCAATTCGGAACTGTTTGGGCTCTTATTGAGGAGATGAGGAAAGAAAATCCTCAACTTTTGTCGCCGGAAGTTTTTATTGTTCTGATGAGGAGATTTGCATCTGCCAGAATGGTTAAAAGGGCAATTGAAGTGCTGGATGAGATGCCTAAGTACGGTTGCGAACCTGATGAGTATGTTTTTGGATGCCTCTTGGACGCTTTGTGTAAGAATGGTAGTGCGAAGGAAGCTGCTTTGCTTTTTGACGACATGAGCTTTAGATTCAAGCCAACAATAAGGCATTTCACGTCGTTGTTGCATGGCTGGTGTAAAGAAGGAAAATTAATGGAGGCAAAAGTTGTGCTGATGAAAATGAAGGAAGCAGGATTTGCACCTGATATTGTGGTTTATAACAATCTTCTTAATGGATATTCGGTAGCAGGTAAAATGGTCGATGCTTTCCATCTACTGCAAGAGATGCAGAGGAATGGTTGCGAGCCGAATACAACTTCATATACTATTTTGATTCAGGCACTTTGCCGTCAAGAAAAAATGGATGAGGCTATGAGAGTGTATGTCGATATGGAGAGCAATGGGTGCGAAGCTGATATTGTTACGTACACAACTTTGATCAGTGGTTTTTGCAAGTGGGGTAAGATCGAGAAAGGTTATGAGCTTTTAGATGCGATGATACGCAAGGGTCATACTCCGGCCCCAACAGCTTATCTGTACCTTGTGTTAGCTCATGAGAAGAAGGAAGAGCTCGAGGAGTGCCTAGAGCTTGTGCAAGACATGCGGAAGATTGGAGTGTTTCCTGACTTGACCATATACAACACGATAATTCGTCTGTCGTGCAAATTGGGTGAGACTGAAGAAGGTGTTCGATTAATTAATACGCTGGAAGGAAACGGCGTCAGCCCAGGGGTTGACACGTTTGTCATCTTGATTAGCGGGCTCGTTGAGCATGGGCGTTTGGTTGAAGCTTGTGATTACCATCGTGAAATGGTCGGGAGAGGCCTTTTGGCTGCTCCGCAGTATGGTGTAATGAAAGATTTGTATAATGCCCTTTTGAGAGCTGATAAACTTCAGTTGGCTAAAGATGCCTGGAGTTGTGTAATCGATAAAGGATGCGAACTTAATGTCTATGCCTGGACAATCTGGATTCATGCCCTCTTTTCGAATGGGTATGTGAAGGAGGCCTGCTCTTACTGTTTGGATATGTTGGATGCCGGGTTGATGCCTCAGCCCGATACCTTTGCTAAGCTGATGAAAGGTCTGAGGAAGCTGTATAATAGACAAATTGCGGCGGAAATTACGAAGAAAGTAAGGAAAATGGCTGCGGAGAGACACATGACATTCAGGATGTACAAAAGGCGAGGCGAGAGAGACTTGAAAGAGAAAGCTAAGGCGAAAAAGGACGGTAGGAAGAGGAGGGCTCGTCGGCGTCGATGGGGGAGTAGAACGAGGAAAGCTGACAACTTCTGATTTGAAGGCTTTACGCCTTCGCCATTTGTGGTATTGAATGCTTGTGTTTTCGGGTCAATAGGCACTTCTTGATTATTGAACTCACTGTTGATCTACACCTACAGGAATATTCTTTCCCGACGTAAATTGTGCCCGAGGACTAGCAGCTGCCAAAACGGTAAATCATGCTTTTATTTTGTTGTAAATTACAATCATTCGTGGTATGAACATAGAACAAATACTCAATGACTTGGAATAATTACATCGATTAACAAATGAGGGAATGATGCTTGTGCTTCGTTGATCGGATGGCCGTTAATTGATCTTGCTGGTAATGTGCTTTCGACTTTTTTAACTTGTGAATGTGCTCGACCAGAATGCGCTTGTTTCGGAACACGTTGCCCTTCACCTTGAGGTACAAGTCGTGGTGGACATGGCTGTCGACTTTGCCAGAGTCTCGGTAGCCATGGAGCAGGCGTCGAAGCACCCTCACCCGCCGCATCCACAGCAGTTTCGACGGCAGCCTTGCCTCTCGAGTTCCCTTGCGCTTTCCGTATCCCGAGCGCCTGCCTTTTCTCCTTGCTTCCGCAGCTGCTCGAGCACGTGATCTCGATGTGAGCTTCGGAGGTTTCTTTAGAATCAAACCGTCTTGGATAAGCCTCCGAACGTTCAATCCTGCATAGTTGGGAACATGTTCTTCAGGTACTGCATTAGCTCAATTAGAAGTATATGATGAAATTGAAGGAGGTTAGGGCAAAAGTAGAGAGACGCGTACTGGAATTAGCCATGGAAATGTGATCGATCTCAGTAGGATCCAACCAGACTTTGGCTTTTCCGCAATTGAGAAGATGAGCAGCTAATCGTTTCTGCAGTTTCAACGACACCATCTTTCTGTGTTGGTTTCTCTGTGTGATGGTTGGTGCTTCTTCTTCGTCTCCTTTTTATTGAGGCACAGGCAGGCAGCCATGCGAGTAAGAATTTGCTTGGCGCCCAAGTGTGCAAATCGCAATGCGGTTTTTATTTATTATAAACAAGTAGAAAAAATTAACTACTTCCTTGCAGCCCAAGGCCATGTATAAAGGACAACAAATTTAGTTAATGATACTTAGCCATAGCTTTGAATGTAAAAATTATTTTTCTTATAATGTATATATTTTTTATTTAGATAATAAAAAAATATTCAAATGTATATTGAAATGTGATTTTTTTTAAAAAAAAATTGACAAAAATTAATAATAATTAAAGTTAATATTTAATGTAATTTTTAAAAAATGTTATTATAGCGTCAAATACCAAGAAGGTGTTGTCTAAACAAAGGCAGAAATATTTATATACTTTAAAAAATATATATTTTTTTTATTGATGTAAAAATAAGGTGTCGTATACGTGGGTCGGACCGTCTAAAAAGTTTATCCAAATACATAAATAAATATATATATATACCATGTAGAATATAAAATGTAAATTTGATGCCGTCGTCAGTGCCACCGCAGATCTCAGTCCATACCAGTTCCCAACGATTCTCTCGCATCTTCACTCACTGAGTCGATTCAATGGCGGAGGCGAAGATCTTTGAGCTCAACAATGGGACTATGCAAGTGAAAGTTTCAAATTTGGGTTGCACCATCACCTCGTTGCTCGTGCCGGACAAAGATGGTATGTATGTATATTCGGATCAAAATCTTATTAACTTTTTATTTTTTGATTGATTTCGTTTTGTTTGTTCTTATGTTTGCAATTCGAAGGGAAATTGGCCGATGTTGTTCTTGGATTTGGCACGATCGAACCGTATCAGGTGAGCGGATTTTTCTATTTCAGATTTTTTTGGTTGTGAATTGTGATTGCGTGGTGGTTTCCTTCCTGTGGAAGTCGGATTTGGTTGATGTGCAATTCTTCTTTCCCCTAATTTGGTTGGTTTTTGGCTTGTGATGTGCAGAAAGGTGCTGCGCCTTACTTCGGTTGCATTGTGGGTCGTGTGGCGAACAGGATCAAAGACGGCAAGTTTGCGCTCAATGGAGTTGAGTACTCGTTACCTATTAACAAGCCACCGAACAGTCTCCATGGTACGCCATTGAAATGCCGTTTCTATATTTATCATATAATGATGTGATGCCGCTTGTCGGCGTAATTGATCTTGGGTCTGGAACTGTGTTTGTTTAATTGGAATAAAAATGTGTGTTTCCTTGTGCTTACGCTATTTTGAGAAAGAAGAAAAATTGAATTTGAATTGAAAGCAGTTGTTTGATTTGAATTTTTGAATAGAAAATAAGTTTTGAATCAGAAATATATACTGAATATTGCCAAATGAATTCAGAAACAAGCACAAGTTGAACAAATCTCCTACTTAAGCTCTGCATCTTATAGATATGGTTAGATGTGAAATGTGATGCCAAGGGAAAGATGTAAGTTGATTGATTAACCAACCTTTTGTATTCAGATTATTATGTATGCAAAAAGGTATCTGAGTTTACCCAACACTCTGAAAAATCCTTTTAGCATGTGGTATATACCCAACACCCCCCCCCCCTCGAGATGATAATCTCGAAAATCCTGCCATGGCTCTGATACCATGATAAGAAAGGATCCGGGCATCCAACCTAAAACCAATTGGTGTAGGTGGAGTGGCCCTTCACCTTATATACTAAGGGAGATCCCACACATTTTCCAATGTGAGATATACTCAGCAGTCTCTCAGAGCTTTACTGCTTGAAAGAACTAAGAATGTGCTCTGGCAATGCTGAAACTTAAAAAAATATGCAACTCATGTATTGATCACTTCAGTGGCTTTATTTTTGATGAAAGTGTTATCTGTTCCACTTCTTTACCTGCGGAATGCTTCGGATTGTCAGCATCGTTGATTTGTTTTGGATGTCTTTTGAATTGCCATCTTTGTAGGTGGGCACAAGGGTTATGATAAGGTCGTCTGGGATGTTGCTGAATACAAGCCGGAGGGGGATAACCCATCGATAACGTTTAAATATCATAGCCATGATGGAGAGGAAGGTAACTCCATAGAAACTCCCAATTTTAGGACATATTGAAGGATGCTGGTATTTTAAGCCTACCCTGTAAGTCATAATATGCCGACTATGTTCAAATCCTGCAGGCTATCCAGGGGATGTTTCATTTTCTGCAACTTATACACTTGCATCCAAAACCACATTGAGACTTGACATGAAAGGTGTGCCGGAAAATAAGGCAACTCCAATCAGCTTAGCGCAACACACCTATTGGAATTTGGCTGGTCATGATTCTGGAAAAGTTTTGGATCACACTATTCAAATATGGGCGAACCACATCACACCCGTAGATCAGAACATCGTCCCAACTGGAGAGATCATGCCTGTTAAAGGCACCCCATTTGATTTCACTAGTGAAAACAAGATTGGGAGTCGTATTAGCGAGGTTGGCATTGGCTATGATCACAACTACGTGCTGGACTGTGGAGATGAGAAATCTGGGCTGAAGCGTGCCGTGAAGTTAAAGGACCCTTCCAGCTCAAGGGCTCTCAATTTGTGGACCAATGCGCCTGGAATGCAATTCTACACTGCAAACTTCGTGAATGGAGTCGTTGGCAAAGGTGGGGCTGTGTATGATAAGCACGGTGCCTGCTGTCTCGAGACGCAGGGATTCCCTAATGCCATAAACCAGCCAAACTTCCCTTCTGTTGTGGTTCAGCCAGGAGAGGAGTACAAGCACACCATGCTGTTCGAATTTTCTGCTGAGTAAGAAATAAGAATGGCTTCTTATCTTGTGAGTAAATCTCGTACACATTTCTTCGTTTCAGTCTGTCTGTGTCACTTTGAATCGTGCTGAGATTAAAGTTTGCACCAGCATTTTAAATTGCAGCCTTTTTCTTACTAGTATTTATTTAGTTCTTTAACAATGCAGAAATAGGTTAATGATGTTTACATAAGAATATTTGTGTTGCCTTACTGACATTTTAAGATGAGGGGCAATAGAGTTTCACACTAGAGTATCTAACTAAAGATTAAACTTGCATCTAACAAATCTGATCAGTTCAAAATAATTTACACCTGCCAAAACTAGTTTACATGATCTGCAAAATATGCCCCAGCGATTTGTAGGAGAAATATGCACATCCTTTTACAAAAGTTACATAGCCCATTAGAGGGGTAATTGGGGCATACTAAATCCGCTAACCATTTTAGTGCCAAAGATCCGGAAATTCCTGCTCCCCCAGACATTGTTAGAGTCGATGTAGTAAGATTTCAAGCAACATTGTATCCATGGGGGATTTCTAGGACCATTAGTCTCAGTATCTGCACTGTCATCAGCAACTCCAAGTAGCATGTTCCGCATCTTGGTTAGCGCCTCAACGGAGGTGAAATTTCCAAAAAGTTTTGCCTAAGCATGAAAATAACATATGAGAATTGTTGAGAACTTGGTATTAGTGTTTGAGAGACAAAGATTTAAGGAATGACATAGGTCAATACCCCATCCTCTGCATAAATATAAGCATGGATTCTTGCAGTGGGGTCTTCTAGAGTCAACCTGACTCTGTAGATGCCATTTGCAGCTCGAAAATCATCAGCCCTCCATGGGAAAATTGCAACAACACGTACAACACACTTGAATTTATATGTTACCTGCGATGTGAAAAAGATCCTTAAATTCGGACACAAGGTAATTTCACCAGCAGCTCATGGCTCAAATCGGATTTGTGTTGAATGCAACCATTTATCCTACAATGACTCGTTGAGATACAAGATTCCATTTTCTGATCATCACATCTGTATGACTGAAATTACAACAATATTCAAGGAACATATTGACAATCAGAAATTAACACAGAGGATTCAGTCATATATATGTTTCTATTTAGATTTAAAAAAAAAAAAAAGATTGGACAACCATGAGTATGATTACAGCCAGAAAGGCTTTGGGGTAAACTCTCTCTAAAATGTAGATCCATTTAAATGTAAAATATGACTGATCTGCAACAAAGATTAGAAGTATCTTGAGGAAGATACTCATCAGTGAGGAAGAAATCCTCATTTAAAGAGATACTATAAGTGCGTGGAAATTACGGGTGCTTGTATTAAATATGGCATGCCAAGAATGTTATTTAAATTGTAGATAAACTATAGATTCAAGAGACCAACCACAATTCCAGAGTCAAAGTAAGAGGTGTACTTTGGTGTTCAAATTCTCAACAATTTAATGGCTTAATGTACATAATTACATCCTATAAAGAATAATTCATAGATGTCGGAAAAGAGAAAAGTGTCTCTAAAACAAACAAGCAGAAAGAGAGAGAGAGAGAGAGAGAGAGGAGACCTCAGGATGAGTGAGGACATTCATCAGAGTCACGAAAGGCACATTAGGATGATCAGTCTCTGATATTGAAAAGAAAATAGTCATAAGCATTGGTTATCATCATTAGTCGAGAACTCAAAAAATGCAAGTTCACCCCCTCTATCCTATGGTACCTGTTATGCGAGATAATCCAGTGGCACTAGAGATGGGCATTCTTCCCCACTTGGATTTAAGGCGCATGTCGTATGACCTGAATCAAATAGATCATCGTTATTATCTTCTACGAGTCCAGATCAAACAAGTAAACCATATTACTTGGGAAATCCAAGCACATAAAGCTATCATGTCATGATTGGATAACAGAACTTTAAGCAGTAATCACCTCTGGCATTGAATTACACACTCAGTATCATCAGGTAAATAGACAAACTTCGAAAAGGGCATTAGCACAGCACACCACAATGCAGCACGGATTTCACATTTTACATGGAGCAATTTCACCCATCTATTTGAGCTTAAGAACCCGACCCCAAGTTTATCACTGCGTTCGTCCAAAAACATTCTCAGGATAGTTCCGACACATGGAAATGTACACAGAATATCTCTAGGTAACAGAGAGGGCTCCAGCTGTAAAGGAAGTGGATTGTCTCTCTCGTCTTCCAGTCTGAGATGGCAACAATAATACACAAGAGTTCAGATCTTTCAATACTCGTCAAAGCCATTTCTATTTCCAGCACGGAGATAAACATAAACAATAACAGAATCGGTTACTTTCAACTACTTCAGCCATCATCCCGCAACAGGTCACAGATCAATTGACTAGCATCAACCTTATTATCTTCACTTTAAAAGAATTAAAATTATTATTTAGAAAGATTAAGAGACGAACATAAAAGAAAGTCATGCACCTTCCCCAATATGACCAATGAAAACAAGCTAATTGGAACAATAAAACTTAAGGCCTATTGGAACTATGCAGGGACGAAGTGGAAAACGAAGCATATACCAGAAGCACTAACTTGGACTCAACAGAAGCAGGTGGTGTGTCGGATCCATCCCAAAGAAAGAACATCGCCGCATCCTCAATTTTGGAGACATGCAAAATCTAGCAGTGGTAGCGAAAGGAGTGGGAAAGGAAAATGCAATTACCACTTTTTCATTGAGAAATAAAAATATATTAGTTAGGTTCATTATGAAGTGGCAGACAATATCCAACCAAAAAGTAAATATGAGTTCATCCATTCATGGAAATATTCGAAGCTACCTTGCAAAGCAGGTCGACACTCTCACCTTCCTTCATATCTTTGAATGCAAAACACCCATTCGCAACTATCTTGGCAACAAAAACACACATCAAGGATAGTTGCACAATCTTAAATCTTATATAGATAGGCAAATCAAAATCCAAAATCCACCACAATAAGGAGAAGAGCACCTACTATCAACATTGTGCTGAGCCCACCATTTTCTCAACTCCCTTATGATCTTCTTGTGTTGATTTGTTGCTCTATATGTATAAGAAAATTGATAAGGTCTAGGCTCCACATTACTATTGTCCCTCCCTTCAAATATGGCAAAAGAAGAATATTTCTTGTTGTACTGAGCATATGAGCCTTGATCCCAAGTTTTAATCTGTATTAACAAAAATCAGCAATTAACACATTAATCACAAGCTTCAGCCTATAAGGTAAAAGACAATCAATTAATAAAGAGAAAAGCCAAGTTCATTTACCAAAACGTTATAAACCGTAATTACATCACCAATATTTTCGACATGTGGAAGCTTGTCCATAGATTCAGCAAAAAAGTGTAAGAAATACCCATTGCTCGGCTCTGACGCATCAACGATCTTGACTGAGCGGAAAGCATCTTCAAAATAACACAAGAAGATAAAGCAACGGAATCGATTTCAAACTTGATGTTTGTGAGCGCAGCAAAACCTAAAGCAGAAATGGGAAAACTTTACCTGATCCTCTGGTGTTCTTCGGTATACCAATCTCAGCGACCACTCCAGCTAGATTGATTCGCTGATTAAGGGACGCCATTGCGTCGACTATTCGCATAAACTTATAGTCATCACTTTCCATTTTGCAAACTGCAGAGACGAGACGATCGACCGTCTGCTAGGAAGGAGACAGAGGAAGAAGGAGGACTTTCTTGTAAATATGGGTTTCTTTTAGGGTGTGTTTGGTCGGAGGTTTGGATTTTGAATTGGGATTTGAATAGTAAAAAATTTGAATTTAAATAGTTGTATGATGTGATATAAATAGGTGTTGATGTGATGTTTTGAATGTAAAATTGATTTTTAGTATAATATAAAAAATAAAAAATAAGTGTTTGATTTGATATTTTTGGGGGAAAAATTTTGGATAAATAGTGGAATTTTGTCCAAGTCCGTCAAATGAACACACCCTTAATGTTAACAATACTCTTCATCCGTCCCGCTGGTTTAAAAAATGAAGAGTAAAAATCATTTTTGTCCGTTCAATATTAAAATTATCAAATTTTGGTTTCATTAAAAAAAAAAAATTATCAATTTTAGCTCCATTCAAATGAAAATTTATTAATTTTAGTCCCAAAATATATAACTGAGACTGAATATAATTGGGACTGAACACGGCCCGTGTTGGATGACTCAGAAGGTGACGCACTTTTGAATACGGCCGTGTTCCTACCCATGTTCTTAGAACATGACTGTGTTGAGAATATGGGCAGGACACAGGCAGGAACACGGTCGTGTTCAAAAGTGCAGAGTAATCAACACGGCCGTGTTGAGACCAACACAGTCGTATTGGGTGCCTGGAACGCCCAGACACCTTTTGAGTCATCCAACACAACACAGCCGTGTTTAAACAAAACACGGCCGTGTTCAGTCAACCAGACTAGTGTTGAGACCAACACAGTTGTGTTGGTTGCCTGGAACGTCCAGTCACCTTCTGAGTCATCCAACACAACCGTGTTTAAACAAAACACGGCCGTGTTCAGTCAACCAGACTAGTGTTGAGACCAACACAGTCGTGTTGGCTGCCTGGAACGCCCAGTCACCTTCTGAGTCATCTAACACGGCCGTGTTTAAACAAAACACGGCCGTGTTCAGTAACCAGACTAAAATTGATAAATTTTTATTTGAGTGGAACTAAAATTGATAATTTTGTTTGAATGAGACCAAAATTGATAATTTTGATATTGAATGAGACCAAAAATGATTGTTACTCAAAAATTAATATACTACACGAAATTCATTATTAATTTTTTATATTTCATATAATTTTTTAAAAAATATTTTACAAATTTTTTTCTTTATTTTTTATTATCACATCATTTTGTCTATTTATTAATTTTTAATAAAAATATTATTTTACTTTTAATCTATTTCATATTTATATTATGGATGGATGTGCTCCGAAATTATGAGTCATATAAAATTAATTGAAAATATTTTCAATATTTACAAATAAATGAAATTGATTCAAAATTTAAAAATCATTAAAATTTCAATTAAATAAAAAATATATATAAATATTATATTTTTTTTATAAGAGGTTTTTATATATTTTTTTATTTATATTATTTATTAATATAATAATTACTATTCAAATATAAAAATATCAATCATAATTTGTAAATATATAGAGTACACTTGTATATATATGAAAAAAAATTAAAAAGTACACTAATTCTCAAAAAATATATTATCTCCTTCCCAGAACTATAGTTTGGGTTGTGACACGATGAATAAAAAATACGGATAAAAGATTTTCTTACCATTGTGAATGTATTAGTGTAAAAAGTAGTGACGATTATGTAATAATAATGAAAAATTAAGAATAGTTATACAGTTATATGATTATTTATGAAAATTAGACTATTATTTTGAGATGGACAAAAATAGTAAACAAGACTATTGTGTTCGGACGGAAGAATTAATATTTATTACTATTATTATTATTATTATTATTATTATTATTTTTATATTTATATTTTTTTGTTATATTATTATTTGATCGATTTGTTGTATTATTATTCGAGATAATTAATTTTTTTTGTAACGAACTATTCCTACGGTCCCATGTAATATAGGTGCATTACTATAGATTAGTAAAGTATAGTATCATTAATAAATAATTAAAAAATGTATTAGTAAAAATAATTATTATATAGTAAAAATAATTAAATACTTTAATTAAAATAAAAAAATTTCAAATTTCAAATTTCAAATGTGATTAAAGTGTATAATTATATTTTTAAAAAATAACAAATTATGTGGACAGACAAAAATAGAAAATAAGAATAAATTGGTGGGACGGAGAGAATATTTAATTATTATAATTATTATTATTAATATAATTCCTTTCACCAAAATTATATTTCTCAATAAAATTATATTAAATTTACAATTTTTATTCATGGGAATAAAAAATAAAAGAATTAAAAAAATAAATATAAACTAAAAGTGGAAACTAAATAGGTGGTTTTTGAATTGCAACATATAGAAGTGAAATTGAAATGAGAAAATATTAATTAATGATATAGTAAGTTTAATTTCAATTTGACCGTTTTCAAAAATTAAAACTAATAATTTTTATTCTAATTATTTGAGCAAGTTTATTTTGTTATTTTAAATATAAAGAGTATATAAAATTATTAATATTATTTCAAATATATAAAATTATAAAATATTTGTAAGTTTTATATTAAACATATAATTTTTTCTTATTTTATTGATATTATTATGTTAAAATAATAAATAGTTATTAATAATAAAAAAATAATATATATATTTTAAAGAAAATAAAATTAAAAATCCATTAAAATCTCAACTTATAAAATTTTATATAGTATAATTTGTTAAACAATTCAACAAAATCTATTGATTTAAAAAATAAAATTAAAGGTTATTTGTTTGAGGGGATTTTGAAAAAAAAAATTGGTTCATCCAAAATTTTCTTTAAAAAATATCAAAATCAAACACATATTTTTAATTTTTTATATCATTCTTAAAATCAATTTTTCATTTAAAATATTAAATCAATACTTATTTATATCATGTTATTCAAATTATTTTTAATTCAAAATTTTTACTATTCAAATCTCAATCAAAATCCAAACCTCCCAAATAAACAGGAAAGATTTTTTAAAAATTTGAATTAATACATAAAAATTTAAATTGAACACATCAAATTTCCAAAAATGTAAAATTTAAAACCGAATACATCCCAATTTAAAAAATTCAATAAAATCTATATTTTACACCCCGATAGTTTTAATAGAAAAAAATATAAAAAATCAAAATAAATAGTACCTCTCCGTCCTAATCGAACAAACCCGTTGATATTTTACAGAATCGTATTTTGAGGGGAGGGCAGCGCAGGGATAAACCCCAGACTAGATTTCACCCGCAAATCCCTAAAATCTCATAAGCAAAAGTTTACTTGCGAGTTTACTTCGTGAATCCGCCAATTTATTCGCTCATTGTTTTGCATGTATCCATCAATCCCTGACGTTTCGGAGAGGAGATAGCTTCATATATATTTGGTGGTTTCAAGAAATCAGTCAGCTGAGCGGTTGATTTTTCAAGACCCTGCAAAATGTCATCTACGCCGGCGAATTTGTGGGTTTTGCTGGGGCTTGGGATTGCAGGTATATTGATTATGACCAAGAGGTTGAAGAAAACCGTGAAGGCCGACTTTGGGGCCTTTATTGAGCGTTTGCAACTATTGCCGCCGCCGCAGCCTGCTCCTCCCAAAGCTCCTCACCCTCTTAGCGGTCTATCTTTTGCGGTCTCTGATGTGTAAGCATCTTATTATTTTGGCTCGCGAAGCTATCGCTGTGCTCCTTTAGTTTTAGTATTAGTAGTTGTTAATGGAGGTTTGCTTGAAAGGGAGATTTTCTGGTCGAGACTCGATTAAAGTTGTTTGTTTTTGTTTTAATGTTCTATTTGGTGACGTTGGGTTACCTCATGACCTGATGCTGATGCTTAGCAAATTCAGTTTTAAGCCCTCTGCAAGGGCAAACATGTGGTAATGTTGTCGGGAATTTGAAGTTGTCTGGGAATACATTAATATATATATATATTATGTATGTATGTATGTGCGCCCATTCAATAATTGCTTGGATTGGATTCATTGGGCTTCGACAGCTTCTAAGAAGTCATAATTTTCTATCTTGATTGTCAGATACGATATAGAAGGATTTGTAACTGGGTTTGGCAATCCAGACTGGTCTAGGACTCAGGACCCTGCTACTCAGACATGTCCTGTGGTTGCAGCTCTTGTCGATGGCGGTGCTACTTGTGTTGGGAAAACTGTCGTGGATGACATGGCGCTAAGGTCAAGCCCAACCACTATACTATTAAATGTATGTTTCCTTGCGACTCGACACATTTCTAACAGTCCTTATCCCCTGTGAATTTGTCTTTCTTAATCCAGTGTTAGTGGACAAAACAAGCATTATGGTACACCAACTAATCCCACCTTACCTGCACGAGTACCAGGAGGCGCCTCCAGTGGTGCTGCTGTGGCTGTTGCTGCTAAGCTTGTGGATTTTGCTTTGGGTGAGGTTCTATGATTTTTCTTGATGAGTCTCTTGGCTTTTCACTGTACTATTTTCAATTGTGTGTGATATATTGAAGGAAATTTTTGTATTTTACCTTGAATTCATATGGCAGGCATAGATACTGATGGCGGCGTGAGAGTGCCTGCTGATTATTGTGGTGTTATTGGCTTTAGACCATCGCATGGAACTGTTTCCATGACTGGTTTAATTCCTGTTTCTGGAAGTCTTGACACGATAGGTATGTGTACTATATGTAAACATAAAACTAAATGAGATATGGCATACGATTTGTTTTAGCATTGAAAGTTTCTATTGTAGAAGTAATCATGACAAACATTACCCCCATCTATCTCAAACATTGTTCTACTTTCCTTTGTGCATTTCAGGATGGTTTGCTAAAGAACCTGCTGTACTTCGACGTGTTGGTCATGTGCTACTGCAAGTTCCATATGCTGCTCAACGAAATCCAAGGAATATATTTATAGCCGATGACTTTTTCCAGTCACAAAAAATTCCTGCAGAGCGTATAACTCAAGCGGTTATAAATTCCGTTGAGAAACTATATGGAAGTATGCAATTGTTTGTGTTAATGTCAATTCCTTAAATGTAACATAAACTGCAAATAACTTGGATCTATTGCCGGGATTGTCACCATGCAGGGCAAGTTTTAAGGCAAGATAATCTTGGTGGTTATATTAACTTGAAGGTTCCAAGTTTAAAAGCATTCAAGGATAAGCAACTTAATGGTGAGGTGAAATCTTCTCCATTAGGATTTCTAGCAAATGTCATGCAGAAGATTAAGAGGTGGGTTTATTTGTATCACCGAGGAATGGCTGATATTTTTTCAATGTGATTAATAAAATATTTCATCGAGTTATTATTCTCTTCTATGTAAATTTGCATGTGAACCTCCCTTTCCCTGCTTTATTCCGTTTTCTTTATTAGCTCTGAGAATGCTGTAGACAGATAACTTAGCCTGACATATAGATCAGAGATTCATATTTGTCCTTGCAACCTAGAGCCCAGTTTTGGAGCTCTGATTTTTATGCTCTTCATGAGCTTATTCAATCTGTAATCTATTCATCTTTCCTTCATGCAAGTAGCTTCTCTTAATACATGTTTATTTTATTGCTGAAATTTAGGCCTTCCGTATATTGCCCTTATATGATATATCTGGTATCTGCTCTGCATCATTTTCCTTGATTGTTGAAGTGTTTGCGTAGTTGAATTTGTGATGGAAGCCAACTCAGTGGTATCACTTTATATTATGTATGCTGGATAACAATCAAACCATCCATTCACTGCAATCTTGCCTGCATCATTACAGAGAACTTGTTCCTTCTTCTCTTGCAGGCATGAGTTCAGACAAAATCATAATAAATGGATCAACGCCATAAAGCCTACTCTTGATCCAATCATCTCAGCACAAATAGCTGGAGATGCAGATTTGACTGATGCAGATATTGAGAAGCTTCACACAATCAGGAGTGAATTGAGGTTGGCAATAAATGCCATTTTAAAGGTATTGTATGTCATTTCTAGTTGAACGTGATATATTTTTGACAGCTTATGTCTTACTGGCTTGCCTATCCTGCTCCTGGTCTTCTATTCCTCTGATAATTTGGTTCATGATTTCCTGTTGTTCTCTGTTATGATTATTCCCACGTTGTATTGCCTAGTACTTGTAGTCCTGTGAAAAGTGGGACTGGGAATAGGATCAAGTAGTTGCGCAACTGTTCTTATAGAAGCCTATCTGAAGTCTATATTTTTCTAAATATTTAGCCTAATGTAGAACTTTTTTAATCTCTGGTCGCTATGACTTATTTTACTATTATTTCTTAACAGTGGAATTTTATCTTACTTTTTAACAGGATGACGGAATATTAGTTATTCCTACTTGTTCTGATCCTCCACCAAAACTTGGTGCCAAAGAGATTTTTTCAGAGGACTACCTACTTCGAACATCCTCCCTATCAAGTTTAGCTAGTATTTCAGGATGCTGTCAGGTTAAAGTTTCCCTCTTTCCCCTTGAACATACTGGTTGGTGTGCATATTTTCTGCTTTTGAACTAACCTTTTGATCTTTCATTGTAGGTGGTTGTGCCACTTGGAGTTCATGAAAAGTGCCCCATTTCTCTATCGCTTCTGGCTAGGCATGGGGGTGATAGATTTTTACTGGACACTTTGCAGGCCATGCATGCATCTTTACAAGAGCAGTTTGTTGCCGCTGCAAAACCTACGTCATCCCCAAAAGCCATATCACAGGAATCGTCTGCAGAGATGGCAAAAGAAAAGGTAAGCACTACCATGTCAATTGTAGTGATATTAATTGCAAACATGTTATACCATGTGCGTTTGTGTGCCTTACCTTATAACTTCGTCACATAACATTGAGTCCATTTCTAAGCAGTTCTCTGTTATTAATTGATAGAGAACTTTTTTTCTGATTTACTCTGTTGACTTTTCCAAGAGATTGCAATCTAAATTGTACAACTGTTTTGTTCTTCATGAGAAAGACTTCATTAATTTAGCATAAGGTATAATTATTCCTGGAAAAAGTTGTAGCAAGATGACCCCTCCCAGTGGCCAACCTTGCATGTGTGTGTTTCACAGTCACACCATTATATATTGATTTCCTGTAACTTATGCATGTAGTTAAGTCCTCATTGATGTAGCTCTTGTTTGTCAAGATAGTTGAAATTTTCTTTGAACTTCCCATTGTATATAACTTGTAAGTATATACAAAAAGTTAAAAGTAGATGCAACTACATTGAGTGGGGTTTGTTTTCTTGTGAAGTGTTTTATTTTAAAAAAAAAAATTATTATTATTATCTCTGGTAAATGATGCAGGGCAATCAAGCCTTCAAAGAGAAACAGTTTCCAAGAGCCGTTGGATTTTATACAGAGGCAATCAAACTTAACAGTAATAACGCAACATACTACAGCAACAGGGCTGCAGCATATCTAGAGATGGGAAGGTATTGATTCTTGTATTATTCTTGATTTATTTCATCAGCATGGAGATTTGATTGGTTGATTCTTGCTTCCAGCTACCTCCAAGCTGAAACTGATTCTACTCAAGCAATTGATCTTGATAAAAAAGTACCCTCTCTCTCTCTCTCTCTCTCTCTCTCTCTCTCTCTCTCTCTCGATATATATATATATCTATCCCATGTGCATTATTCTACATCAAGTTCTTCCACTTTTAATATGAAGAGATTCTTTATTGTTGTTTGTTTCATGATGACTGCATGGTTGTGGTTCTCATTACCTTTAGAAGTGTTCTGGTAATTGTGGTTTTTTATTTTTTTTTCTGAAACTCTGGGAACAATTTGGGGCTACTATGTCATATAGAATGATAGTTTATTAATCTGATAGTGGAGTTATTTTTAAGTAGTGTTCCTTCTGAAACTTGATCTATTCTGCTGCCCCCTTTGTGTTGTATGTGTGTGTATATTGTGAGATCCTCTTGAATACTTTTGGCTATTGTTTGCAGAATGTGAAGGCCTATTTGAGGAGAGGAACTGCACGGGAAATGTTGGGCTACTATAAAGAAGCAATGGAAGGTGCGTTCATTTTCCTGGATACTCTATATATCCTGAGTCATGCATATTATATGAGGGGGGAAAAAACTCAATTTTGAAGATAATACAGAGTACTTCTGTCCGATTCATGGATAACTATAATGTTCACAAGATTGCTTTTTAAGCTTTGTTTTATGTTGGAAGAAATTTCTTGATTCAAGTCCACTTTTGGGTCTTAACAAAGTCAAAATTGTGTTTTTATGCAGAAATCTTACTTGATTCTTCATTATTTAATTGCAGATTTCCGGCATGCGCTTGTACTTGAGCCAAACAACAAAAGAGCAGCTCAGTCGACGGACAGGCTGAAGAGATGGTTTCAGTAGAGTTTATACTAGGTGAAACATCCAGGGATCCCTGTGGTTGCCACATAGTATATGGAACCGGTACAAAGTTTTCCGAGTAGTGCTCTGACTTTTTGGCCCTAATGCCTTTGACAGCAGTATCCATTTCTTGCCATGCAGGCATGGCAACTTGAAGAGAAATATGCATGCAGGCATGGTATATGAGCCATTTGTGTGGTTCACACTATTTTATTTGTTAAATGCAATTTCGTTCACCTACGTATCATACTCATCACTTTAGGTTGTAATTTTAAACCAGCTGGAGGATTCATTTGGTTGTTCCACAAGTTTATTGTGGGCAGTTTTGTTGGGAGCAATAATTGGTACTTTAAACACTGGCCTTTCTGTGACCATCAAATATTTATAAGAGTTGGATTTGCAGCTGATTTCTGTATAGATTCACATATTGTCTGTGTAAAGCATCTTTTTGATATAATGTGCTTTACAAGTTTGAACATCCTCAAAGTTCTATAATTCTTGTTCATCCTTCCAAACACCACCATTAAAACAAGCTGGAGCTTTCATCTTCGTCAAAAAGTTGATCCAGTTGTTCATCTGTCCACTGTGGCAGAGAGGATTTCAATATCACAGGCTGCCTCTGAGCTTCATTTACTTGAATTTCTTCACAACTGTGTCTTGGGACAGAGTTACTTGTATTATTGGTGTTGTCCATTACAGGGCATTCCAAACCACCTCCCTTCGCTTCTTTGAGACTGAGATTTGCCGACTCTGGGTGGTTGGCAGCATTCCTGGTTCCAATCATGTCTTCGGGTATCACATTACTGGTTTCTTTCCTTAGATTGATACTCCCTCTCCTGCCTGCAGTTGTATCATTGGTGACTGCATGGGGTTGAATGCTTCTATTGAGAAGATTCTGCTTGTTGACAACACTACGATTGTGCACATTCTCAGCCTCCCCTGTGCTGTGTCTCTGTTCAATGTCTCCCATTCCTGCACTTTCTTTGTGTCCAATCTTGGAGGATCTTTGGCCTTTTACACAATATTCTACAAATCATCAGATGTGGGAAGAATCACGTAAGATGGGACTCAAAAAAACTAGTCATTTGTGCATGGATGTCAACCCATAAAAGAAAGGTGCCATTGTGGCATAGTTAGCTGAAAAGATAAACAGTTCTCCATACCAATTCCAGGGTCAGCATATCGAAGGGGAAATGCGGTGTTATTTAGTTTCGAAGTTGAGCCATTGTTGTGGCAGAATACCTGCAGATACCAGTCATGAAAGCAGTGGAGACACAGGTTGCAAAACTATGAAAGATCGGGTAAGATCATGTGTGCAAAACCAAGCAGTGAAGAACTTGGTCGATCATACAATTGTATCATTAAAAAAAGTTAGACTAGCTACATGTATCATTACAAACCATGAAGCGAAAATCACAAGGCAAGCAGAAACATAGAGCATTTGACTAAATTTTCAACCAAGGCATAACCACTGAACCAAAATATAATGAATATTGAAGTGCAACAAAGTCTAGACTCTAAAAACCAAAGTCTGGCACCTACATCTATCACAATTAAGCATTTATTCTGATTTCATGCAATCTTCTTGGTTATACTTGAAACAATGAAATCTTCTTGGTTGTACTTGCACAACCTATTAACAGCTGGGGTTAAGAAAACAGAAATCAGTTGTACCTTTACCAAATTTCTCTGTGTCACATTGAGATAGTGTGCTGACCTCACAGGTGAAAAAAGAGTAACCTACAAAAAAAACCTTTGGTAGCTGCTCAAAGCAAAATTGCAATGCAAAGAGATGTACAATCTCCCCAGGAACATAAAATGGAAGATCATTGTGGAAAAAAAAAAAAGTATTTTAGCTTATACCTCCTGCAGTATTAAAACTGCACCGGTGCTTAAGTTTTTTCCGAACTCACTCCCAGAGAGCACTTTATGATGAATACTAGCACCAATTGTACCTGTGGGATCCTACAGTTTGTTCATGTAAATATCAGATAGTTAGATACTCAAGTCAGTATAAGTATATCTATATATATGTATACATGCTATGTTGTCCAGTGTCCACTTCTATACCTTTAGTGATACAATCAGACCCCCGAGACCATTAGGTGTGCATGACTTAATCACAGCCACAACCTATCAGAATCCAAAGAACAGATCAAAGAAACCCTAGAAACTATACTGCATTTGTAAATTCAAGCATCTACCATGTTACAGAAAACATAATGAGAAAAAGGAGTTCACGTATGTTTATCACCTGAGCAATGCGGCCAACATTAAGGCATTCCTTCATAGAGCTGATCGGCGTACATGGAACAACACCATTTTCAGCGCCTACAAAAGGAAACAGGGATTAACATCCTCTATTACGGGTAAAACCACAAACACTTTAAACAGAGGAGACTACGGCCTCTATGAGCACCGAATTAAGTTGCATTTGAAAATGTCGAAGCACAGAGAATTCACATGAACAGCAAATTCAGTGAGCATAAAGCAACAACAACATTACCGAGGAATTGGAGGGCGGAAATCCAAGGATGGCGAGTAAAATCATCATCAAATTCCGCAGTGTCTTCTACCGCTCTCCGTATGTAGTCTTGAGTGGAAGTCACCCCATCGAAGTCCTGAGCACAATCATCTCGAGTGTTGGAAAAGGCTTTATTGGCACGGTCGAGATTCTTCCGAAGCATCGCGGCTTGAATTGCTCCTGCTGGGCCAGGAATAGCGCGGCGGCAAGATGTGGAAGGCTGTAATTGTTGTTGGCGGCGGTTTTCCTCGGGCAATGCGGATGGAGAAGGACCGGGGGCGGGGGCGGAGGCGGAGCGGAGCTGCTTACAAGGGCGGAGAAGAGACGGGAGATCAGAATCGTCAAGGTCAAGAGCTTCCCATGGGTCGGCTTCCATTATCGCGAGGTTAGCTTGGAGGGAAAAGGAAACAAACACAGGGGCGGGGCGGGGAAGGGATTTTCCCTGTTTCTCATATTTGCCCCAAATCTATCACAATTCTCAATCAACCGCCATTCCCAATTAAAGACTCGGTTGCAGTCACAGCCCCCAAAATTCACTTATATATTTTCGCTCCTACGATCTCTTTAGTTTAGAAATGAAATGATCAAAAATATGTACCAGCGAAGTAGGTAGTATTATTATTTTTTTACAATTTATTGACGAGTTGCTTTTGATAAATTTTTAATGGAAGTAGATTTCACAAGACAAATTATATTAAGAAGTATGCGTGACAGGTACTGTGGCAATACAAATACCACATAATAAATAATTAATGAGCATAAATTAAAACGTGGAAGGTAAGAAATTCATTTGTTTGTTTGCTGTATAGCAGTTGTTCCAGTGTTGAAAGAAAGAATAAAAATAAGAAGAGTAGTTGTACTAGTAATAGTAATAGTATTATTATAAGATTGGAGAGAATGGATTTTGGGGAATCAAAGAAAGGGAGGGAAGGGCGTAATTGTCGGGAGGGAGGGAGGGAGAGAGCACAAGGAAGGAAGGAACGAATGTCGCGTACATATTTATATAATCAACAGAGGATAGGATTAGGATGGTGTGTTGGTTGGTTGGCAACGACCATCTGGCCTGGCCTGACTACTATTTATATAAATTAGTATTATACATATATAATAATATAATGCCTGTGTGTGGTGTTCGCCTGCGGAGATCAAGTTGAAATAATAATAATAATTATTGTTATTTCTCTCTGTCCATCTCTATAGTAATCAATATATACATACGTATAAGTAAAGTGATCGAGATCAAGATCATATCGATCGATCGATTGATTTGATTGAAATCATGGAGCATGAAGAATCAATGCACGACATGTTTGGGCTGCTGAGGATTCGGATTAAGAGAGGCGTCGATTTGGCTGTTCGCGACGTCTGCACCAGCGATCCTTATGTGGTCGTCAAGATGGGCAAACAGGTACCTAAGATCATCTTCAATTATTTATTAATGATTGATTGATTGACTAGTTATAATATTATAATTGTTGTTGCTGTACGTACGTACCTGCAGAGGATGAAGACGAGGGTGATCAGGAAGGACGTGAATCCAGAATGGAACGAAGACCTCACGCTCTCTGTCTCTGATCCTAATCAGCATGTTACCCTCGTACGCACTGCACTGCACTAATACATAAGTAGAGTATTTAATTATTGATGCATCATATGTGAATAATAATAATAATAATAATAGATAGATAGATAGATTGATTAAATTAATTAATTAAATAAATATCAAGGAAGAAGCTAAGTTGCAAGTTGCAGACGGTGTACGACCACGACACGTTCAGCATGGACGACGAGATGGGGGATGCCGAGGTGGACATAAGGCCGTACATCGACGCGCTGAAGATGAAGCTCGAGGGGCTCCCCGACGGGACCGTCATCTCCAGAATACACCCGGACCGGCACAACTGCCTGGCCGAGGAGAGCCAGGTGGTCTGGAAGGATGGCCACGTCACCCAGGACATGTGCCTCAGGCTCAGGCACGTCGAGACCGGCGAGGTCCACATCCAGCTCCAGTGGATCGACCTCCCGGGCTCCAAACGTCTATGCTAAACCCGATCCTAATCCTAATCCTACCCACCTCTATTACTATTGCTATTTACTAATTCCTGCCCTACCTATGGAATATATATATATATATATATATAATTAATATATACATGGATCCTACTTACCTACCTACCTACCTACCTGCCTGAATGAATATCATTCCATACGTATATAATAGTATTATATATATGTGTTGCTACTGCTGCTGCTGTTGATGTTGGTTTTGATCATGCATTATTGTTATCATTAATATTATTATTATTATTGTGTTGCTTGCTTCTGCATATAAAGCTTCCTTCTTATTACTGTTCCATTAATTTTATTTTCATGTATGTTATCACTATATATATATATATATATGTTATACTAGCTAGTCAGTAGTAGTGATATATAGCCCGGGTTTGATTCTTGAATGGGCCCAATCCATCTCATCCAGTAGTAAACAAACACACACCAGATTTGAAACAAAACATGATCAGTATTGTATTTGCATGATTATATTATTAACTATTCGCCAAGGTTAAGGACAAAAAAAGTGGAGATTTCAAGATTATACACACTAGTTAATGTCTTTCTCGCACATAAAAATCATAAAAAGTGGTCCTAAATCCAAACCCAGTCTACGAAACATTTTTCTTGGAGTATAAAAATGCAATCTTTATAGAGAAGATCAGAATACACTTAAAGAGTTTTATTTAATAAAACTGGGGTGGGCTGCTCTGTGTGTGTGTGTGTGAGAGAGAGAGAGAGAGAGAGCAAAGGGACAACAGATGAGACCCCCCCGTTTCCCTCAAAGTAATCAAAAAATGGCATGCCCTTTTATGCTCATTGAAACCCTAAATCCCCTTTTCGATAATCCACCAATTCGTGCAATTCAAAACATCATGTTCCGGGGTTTACAGCCCCAAGAAGCTTTCTTTCTTTGTTTTTTTTAATATCAACTCTAACAATCTGAATATTATTATTATTATTAGTATTATCTAGAATTTTAGTTAGCATTATCATCAAGAATATTATTAGTATTATCTAGAACATATATACAACAAGATAGATAATCTTGCAGCAGCAACGTGCAGATGCGTGTGCTACATTGTATTAGGACATCTGAGGATTTTTCCCATGGTTATTGGTACTTGGGAAGTTTGTCCAATCGAGACAAGAGAAAGAGAGACAGAGTGCAGAGGAGATGGTTAGTTTATGATCACAAATATGCACTTAGAGAACCAGAGGAGAGGAGAGGAGAGGAGAGGAGCCACGAGTCGATATGTCTAGAAAGCAAATCAATCCCAAGTCCTAATATAAAATAAAGAATACTAAAATGGAAGAACGAGGCATAAAAAGCTCTCCCTAACCCCAACCCCAACCCCAACCCAACCAAGTTGCCTTTTTTTCCCAGGCTTTATACGCACGCACCCACCCACCCCAGGCCAGGGCAGCAGTCATTATCAAAATCACACGCCTTCACTTCCAAAACAACTAAAAAGGTCCTCTATTAGTGTATATATATATATATATACTTGTATCAGAACTCAGACCACCCCCACCCCCCCTACCCTTGCCTGGTTTGGTTCACTCTTTTGCTTCGGGGGATGCAAGTGCAACGTTGCAACTCTCAAAGCTGCAATTTCTGCTCTGCAACCCCAAAAAAACAATTATACTATTCTTCCCTCTCCCTCTCTCTCTGCTGTATTCCAACCAATACACACACACTACACTACACTACAACACTACACTGCTGCACTAGTTAGTGTCTACTACACATGCCCCTCTGCTGCTGCTGCGCCTCCCTGCCTTCTTTTTCGTCACCCAACATAATAAGAAGGCCGAGTTATACTTATTCCTCCTCGCTTTCATTCAATATATTCCTCCACGCCTGCTCCTGCTCCTTCACCTGGGATTCATTCTTGGAAGCCTACTAAGTTAGAGGAGGAAGAAGAAGTAAAAATGATAAGCGGGTCTGATTTCTACCATGTCATGACTGCAATGGTGCCACTATATGTGGCCATGATCCTGGCTTATGGGTCCGTCAAGTGGTGGAAGATCTTCACCCCAGATCAGTGCTCCGGGATCAACCGCTTCGTGGCGCTCTTCGCCGTCCCGCTGCTGTCTTTTCATTTCATAGCTAGCAATGATCCGTACGCCATGAATCTGAGGTTCATCGCCGCTGACACTCTCCAGAAGGTGGCTGTTCTTGCGCTTCTCGCGGTTTGGGCCAATGTCTCCAAAAGGGGTGGCCTGGAATGGATGATTACCATCTTCTCCCTCTCCACTCTGCCCAACACCCTGGTCATGGGCATCCCTCTGCTCAAGGGGATGTACGGGGACTACTCCGGCAATCTGATGGTGCAGGTAGTGGTGCTCCAATGCATAATCTGGTACACGTTGATGCTCTTCATGTTCGAGTACAGGGGCGCCAAGATGTTGATTTCTGAGCAGTTCCCTGAGACTGCGGGCTCCATTGTCTCCATCCACGTCGACTCTGATGTCATGTCACTGGATGGGCGGCAGCCATTGGAGACCGAGGCGGAAATCAAGGATGATGGGAAGCTGCATGTCACTGTGAGGAAATCCAACGCCTCCAGATCAGACATTTTCTCCAGGAGGTCAATGGGATTCTCTTCCACCACTCCCAGGCCTTCCAATCTCACCAATGCAGAGATTTACTCTCTCCAGTCTTCCAGAAACCCAACCCCAAGAGGCTCCAGTTTCAACCACACAGACTTCTACTCCATGATGCAGGGGGGAGGGGGAGCAGGAGGAAGAAACTCTAATTTTGGGGCAAATGACGTGTATGGCATGTCGGCTTCGAGAGGGCCGACTCCAAGGCCATCAAATTTCGAGGAGGAAAGTGGGAACAAGTCGAGATTCTACCATGGAACCAATGCTAACAGCACTGCCACGGCCACCACCACTACACATAATAATAATAATAATTATCCACCTCCAAATCCAGACATGTTTTCACCTGCCAACATGGCTTCTTCTAAACCAGCAGCAGCGAAGAAGGCGAATGGGAAGAACGAAGAAGGTGGGAAAGATCTCCACATGTTTGTGTGGAGCTCAAGTGCGTCTCCTGTTTCTGATGTGTTTGGAGGACATGATCATTACGAGCATCATCATGCCAATGGTAAAGAGGTCAGAGCTGCTGTTTCTCCCGGTAAAGGTGCATACTTGCTTCATCCCCCTAATTTCCTACTGAGTAATTAATTGAATTCATCATTGTTATGAAATAGTAGATACATACAATCTTGTGTTGTAATTGTGAGTGTGTTCTTAATTGATTAGTGGAAGGACAGAGAGAGTACAGCAACCACCAAGAGGAGTTCTTGGGGAGGGATGAGCTAAGCTTTGGGAACAGAGGAGGTGGGGAAAGGGAGAATGAAGGTGGGGAGAAAGGAGAGGGGGAGGAGGAGAACAAAGTGAAGGTGATGCCTCCCACAAGTGTAATGACAAGGCTCATTTTGATCATGGTTTGGCGGAAACTCATCAGAAATCCCAACACTTACTCTAGCTTAATTGGCCTCACATGGTCCCTCGTTTCCTTCAGGTAATAGATTGGATTTGATTTGGTCTGATTAATCGACACATACATTACATCGATCTATCTATCTATGTAAGTTTGATTTTGACTTGGGAAGTGAGATTTGATTGCAATTAATGTGGTGCATACTGCATATTAATATGTGTTCAGGTGGCATGTCCAAATGCCAGCCATAATAGCAAAGTCGATCGCCATACTCTCTGATGCAGGACTTGGGATGGCCATGTTCAGCCTAGGTCAGTTTTGGCTTTGTTTTGCTGCTTATAATTATCATTATCACTCTCCGCTCTGCTCCCTCCCTGCATCTTTATATTTGATACAGTAATAAATAATTAGTGAGTCCAGTCTTAGGTCCACGTTTGATTAATTAGAGAGAGAGAGAGAGAGAGAGAGAGAGAAAGGGTGATCAGTAAACAAAGCATGCTAAAAGGCATTGACAAGGTTGAGCCCCTCCCCTCCCCACCCCACTGGGCACAATCATCATAACATGTCTGTCTCTTTATTGCCCGCCCCCCTTTTCTTTTTCTCAGCCTCAGCCTCACTAGTGCTATGAGTGTGCCATTAGATTACTTAATTAGTCTTTTTAAGTATATATATATATATATATATAGAGAGAGAGAGAGAGAGAGAGAGAGAGTAAGAGAGGAACGGAGGGTGAAGGGGAGGGGAGCAAAGCAGAGTAGTGATGATGAGATGAAATGAAATGAAGTGGTGATGATTGATTGATTGATGGGGATGGTGCAGGATTGTTCATGGCATTGCAGCCGAGGATCATAGCATGTGGGAACACGGTGGCAGCTTTTGCAATGGCTGTGAGATTCCTAACAGGACCAGCTGTCATGGCTGCCGCTTCCATTGCTGTTGGCCTTCGTGGCGATCTCCTCCGCATCGCCATTGTCCAGGTCACCCCCATCATGTCTCATCTTCTTCAATTTCTTCTCCTCCTCATCTTCTTTCTTATTATAATAATAATTTTATTATTGTTTCTTTATTTACTTCCATTACACACATGTAAGAAAGAAAGACTTGAAGCAGAAGCTGAAGCTGCTGCTGCCACTTTTACAAAGAATCTTACTAAAATACACTCCCCATCCCTACACGTGATTCTCGATTCCCCTTTCTGGGTTGGGTTTCCATTTTCAAACCTAAACGTGAACAACCATCCATTTTTGTGCAGTCCAGCCCTGCTGCTGCTACTGCTGCATCCATACTTTTCAAGAAAAACTCCTCCTACTATTTTTAGGGCACTTTCGTTCCAACTGCTCCAACATATAATATATATATATATATATGTTCAAATATTGTTGCCACTAACCCAGAAAGCAAAATGGAATACCAAATTCAACATTTAACTTATTGCCATTTGCTATGTTTGCGTGTTGCAGGCTGCTTTACCCCAGGGGATTGTCCCATTTGTTTTTGCCAAGGAATACAACCTACACCCTGATATTCTCAGCACTGCGTAAGATATTACCCATACATGTAACATATAATATATATACATATATATACATACGGTGTCATCAGTTTAGAGTATTTCTGCTGCAGGGTCATATTTGGAATGCTCATCGCTCTCCCCATAACGCTTCTCTACTACATTTTGCTCGGCCTATGAACTAACTCACTCTCCTTCCAGCTGGACCAAATTATTGAAGTATATATACATATCTATATATCAATTATGTAAAAGATCATGAAAGGGGAGAGGAGGTGCAGGAGGAATTGCATTGCAGCTGATATATGATGATGAGCCTAGTAGATTAATTCAATTAGAGATTTAACTGATGATCCATTTGCATCGACGCATGCATGCCACGCCCTACCTACCCTCATTTGCACCTTTTTTTTTTGTCTTTTCTCACATGGCAATGTTAAATGATGGTATTATATCATATGATGTCTGTCCTAGTTATTTTTCTGTGCAAATTTCATTAATAGAACGAACGATCGAACGATCCCTCCGGTTTCTGTTTTCCAGTGCCTCAGTCGTGTTTTAGTTCAGAAATTCTTGTAGACTGACTTTTACTTAACTACGAGGAATATAAATACCAAGAGTGAGTATTTCATCGTGTAATTGTTGTGTAAGTAAATGGGCTTTTCAGCTAAGGATGATATATATATATATATATATATATATAAGATCACAATTTTTATTATGTTGCCCTAAACACAATAAATAAATTCAATTGCATTGTTGTGCATGAGGACGACAGGTTCAGAATGACTAATAAATTCGGTTTTGTGTAATAAGAAATGTATTGAATAATTGGGATCCATTTATAAAATAAATATATATATATATAGATATGGAGAGATGTTAATGCGATTGGGTCAGATCGGTTCACTCACCTTTGGGCTGGATTGTGTTTGTATTTATAGCTACCCAAATTGAATCAGTGCCACCATTTAATATTTAATAATAATATAGTAAGCCCACAAATCCTGGGCCCATAAAAATATCCAAATGTTTATATATATATCGTTTATTTATTTATTTTTAATTTTACAATGATAATACTCCCTCTATACAACAAATAGGGGCGAGCAAAATATTCTGAAATCCAAAAATTCAATTTGAACCAAATCGAAATTTAAAATTTGGTTCGAATTTTTCGGATTCTCGGATTGGATTGAACTGAATTTTTAACAAATTTCGAATTTTTGGATCGAATCGGATCGGTATACTTAAAATCCGAACCAATTCGAAATCCAAAATATATCAATTTTAATATATTTTTTTATTATACATATTTAATATTTTATTAGAAAATATTATATTTTAATATAAAAAACTCAAATTTATTAATTATATTTTAATATATTATATATAGTTAATATTATAAAATAATAATAAATTTTAAAAGAAATTTAAAAATTAAAAAAATAATAATAAAAATATTTAGAATTTCGAATTTTTCGATTTGATTCAGATTTTTTAGTTCGGATTACGGATTTTGGTTATTTCGGTTCGATTCGATTGATTTTTTCAAAAATTTCAAATTTTTAGATCGGTTCAGACTCCGAACCGAAAATTCGAATGCACACCCCTAACAACAAATGCTTTTCACATTACTTCACACACTGAAATTTTTTAAAACGTATAATAAGTAAATAATTAAAAGTATATATTAATAAAAATAATTATTATATAATATAAATACATATAGATCAAGATGATTAAATAATTTAACTAAAATAAAAATAAATTTTAAATTTAAAAAAAAAAACCAAATAAAATTATATGAAAAAAATATATAAAAATGAAATACGAATTTGGAGGAAGTAACAAATATAGTAAGAGGAGAGACAGGTGGCAATATAGTAGTACTAGTATTTTTTTTAATATGGTGGTGAGAAGAAAGAGAGAAAATGATATGTGTTGAGAGAGATGGATGGATGGATGGGTGGCAGCACCTGCTTCCGACACCTAAGTGGTCCATTTCTGCTCTGGCGCCACCTTCGACAACTACTGTTCAACACTTGTGCAATTTTATTTTAAAAACATATTGAGCTAACAATTTTTTATTTACAAGCTTTTTAATTAATATATATATATATATAATTATAATATATTTATTTTTTTAAAAAATTATTAATTTAGTATAAAAAACACTGATATACAGTAAACACATCCATGAATTGATATTGTTTTATGGAGTATATTTTTTCTAAAAAAATAATATGATACATATAATATAGCTATTTATTGTTTATTTGAGCAGTAAGTTGAACAGCGAGAAGTAAGATAGTATTATATAATTATTGGTTGTTGGTTGGTATGATAGGCGTTTGAATTTTCCATGTGATTATGGCCCACAATTTTATATATATATATATATATATATGCAAAATTAGATAATACAAGCTACTAATTTGGGACAGATCGGTGAGGAGGGTAAAAGTGTAATTTACATTTATTATATTTATTTAAATATAGAATATAGAATATAGAATAGGAAGGAGGAGTGATACTCTCCATACAAGTCCTTTTCAAAGCAGCAGCGTTACACCATTCAAGGTTGTGAATGTGATAAATGATTATAACCAATTTAACTATCATTTCTTTTTTCAATATTATTATTTTGTAATTAGAGTTGGTCCTCTCTTAGCGCCAAGGGTCGCCCTTTGGCCTCCCTCAACTGTCTATTGATTTTCCTTGTCCATCATGAATTACATATTTATATATATATAATGTAAAAAAGAAAAGTGAAAAGAATATTAATATCAAGTGTTAGAAATAAAACCATAATATTAATTGGTTATTTATAAACCAATTGTACTGTTACTAATTATAATAATAATATACTATTAGGATTATTATATTACTATGGCAACGTAACCAATCCGTCAATTCGTAACGACCGTACCTTGACCAAGACTTGATAATATATATATATATATATCATTTAAATATAATGAAAATGTAAAACTAATAACCAAAAAACAAATTGCATATGTTGTAACGAAAACTAATTATTTATTTATGTTGTGAATGTGGGGATTGGGGATTGGAATAATGAACACTGATCAAGAATTTCGATTTTCGTGATGGTGATGTGTAATGAAGCAGACATCTTTGTGGGTCTATTTAATTTGTCTATTCACTTCAATTGTGTGTTTGTGTACATTATACTCTATTTATATTCCAGTCGACGCCTCGACGCTGCACTGCCTGTCCCTACCCCTGTCGCAATCTCAGTTTTATTATTATTATTATTATTATTATCGATCATTAGCATCCAAAAAATCAAAATCAAAATCAAAATATACGGAGTAATATACATATGAATTCTTGTTCAAACAGAAAAATAAGGTTCGATTACATTTGTTTTCAAAGTGATTTCTTCATTTAAATTACTTTTTAAATTTGCAAATAACTTTTGAATATATTCACTATGTCCATCCACTAATTAAATATAATTTATATTGATTGATTATGATGTTAACTAAGTTTATTTTTAAAACTATATTAATGAATTAGTAGTATCAGAGAATTTTTTTAATACGTTCAGAATGTGTGTGTTTGTTTTTTTTTTTAATATCAAAGTTCAACAAAATTTTATTATTCACTACTTTTTATTTTTATTTTTAAAATATCAAATCAAACTTATGTTTTTAATTTTTTATATTATATTAAAAATTAATTTTATATTTAAAATATATTTATAATCCAACAGTCAAATAAGGGATGTCTCGCAGCAGTTTGATCTACAAGGGTTTGACACGTGTCTCTTTAGTTTGGATGAAAAGAGTTAATTTGAATTTTATATTTAAATAATATTTAATTGTGTTTTTTTTAAAAAGAAAAAAATTGATATATTCTTTTAAAAAAATTAATATATTACACTTATCACTATATATGCAATATAAAAAAATAAATTTCTTCAAACAATTTTATAAAACAAACCACTCTTGATATTTTATTGAAAGTAAAAAACGTATTTTCTTTTTGAAAAATTGCAAAATCTAAATAATAAAAATTGAAAATATTTTGCCAAAAAGAAACGCACCTAATACGTTACTTGTTTGGGATTTGAAAATGAGTTTGGAATTTTTAAATAATACGATTTTGAATTAAAACCAGAAATATATATAATTATATAGAATATTTAAATAAAAATAAAATTTTAATTTAACTATTTTAAAAGAAAAAAAATAATTAATAATATAATACAAGATTGGATTCAAACCCTAAAGATAAGGCCCAAATAGTACACAGTGATATCATTGATGAGATTGAATTCACACAATTAATTATTGTTAGGGGTGATAAATTATTAGACTTAGACCTTATGAAACGTGTTTGAATAAAAAATGTTTTAGTTCAAGAAAAAAAAAAAAAAAAAAAAAGAGTAATATTTAATATATATCTTTGTAAATAAATATGTGGAATTATTTAAAATAATTCTCCCTCCCTCGTTTTGTTGAGAAATAATAGGTACATATTTACAATCAAAATTACAATAAGTATTTTAAATAAAGAAATGATATACATCACAGGTAGATCTTTCCAATGTCTCCTCTTTTATCTTTTCTTTCCCTAGCATTGTTTTTGTAACGCTTTTTAGATGTATAATTTTTCAAATTTTATTTTGATCCTATTTTCTCTTTAATTTTTTTTAATTATATTTGACCAAGTAAATAAAAACTAATATGCCAAAAATATATATATAAATTTAAATATATTTTGAAAAAATAAAACAAAGAAAACGCTTATATAATTTAGAATAAAAGTAAAAAATTTTAAAACAGGCAATGTTATTATTATTATTATTATTATTATTACGTGTACATAAATATTTACACATTCAAGAAAAAAAAAAAGTTGTGATTAGATATATTTTAAAATTATTTTTAAAAATAAAAATGAGTACAGTATGTAGTGTAATAAATTCATTTTTTTAACTATATTACTGACAACTATTATATTAAAAAATAATAATAATAATTTTAAAGTATAAATTAATGAAACTAAAATATAGTTTTGGTGGCATAAGAGTAAACTTGTGATCGTAAAGTTCTGATTCAAATTCCGACGCTTTTAGGTCGAACCTATCACACATATAATTGATCATGACTACTAACGACACCACATGCTTTTGTTATTATACCGTTGAAGTAAATAACCATTTTTAGAATTTTGATTGCAATAAATAGTGAGGTGAAAGTTTAATGGTCCCCTCTTGATTGATTACAATTTTTCTTCACGTTTTTCTACCGATTTTTTAATTTTATTTTGAAAGAATAAATATATAAATATGTATATGCACATTTTTTTCCTTTGTCTTATCCACCGAAAGCACATCACAGCCACAAATATTTTATTGTTTTATACATTTCTCTTCTGCAACGTATTTTTTTTATTAAATGGTTTGTTTTTCCTTTTATCCTAAAATTTATCCTTGGACATAATTCATAATATAAGTGCAGACAAAAAAAATTGTATTATATTTTTATAAACACAAAATTTTACAAATTATATTTAATTTAAATATATATCGGTCATATTTTTTATTTGGATCATTTGATTCTCTTCTTTATTTTTCAACTTAGATTTGGATGACTTCTTTAATTCGAAG